AACTTGCTCCCCCCCCCATTCATAGCAATCATAAAAAAGAATTAGGATATCCTCTTTTGATTGTATTATATATCATTTCCTAACTTGCTACTAATTTTGTTTTGTTCATCGTATTTACAGAATATATCTATATTCTAAAATAGTTATTCTTTTAAATTTTCCAAATTAAAATGATTTGTTAAGAATTCTTTTAAATATATTATATAAAATTATAAAATAAAATATATATTAATTCTTAAATTATTTAATTGTAACAGGTAAATTTGTATAATTACTTAATTGGTTTCATAAATAAATAAATTAAATGTATCAATATTTATAATAATTTAAAAATCCTATCAATCATTGAATTAAAATATCTAAATATCTTTAATTATTTCTCAATTTATATAAATTATTTACTTAATCTTGTATAATAGTCATAATAATTATATGGAAATTATATCATCACTAAATTTCTATTTCACCTCTAAGTCTCTTACTTTTAGACTAATTAGTAAGAGCATTACATATATTAGAAATGATGGGATGATCAATTTTGTAGAATTAGAAATATTGAAAATCAGTTAAAATTCGTTCCTATATCTTGGTTGTTTGCAATTTCCCTTTAGAGGTGACAACCTTTATCTAAAAGTTATACTAAGTTTTGGATATATAAAATATATTAAATCTTACATTACACTACAATCCAATTACAAATAGTAAGACATATTCGAATCTTAAAAAATCTAGCTGAAATATTAAAGATTAGCAAGAAAAATTAATGAATTATTCATAGGACTCAATTTTTGTATAAATTAAAATAGTTATATAAAATAAAAATATTCTATATGATTAAAAAATCAAGAAATGCATATATTGAAATGAATTCTCAATAGCATAATTAACATCTACTACTATCAATTCCAAATCTACAAAAAGTCCTAACTTCTATTTTACAAAAATGCACTAGATACTTTTATCGATTTTGCAGTATATAACTCAAGTTAGAGAAATAGAAATTCATTATTAAAAATAAAAAAGAATATGAATGCCCCTTTTTAAGAGGAGGAAGCTCTAGCTGACATCTTTGGTCATATAAATAATGTAGATGACCAAAAGTTTGGTGTCATTTTAGAAAAATTAAGAAAGGAAAAAGTTTAAGACATCATTGGATATCTTTCAGATAACAGGAATCAAAGCCAATTAGAATAATGTATCTTACAAAAAGGAGAGAATATCACCCAGGCTGATAAAGAATAGAAATTGTCTGTTGTTAGAAATGATATCAAATAAATCACAGAAGTCTTAAGAAAATTAAAAGACCATGACTTCAATAAGTTAGATTATTCCTCTGAATTAAAAGAAGAATCTAAATAAAGTTTAATTAATAGCATCAAGGATAATAGAAGGATCATTCATTTTTTGTAATTGTTAGTTTCAACTCACATCCATAGATGAAACTTTTATAAAGGGTGGGTCTAATTCATTACATATATTAGTTAAGATAAAGGTGGACCTTAGAAACAATAATTTTGAAAATATAAAAATCTATAATACTTCTTTAGTAGGAGCTAATTTTGTTAGGTGTAATTTTGGTGGATCCTAATTTAAGAATGTCAACATAAGCGGAATATATGTTAATGGAGCTTTATTATTGAATTGTAAATGGACAGACTTAAAAATCCTTGAATTAAATTAATTACATGGTCATAGTGATTATGTAAGATCAGTTTGTTTCTCTCTTGATGGAAAAACATTAGCTTCTGGAGGTGGTGATTGCTCTATCCGTCTATGGGATGTCAAAACAGGATAATAAAAAGCGTAATTAGAATGTCATACTAGTTATGTCTAGTCAGTGTGTTTCTCTCCTGATGGAAATACATTAGCTTCTGGTAGTGATAATGGGTCTGTATTATTATGGAATGCTAAAACTAGAAAGAAAAGAGCCAAATTAGATGGTCAAGATGATGCTGTTATATCAGTTTGTTTCTCTTTTGATGGAAAAACATTAGCTTCTGGAGGTGGTGATTGCTCTATCCGTCTATGGAATGTTAAAACAGGATAATAAAAAGCCAAATTAGATGGACATACTTATTGGGTCTAGTCAGTCTGTTTCTCTCCTGATGGAAATACATGAGCTTCTGGTAGTTTAGATCAATCAATCCGTTTTTGGGATGTCAAAACAGGATAATAAAAAGCGTAATTGGATGGTCATGATGATGCTGTTATATCAGTTTTTTTCTCTTTTGATGGAAAAACATTAGCTTCTGGAGGTGGTGATTGCTCTATCCGTCTATGGGATGTCGAAACAGGATAATAAAAAGCGTAATTAGAAGGTCATACTAGCATTGTCTACTCAGTCTGTTTCTCTCCTGATGGAAATACATTAGCTTCTGGTAGTTTTGATAACTCTATCTGTCTATGGGATGTTAAAACAGGATAATAAAAAGCCAAATTAGATGGACATACTTATTGGGTCTAGTCAGTCTGTTTCTCTCCTGATGGAAATACATTAGCTTCTGGTAGTGATGATAAGTCTATCCGTCTATGGGATGTTAAGAATGGAAAAGAAATTTCATCCAATGAAAATCAATATTAAGATATTCTAGCTTAATTTAAAGCACCACTTTTTTAAAGCAATCCTCTACCAGGTATTTACTTTATTATTATTTTATAGAATCCAACAATATTACAATTCTACGAATTTCTTAAACACCATTATTTCAATCATAAGCAGCTATAATCTTGAAAGGAGATTTTGTAAATGATGAAGGATATGATATAAGATAATTATTAATTTCAAAGGGATGTAGTATTTTAGAAGACTTAAATCAAAAATGAACATGATGATTCATTATCAACAATACAATTATGATTACAATCCATATCTAATATTTTTTTTTTATTATGTCTTTATTATTCAAACTTTTCATTTTCACTCATATCTTTCTAAGCTTTGCTTAACAATAGGATTATTCTTTTTTCAATATTTCTAAACCATAATTATTGACCAATTTATAATTAAATTAAATGTGAAAAATTCATTCAACTTCTAATTATTTTAGTAATTCAATAGTAAAAAAGTATTAAATTTCATTTGGTTCTTCAAAAGTTGGTCAGCTTCAGTATCAAAAGTTATGATCTAATCTAAGTGATTAATGTTAATAATTGAAGTTTAAGATTTTTAGGTAATGTTTAGATGGTTTTCTGTTAATATGACTTATTGAGAACTTGTCATTAAAATAAAGTATTTATTAAAAGCGGTATTCAAATATTGTAATTCTACAATAGGATTATTAATTTGAAAACACCAACTTCTTAACTTTTAATCATTTATACATTTCCAATAGATTTTTCTTTAACTTTTTAGGAGCATCCATCCTCAAAAAATATATTTTCATCATCACACTCTTCATTCTGAGTCTTTATACCATTCCCAAACTTTTCTTAACATTTATTATTTTTCAAGTAATAACCATTTTCGCAATTTATGCATTATCCATCATCACAATTTTAACGGTTAAGTGAACATGAGTATTAACATTAGAAACATCCATCAAAGGTTCATTATTTTCATCATCACATCTTTCATCTGAAGCTACAATTAAGTCTACGCAAATAGACAAACATTTATTATTAATCAAATAAAATCCAAAATTACAAGTTTCAATTTGTACTTCTTCAAAATATGATTATAACCATTAACCGTCAAGAAAATCAGTACAATTTTCTTAACATTAATAGTTACAATTATGACACTTATCTTCATTTTCATGACACCATCACTACAATGTTGATAAAAATCTGCTAATACCTCATTTTCACATTCATAAATACATTATTAATTAATTAAATTTCAATCTGGCAAGGATTTTAAGCACAGTGAATAAGAAAATTAAAAGCATTTTTAATAAGCAATGATGATTAATAGATAAACATTCTATCACTTTAATTACAGTTTGATAATTTATCAAATTACCACTTAAATTAATAGGGCAATACAGCTTGCAATTATTATTAATCAATTAAAATATAGGATCAAAAATTTACCATAATCCATATTAGCATTTATTGCAATTTAAAGGACATTAGAATTTACATTAATAACAACCATCATAAGGAATTAATTGGAATCATCGCATTCCTCTAACCCAACAATTATTCCATCTCTGCAATAACTATAACAAATATAATTTATAGGATCATACAGACAATTAATATCACATTCTTTAGATTATACAATTACTACAGTCTTCACTACAATCAAATTTTTAATTAAAACATCCATCAAACGGATTAATGTTCTAATCATTACAAATATCTATTTCCTCTACTTTTAGAGCATCAGAGAATATTTCGAAGTCTAAGATTCCAAAATAAGGAGCAATACTAGGTATATGGTCAAATTATATTTATATTGATATCAATAGATCAGAAATATTACTTTGATTTTAGGCATCAAAAGTTTAAATCTTTTTAAATTATTCACATTGAAATGATTCTCCAACAATAATTAGCTTGAATCTTAATCTGATTTTTGAAAGAGTAATAAATGAATGATGTTAAATGATTTCTTCATTAGCAAATGGCCCATCAAATTGTAAACGTAATTTCCCAATATGAGGATAGATAAGAGTTAAAAGGATTAAAATTTAAACTAAAAGAGTTTAACTAAAATAAAAGTTTACGTTTTTAAATAAAGTATTCACTCATTTAATCGCTATTATTGCATGTAAAAAAAAGGATTCGTTTATTGAAAATTTTCTTACTTCTAATCATCCAGGAATAAAGCTAAAAGTAAATTATGCAATGAAAAATCATAAACATTAAATTGCACCTAAACAAAATAATGAGGAGGAAGAAAAAGGTTTTAAACGATCAACATTTTTGTCATTCCACCAAAAATATTTTTATCCCAAAATTCTAAAATTAAATCTGAACTTAATTCTATTAAATCTTAAAATATCATCCAATCTAATTTATCATTTATGTTTACCATCTTAAGATGTAAATTCTGTACTATATATTGAATCCTAACAATTTAAACAGTTTCAACAGACCAACAAAAAATAATCAACTAATATAAGGACTTTAATTTTTCAAATATAGGTTAATATGAAACCAAAGTCATGATCAATATATAAAATATTTATCATAAGAGATCTATGTAGATTTTTATGTTCTAAATAATATTATAAATCTATTTATTATTATATATTTGATGCGTATTAATAACATTATTCAGTTTTACTCTTGAGTTGCTCTACCAAAGTTACGATCATAAATTATAATTTTAAAAAATAAAAATTACTTATGTTTGTTAAACATAATGATATTTAAAAATGCAATTATGCCATTCTAAAGGTTTCTGAGATAATTTGACTAAATGACAATTTTAATGAAAATTATTGTTTATTCCATAAAATTAAATTGTTAATTTAATCATTATAAAATAGGAATTGATGATTAATTTTATTAAAGAATATACCAACAGCGATGTGAGGTATGAAAATGAAATGTCAATTAACCTATTTCTGAATAGAAATATGTCTTATTAAATAGATTTTTAAATTATATTAATTCTGAACAATTATTAAATATATAAATACTTAAAAATATATTAAAATAATGAAGGATTATTAATTTTAATATAAAATAAATGAAATACAAAAACATCTTAAATGGAAATAACCTAACAATAAAATATTCAAGAAATGTATTCAGAATAATTTGAGATTAAAAGATTAAACTTGCTCTTAATGATATAGAAAAGAAGGCTTTTAATTTAAAATATTAATATCACTATTATTATTTTATAATATTTTAATGAATCCTCAAATGTTTACTTGAAATTATTTGACTCATAATTTGAAGATGAGTATTTCATATGAGATTAAAAAGTCGCTAAAATTTTATTTCTCCTTTACCTTTCTCTTTCTAAAAATCAATAAGAGATGTGTTTTATTTTTGCAAGAATAATTTTGAAAATAAAAAACTAGAGTATGAAATGAATCAATTAATCTTAAGATAACTAAGAGACTTAAGGTTTCTTAGTGTTTCTAAATAAAATTGGTTTATGGACAGATTTGAAATCCTAAAGTTTCTTTCTATTAAAGTAAGTCTTATAACAAAGTGAAATCTTTTTCAATACAATACTAAAAATTATCTGAAAAGATCATCCGAATTTAGTAAAGTATTCAAGAAGATCTATTTTAGATTAAAATTCTGTGAATTTCATATTTGTATAATCTAATTTTGTTGATGAAATTTGAACTAAATCTTTTTAAATTTTTAATTATTTAAAAATATAATGATATGTCCATTCTATCATTATTGTTACTTTTATATGATATTTCATTATCAATTCGGAATATTATCCAATATTTTAACTTTGGATTAATAAATATTCACACATGGATATAATTCTGATTATATGGATGTATCTATTTCTAATTACTAATATGATTTTGATAATTACAACTGATACTAAAGGATTATTCTATCTCGTCCATTTAATATACTTATGTTCAATACTTACTTCCATTATTAATATATCATTAGTTGTATAAGTGAATGATAATTATTTACTATTTCCATCTTTATTATGATGAGAGTAGGTATAACCGTTATCACGTATCAAATAAGATCTATTTTGATTTAATTATATACCCATTCCCAAATCCTGCATTTGTATAATTATTGTTTTATATTATATCTCTGAATCCAATTCCAATAATAAATTATGTTCCACTTATCATTTAGAATGCAAAAACTATTTTCCCAGTCTTTGGAATGGCTTATTCACAAAGACAATAATACCAATTACTACTACACTCAACAACAACTTTTCCATCTTCACTTATTTAACAACCAACACCCTTATGAGTATTAGAAAACTATAATATTTTAGGATATTTTTAAATCTATGATTAATAATTTAAAATACTTTTTCTAATTCTAATTTTTATTATTTTTCTTTTTAAAAGTTTTAGTAATGAATCTAATCAAGTTGTCTTTAAACTGCTTTCAATTCTAATTCTTTTTAATTAATTTTTTTACTCATTTCTGAAATTTCTTTGTTTTCTATTTATAATTATAAATGAATACTTTGTTCTTCTAAAGTCTTAATAGTTTTTAATTTATCCTCCTCAATTAACTTTTTTAGATTTATTATTTCTTAAGTTTTTTGATCAAATTTCTCTCTTTCTTTTAATTAGAATTAATTGTTAATCTCATCAATTTACTTTTAATCTAAAAATTTTAATTAAAAATACTTTAGTCTTATTATTCCTTAAATTGTTTTTAAAATTCTTTTTAGGTCTGATCTAATTATGTAGAAATTTAATTAAATAAATTGGTTTCTATTGATTTATTTAAAATATTACTTTCAATTTCTAAATTTTTATTTAATTCTGTTAATGTTACTAATTCCAATTCCAAATTTTAAATTTTAAAATATTGTTTTATTTATTTATTCTTAATATCAAAAGTATCAATATAATCATTTAATAATTTTGTTAGATTCTAATATTAAAATTATATTGATTATGATTAATTAACTTAATCTCTGGTTTAATCTGAAATTTATTATTAAATTTATTCAATCTTATTAGTATGCTATTAAAATAAAGTAATAGTTTTATCAAATAAGTTGATTTAACATTAAATTTTTTTAGCCTAATCAATCAATTCTTAGAAATCCTTAATAAATTTAATCTAATTTTGATAATTTTCATCATTTGTCTATATTTAATTCGAAAATGATTAGATAAGTTCAGATAATTATAAAATTAAATTTCATTCAACTAATAAAATATTTATATATATATAAATACTTGGTATATCTTTGAGTATATCTATGGTTTACTAAATATCTAATTAATCATATTATTTTAATGATTCTAAATGAATTTCAATTTCTTTCTAAAAATTTGAATCTTTATTTTTTAAACTAATTATTGCTTAATTTTAAGTCACTTTTTCTTTTTGAATTATACATTATAAATCTTTTAATAATTATTCATCATCTAAAGATTATATTGAAATCTTCTTTATTTAATTTGATTCTTTAGTTTAATGAAGTATTTATTATTATTATTATTATTATTATTATTATTATTATTATTATTATTATTATTATTATTATTATTATTATTATTATTCTGAGATTAATTTATTGCTAATCTCATTTACTTTCTAATTATAATTTTTTCTCATTTAAGTAATTTAATTAAATAATTCATCTCTTTTATTTTTAGTTTCCTTCTTATATTATAATAATATATTCTAAGATTCTGAATTGTAATCTATCCATAATTTATTAATATGTTCAATAGTTTAATATTTAATTGATTGATTTTGAGATATACAATCAACACAAGCAAATCTATCTTCCATTTCCTTATTTTAAGTATCTATATCAATCATAATAATTTCTTTTTTATGCTTTATGCAAATTCTATTTAAACTTGGTGTTTTCTAATTTAATTAATAATAAATACAAATTAATTTTTTGTTAATTATAATGGTGGTAATTCAATAATGTTATTTTCTATTAAATCTTATATTATTTATTTTGTATTTTTGAATATATCTAAAGTCTACTAATATTCAGCATTATTAAACAACAATTCTAATTATCTAGTTAATTAATCTATAAAAGTATTATCTTCAATTAATTTAATTGATTTCTATTAATCTGATGAATATAATTTAGATAATTATTTAATATCTTCATAGTAATTCTATTGATTTTAATTTTTTTATAATTCTTATTTCTCCTTTTCAATTGGAAACATATATTCTTATATTTATTTATGCATTTTTTCAAAAGAATCATCTATTGATCTTTTAAAATCCATAATTTAATCTAAAATATTTTTATAATAATTGAGTCTTGCTTGATTTTCTTTAGTCTTTATTTCTTATTATTGAATCTTAATTTATTAGATTCTTTCTTTTGATTACTAAATAGTTGTCACTTTATTATTATTCAATTTATCGACTAAACATTAACCACAAAAAAAATTTATTTATGATTTATCTGACATATCCAAATCAACTGCAATCAATTCTAAATTATGACTCTTACATTTTGTCTCTTAAACTTCTTCGCTTTATTTTGTTTATTAAATATTCATTTTTTGTAATTCTATTAATACATTAATAAGATATTTTCGAATTAATAAACTATTTAATATATGATTTATATACTTAATTATAAATCTTTGTAATTATTATATTGAATCTATTATCTAAAATTCAAATACACATATCAAATACTGATAACATATTGAATGAAAATTTTTAAAGGATATATTTCATATAAATTAAATCTTAGAATTTACTCTAAGGTATAATAGTTCATTAATATAAATTATTTACTCTAATAACAATTATCATTAAGCTATTATAATCGTGCAAAATTATATCTTTCTTCATAGCTTATTTCTTTCCAAAATCAGCTTAATAGATTTATAAAAGACATATAAAAATCGATCTTTAAAGATGCTGACGATACCTATTTGAATTTGTTAATAATCAATCATTTTTTATTACAGAAATAGTCAACTTCGGCAAAATTACTTGAATAAAATAGATATTCTAAATAAGATTTACTTATGAAACAGCATATAAGTAAATAAGCCTTTCTATCAGCAGGTTTTAGGCGATTGATAAAATATATGGAACATCTGGTGGCTTTAGCAAAAATGACTATCTATAATATTTTGAGAATATTATTAGGATTCTGTTAGCCTTGATTGCAATTAAATCCTCTACATTTGTTACTGAAACTTTTTATTTGCTTCCTTTATATGCTCCTTAAATCTAAAGATCTTCTCATCCCAATTCCCAGCTAATCCTTCAAATTAGTCAAGGATATGATCTCTAGTATCTTAATATTATATTTCTCTTATATTTTCCATCTGTTTCCAATAATATAAAATTGACAATAATTTGTGTTCTCCTTCTAATTAATATCTTTATCTTTTTCAAACTTTATTTATCTTTAATTTCTTCTCTAACAGTTGATTTTAGTCATTATTATGAATTAATACATCATATTCTTTGATTCTAATTGAGCTGCTATAATATTATTTCATAAATTCCCTGAATGATCATGTAAAAGAATCCATCTATTAATGATTTCCAGATAGTCCCTTAAAAGATAAGAATAAGAATTTCTTAGTTTTTTATAATTAGAATTATAATGCTATTGTAAGTTATTAAATAAACTGAAAATTTATAATTAAAAGTTGAATTTGAATAACAATTAATAAGTTTTATCATAATTCATACACATAAGTGTAAAATTATATAAATTCCCTAGAGTTGATAACTTTGTTAAGCTAATTTAGATGGATAGCACGGAATTTTAATAATCACCAATTTCTTAATCAAATTAAAATGATAATTTTTATTGAATTTCAATTAAATATAGTAAGTCACAGAAATATTTAATATAATAAATTTTTAGCCAAAAAAAAATTTATCTTAATAAAAAATGAATTATCTAAAACTTTATAAATAAAATTAATAATTAATTATATTTTTAGATTAAGATTTATATATTATGACTATTAAATCAAATCAGAATTTGGCATCTAAATATAAAATTATTGTTGAGAGATTAAAATAGTAATTGATAGAATGACTTTTTCCTATTTAAATCCACTTCTATTTTTTTATGTATTTAATATATTGTTTGTATGTGAAAAATTATTTGCCTCCTTACAGTATCATAAACTAAATAGAGTAAGGAATTGCTTTAATTAATCTGAAAAAAAGTAAAATTTATTTGCTTCTGGCTTGCTATAGATAAGCCATTCATTTATTGATTAATATATTTTAAATTAATTATTTTAGAGTATGTTCTAAATATTCTGGTAAGGCATAAATGGGCAACAATCACTTACCTTGATTATGCTACATTCACATCCCAATAATTATCTAATCATAAAATCTAATTTGTAATACGGCAACTTGATATATAATAATTAGATTTGATCACATTAAGAGTAACTCTAAAAATTGTAATAAACATTAATAATTGGAAATCAGATATATCATCCTAACTGAAATTATATATAAAATAAATTTGAGAATCTGAAGAGATTGATAATAATAAAATCGCTTCGGAAGTAATATCATAAATATTGGGATTTATTGTAATTGGTATATCAATATCGACAAATTAGTTATTTAAGCTACTTAAATTTAAAAATTATGATGAAAGTATTGAATAATTCTCCCCTTTTCTATAAAGAAGTATTCTATATCAATATCCATTATTTTAGAAAGAGATATAAGCCAAATTCGATCATTCAATGCACTCATAAAAAGATCTAAATTAATAAATACTTAGTAATCAGATTGATAGTTAATTTTTTATTTCATCACCCCCAAGATATACAAAATCAAAAATTCTTAATTGAAAATAAAAAGATCTTATTATGCTTAATTTAGTAACCTTCTTTGAAAAGTGATCCATGAGAAAGATCAAACACCTTATATAAATGGGCCTTTATAAATAGTTTTATCAAATGTCAATTAGATAAATAATCAAAGTGAAAACTGATATAGAAGTACTTTAATTGGTGGAGGAGATTCATCATCTTTTGAAAAAAGGTTCACATAAATCAAAGAAAAATAGTAATTTATTTACTTCTTGAGATTTTCAAGGACCGAAAATCTATTTAAACTTTATTGCTATTTACTAAATTCTAAAGTTGAGCTTTCAATTCTTATTTATAAGGTAATAATGAAGATTATGAAAAGACACTTGTTCTAATCACTTAATACTTTAACTTGTATAATGATCCCCTATTCCCCTATTGATGATTATTGTAAATTTAAAGGTATTAAATCCAAGATCAAATAAAATATTATATGGAATTTGAAATTAATCATAATATTATTTTCTTAATGTATTTTTCAAATTAAAAATAATAAATCCTCCAAGGAGTAGAATTAATATAATACATTCAAAATATTTAAATAGAAATCTAAATTTTTCTTTAATTAAATGGGCAAAAAGTTGGATTTTCAAACAGCTCTTTAATTAACTTTTTAGCGGTAAATTTCATACGGACGGTTTTCGTGGGTTTAAAATTTTATAAATTTTTTTGGAATAAATTAATATAATTATAAAGTATTAAATTTTTTATGATTTCACAATTATTGGGAACCTGATTTTATAATTTAATTTCCTAAGAAATCTCATGGCAAATGCTCTTTACATTCATCTTTTGATGAATGCAATACTTAATTATTAAAATCATAAATAATTATAAAGTTATCTCTTGTAAAAAATTAAGGCAAACTTTTCAGATCCAATATTATCCTTTATTTTTCTGCTTTAAATATTATTTGTCGACAGTTAAATTTTCATATCTTGTTACTATAACTATAATTAAAGGGTTTACCTAAGAAAATTTTTACAATTAGTTATATAGTATTTTTTCACTTTGTTTTTTCTAGGATGGAGCTTATTATTCGAAAAAGATTATTTATTCAGTTGGTGCTCCTCTAAAATATCGCTTAGAATGATGAATTCGAAATTTTTACAGTATTAACACTGTTACTAATGTTAAAGGTTTTTATGCTGATCAATCAATAATAATGATAATACTCTACGCTTATTGTGTTTTTCAGTAGGATATCAATTATGTCATTATGTCAAGAGATCTTTCTTTTAGTTCTGGGGTGGTTTGGTAAAAAAATTTAAATATTGATTTTCCAATTCAAATTGATATATGTATCTATTAAATTGAATATAGTAAACTTAAAATCGATTAGTTTAATATTTGCAAATAATGCTCATTCTACACTAAAAACACAATTTTGAACTTAAAAAATAGAAAGATAATTCGATTTCTTACAATTTAAAACTGAAATCCTTATTCAAAATAACTATTAAATTAATATGTTTATTTCATATTCTTTAACCAATTCCCAATTTTAAACCATTACTATTTTCATCTTATGAACCACACCAATAAAAAGATTTGTAAAGAAAATTCATACATTTTTTTCTATTCTCTTTCATTTTCTATTAAAAAAATATCCCATATCCTCTCATTCTGAACTTACTCTTTATAAAATCCATAACAACTAAGCCTTTAAATTAGTTTCCATTCAAATAAGCTATTGGTCTAAAATTATTTTACAATAATCAAATCTCAATTACAATTAAATAATTATGAAAAGAATTTGTAAACCTCCTATGATAGAGATTGTATTCTGTATAAGGGTTGATAACTTTTTTTAAATTAACATAGATAATAATTAATTATATTGATATTTTACAGTTTTCTAATTTACATAGATGAAAAAATTATTAAAATAAAAAATTAAACATATCAGTTAAAAAGTTGATTTTTATGCGATCTGAAATTAGATTCATACAAATTTTTATAATAAAATTTTGGTTGGTAAGAGGGTGTGAAATAGTTGTACAGTTTAAATTGGTCTGTATGCATTCAATCAAAAGGTTTATTATGAGTATGATGGAATTCAAAATCCATAAATTCAAACATATATTTAAAATAAATTAAGTAAATTCTAACCTTCAAGGATATATCTTTAATCTAACCTTCTCCTCTATTATACTTTAAATAATCATCGAAAAATGTTAAAGTTTAATTGTTTAATAAAATTATTCTATTACTCAATTTTCTTATCATTATATCCCTTTCCAATTTTATCTTCTATTATATTTCTTAAATTAATTTTGTTCTAATATATCCTTAATTCACTAATTGAAATTTAAGATAATATTATCTCAGTTAATAAAGTTTTATATTCCTATTATCCAAATTCTCTTCTCTATTATCTTTTTATTTCATATCCTATCAACACTTCCAATTTTATGTTTAACTTTTCATTGACTTAAAAATCTAAGTATCGAAAATTTACAGTATAAATTAAAATGAGAAATTTTATCTAAATTAAAAATTGAAGAGATCAGTAAATTAATCTAGACAAAAAAGGAACAAAGAAAAAGAACTTCGATGATTTTAAAGTTAGCCTTAATAATATAAAGAATTCAGGTTAAAAATTTTTTGACTCTAGAATTATCATATCACCTAATTATCCAACTGGAATGCACAAATTTAGATATAGTTGTGCCCCTGAACTGCCAAAGACATTTAATCTCTCCTTTATTTTGATAAATATAATTTTTCATTGGATTTATAATCGAGATATAATTAGATAGATACGATATCATTTTTTGAGAAATATAATTGAAAAATGCAATTAATTAAGATAGGATGTTAAATGAAAAAAATTATTAGTTTACCTTTTTATAACAATTGATATTAGGATTTCATAAATACATTTTTAAGAAAATCCAAAATTATAGAAAATATATAAGGTTTATATTTTTACGTCATCTAAATACTCTAATCCTATGTTTCTATTTTCAATAATTTAGGAATATTCCATACATTATAATATCACAATAATAATTATTTGATGTTAAAAATAATGAAAGATCAAAATTTGATTTTTTCACTAAATTTGAGAAGTTTTGCAAATAATTAAGTAGAAAAAATTGTAATTAAATATTAAAAATGTTTAATTATTATAATTAGATAAATTAAATTACTAAATTCAATTATAATAATTCTATTTTTATATTCATTTTTAATATCTCTATTAGCTCAAATTAAATTGGTTAATCTTTTTAAGCATGTCATGTTTTTATTCCAAAGCATTAAGTATTAGCCATCTTCACTTAAAGCTCCTGAAATACTATCTATTTTTCCATTTTTAATAAAGATATCCTCTTGGTCAAAAATAATTAATTTTATTAAAATTAAATTACCATCTTTCTCAAATTTTAAGACACGAACTTCATTTTATTTTATCAAAAATGTTTTATTATTGTTGTTGAAGATAAATGAGTTTTAAAAAATTGATTATTTGAAATAGTTTTCTTGATGAATTCGAGTTTTCTAAAACTAATTTAATTTTTTATTATATAAGTAAATTTCAAGACTATTATTAGAGTTTAAATAAAAAATTTAGTCATCAATAAAACCTAATATTTATCCCATTTAAATAACTTCGATCCATTATTATTATTTCCAAAATGGCTTCATTTTTGATGAATTTTTTATATAAACAATTAATTAGTTATCAATAGATCCACTAACTAAGTGAGAAAACCAATTTATCTTCTGTTTTATTGATTTTTTATTATTTTACAAAAAGTGCAGGATTATCAAAATCTAATTCTTCTACACATTTCCAACTTGAATTTTTTTTCTAAAAAATGCTTATGCTATGAAATTTACTAGCAAATAATAAATTTTCATCTTTGCTTAATAGTATATCAGCCCATGTATAAAGCTAATGATCATATTTTGATAAGATTTTGAAATTATTAATGCAATTTATTGAAATATTGATAATGAGATTTTAAGGTAAGAGAATCACTTCCTTTGATAATTTAAAATAGCCCAATTATTCTTTAGAAGAATCGTCATAAATTCTTTTACGTGCTATAATTTTCAATATTAAACCTTTAAGATAAAATATATTTAAATAATCGTTTGAATATATAGATATATTTGATTGTAATTTTATGATATAAATTAAGAGAGAGTAATACATGGTAAAATTTTTAATTTTTTTAATTTTATTCCAACTTGATGGAGATTAAATAAAAAAAATTTTAGTTTTATTCTTTTTTTGTTTGGTTAATTTAAAAATACTTAATTTGTATTAGTTTAAATAAAAATTTAAGTTTATAAATTTTGAAAATGATTTAAAAATCATCTAACCACTACTTCAACCATTTTTTAATCTTCTTATCATAAAGAGAAAAGAAAATTAATATAATAATTAAAAGAATTTTAATAAATTATTTGCTCAAATATTCAAAAATTTTCAATAACCTTTTTATTATTAATATTCGTTTGTACATTGCATTAATTTATAATTATCATTTTTTAATTTTTTTTTTACTGACTAGGTGATGTAAGGAGTATTTTGCAAGAGTGTAAAACAATTCCTGATTATTTGCCATTCTCAATTATAATCGAAAAAAGCCAATTAAGTAAAGAAATAATCATTTGTTAAAGTTTACATTGATAGAATTTCTTATTGCCATTTAATTTAGAATTTCTTTTATATTTAGTCTTTCATTCTGATTATAGGCATACCTCACTAATTAATGGCAACNTAAATTAGATAACATCCATCTCAATCTACATTGAAGTTATTTTTCTGAAAGTTATTATTTTATATTTAGTTTTATTTATAATTATTCAATTTAATTTTAGGTAATAAATTTTATAGTTAGCAGTATGGAATTTTAATATAATTATATATAGATATATTTGATTGTAATTTTATGATATAAATTAAGAGAGAGTAATACATGGTAAAATTTTTAATTTTTTTAATTTTATTCCAACTTGATGGAGATTAAATAAAAAAAATTTTAGTTTTATTCTTTTTTTGTTTGGTTAATTTAAAAATACTTAATTTGTATTAGTTTAAATAAAAATTTAAGTTTATAAATTTTGAAAATGATTTAAAAATCATCTAACCACTACTTCAACCATTTTTTAATCTTCTTATCATAAAGAGAAAAGAAAATTAATATAATAATTAAAAGAATTTTAATAAATTATTTGCTCAAATATTCAAAAATTTTCAATAACCTTTTTATTATTAATATTCGTTTGTACATTGCATTAATTTATAATTATCATTTTTTAATTTTTTTTTTACTGACTAGGTGATGTAAGGAGTATTTTGCAAGAGTGTAAAACAATTCCTGATTATTTGCCATTCTCAATTATAATCGAAAAAAGCCAATTAAGTAAAGAAATAATCATTTGTTAAAGTTTACATTGATAGAATTTCTTATTGCCATTTAATTTAGAATTTCTTTTATATTTAGTCTTTCATTCTGATTATAGGCATACCTCACTAATTAATGGCAACTATATTTCCTTAATTTTAATTAATTTCATCCGATATTTAATAAACACTATTATCTTGGATTGGTCTGCGAATACATTCTATGCCTAATTTATGATATATTACTTGTATATTTTTTCATTTACTTAATTAAATATATGATGATTGTTCACTTTCCTCTTACAATGTCAAAGCTTCCTTAAAACAAAAGTCAAATGAAATTGAAAATGATTTCGTTTCAGGAAAAAATAATCAAAATCCTTCAAAAAATGCCATTTTGAATCTATTAAAGAAGGAATAAATATTGGAGAGATGAATTTAATCCAATAAGGATCAATTGCCTAAGAGAGCTTAATCAAATTGAAACAAATGACTTACAAGGGTTTATCCTAAAAAAATAGGCAAAAACTAGAGATGATATCAGAGTATTTATCAGAACAATCATACAACTAGTATAATCAATGATTCCTGGAAACAAAACACTCTAGAGACAAATAATCACCTATGTATAACTAGGTTAGTTCCACTGAATAAATTATCTCTAAAGTAACAAACAGACCACTCTTCAAATGTTTGGAATTGAGATTTATTGGTAAAATGCAACAATTATAACTTATACGCTTTCAAAAAAGTACGTAAGCTATCTGAAAAAAATTAAATGATATATAGGATAATCAAGAATGACTCCTGGGAAGTAGTTATGTTCACTTGCTTTACCAATGACTAAACATGGATATTCCCTGTAGAATAACAATATGAGGTAGATCTATTTAGCATATATTTTTGAAAATATATGTTCTCCTTAAACAATCAAAAAAGAGATCACAAATAAAACTGGAGTAAAGGAATTGTTATTTGCCCCCTTCTATCAAGTCGTCCTAGGATGGGAAAATGCCCTTCGCCATTTTTGCAAGGATTAAGCGAGTGTCTACCTCATTAATCTTTAAGGACCGAACAGTCAAAAAGAAATAACACCGTATTATTATTATTCAAATAATAATAATAATATGAATGATATTTAAAAATACATAATATAAATTAATTAACTTAAAAAGGTTTGGCTTATTTTTAAGTATTTCGAAATTAATATTTGAATAGTTTAAAAATATATCATACAGACTCAAAGTAAAGAATTTATACTATCAATTTTCGGAATAAATATATATTGTTTATGATATTTATTCTTTAATATCAAAAATTCCTTAATGATGCTTATAATAATCTATAATCATTGTCTATCAGAGAATTATTTCTTCAAATAAACCTTTAAGATATGAAAATAATTTGTAATATTAATATTTTTCCCTATATATTATATGAAAATCAAAATCATGCCATTAATCCCAAAATACCTAATGAAACAACTGATAAGATGTAAGAACTATCGGTAGTGGATCCATTATCTGTTTAATTGTTTGTATTATTTGAATTGTTTGGATTGACAGATCCTGAAAGGCAACTTTCACATTTATTAGTAGATGCATTCCAACTATAAGTGTAAGCTGATTTAGTGTAGCAAATCTTGGAATCTGTCATGGTTCCTGGATCAGCAGCTGCACATTTTCCACTTTAAAGAACACAAACAGTGGATGAAGCTCCATCAAAGCTTGGAATTGGTTGACAATCAGTTCCTGTGGCAAAGGTATCACATGTATGATTAACACAGGATGTTCCTGTTGAGTTTTCATTCCATTTACATGATGGATTAGTTGTGCATGCCAATTTATCTTTGTTAGCATCAGCGCATGCTGAGAATGTCTTGCAAGTTCCGTTAACTTTATCAGTTCCAGTAGGAGTGAAAGCACAAAAAATTTATTTACTATTTTCTAAACCACCTCCATTACAAGCAGTAATAGTTTTATAAGTTGAACAAGTAGACTTGGCAATACAACTTACTCCATTTGATACACATTACTTTCCAGAAATAACTCCCATGCAGTTAGCATTTGAAGTTCCACCAGAAATATCTTCACATTATTTTAATCTGCAGATTTTGTTTCCTGTAGTAGCTCCAACTGGTAATGCAAATGTACATTCTCCATCAGTTCCATTGAAGCATCCAGCTTCAACATAACTTGAGCATGTTGATAAGGGTATGCATTTGGTTCCATCAGTTGTGCATGATCCTCCTGTGACAGAAATAAGCTTACATTAGTCATTTGTACCCTTTTATTCATCACCGCATTCCCTCAATTTGCAAATATTAGCTGTAGCATTCCAAAAGCATATACCATCAGTTCCATTGTTATTACATGCTGTTTATGTTTTGTAACTATTACAAGTTGCTTTAGCTATACATGCTGTTCCATCAGTAATACATGTTGGACCATAAGAGAGACATTCATCATTTGTAGCTGCCACAGCATCTGTACATTATCCAAACTTCTAACATTTTCCTGTAGGTAACCATCCACAAGCTCCATCAGTTCCCACAACACATGAAGCCTTTAATGATGTGCTGGCACAAGATGTAATTGGAATGCATGTATCTCCATTGGTTGTACATAATGGTGAAAATGCTTAGCATTCAGTATGAGTCTTTTTTACAGCATCTTCACATCTGTCATAATCATAACATTATCCATTAACCCAAAGACATGGTCCAGAGTTGGATTTAATACAGAATTATTTATTGGAAAATTCAGTACATGAGGCTCCAGCCACACAACCAGATCCATTAGTTTTACACCCTGATAGGAAAGTATTACATTCGTCATCAGTTAAACCATTCTTATCACTGCAAATTCTATTTCTGCACTTATTTGTTGTGACATCCCAACCACATCTTCCAACTCCATCTTTAGTTGTTGAGGCAGCTATACAAACAGATTGAGTCTTGTATGATGTGCATGTTGAAATAGTTATACAACCAGCTCCATTTGTAGTACAATTGTCAGCAAAGCTTTAACATTAAGCATGAGAAGCAATTGTTGCTGGTTGATCTTCACATACTTAAGCTCTACAAGTTGAATTAGATTCTTGCCAAGCACAGAACTTACCATTCACTTTAGAATTTGAGCATTATGAATAATTAGTGTTACTATAAGTAGAACATGCAGTAATAGCATTAGTACATTAATTAGCCCATGTGCATTCTTCTCTTAATTTACAAGCAGCTTATGATGTCAAATTGAAACATTATTTAGTGCTTGTACATCCATAACCAGTTGTATAACAATCTTTATGATATTTCTAACAATCAGCATCAGTTGTAAGAGTATTTGGTGCTTCTGTACATATTCTCTTAGCACATGATCCTTTAAGAGTTCCAACAGTTGTAGCTTTACATGGACCATCTTTACCTAAATAAGTAGGGCAAGTCTCTTCAGTTCCATTAAATGCATTACAATTCTTTCCATAATCAATACATGATGTTCCATCAAAAACACAGAATGGATCATCAGTAGTTTTAAATGGTGGCATACCATCATTACATTCTTTATTGTTTTTACCTGAAATATCACTGCACTTTTTTTTAGCACAATTGGCTGTAACTAATGCAGTTGAAGTATTCCAACAATAATCTCTACCTGAAGTACCCAAGAATTTAGCACAAGTTGCTTAATCTCCCTTAAATGCAGTACATGATGAAGATGCCTCAACACATCCTGTACCTTTGGTTATGCATCCTTTCATATAAGTAGCACATTCAGCATCAGATGTAGCTGTAGTATTATCTGCACAAGTTCTTACTTTACATTTACTTGTGGCAGTATTTCCAGCATCTCCAGAACAATATTCATAAGTAGGATTTTTCTTATCATCTAATCCAGTTTATTTTTTAAATAATTCACATTATTATTTAGTTCCTCTATATGATGTGCATGGCTCTGAATTTGGTATACATCCTGTACCACGAGTGACACATCCACTTAAATAAGTATCACATTCAGAATCAGTTGTTGCAGTAAGATTGTCATAACATGTTCTAATTGTGCAGGGTGAGGGTGTAGTAGTAGCAGTTAAAATAGGTCTACATCTATCTTTTCCTGTTGAATCTAATAAGGTATTACAAAAATCAGCTGAACCATTGTTTGAAGTACATGCTCTACTTTATGCAACACATATAGTACCATTTGTTTTACAAGATTTAAGATAACTTTAACAATCAACATCTGTATAGAATGCCTTATCACTACAAGATCTGTCTCTACATTTTGAATTAACTGAATCCCAAGCACAAAAATCTCCTGTATCATTCTATACTCCTTCACACCATATTTATTTAGCTGCATCATCATCACCTTATGGTGTATATTTTGCACAAGTGTCCTTTGTTATGCATTTATTGGAATAATAGAGACAATTTGGAGCATTATTTATACAATCTGTTGCACTTGCATCATTATCAGTACAAATTTATGCTCTGCATCTTTTAGGAGAATCCATAATACATGGATAGCCATCAGTTGATTTAACTGCTTTACACTATGTCTCTTCTGAACCTTCTTCAGGTCCGAATTCAGGTTCAGCTCTTCCATCATAATTTTCGCAAATATTCAACGTGACACAAATATTACCAGAAACATATGTACATTTACTTTTTCCATCTGTCAATGTTGCACAAATAGATGCTTAATTATCGGTTACACTATATTATTCACACTGCTTTTGTGCTGCACATGTTGTTCCTGATATATAAGTACATTGAGCAGCAGATTGGACTTGATCACAATATACCTTCTCATTTCCATTTTAAGCAGGGATCTTATCACAAGTATCATTCTTATTATAACATGTTCCTAAGAGATACACACATTAAAACATATTTGCTTATTAATCACAATCCATTTAAGAGGTTGGATTTTTTATATCATAGCATTCAAAAATTCTACATGTGCTTTCACCAGGTGTGTAAGTGCATTTTGAATTAATAATACTAACTTTACTTAAACAATAATTTAATTTATCAGTATCATTAGTGTTTGGCAAATTTTCATATGACTCACAAGTACCACCAGCAGCGCATTAAGTTGGAGGAGTTGGATTATATTAATCAAATGTACAAAAGTTATTTTTACTAGGTGTAGTAAAGAATTAGCAATATGTTACTTTTTATGCTGGTGACAATCCTGAATCCATAGGTACTTTATTATTATCAGCACAATCACTAGCAGCAGATTAGATCTACATTTTTTAATAACATTTGTTATTAAAATAAAAACATCCATTTATGTAATTATCACAATCTCCTTAACTAGTTGGTGATGGGATATCTGCACATGTTGCATCACTACAAGTTGTTCCAGAAGTAAATTTACAGAATTTGGTTCTATCTTTGTATGATTAAGCTAGACAAAATGCAGATTTGAATGCATTTGAAGTTGAATCACTAATAGAATCCCAACTGCCTGAATTAGGAATTGTTATACCACAATCAGCATTATCTGCAAGTTCACATCTAGTTTTATCAGATTTTAATCTACAATGTAGACTGTCTTCCTTAATACTTCTACAATATAGAGATTTTTAAGTATCTGTTGTGATTCCAGCTGGGAATGTTGAGGGACAATTACCAGAACCAGCTTTAGCATAACACTTACCATTAAAATATAAGCATCCAGATAAATAAAATTCACATTATTCTTAACTTGAAGCTGAAATAATATCTGAGCAAGCAGAAATAGCATCGCATGCACTTCCTGTCTTATAAATACATTTTGTATATAATGCTTATGGTGTTCCTAATTTTGATACATCTTTAATCAACTTCAATTCCCAACATATTTCTTATTTTTTAATTGTAGTCAAAGTAGAATCTATTTTGTAATCACTACAAGTTTCTGATATAGTGAGACAAGTTGAATCTGTTACTTTTTAACATACTCCTTTAGTTGGAAAAAGAGTTGAATCGTTACAGGTTTATGTATCTGTTTAAATATTTAATTTTTCACAACTATCTTGTAAACTACATTTAGTTTCACCTGTTTTGAATGTACATGCAAATCCTTTGTCATTTACAAATCTTCTACATTAAGCTAATTTAAGAGCATCAGTAGTATCAGTAGAAGTATAACTATAGGCACAATCTGCTTTATTTGGTAAATAACATATGGTTCCTGCTAATTTACATGTATCATCAGTTGAAGTGGAGATATCCTTCTGTAAATAAGTAGTGCATGATAATGAAGTATAAGTGCTTAAGAATTATTCACATGTTCTAGCTGAACATTTAGTTGCTCCTAATGTATAACCACATAATAACCCAACGTTATCTTTGATACTTGTACAATAATCAAACTTTTATTAATCAGAAGTTGCAGTATCAGGTAGACTATAACTACTACAAGCTGTTGCATCAATGCATACAGATCCAGCCTTAAAGAATCTACAAGTAGATTTATGATCAAGACAATCTTAAGCTGATTAAGGACTTGTTTTATCTGAGCATAATCTATCTTAGCAAGCATCATATTTTGTGCATGCAACTTTGGTCCAAACAGAAGAAACTAATAAACCACCACTAAAATTAGAACAAGTAGTAACAGTTCCTGATTATTAAGAACATGATCTTGATTATCTACTAATACAACCTCCATCAGATTTAGCTATGCATCCTGTCATGAAAGTCTCACAATCTTCATCTTTTGTTGCAGTTGTATTATCTGTACAAGCTCTAACAGTACATGTAGCTGATGTAGATGTTCCAAAACAATATTTAGAACTATTACTTCCAACAATAGCAGATTCACAAAATGCTAAAACACCTGTATAACTTGCACAAGTTGTGTCATTAGCTTTTGGATCAACACATCCTCCATTTCCATTATAGACACATCCGTCTAAAAATGAACCACATGTACCATCATTTTAGTTTTCTGCTAATTTGCAGGTTTTGATTTTACAAAAATCATTTTCAGTGGCTGTTGAACTGTTGTAACATTAATTAGTTGTAAAGTTATCAATAGATCCAGTCTTATAAGCAAATATCTTATTACATGTTTCTTAAGTTCCTTTCATTGATGTACATGGAGTAGTATAATCAACACAACCTTTTCCATTACTAATACATCCAGGTAAGAATGAAGCACATGTAGCATTATCAGTTGCTTCTGTATTATCTGAACATTTTCTTTATACACAAGGAGTAGTATCAGTAGCTGTTGATGAATTAGTACAATAACCTGGATAACTTAAACAAGTGGATTATGTTCCTGAAAGTTTACTACATTCATATTTAGTTATACAAGCATCAACTCTATTACTAATGCATGTTGATAGTTCTGCTGCACAATTAGCATCAGTATTATAATAAGCTCCTGTTAAATCTGAGCAAGACAATTCCTTACAAGCATTGTTCAACCAACCACATTTTTTGGATACAAAAAAATCTATCTCTACATTTCGAATTAGCTGAATCCCAAGCACAAAAATCTCCTGTGTCATTCTCAACACCTTCACACCATATTTATTTAGCTGCATAATCATCACCTTATGGTGTATGATTTGCACAACTTACTTTTTTTATGCATTTATTGGAATAATAGAGACAATCTGTAGCACTTGCATCATTATCTGTACAAACTTAAGTTCTGCATTTTTTAGCAGAATCCATAATACATGGATAACCATCGGATGATTTAACTGCTTTACATTCTGTCTCTTCTGAACCTTCTGTAGGTCCCATTTTTGGTGTACCTGTTCCATCATAACTTTTACAAGTATCCAATTTGACACAATTATTACCAGAAATATATGCACATTTACTTTTTCCATCTGTTAGTGTTGCACAAATAGATGCTTAATTATTGGTTACACGATATTCATGACACTGCTTTTATTCTGTACATGTTGTTCCTGATATGTAAGTACATAAACTCTAAGCTGCTTCGACTTTATCACAATACACCTTCTCATTTCCATTTAAAGCAATGATATTATTAAAAATATCAAACCTTTATAGCAAGTTCTTAAGAGATAAACACATAAATATCTATTTGCTTATAAATCACAATCCATTTAAGAGGTTGGATTTTTGATATTAATCAAATGTACAATATATATTTAAAGTAGATGTTTTATAGAATTAACAATATGTTACTTTTTATGCTGGTTCCAATCCTTAATCCAAAGGTACTTTATCACCACAATCACTACCAAATGAGACAAATTTTTGTTAATAGCTTTTATTATTATAGTGAATATATCCATTTATGTAATTATCACAATCTCTATAACTAATTGGTGATGGAATATCTGCGCATATTGCTTCGCTACAAGTTGTTCCAGAAACATATTTACAAAATTTGGTTCTATCTTTGAATGATTACGCCTGAAAAAATGCAGATTTGAATGCACTTGAATTTGTATCACTAAAAGAATCCCAAATGCCAGCAATAGGAATTGTAATCCTACAATCAGCGTTATCTGCAAGTTCACATTTAGTTTTATCAGATTTTAATCTACAATGAAAAGTGTCTTCTTTGATACTTCTACAAAATAGAGATTTTTAAGTATCTGTTGTTATTCCAGTTGAGAATGTAGAGGGACAACTACAAGAAGCAACTATAGCATAACACTTACCATAAAAATATAAGCATCCAGATGAATAAAATTTACATTGTTCTTAACTTGAAGCTGAAAAAATATCTGATCAAGCAGAAATAGCATCGCATGCATTTCCTGTCTTATAAATATATTTTGTATATATTGCTTATGGTGTTCCTAATTTTGATAGATCTTATATCAACTTCAATTCCAAACATACTTCTTATTTTTTAATTGTAGTTAACGTAGAATCGATTTTGTAATCACTACAAGTTTATGATAAAGTGATACTCCTTTAGTTTGAAAAAGATTTGAATCATTACAGGTTCTTGTTTAAATATGTAATTTTTCACAACTATCTTATAAGCTTCAATTAGTTTCCCCTGTTTTGAATGTACATGCAAGACCTTTGTCATTTACAAATCTTCTACATTAAACTAATTTAAGGGCATCAGTAGTATCAGTAGAACTATAACTATAGGCACAATCTGTTTTATTTGGTAAATAACACATGGTTCCTGCTAATTTACATGTATCATCAGTAGAAGTGTAGATATCCTTTTGTAAATAAGTAACACATGATAATGAAGTATATGTGCTCAAAAATTATTCGCAGAACACTTAGTTGCTCCTGATGTATAACCACATAATATCCCTACATTATCTTTGATACTTGTACAATAATCAAACTTTTATTAATCAGTAGTTGCTGTATCAGGTAGACTATAACTAATAAAATCTGCTGCATAATTGCATGCAGATTCAGCTTTAAAGAATCTACAAGTGGATTTAGGATCAAGACAATCTTAAGCTGATTAAGGACTTGTTTTATCTGAGCAAAATCTATCTTAGCAAGCATCATATTTTGTGCATGCAACTTTGGTCCAAACAGAAGAAACTTATAAACCCCCACTGAAATTAGGACAAGAAGTTAACAGTTCCTGATTGTTAAGAATATGATCTTGATTATCTATTATACAACCTCCATCAGATTTAGCTATACATCCTGACATGAAAGACTCACAATCTTCATCTTTTGTTGCAGTTCTATTGTCAGTCAGTACAAGCTCTAACAGTAGATGTAGCTGATGTAGATGTTCCAAAACAATATTTAGAACTATTACTTCCAACAATAGCAGATTCACAAAATGCTAAAACACCTGTATAACTTGCACAAGTTGTGTCGTTGGCTTTTGGATCAACACATCCTCCATTTCCATTATAGAGCTAATTTGCAGGTTTTTATTTTACAATAATCATTTCAGTGGCTGTTGAACTATTGTAACATTAATTAGTTATAAAGCTATCATAAGCAAACATCTTATTACATGTTTCTTAAGTTCCTTTCATTGATTTACATGGAGTAGTATAATCAACACAACCTTTTCCATTACTATTACATCCAGGTAAGAATGAAGCACATGTAGCATTATCAGTTGCTTCTGTATTATGTGAACACTTTCTTTATACACAAGGTGAGGAGTAGTATTAATAGCTGTTGATGAAATTAGTACAATAACCTGGATAACTTAAACTAATGGATTATGTTCCTGAAAGTTGACTACATTCATATTTAGTTATACAAGCCTCAACTCTATTACTAATGCATGTTGATAGTTCTGCTGCACAATTAGCATCAGTATTATAATAAGCTCCTGTTACATCTGAGCAAGACAATATTTATAAGCATTGTTTAATCAACCACATTTTTTGGATACAAAGATATATAAGGGATTTCCGTTTTCATCAATTTTATCAAAAGTACTTACTCTAGCTTAATTTGCTAAAAAAATTGATTTTTTCATAAATTCACTACAGTTTGAATTACTAGTACAAATAGGTTACCATGAACAATTATTAGCACCATCACAACTTTATTATTTGACAATCAAATCACAAGAAGTTTATGAAACACATCCAGATCCAGTAGTAACACAATTTGTGAAAAAATTGGCACAAAGAGGATTAGTATTTAAATTGGTTGTTGCTTAAGTACAATCTTTAGCAACACATTTAGTTCCAGTCTTCAATGTACATTTACCTTCAGATCCAACTCTTGATTAACAACTAGTAGCATCACCATCATAAGTAGTACAAGATTTCAAATTAGTTTTTGTAACACATCCTTTTCCTGTAGTAACACATCCAATTTAATATTTATTACAAGCATCATCAGTAGTTGTTTTATCTGGAGCTTGATTGCAAACCTTTGGTAAGCAAAAAGCTTCAGTGCTGACAATGAGGAAACGAAGTTTTACCATTTGTCTTACAAGTACTTTAGTATTATTAACAAAGTTCATCAGTATTGAATGTGCCATTTTCACATTTTCTTGCTCTGCACTTAGAACCACCAGCATCACATTCACAAACTCCATCTGATCAAATATATCCAACACAAATAGTGTTATAATTTTATGAATTTAAAACTCTTCTATATCTCCTGAATGTGTGGAACACAATTGTTTTGTTGTTGCTAAAACACAACCTTTTCCTTTTGTTATACATCCTTTTTAATATGCTTTACAATCATTATCAGAACTAAATGATGTTGGAACCAAGCTGAACATTTTTCATCAGTATTTAAAATAGTATCTGCTTCTGAACATACATAATCTCTACAAGCTCCTGAATTTGTATCCCATTTACATTTAAGTTTTCCTGAAACACTTGGAATTGATTCACATTGTTATTATGTATATTCTTTACATTCTTTAGCTTGAATACAGGCATTTCCATCACTGACACAAAAATAGGATATAGCTTAGCAATCTGTTGTTGTAGTTTTAACATATGCTTGACATCCTGTAAAATGTGTGCATTTTAGGTCAACATAAGCACAATCTAATGTTTTAGCACAGTTTGTTTCTGGTTTTTCAATAAGTTTGCAATAAGGTTTGAATGAACTGACTGGATCAACTGTTGTCTTTTTCTAACATTTTGCTGGTGTTGTTCCTGATGCAGCTATCCATTCACAAGTTCCTGTTACAGTTATCTCTTATTCACAATCATTCCGTGATTTTAATTATCCAAAATCATTACAGTTATTTGAGTGTTAAACTTGCTATGTTAAGACCATTGCTAATAAGCAAATCAGAATTAAATTTTTTATTAAAATTATTAATAAAATAGATTTTATTAATATGATATTTAAATAAATCAAAAATTATTTTTTTTTTAATTTATAGATATCATTAATCAAATTCATATATTAAATATGCAATATTTTGTTTTTTGATTTCAGATCAAAATTTATTTGATGATTCAATTAATATCATTATTATTTTTATTGCATAAATTTTTCACAGACACTTCTCATTTTTTCTTAAAAAATGGCTAGGAATGATAATTTTCAGGCAATAACCATATCTGAGGATTAATTTATAATAATTTAAATTTTAAATAAAATTTAATCTTTTTGTATTTCCAATGTTATTCTATATTCATAATTGTTTGCTTAATAGTAGATTATGTGATTCTGGGTCTAAAGACATAGAATAAATGTATCTACTAATGCTTCAAAAAATAAAAATTATGGTTCAAGTATGTTATATATATAATCTAAGAAAAGAAGAGGCAAATAAATTCCCACTAGGTATTTTCTCAAAAAAATTGGGTAAATCAAAACTTTGTTCAAAATGTATATATTATAAAAAAATAAAAGATTTTTATAAGCATATTCACAATAATTCACAGTAGCAGAAATGATTTATCATCAGATGAAGAAGCATATAGTAGTTCATGATGTATTTTAAATTTGATTCTAATATTGCAAAAATCAAAAATAAAATTGAATAAATAAACAAATAAATATCTGTTGAATAAGGAATACAATTTGTAAAGTAATAAGAGTTAACTAAATCATCCTATGTATGTTATTTATTTTTATTTGACCAAAAAAAAGAATTAATCAGATATAAAATTAATCATTTTTAAATTTATCATCAAAATTTCCAGAATATGCTTAGATTGTTGTTAGAAATAAAAAAAATTAAAAATTCTACAGATATCATTTCCAAAAGTATTTGTAATCTAAAGTGCAAAAATTCAATCATTATATTTTTAAGGATAAAATAAATAAAATGATTAATTCAACATATCATTATATAATGTTTAAAAATTCAAAACCTATAAATCTGTAAAATACGAGATATATTCTTGATGAATTTATATCTACTTATAATATTGTTCTAATTTGTTATTATATCATTTATTATAACTAATTTAATATTTAATTAATCCACATTCTGGTGAAAAATAAGGATTCTTAAAAAAAGAGAGAATAAATAGGAAAATTTAAGAACATTTAATAAGCTAATTATTTAAGATATGATTAAATAAAATTGGATTTATATTGACACAAACCTTAGGTAAGCAAGAAGCTTCAGTTGTTGTACTTGTTCCTTTGCAATATCCATCAGTACCAATATATACAGCACAAGTGGTGGCAGTACCTTTATATGTATTACAAGCTGTTAATGCTGAAACACAATTCTTGCCATTTGTCCTACAAGTACTTTAATATTATTAACATAGTTCATCTGTATTGAATGCTCCATTTTCACATTTTCTGGCTCTACATTTAGAACCACCAGCATCACCTTCACAAACTCCATCTGATCCAATATATCCAACACAAGTAGTGTTATCTCCTGAATATGTGGAACATAATGGTTTTGTTGTTGCTAAAACACAACCTTTTCCAGTTGTTATACATCCTTTTTAATATGCTTTACAATCATCATCAGAACTTAATGATGTTGGAGCATTAACACATTCTTTGGCCTTACAATTTGTTGTACCAGTTGCTAATTCACAATTTCCATCTGATCCAATAAAAGATTAACATGCAGCATCATCTCCTGTATAAGTAGCACATGCAGGTCTTGGTGCATTAACACAGCCTTAACCTTTTGTTACACAACCAGCTAACCAAACTGAACATTTTTCATCAGTATTTAAACTAGTATCTGCTTCAGAACATGCATAATCTCTACAAGCTCCTGAATTTGTATCCCATTTACATTTAAGTATTCCTGAAACACTTGGAGTTGATTCACATTGTTATTATGTGTATTCTTTACATTCTTTAGCTTGAATACAGGCATTTCCATCACTGACACAAAAATAGGATATAGCTTAGCAATCTGTTGTTGTAGTTTTAACATATGCTTGACATCCTGTAAAATGTGTGCATTTTAAGTCAACATAAGCACAACCTAATGTTTTAGCACAGTTTGTTTCTGGTTTTTCAATAAGTTCGCAATAAGGTTTGAATGAACTGACTGGATCAACTGTTGTCTTTTTCTAACATTTTGCTGGTGTTGTTCCTGATGCAGCTATCCATTCACAAGTTCCTGTTACAGTTATCTCTTATTCACAATCATTCTGTGATTTTAATTATCCACAATCATTACATTTATTTGAGTGTTAAACTTGCTATGTTAAGACCATAGCTAACAAGCAAATCAGAATTAAATTTTTCATTAAAAGTATTAATAAAATAGATTTTATTAATATGATATTTAAATAGATCAAAAATTAATTTTTTTTAAATTATTAAATATGCAATATTTTGTTTCTTGATTCAAGATCAAAATTTATTTGATGATTCAATTAACATCATTATTATTTTTATTGTATAGAATTTTTCACAAACACTCCTCATGTTTACTTCAAAAATGGCTATGAATGATAATTTTCAGGCATAAGTCATCTCTGAAGTTTAATTTATAATTATTTAAAATTTAAACAAAAATTTAGGCTTTTTGGATTTCCTCTGTCATTTTATCCATGATATTTTGCCTAATTAGTTGTTGATTATGTGATTCTAGATCTAAAGAAATAGAATAGATATATATACTAATGATTCAAAAAAACAATAATTATGGTTCAAGAATGTAATATATATAATCTAAGAAAAGAAAAGAAAAATAAAACCACATTAGGTATATTCTTAATTTTTTGCTCTTGATAAAATGGTTTTAAGAGTATCAGCTCGGAGGATCAAAAAAATCGGGTAAATCCAGACTTTGTTAAATATACTTTGATTATAAAACTATATAAGATTTTTATAAGAATATTCATAATGATTCACAGTAGCAATAATGTTGTATCATCAGATGAAGAAGCATATAGTAGTTCATGATGTATTTTAAATTTTTTTCTAATATTGCAAAACCAAAAATAACATTGAATAAATACACCAATAAAAATCTATTGAACAAGGAATACCATTTGTAAAGTAATCACAATAAATCATCCAATGAATGTTATTTATCTATATTAGAGCAAAAAAAAAGATTTAATCAGACATAAAATTAATCGTTTTTAAAATTAATTATCCATATTTCCAGAATGTGCTTAGATTGTTGTTAGAAATAAAAAAAATAAAAAATTCTATTGAAATCACTTCTAAAAGTATTCGTAATCAAAAGTAAAAAAATTCAATCATTAAATTCTAGGGATAGTTTAAATAAAATGATTAATTCAACATATCATAATAGAATGTCTTAAAATTCAAAACCAATAAATCTTTAAAATACGCAGTATATTCTTGGAGATTTTATATCTACTTATAATATTGCTACACATTTAAAGAAAATTATGAATTAATTCCTAATTTTTTATTATAAATTTTATTATAATTAATTAATCCACTTTTAGGTCAAAAATAAGGAGTCTTAAAAAAAAGAGATAGATTTGAGAAAATTTTAATAATCTAATTATTTAAGACTTGATTTAATAAAAGTGGTTTAATATTAATATGATATAAATACAAAAATTAAATAATTTAATATTAAAATTATTAACATTTTCTTTATAGTATTATACAAATCATCTTCTTTTTATTGATTGGTAGGAAGGTTGACTATTTCTTAAACTTCTCGTTCTTGAATAAGGCCAAAATTATCTCGCTCTCATAGCTGTGACTGATCAAACATCAATTGCTTTTAACCCTTAGCTAAGACTTTATTACATAAATGATTGCATAATTTTATATAATAAACACATTTTATATCAATTTTTTAATAATCAAATATTTTAATAACTGCCAATCAAAAGAGAGCAATAGGATGGTTTTGATCATCACTATTATTTTTTTAATTCTATTCTTCAAATAGACTTGTTTGGTAAATCAAGCATAATTCTTAAACTATGTCTAATATTTATTCTTTTGATAAATTTTACCATTGAAGTTTCATTTTGATAATCTTTTAATCAACATTAAATTCATATTATTTCTGAATAGTGCTAAGTTTCAACAGAGATCAATAGATAGATACATAAATCTTTCCCTTGAGGAATTTTATATATTTATTAATAAAATCTACTTTTTCATTCATCTGTTGGAAATTCAGTTTGATTTCTTGGTATTTATAACATTTTTTTTAAAGAGAATATTTAAATGCTATATAATTTAATGAAGGGGAAAAATCCGAATAGTATAAACTAACTACACTAGGTAAAAGTTTTGAACTCATCTAAACCAATGTAAATCTAGGAGTTTGATCCTCTTTTATTGAAGATCATACAAAATAGATTTATGTCTAATTTAAAATTTTATTTTTACTACTTTATTATTCTTAAATAAAAAAACCTAATAATTTCTGAATATCATATTCATTTGAAAAAAGAGCTTTATTGATAAATCTTCGATTTTTTCAATTTAAGTTTCCATTATTTATAATAGTAATTTTGAGTTTATATAAATGATCCTTCAAATTTTTTATGGATTATTTGTTAGTTTGCAATATATTTTTTTCACCTTCCTTAAGACCCTTCTTAATTTCATAATTTTTTGGTTTTAATAGAATTATAATAAAAAAAGTAGAAGGAAAATTTGTAATAAAATATCGGACTTTATATTAAACAAAATTAGAAGATGTTATCAAGTGATTTCTGATATTTAATTGAATTTTATTTTATCAAGAAAGTCAGTATAACAATCAGGAATAATTTTAAAGATTAGAAAATTATTCATAACACTATCTAGTGGAAATATATTATTAACAATATTCAATTGATATATTCATGAGGAGTAAAGATGTGTTATTGAAAATTAGCTTGATAATTGATATAGATTTTTTGTTTCATTTGTAAAAATCATGCTTGAAATAACTGTTAAACCTAAGTAGAAACTTAAATAACTGAAGTATTCTAATATCATAAATAATTTAGTATATTAGTTTAATTTTATTGCTTTCATTTAATATTAATTTAGCAATTAAAATAAATTTCCTTAATATACAGCTTAAAAGGAAACTTTATTATACGTAAAAAGAATAACGAATCTCTTTTTAATTTATTATTCTTACTATTATTATATAAAACATAATAATACGCATCTATAAAACTAGATAACAGATATTAGTAATTTCATTTACAAAAATTTGCTTTAAACTAATAGTGAAGAATTGTTATTAATGAAACTATATTAATCCCTTTAGGCAATGCATCTAAAAGAAAATTTAAGAGAAAAGATCAATGATTAAAAGTTATAGATTGCTTAAATGTACTGAGAAAGTTTTAAGATATACTGATAGAAAGTATAAGGTTTAAACTATGATTATTTATAAACTAAGACACAAGTATCCACTTAATAAGTCATTCATTTTTAAACCTGTAAATAGGAAAAGAAAATGGAGAAATTTTTATTTTATACAACAACAAATGTAGAAAATAGATCTATTAACAACATTTAATTACAGAATATATATATATAATTGTTTATTTTAGGTATATCATTATTGGCTATTTATCTAAAGACTTTAAATTTGAAGCAGATTTAATTCTTTGATTTGGATATCAAGAATGAATCATCTTATTAATTTTAGCATTCAGCAATTAGAATTCTTATTGATTTTTAATATGATATATTAATTCTAGTAACAAATAATTACAAAAAAATTAATACTTTAATTGAATAAACACTCTATTTCAATATAAAATCATTAAAAAAATAAAATATATTAAATATTTATTTCAAAAATCAATATTTATTATTAAATCAATCATAAATAAATTCTTATGTTAATTTAATTTTAGACATTAGAATTTATTAACTATCAAACTACTTATTATTATTTCAATATATAAATAGATCATCTTATAATAATTATTAAATTTTCTGTTAATAAATTTAATAATTATATCATTTAGCTTAGAGGTAAAGTGTTTCCCTTTTAAGGAAAAGTTCCGAGTTCAAGTCTTCGGGGTGGTATTTTTATTTTTACTTTTTAAATTAATTTATTAATAATAATTTTTCTGTTTAAATTTATTACTCATTATCAGAAATCCTCAAACTTAATCCTTTTTAATAATTAATTCGAACACACATTATTCACTAAATTATTCTATCATTTAAATATGATTTTTTGTTCATCTTTGCTTTAAGATAAACTAAACTAATAGTTAATCTAAAAAGGTTTGCTTAATGGGAAAGTCAAAATGTTAAATAAGTTCTAAGAAATTTCAATAGGCCATTAAAATCAATATAAATATTGTTTGAACCTCTAGAATAAATTAATTATTATATTGAATATTAGGCTTTTGATATTAATAAGAAGCTTTTAAGGATTATAATCGTGTAATTCAATTTAAACCAACGTTCATAACTGAAAATATTGAAACTTATCTTAGACTTAGTAAAATTAATTATCCATAAAACTGACAAAGGATTAAATGATTTATTAATAAAGTAAATAAAATTAACTAATTAATTATAGATCTTTAGTTTGATATTTGGATTCATTGAATTGTGTTTTGTAAAAATACAACTAGAATAATAAATTCTTTGATTGAATATGCAATAATAGAAAATAAAATTCAAAATATTTAGATAAAGAAAACTATAAATATAATTGAAAATGGTTTTTTTAAAGTTTAAAGGATTAACAATAAAGATAAAGTTTTAATGATCTGCTGAATTGTTTATTTTTTATATTATCGATTATATCAATAAAATAATTAAGAAATCAATAATACATATAAAAATTTCATTAAATTAGTAAATTCAGTGTGTGTTTGAAATAAGTAGGCTAAGTAACTAATTGCTGTATTCAAATTTCCTTTTAAACGATACACCTTATATTTTATTCTGATTATTGTTATTTTCTTTCAAAGCTCCAGTAAGATGAAAGAGGAGTATGCTCTGACACTTGTGATGCATTATATCTATTATTTAATCCTCAATAACCATAGTTTATAATTGAATTATTATTTAACAATAATCAGATTTCCATTTATTGTAAAATTCAATTTCAAATAATTAAAATTAATAAAATATAGTTATCTACATAATTGATATCTAGTAACCTAGCATCTTTTTATTAAAGAAATTTTTCATTTCTTAATTCTAAACAATAATTTAATTTTTAGTATCAATATTTTAAGAAATATTTGATTAAATTTTTAATTAATATTATAATTATAAAAATATATTATTTTATTAGGAAACTTTGAAATATTTAATTTTTATTAACTTTTTCGTTCAATAAAATCGCTCCTTTTAAATATATTTATTTTAATTTTACAAGCTTAATAAGTCTCTCCATTATAAAAATAGCATGTCTAATGGAATTCTTAGAGATTCTATTCTTTAACAAAAATGTTTTTTGATTATCTATAGCAAATATCTAATTACATAAATTGTATTTAATCTAAATTGTTATATTAATTTCAATTTAATTTAAGGAAACTATTCAAAAAGATAAATTTTATGAAGAAATTGCACTTATTTACATATCAAAAATTTATCAAGTAAATTCAAAATGTTTAATGTTATAAACCCTAAATTAAAGGTTAAGTCTCAATAATATATATATTGGTTTTTTAAAAAGAATTAAAGCTTATTGATTTAGGTATGTAGTACAAAATATATATCCAATAGTTTTTAAATTATAAATATTTATTTTTCAATTAGTGAAAATAAACAATTAATGGAATTAAGAAGTTATTTAATTTTTAAATTATATGGAATTTTATCCAAATCCTAAAATCACAACTTTGTGCTATTATTTCTTATCTCTATGTAGAACTATGCGTTCCTAAAAAACATTATAGAGCTACTGTAACAAATAAATTGCTTTATTTATAGAATTTATAATATAATCTCAAAATTCTTCTTTATATACTATAATTTTTATTAGAAAGAGCAGCATCCATCAAAGCTGTTATGGCAATATTTATTAACATAGGATAAATAATAATAAAAGAAATTAGATTTTATATGAATCTGTTTTAATAAGTGAAATGAATAATCACTATTTTTCAAATGTTTACTTCATATTTGAGAATCAGAAATCTGTTTATATTTAGACTTAAGGTTATCCAATTTTTCATACTTTGCTCATAAAGTAGCTATTTGTCATTTCGAATTAAATAATCGAGTTAATGTGAAAGTAATAAATGCCATAATGACGATTAAGTTGATATAGAAAAGATTTCATTTTAGGAATGTAACTTGATTTAGAGTGATTTTTTTTTTAAATTCAAATTATCAAACCATTTCAATAAATAGCAAAAAATTTTAGGTCTCAGAATTATTACTCTATTTGAAGGGATACTAGAGAAATAAGATTAGAGGAAAATGTTATGAAATATGTTATGTGTGATTGTATTGCTTAGCTCATATATTAATAGTTAAAATCCAAGTCTCAATTCTAATCAGAAAGGGAGTCATTTAAATATAGGAAAGACATTAGAAATATTTTTAGTTTTCTTCTGCTTTTTCCTAGAATAAAATCGTAATATAAAAATTCGAAATTAAAGTTTAATTTATTATTTAATTAATTGTTTGCACCCAAAATGATAGAAAATGAAAAAGATTTATGATTTTCTAAAGGACACTAACTAAAAGTTGTTTCAGTTGCGCTTGATCCTAAATTAACAAAAATTAGAGGCTTTTATGTGCAGAATGTTTAGAGAACACAGAAATAAAGGCAAAAGTGGTTGCTTTAAAGATAATTATTTAATATATTTAAGATAGTTTGGTAAAGAAGATGGAGAGAAATAAAAATATAATAATGAATTAAGTAAAATAAATTGAATCATTACTTGGTATTATTAATTAATTGAAATCAGTTAAATTCAAAAATTAGACTAATTATTACAATAATTAAGGATTGGATATAGAATCTATTATCTTAAGCTTCATTATATGCTAAATTTAGTTTTTATGAGGAATTAGATATGATTATTTTGAAGTAGAATAAAACTAAACTTAATTTTAAAAAAAATAATCTATGAAATTAATAAAACCAATTACTCTTGGAATTCAAAATTGCATCCGAATTTTAATGAATTTGTAGAATATAATAAATGTAAAGAATTATTGTCAAATTTGGATTTAGATTCTTAGAAGTTTAGCTGAATAATAAAATTAAATCAAAATACATCCTTAACAATAATGTAATTAGAATCAATAATAAATATTATAAATAGGAGAAATCAAATTAAAGTTAATTGATTAATCTATTAAATAAATTATCAAATGTAATGCAATTTTTTTAGATTCTTCTGGATCAATAATGGTATCAACCGAAAAGAATGATATTAATATCTGAAGTTTTCTTAAAGAAACAATCAAATTAATAACAGTTGTGCAAGGACATAATAATTGGATTTAATGTTTAGTTTATAGTAAGAAAAAAATTCCTTTGTTTCGGGTGGTGGAGACATGAGCATAAGATGTTGGCAGCGATTGGATTAAACTATTTGGATCAGTTATATATATCATAGAGATTTTTTAAGTTGCATTTTATTGAATTCAAATGAAGATTTACTATTTTCTGGAAGTGATAATGGATAAATTATAGTTTGGAAGGCTAGTTTAAATGAGAATAAATTATCATGTTTTTATTCTTTAGATCAACATAACAATTCAGCATGATGAATTACAATGAATATACATCTTCTCCAAAGAATCATCAATTTATTATTTGAAATCCTTAAATTGATCTAAAATATTGTTATAATAGTTGAGTCTTCCTTGATTCTCTTTAGATTTGATATCTTTTTATAATAATTTTCAAATAATTCATAAATTCTATATAAAATCAATATTATAATAAATAATACTACTTATTAATAATAGAATATAAATAATCTGTTAGAAATAAGTATACTAAATCTTAATTTATTAGATTCTCGATGTTGATCACTTTATGGTTATTATTTTTCTCAACCAAACATACCACAAAAGAATTAAATTTATGCCTTATTTGATAAGTCTAGATAAACTGCAATCAATTCTTGATTATGAGCTTTACATATTGTTTTGGATTCTTCTTGCTAATTGTTATAAATCATTGAAACATTTAGAATTTAGCTGTAATATGTATCATTAAAATTAGAAGTTTAGCAAATAAATAAATTAATGGATATTATTAGTTGTTTTTTGGATTTATTCAACTTCCCATTAGTGAATACAGATTTGAATATGTGATCTAATTGATTATATATGTTATATGTTATTCAGTTGTGAAGTTTAATGGTTTCTGTCGTGAAAGAGTAATATGGAGGATCATTAATTGAATGTTGATTGTTTATAGAATGCCTTTTATTGATTTTTTCCTGTCTATGAGGAAGTGATTTCTCAAAATAATTTATTAACTTGTACAGAAGAACCCATGAAAAATTATGAGCCCATCTGGATTTAAAATAGTGGCTTTTTAATTTTTATCTTTTAATATATCTTCTTCTTATCATAAATCTTAACATAATTTAACTAAAACAATCTTTTAACTTAAATTTTTATCATATTTAATATTTATATATTTAATTTTCCTACCATTTATACTTTTATTAAATCTTTAGATTTTGATTGTCCAATTTAACTTTTATTTAAAAAGTTTATAGTTATTAATAATTCTATGATTGTAAAGCAATAAAAATAATAGAAAATATTTTAGAATTAAAATATATATAGAATCTATAATAATATTTCTTTATTTTTCAGATTGGTATTGGTAGTCAAAGCAAATACCGCTAAGGAAATTCTTTTAACTTTTTTTTTTAGTTGGATAAATTCTTATTTTTATTAAAATACCATAATCATATCATTAATAAACTTAATATTTTATCTAAAAAATCTCAAATTAATAACAAAATTGTTAATTATCCAAAATTAAATAGTAGAATGAAATTTCATTTATCTATCTTTATCCAATAATGAAAATATAAAACTATATTTATCAGTGTATAAGGAGCTTTGAGGATTTTAAGAATACTATTAAGATTAAGTAGAATAGGAAATTTTATTAGGTATTATATGGTATTAGATATTATATGGTATTAGCTATTAACAACAGATCATTATACCAATTAACTTAAATTTTTTTTAAAAAGAATTTATCTTTGAATGAAATGTAGTCTACTTATCAAATGTACTAATTTAAATAACACAATATACTTTTATAAGATCTTACAGTTGGTTTTAGCTTTAAAGAATTATTATATTAATAGTTTAATTTTAGTTTGAAAATCATGAATTCTATTTGTCAGCCAATTCAATGCTAATATATGGAAATACTATAATATAGCGAGAATATATTTTCTACAATCTAAATTTGTATAAATATGATTTCATAATAATAATATTTTTTGATTACAATAGGTCTCATTCAAATAGTTTAATATTCATTGAAAATTAATCAATTTTTTTATTTTTTGAGTTTATTTGATTTATTACCAAAAGAATTCAAATTAAAGACAAATTTATTTCTATAAAACTCCTAAAATTGTGTAAAATTTCAAAAACAATTAAATATAGGTTAATTTCAAATTAATGATTGAAGGATTACCATCTGTGAATTTTATATTTGTCAAATACCTGAACCGATAGTCAATATAATCCACATCTTGTATTAATTGATAAAATTTTCATTTTCAGAATATAATTAATTATTAACTATTTTGAAAAAGAATTAGAAGATTATTTCTGAAATAGATATCTGCGACGCTATAGGTATATCCAATTATTCTTAAGATTTAAGTTTAAGACCAAATTATAACTAATTCTATTAAAGTATTTTTAAATTGAAGAATTATTAATCATTTAGTTCTTAGTATTTATCTTTAAATACTCCTCTAATATAAAGATTGCCAACAGGATTAAAAAAATAACATTCTCTAGTTAATTTTTTCAAATATTTCTGATTAGATTAAAAGAGAATTAAATTGGAATTCGACTCTTCAAACAGTATTCTTAAATTAATGATACAAAAAATTAATTTAACGTTGATGGAAAGAGAAAAAGAGAGATTATATAGAAATAAGTAAAGTTTTTTCTTACTTTTTATATTATAAATTATTCTTTAATCAATAATAAAATTAAATAATATTTAATATTATTTCCCATCTTATATTTATTTTAAAGTAATATTGAAATAGAAAAGCATTGATAAAGAAATTTTTATTGCGGCATTCAATTAATTTGTATCATATTGAATTTTTAATATTTAATAAGATTAATAATATATTATTAATAATTCTTAATATATATTATGAACTAATTTAGAAGTATTTAAATAATGTTTAAGAAATTATATTTATATTCTCAAATATCTTCGATATCTTGATCATGACATAAAATTTCGAATATTTTATAAGCATTCTCATAAATTACTTTAGATGAATGATTTTAAAGTTATTCAACTTTTTCAATAATTTTAGAATCCTCAATCAATTTTTTGTATACTTAAAATTTTTCATCATGTTGAACTAAATGAAATGTAATTATTACCTCTCTTTATCCATTCTAAAATCCCCTCAAGGCTAACTTAAATAATTGTTTTATCACTCAAATCTAAAAGGTTAGATAATTTTTTAATAAATTCATGAGACATAACAAGATGATCTAAGTCATCTAAGTCTGCATAAATAGCAGAATTAGACAGAAAAAAAGCTATTTCTTTTTTAATTTCTAGGATATCTTATTCTAATAATTTAAATAGGGACTTTAAAAGTGATTCATTTCTGATAATTTATTTTACTTAAGTTGCATTACCGGCTGCAATATTAGATATAGACCAACATACCTTATATATAAATTAATATTAACTTCTCTTCGAATTGCTTTATTTTTATGTTAAAGTAATACTTCGAATCTTGATAACACTCCAGTGTTTAAAACATGATCTGTTTATGTCTCGTTACCAGTTAAAATATTCCCTATGATTCTCAAAGCAGGGATTATAATTATTTGTTTTTCAGATTGTAGTAGTAAAGTTAATTTATCGACAACTCCATAGCTAATTAAAGTATTTATTTGACTTTCTTATTCGCTTAAATAACTCAAACCCCAACAAGCATCTATTAACAATTCTTCATTCTCNAAATATGATTTCATAATAATAATATTTTTTGATTACAATAGGTCTCATTCAAATAGTTTAATATTCATTGAAAATTAATCAATTTTTTTATTTTTTGAGTTTATTTGATTTATTACCAAAAGAATTCAAATTAAAGACAAATTTATTTCTATAAAACTCCTAAAATTGTGTAAAATTTCAAAAACAATTAAATATAGGTTAATTTCAAATTAATGATTGAAGGATTACCATCTGTGAATTTTATATTTGTCAAATACCTGAACCGATAGTCAATATAATCCACATCTTGTATTAATTGATAAAATTTTCATTTTCAGAATATAATTAATTATTAACTATTTTGAAAAAGAATTAGAAGATTATTTCTGAAATAGATATCTGCGACGCTATAGGTATATCCAATTATTCTTAAGATTTAAGTTTAAGACCAAATTATAACTAATTCTATTAAAGTATTTTTAAATTGAAGAATTATTAATCATTTAGTTCTTAGTATTTATCTTTAAATACTCCTCTAATATAAAGATTGCCAACAGGATTAAAAAAATAACATTCTCTAGTTAATTTTTTCAAATATTTCTGATTAGATTAAAAGAGAATTAAATTGGAATTCGACTCTTCAAACAGTATTCTTAAATTAATGATACAAAAAATTAATTTAACGTTGATGGAAAGAGAAAAAGAGAGATTATATAGAAATAAGTAAAGTTTTTTCTTACTTTTTATATTATAAATTATTCTTTAATCAATAATAAAATTAAATAATATTTAATATTATTTCCCATCTTATATTTATTTTAAAGTAATATTGAAATAGAAAAGCATTGATAAAGAAATTTTTATTGCGGCATTCAATTAATTTGTATCATATTGAATTTTTAATATTTAATAAGATTAATAATATATTATTAATAATTCTTAATATATATTATGAACTAATTTAGAAGTATTTAAATAATGTTTAAGAAATTATATTTATATTCTCAAATATCTTCGATATCTTGATCATGACATAAAATTTCGAATATTTTATAAGCATTCTCATAAATTACTTTAGATGAATGATTTTAAAGTTATTCAACTTTTTCAATAATTTTAGAATCCTCAATCAATTTTTTGTATACTTAAAATTTTTCATCATGTTGAACTAAATGAAATGTAATTATTACCTCTCTTTATCCATTCTAAAATCCCCTCAAGGCTAACTTAAATAATTGTTTTATCACTCAAATCTAAAAGGTTAGATAATTTTTTAATAAATTCATGAGACATAACAAGATGATCTAAGTCATCTAAGTCTGCATAAATAGCAGAATTAGACAGAAAAAAAGCTATTTCTTTTTTAATTTCTAGGATATCTTATTCTAATAATTTAAATAGGGACTTTAAAAGTGATTCATTTCTGATAATTTATTTTACTTAAGTTGCATTACCGGCTGCAATATTAGATATAGACCAACATACCTTATATATAAATTAATATTAACTTCTCTTCGAATTGCTTTATTTTTATGTTAAAGTAATACTTCGAATCTTGATAACACTCCAGTGTTTAAAACATGATCTGTTTATGTCTCGTTACCAGTTAAAATATTCCCTATGATTCTCAAAGCAGGGATTATAATTATTTGTTTTTCAGATTGTAGTAGTAAAGTTAATTTATCGACAACTCCATAGCTAATTAAAGTATTTATTTGACTTTCTTATTCGCTTAAATAACTCAAACCCCAACAAGCATCTATTAACAATTCTTCATTCTCAATGCTATTTATTATATCTGAAAGAATATATAATAATTCCTTTTAATACTAATTTAAGTCAATAAATTACAATCTTTGTGGTTGGTTTTCCTCTTGCTAAATTACTAATAGCCCACATAATTGTTTTGAAGATTTCAGAAGTATCAGTTTTATACCTAATTGCTAATTTGATTAATGGTTCAATTATTCCTTTTTAGAGAAGCATATCTCTAAATTAAACATTATCTCCTGAAATGTTTGCCAATGCCCAAACTCCTAATTCAATTATTTCATCAAATTCTGATTCAAGCGCCAGAAAAAGAATATTGATTCCATCATTATCTAAAATATTTTATATTTATTTTTATGTGCCACATCCAAAATTACAAATTATCCAAAGCGCCTCATATTTTAATAACGGAACACTATTATTTTTGGCTATATCAAAAATTTTTATGTGAATATTTGTTTGAAGAATTTATTCAATAAGCGATTCTGTTGACAAAGTTTAATTGCTCAATAATTTTCGACATCGATTTAGTCCATAGTATGAAATATTAATATCATCTGAATTAATCTTAGAAACATATTCTTCAATTTTTTCTAGCTCTGCATTTTCTTAAGCAAAATTGTCAACAGAACTTTTTAGAGCCTCTTTCATTTCATCTGGTAATGAATCTGGTATTAATTTGTATATTTTTTAAACATTTTTCTCTTTTATAAAACTTGCATTCCTTTCTTAATCGCTCATTCACTAAAATTAATAATTATTATAAATATTTTCAAAAGTCTTTAAGATCTAATAAAATAACAGAAAAAAATTTAATTATAATTTTTTATTTGAAATTTGAGCCCGAAATTTCTTAGCTTACAAATTGATTGCAATAAAATTGAAATTAGTTTAATTATAGTAATAAATTAATTAACTAATTGAAGAAGATATTTAAATAAGATATTTTTGTGAATTTAAAATTCCTGTAAAAATTGAGTAAAATATAAACTATAGTCTGGTTAGAGATATAATATATTCAGTTATAATTTCTATAAAAAATATCTGGTTACTTAAATTTTTTATGATATAAAATTAAAATTGAATACTAAACAAATAAAAATTTATTAAGCTACTTAAAACATCATTATGTTTTCTAATATCTTCTTGAATTTTCATTAAAATTTGCTTTAAGTTAAACAGATATAGATAAGTTTACATCATAACTTTTTTATGGATAAATAATATTAAAGAGAAAGATAACTAAAAATACTTAATGCAGCCTATATTTAATATGCTCTAATTTTATGAATAATTAACATAGAATTTTAATATTATTAATTAATGAATTAAAAAAAAAGAATATAATAAATTTTAATATTATCTTATTTCTTTATAAAAATAAGAGTCATATTTTAATTCTGTTTCTCAATAATCATATTAAACTTCCTTACTTAAGGTATGGTTTAAAAAAATTCTTACATTGTTTTAAATTCTCCTTACAATTTATTCTAATCTCGAATCATTTCATTCCAAGTGCCAACTTTTTTCCCATTTTTATATTCGCCAACGAAAATCACTTACTGGTCTCCATATCCTTTCCCAAACTTATTTTTCAATTCAATCCATTTCCCAATTTTAATCGAACCTTAAAAATCAAGTGAATTTTCAGAATATTATCCTCCACCACTATTTTCATTTTTTAATTAAATATCAATTATAATCTATTTTTACATTAGAACTTTTTCAAAAAAAGTATTCCATTTTCCAATTTTTCTACCATTTTTATAATCGCCTTCATACTTGATTCTTCTACCTCTAATCATTAAAATAATTATATACTCTCGATATCCATCATTTAATTCAATCCACCTTCCTATCTTATTTTAATTCAACAAACCATAAATTCTATTATCATCATATGATCCTCCACCACTACGTATTTTTTTCATAATAAAATAAGTCACAATTATAATAATACATCTATTTAAATCTGTTATATTTATTTTTTCTCCACAATGTAATCCAATTACCAACTTTTTAACCATTTTCATATTCACCATTAAAAGTGATTTAACTGATACTATATATTATTATTGCCAAATAAAAATACCTATTAAAGTCAGGACTCAACTCAATCCATTTTCCAATTTTAATTGAACCTAATGCAATCTCTCCTTCCTTGTAATCATATGATCCCCCTCCACTTTTTGTAAATCATGCAAAATTGCAAAAATTAATAATAATCTACACTTACATTTCTTCAAACTGGTCCTTTCTCCATCTTCTATAAAAAATATCCCATCTGCCAAATTTTTGACCATCCTGGTATTCACCTTTAGATATTATTTGTCCTCCGCTAATCATTTATTTATCAAGAAATAAAATTACCCCCCAAAGTAATCACTCAACTCAATCCATTTCCCGATTTTAATTGAACTTATAACATTATCCTATCTTTATTCTTTATCATAAGATCCACCCCCACTGTTTTTATTTGGAATTTTTGAGTTAAATAAATAGTTTAAATAATTTATTTTACATTTATTCGTCTTAATAGAAAGTATCCCATTTACCAACTTTCCTCCCATTTTAATATTCACCATTATAAGTGACTTCCCTATCTCTAATGATAAAATCAACAAAAAAAAAATACATTTAAAATCCCTCACTCAATTCAATCCAATTCCCAAACTTAATTTCATTTCCTGGTTTGTCATCATAAGATCCTCCGCCTCTATTTTTATTGGAAATTTTTTAAATAATAAAAGTTTAAATTTGTATTATACATTTATTCATCTTAAAAAAATGCATCCCATCTACCAACTTTTTTACCACTACTAAATTAACCCCTATACAAAACTAAACAATCCCTAATTACATAATCATAACAAAAATACTCTAGACAATTTGTGAATTCTATCCATTTTCCAATTTTAATCGAACCTCGAATATCTTAATATTCTGGTTTGTCATCATAAGAACCATCACCACTATTTGAAATTCAAGAAATATAAATATTCTTAGTGTTACATTTATTTAAATGATTGATATTAATTTTTCCTCCAAAAAATAACCCATTTGCCAATTTTTCTACCATTTTTATATTCACCAAATTAGATCACTTAACTTTTACTAATAATTTGAAAATTGCTTAACATTAATACCCCGAAAATCCATCCGTCAATTCTATCCATATTCCAACTTTCTTAGAATTTAAGTCAAATCCCTCCTTTTTATACGCATATGACCCTCCACCTCTATTTTAATGTTTTATCTTATCAAAATGAACAATTACATCCTTTCCAGTTAATCCATCCTTTTATAAAGGATATCCCATACACCAACTTTTTACCCATTCATATATTCACCACTATAAGTTACTTGACTTTGGCAATAAATATTCATAACTAACTACTATACTTCTAAAATTCGTCATCCAATTCAACCCATTTACCTATCTTCTAACCTTATTTATTGTATACTCCTCCACCTCTAATTTAAATCATAAAAATACATACATTATTTTATTATCGTATATAAACTTCCATTGCTTATTTCTTAAATCATTGATATATTCTCCCCATTCATATACTTAATTTTCACTATTTATAATTATAATTAATAGTGGTTACTTAGAGTAATTTCTACTTAATTCTTTCCAAAATCCCTACTTTAAACCATCCTCAGAGTAATATCCGCCAACTTCTAATAATTAATCTCCTTTCCAAACTGCACTCCATTTAGCAACTTTATTTTAATTTTAATTGTATTATCCCAACCATTAAAGATATTTGATCTATTCTAAATTTTTCAACACTTCAAGTCTATTTATAACTTTATCTCTATTTTTATTTGTTGATATTACATTCTAATAATTTATCCGTCCATCAAATATTTGATATTCTTTTATTGAGTAAATATAATTTGTAATGTAGCCTTCACTAATTTTTCTTAATTAGAGTCCCAAAATGAGCATTTATAATCTTATGTTCGATTGTAACAAACATAATCCTTACCCTATAATTCTTCTATAAACTCTCTAATGTATTAATTATACTATTTATTTTACTTCTCTTATCCATTAAATACTTTATTATCTTAATTGCAATTGATAAAATTATTCATTTATTACTTAAATTAATTTAAATAATGATAATAAAAATTCATTTATTAATTTATATATTATTATGGGTAGTCTTAGTAAAGTTTAATTTTACTTCATATTTACTTTTTTATTTCTTCATCCTATTTAATAAGTTTTAAATTGATCCAAAATTTTAATTAATCTATAAATTACAATCGATCTTAGTAAATAAAAAGACAGTAATATTTTTATTATCATGGCTATCCTTTTTGAATCGATAGACACTTCTATGGAACAATTATTGACATTGATAGTGCCAACAGTTTAGATTAATTGTGATTTAAAAATTACTAAAATCCTTAAAGAATACATTATAAAATTATTTATCAAAAATAGCACTATGAAAGTTACAGCATATGTTTATTTTATTCTTTTTGCAAGCAGCATATGACAAAGTATTTTTCTAGGATTTATGTTATAAATATTTCAAATTAACTTAAGAAATACTATAAATTATCCTTATATAAACTTGTATGATTATTATTCAAATTATTAAATTGAATTATGATATTGTTTAAATTTTATTGAAAAGAAATATAAAAACTTAAACCTGTAAATATAATTTAAATAAGAATTCACATAATGAATAAAATTATTAATGTATATTTCATTTCAACTTAAGCTATTCTTCAATCCATTTCAGCCCTTCTTAAAGTCCTTCTCCAGTAATTGCACAACATGGTTAAATATGCCAATTTTTAGAAAATTTTTCTATCTTCAATTCAACAGCTAATTCCTCTGAGTTCATTTTTACTAGATCTTATTTATTTGAATATATTAAAAGGGGTTATCCAAAAAGTAAAGGATCAAGCAACATTTGGTGTAATTCAAATATTGCTTCTGCCTTCCTTTCTTTATCAGAGCAATCAAAAGTATAAATTATTCCTTTACTATTCTTCAAGTAAGGTTTACAAAGAATTCTTTATTTATCTGCTCCTCCAATATCCCAAGAAATTATATCAAAGTTTTTACTTTATATTGTTTCTAAATTTAATCCTATTGTTGGAATTAGATTTTCAATTTTTCCTAATTTTAATTTGTATAAAATGGTTGTTTTTCCTGCAGCATCCATCCCTATCATAATATATACAGGTTTCTAACTAGATTTAAATTGAGAAAAAGGGTTTCCCATTGATATTAATTCATATATTTAATTTTTTCTTTCTATTTCTTTTCATCAATTCATTCATTTTCCTACTAGGAATAACTTTTATTTATAATTCTGATCAAATTTGATTAAATGCATTTTAAATTAAAAATTAATTAAAGTTTATAATTGTAACAATTCAGAAAAACTTATTTTTTTTAATTTGCAGAATTGTAAAATAATATATTTTCATTTAAATAGGTAGAAAATGAATGAGAGGTTATAATTAATTACTTTATTGACATATAATTATTGTTTAGTGTTAAGATAAATTTTGATCTATTTTATCTCAAAAATACTCAAAATATTCACTTAAAATTGTATTTGACAATTTAAAACTTCGCATCCATAACCTTTAATTTTATAGAATTAGAAATACATTACAATAAATAACAAAGAGGAAATTGAATATCCTTAATAATCTGATGATATTGAATATACTTATCTTTATTCGATCAAATATTTCCACTAAATTGCTTATTAATGAATAAATATTCAGTCAAATTTTGATGGAATATAAATTTAAAAGAAACTTTAATGCTTGAAGATGTTTGAAAGTAAAAGCTCAAAAACACCATTGAAAGCCTTTTAAAGTTATAAATATTGCTGTTAATTTAAATTTATTTATTTGAACTTCCAATTATGTGTTATTTTAATATTTTTTAATAATGAATATGTGTCTAAAAAGAATTTTAATATTATTAATATTATGAATCAATATAATGATTTGATCATCAAATGCCCAAATCCAGAACATGCCAATAATGTTAAATTAGTATGCTTTGATGAATCTTGTAAAGCAGATAGATTATATTGCATGTAATGCAGTAGGAATGGCATCCATTTTTCTCATCCTCAACATCAATATCAATTATCAAATTTGTTTGATCATATTGAAAAAATTGAAAAAGAATGTGATGACTTAATTAATAAGTTAAATAAGTAAATGGATTTAGTTTATCAATCATTCTATCAATTAATTGGAGGAATCAAAACTAAATATCAAATATCTAAAGAGTAAATCTTCAACTTGAACTCCAAACAAATAAATTCGATATTGGCTGAAACCATCCAATTCAAATCATTTAGATCTACAATTGAAACACTAATTCAAAAATCTTCAAGTGAACTTCAAGATTAAATATAAAAACTATATTAAGACTTAAATTTAAATTAATTGAATTATTATCAAGTGTCTGATTCAGATATCAAGAAATCGGAAGAACTATATTAAAAAGGTAATAAAAATTATAATTTAGGATATAAATTATATTGGTATGATCATAAATATGAAGAAGCAATAGCAATTCTTGATTAAGCATTACGATTAAATTCTAAGCATTAATTAGCATTATGGTGTAAAGGTAGGATTATAATTTAATTTGCTAGCTGAGAGTCTAAAGATGCTTGACTAGTATAATGAAGCTATTATTTGGGCAGATAAAGCTTTGCAAGTTGATCCAAAACATTTCAATTCATTGTATACTAAAGGTAACATTATTTTGATATAAATTGATAGCTGAAAGTCTAAGAATGCTTGACCAATATAACGAAACCATTATCTGGGTAGATAAAGCTTTGCAGATTGATTCAAAACATTGTAATTCTTTATTTACTAAAGGTATATTTCCATTTTAGTTTATTAGCTTCTAGTTTAAGAGGACTTGGCTAATATAATGAGGCAATTATTTGGGCAGACAAAGCTCTATAAATTGATTCAAAGCATTGCAATTCATTATCAACTAAAAGTACTGATTTTTCAAAAGTTTTAAGGTATATCACTAAGAATGTTAAAAAATTATGAAGAAGCCATGACTGTAATTGATTAATCTCTTTAAGTAAATCCCAATCATTTAGATTCCTTATGGTCAAAAGGTTTAGAATATTTTGAAAAATATATTTAGGTAAGTTACTACAGGATTAGAATTAATATTAAGAAGCTTTGATGTGTTATGATAAGGCATTAAAGATAAAAGAAAATCATTAGTGGACCAAAGATAGGAAGAGTAATATGATATTATTAACATTAAGATGAATGCCTTGAAGCCTTGAAAAAGAAATGAAAATGAATCATTAATATAAAAACTTTAATATTATTTATTATATTTTCTTAAAGTCAATTCAAAATAGACTATTTATATTGTTCATCAAAACAGTATATTATATTATGAGTGATTATTGGCTTCATTAATAATACAAATAATATTTTTTTTCTTAATTTCTCATTTATTAATTAAATGTGAGTAAAAATATGAATTAAAATTGAGGATAAGATGTTAGAATTTATAAATTGACTTTGAAAAATCATTGATCATATAGGTACTGATGGGAAACTAATTGATTAAGTCTCAACTATATATATAGGTTTGAAAATTTATCTTAATAATTGTATTCAATCACTTTTATTTTTCAATTTATGATGATGAGAAAAGACTGGTTCTGAAGGAAATGGCAAAACGGCTTGAAAGGTACAGAATAAATAAGATCTAATAAAAGTTATTTAATTTCTTTGAAATTATATTTAAAATACTTTAATAATGGTAGTTTAGGAACAAAAATCAGTTAGAAATTCTTAAATTAAGTTAATTTTATGAAACTAATAAATTAAGTTCTTTAGAACTGATTATTTATTTAAAACAGGTTTATTTGTAAGATTACTAAAATTTAATTATGTTATAAACCATTATTTCTTTTTGTTTCTTAAATTTATTCAATATTACTAGTTTATTTTAATTAAAAAAAATTCATTTAATATTGAAATGCATCTAATAAAATATATATGAAATCATTCTTAATATCTTAATTATTCTTAATTTGGACTTTGAGCCATTAAAAATTTTATTCCTAAATTATTTAAATATTCATTCATTAAGATAAATAATTGAAAAATAAGTAATATACAAACGATGCTTAAAAAATTTAATATTTTCTAAAATAGAGGTTTTTTATTTTTAATACATAATTTATCCTATAACGATTAAGTGAAATAATAAAAAATGAAAAAAAACTTAACTATAGAAGTATTTAAGAACCAAATTAAAAGATTTATATAAAGGATCATTATCTAAATACAGAATATAGATTAATAATATGTAAAATGATAGGAAAATTTTTTTTAATAAATGAAATTTTATTAAAATGGCAAATGAATTTACTTTTTTAGATTAAATTAAGATTATTTGATAAAAAAATCAAAATGTAGATTTTTGTAAATGTTGATATAATAAAAATATTAAAATGAATATATATATTTATATTTGTTTTAGAATTTAAAATTATTTAAGATAGTGTTTTAAAATATTATAATAAATATATTTGTTATGATTCAAAATCATAGACATTATTATTGATGTTATAAAAATATCATTTTAGAATACAAAATTATTTAGATTAATAGGATTTTTTGATTTCTCCATATCATAATAAGTATTTATGGTAAGTGTTTAAATTATTTAAATAAATTTATTAATTTAGATATAATAATAATTATTTATTTTAATTTAACAAATATGTTTCAATTAGTAAATTGTTTTTAATTTTAACTTATTTTTATAATTCTTTAAAATAATTGCTATAAAATATTTTTATTAATATATTAATTTAAATAATAACTTATATTCTAAATTATTTAAAATAAATGTTAAAAAACATTTCAATTTATAAATAAATTTAAAGTTGAACTTATTTTTAAAATTCTTTAAGATAATTTTATAATTAATATTTCAATTGATCAATTGATTTAACGTTTAACTTATTTTTATAATTCTTTAAGATAATTGTATAAAAATCATTTCAATTTATAAATTGATTTAAAGTTGAACTTATTTTTATAATTCTTTAAGATAATTGTATTAAAATAATGTAATTAATTTATTAATTTAAATAATAACTTATATTCTTAATTAGTTAAAATAAATGTTAAAAAAACATTTCAATTTATAAATAAATTTAAAGTTTCACTTATTTTTATAATTCTTTAAGATAACAATATAAAAATATATATTTAAATTAATTCATAATAACGATAGGTGGTCATTATTATTAAATATTAACTATATAATAATTTTTATCATACAACTAAATTATGATGTAAAGATTATTCCTAAATTTGAATTAGCCTTTATAAATATTAAAGTTTACTTATTTACTTGTTATTCAATCTATGTTTTCCTCTAAAGAAAAATCAGAAAATAACAATTATCATCGCCGTTTCTCTCTTGATTTTTCGATTATTATTTTTTTAAATTTTAAAATTATAGACTAACAATATTTTCAAAAAAAAGAATTAAGGAACAATGAGTAAAATCTAGAGAATTATTGTTCTCAAATAGATAACAACTATTTTTAGTGGATTATTGTGAAATTAAAGATTTTTTTAATCAATGGAAAAATTCATTAAATATTAAAGATTGGATGTGGTATTAGTTTTAGGATATCAAATTAAATAATGCAAATAATTCTATTAATTTTATGTAAATTGAAAGTCTAGATACTTCTTTTTTTCTTTAAATATTATTTTTATTACAGGCCAACACATAAATTTAATTACATAATCATAAAATGCTATGAAGACTGTCAATAATCGAATAAAGCCTCTGAGTAAGAAAAAAGACTTTTCAACATAATTAAACACCAAAATCAAAATGCATGAATTGATCACTTTTGATGATGTACATAAACTTATAAATATAAATAGATCCATATTAGATAAGAATAACATCAAGAAGTCTGAAGAAGTAGATGAAATTGTATTAGACTAAAAAGGCTGCTTGTAAATTTAACCTTCAAAATTACTTAATATTTTATATGAATGACATAATGTAAGAATTACGAATATATATTTATTATAATAATAATTTCTATAAAAATAATTGTCTTTATAATTAAATTGTTTTAAAATTTTTAAAGTAGATTAATAAGAAACCTAAATTTGGGTCTTAAGTTAAATACCAAATTTAAATAAATGGATGAATTTAAAAATTTAATGCAGATTCACTTTTTTGGGAGAGATAACGAAATGGATACTATCCTTAGTTATTTATAAACATGATTTCCTAATCATAATTAGAATGACATGGAAATTTAAGATATATTGATTCTAATCAAGGAAAATTAGAAATTAAGAGAATTTTTTGAAAATCTTGTAAATAAGAAATATATAGATTTTCTTAATAATTGATACAGTAGTTTCCACACTAAAGAATAATTTATTAATGGTATTAGAATCGACTGCTAGATAATCATTATTAATTTTAGATATTATGAAATTTAAATATCAAATAGATCAATAATATAAAAATTGATAATTATAGTAGTCATCAACTTTAATATTTTACAAAAATTAGGAGTGCTTATTTAAATCCAAATTATTAACAATATTAATATTCTTTATAGCCATTAATTTGAAGCATTCCATAATTTATAACTTTTAATTTTTAATAAATCTATTAACTTTTTGGATTCAAAATTCTAATGAAATAAATATATGTATTTATATTTTTAGTCTCAATGTTTAATCTCTGTTAAATTAATATCAAATTTCTTGTAATCAATCCTTAATAATTAATTTAATAAAGGCTAAATTAAGTGAAAGAACTTCTACTCCTATCATTATTTCATATTAATAAATTCATTCACAAAATTTCGCATAATTCTACCATTAGTGATTAAAATTTCTTAATTAATATTAGGTATAATTAACATATACCATTTAGTGCTAACATAATTTAAGAATTTCAATCCAATTATTATAATAATGTAAAATAGTTTGATATTTTTAAAGTGAAGAAATTTAATTTAAAACTCTTTAATAATATAGATTTAATTAGAGACCTTAAAAAATATTCATCTTGTAAATTTACCGTTGATAACTTCGAACTATTCTCTCAAGTTAAGGAATGAATATATAAGTTATTATAATTATTTTTTGAACTAAACTAAAACTCATATTCTCATATTATTTATTGAGACAATCAATTAGAATTGAATATATTAGAAACATTTTATAATTTTCATTAATGGTAATTAACAATTATTTCTAAATATTATTCAAGATATCGTAATTTTATTTGTTTTGAGATTCAAATAGTAATTTTATTCGTTAAAAATTCAAAATTATTATTTTTGTTTGTAAATTCACTCGAGTGCCAACCTCATCCGTTCTACCCACCAGTTGGCAGTCAACAATAAATGAAGCATATAAATAAAGTTTGAAAATTTACTATTCATTTATAAGAGAAAGAGCAATCCGTTTAAATCAGCAAAGCATAGAGATGATTTTCTTTTTTATAAGTTCCTAAATGAAGAGAACTTTAGCTAGACCTTTCTTTAATAATATTTCAAGAGAATATCATATGAAGGCATTTTAGTTTTAGGATAGCAGTTTACCTTGATAAAATATTGAAAATAAAGAATGTCCACCTCCTTAAAGTTTAAGTTTTATGATTATCTTATATTTTATATATATTTTTTATCTAACTACTTTTCTAAATATTTTTGTTAAGATTGATAAACTTTTTGAATTATAAATAAATAAAGAAAGCATTAGTAATTAATTTTTTTGTTAAATTTTTGTTTTAAATAAATCAGAACTAAATTAAAATTTATCATAATAAGACAGAAAAATATTATAATCAGGATTTATTGATAAATTATTATCATATTTTAATCAACGTATTTTATATGAATATTTATCATACTAATATAATTAGATATTATTATGATTGCTAATCGCTTATCGCTTATCACATTATGATATTATAATTTAATCGATTATGAGGGATAGATTAAAGTTATAAAGATATAGTTTTAATAAATTAGCAATTATGTATAAGATTAATTGTAATTATATATATTTGTTTTATCATTTAACAATAATCTTATAAAATGAAGTTTTTTTTAAATAAACTCATTATTCTTATTCTTATTCAATGATAGGACTAACTGTTAATTGAAATTGAGATGTTGTATCTACACCAATATAGGAGTCACAAATAGCATAAATAGTCAAATCATAATCACCAGCTTCAGGGGCTTAGAATCTAAGATCTACTCTAATGTTTGTTGAAAAAGAGACCTTTTTATTACCAAATAATCGATTTGATTTTCTATCAGCACATAATACCCACCATTATTCTTCTTTTGGTTTAGGATAATTAGGAGCAATTACATAATCAGTATAAATATTATCTTGCCTAGTTAAAATAACCTAGACATGAAAAACATCTCCTTATACAACTTAAGGATCTGATATGATATCAGTAATTTCAACAGATGGTATTCTAATTTATAGAAAATAAATACCTATTTCCTGCTTAAGCTATTTCCTCAACTTAGTTTGATGTAAAATTAGATAAAATACAGGTTCTATCAGATTCTTACATATCAAAGAAATCTGCCCAATCTTAAACGTTTCTTTCTTTAAGTTCTTAAATGGTATTTTAATTAAAATAAGGCAATTATAATAAGACACTATCTTAATCAATCCAAAGACTTTGAACAATCATTTAACAAATTTACATGGATAGAATAGCAGGTTTTAGCCATAAATTGGATGAAGCTATATCTACCATGGCTGTACTTAATCTAATAGCCAGTTCTAAAATATTAAGATCTGATTTGAGATCTGAATTTAATTTAATTCTAGAGAAATGAGCTTATAAAAGGATTAAAGCCTTAGTATTAGGTTCATTCAATTTAGGATTAGTTGGTTAATATGGAATCTTTTAGAATAATTATGCCAACAGATTTTCTTCTCCATTTCGAATATTAAGTACTTCAAATTCTTTTGCTTCAGATAAAATAAACAAGAGGTCTCTTAATTTAGAATTGGAACTAATTTTATCTGAAAAATTCTTAACTGTTTCAATATTAATATAATAATAATTAGCTATGATACCAGAGTTGATGGCTTCTAATTCATTATCTTCTTCAACTGCTATGCATTTACTTTCATGTAATTCATCTATTGTAGTTTCAATAAGTTCACTAAGATAATTATTAATGGCTACTCCATTAACTTCATTAAGGTTGTAATAATTAGGATTTTATGTTAATCTTCTATACATAAATGTCCAAGTTATCCAATCAATACAATCTTGAGTATTATGAATATTCTTTGCTACTATTTCTGCATTTAAGTGATTGGCTAAATGATGATTTAAATGCGATTCAATTGGCGTTGGCTCATATAAGAATTTCTTATAGTATTCTTATTTTGGAGTATATGTAAGAATATGACATAAAGATGATGTACTTTCTATCATTTCTAACATTTCTGCAATAGTATAATCTACATATCTCTTTTCAATTCCATCATATTTCTAATTATCTAAAATAAAGACTTATCCTTTTAAATTATAATGTAAGGCTTGTTTGTATGGAAGAACTATAATCTTTAATTCATTAGATTGAATAAATTTCAATACTTCGTTTTCATCTTAAGGATCCATACATTCATATAAGAATCCCACAGATGCTTGAAGTGTATGTTAAAGATATTAATCTTCCTTAATTTAGAATCCAGATAATTAATAATTATTGTTGATCATAAGTTCTAAAGCACAAACTCTTGCTTATTTTCTATCAGATACATATAAAATATTTAATTCTGATGTAGATAAACTTGGTTTTAATGATTTAATCATTGCTTATATTCTTAATGGTCTTTAACATTAATCAAATGAACTAATCTAAATTTAGATATTGTTAGGTCTTATAATAGGTGAAAAGTTGAATGTATATTTACTTCCTAACCATTCACTCATTTCTTTATAATCAGCTAAAGATAATGATAAACCAACAATTCTAAATGGAATTTCCATTGATATCATTCTCATTCTAGAAACTATAACTTCCATAACACTTCCTGATTGATTCAAAGTATGTAAATCATCAGCTACCAATAATCGGATATCTTTAAATCCTTTTTTAGAGCGCCATCTTCTACTCATTATATCCCAATTAACTGGATTTGAAACAATAATGTCAGATAATTCCAAGATTTTATTGTCTGTTTATAATTATCCAGTAAGTTTACCAATTTTTAATGATAGTGTCTTACTAAATAATTAAACAAATTAATTAAACTTAACATCACAGTTAATTGATGAAATATAAATTGCTTTATAACCTTTAAAATGATTAATCATTTATAAAATAGCTAAGAAAGGCAATATGCCTTTTGATTGATATGTTGATGATCCAATAAAAATATTATCATTTGATTGATATAAGTTTTGAAATACTTAAGTTTAAATCTAATCAAAATATCGATTATGCATTATTTTCTTAGCTAGAATATTCTCAATTTATGAATGTTTAATTTAATCAATAGATAATAATGTTAATTGAAGCAACTCTGTACATCTATGAAATGGTTCTGGCAAGATTAGATTTTTAAAAGGGATAGGCTACTCGGTTTCACATGATATCCATTTATCTGAGATAACCTTGATATAATAGATAGGATGCATAACATCAAATAATGCAACTGTGAGTGTAAATTACATTTCTTGATTCTTTTATTTCATTAGGAATAATTCATGATATAATATTTTTTCAGCATCTGAATCCAAAACATATATATGAAAGGGTTCTTGTCTTCCATGAAGTTTTTCATCCCATTAAAAATCACATGATAACATTAGATCTATTCGAAGACATGATCTAGTTATTGGTTAAGCAAATGCTTATATTTCAATTTTTGGAAATTTGTGAATGTATTTATGTATTAATTTAGTCATATTCTAATTTTGATATCTAATTAATTCTCCTAATTATTAAGATGACATAGCATAAAGATGTTCCCAAGTGATTCCTTCTTTCTTTTCAATTCTTCTTAATAAATCATCTGGTAATCCTTTAAATTATCTAAGTGGAGTCATGCAATTCCACATTCTTTTTTCAATCATTTTAGATAATTAGAGACATTATAAGGTACTCTAAGCCCATTCTTTATGTAAACATATTTCATATAATGCTCTCATAATTCTACCTGCACTTTATGTAATATAGACCATATCTGAATTTAAAGCATATCCTTCTAATTTTAATCTACTAATATATGCTTAAAGAAGGACATTAATTTTAGTTGATGGATCTTCAGGTGAGCCTTTAATTGGTACAGGTACACTCATCATTAATTTAGACAATTCTATTTTCTCTTCTTCTCTAATTGGAATTAATTTAAATTCATGAGATAAAGAGAATACTTTAAATATATCAATCATTCCCATATTTTATTTCAAATGTTGATTATATATTTACATACTTGGATATTTGATATAATAATTACTTGCAATCTTACCTAAAATTGTACTTTCCAAATTTCCAGTCTTTTTATCATATATAATTAAGTTATTTTTATCTAATAATAGGGAGGCAGAATGTAGAAGATCAGCTCGATATTTAATTAAATATTAATCATTATTAAAATCTGGTATATTATATAATGTAGGATTTCTTAGCATTCTAACATATAAATAAGTGTAAGCTAACCAATTAACTCCATCTTTTAGATTCTTAATATTACCTTGGGCAACTTCTGCATTTAATTGATCAGCTAATTGAGTAATGAATTATGACTCAATGGGTAATTACATATTCAAAAGAGATAAGTAATATTTTAATTCTTAATAAGTTGTTAATATAATTCCTTCTCCAGATGTATCATATCTAGGTCTACCTGCTCTACCCATCATTTATAAGATATCTTAAGGACTCAATTCCATCCATTTTCCTTATTCAGGTGAATATATTTATGTTCCTTTAATAATTACTGTATGTGCAGGTAAATTAACTCCCCAAGCCAATGTAGAAGTTGATATTAGAATTTGTATGTTCTTTTTTTCAAAGAGACTCTCAACTAAATCTCTATCTCCTCTACATAATCCTGCATGATGTATAGCAATTCCACTTGCTAATAATTCTTTTAGATCTGAAGATTTAATGTCTTCTTATGCAATTACAGTTTCTAATATTTTTTTAGATGAACTTTCCTCTTTAATAAATTTAGATAATTCATCTTTAGAATATGCCATTTCTTTTAGAGTTTTAGCAGTTTTAACAGTTTCTTTTCTGGAATGAACAAAAACTAAGATTTATGATTTAGTAATTCTTTCAATGACTTTTTCATATAATACTTCATTCATTAAAAGCATTCTTCTGATAGGTTTCATTTCATTAATACCTATATATTATTATTATAATGGAACAGGCCTGTAAGAATTATCAAAAAAGAATACTCCAGTCTATTTAACTCTAATAAATGTTGCAACATCTGCATAATTTGGTAATGTAGCTGACAATCCAACTATTCTTACATATTCTTATCTTTCTTCCAAAGATTTCAATGTTCTTGCTATGATTGATTCAATAACTGGACCTCTACTATCATGTAATAGATGTATTTCATCAATAATTATTAATCTCACTAATGATATGAAATCATTTTATTAAGTTTTACGAGTTAATATATCCCATTTTTCAGGTGTTGCTATTAATACTTAAATTGTATTTAATTAATGTTTAGTTAAATGAGTATCACCTGTTACTTCAGCAACTTTAATATTATATGGTTCTAATCTATTTTAGAAATTATGTACCATTTCATTTACTAATGCTTTCATTGGAGCAATGTAGATGATTTTAAATTTTTAAATATCTACAATACCATTTTCATAATATTGACCTATTGTTTATAACATTGTTAAGAGAGCTACATTAGTTTTACCAGCACCTGTAGGAGCACATATTAACATATTCTCATCACTTAATAATGCTGTTTCATAAACAATACTTTAAATTGTGTTTAATTCTTTGAATCCTCTAAATGCTTATTATGCAAATTCAGGTATTTCATTTATTTAAATCAGACTCTAATTCCTCATAATACATTTTGGAGCAGGTATATAGATCTCTTCATAACCTTTCTTACTTACTTTTAATGAACGAGGAGGTAAATGACATTTCTCATTTGACATCAAGTGACCTTATGATATAAATTATAATTATTCTAAATCTATCACTTTTTTAGACATTCCTTATAAATCTGAATCTACTATGCTAATATTCTCAAATTATTCAATATCTTCTTATGTTATTTATAATTATGTTGTATTCTTACTATATTTATTTTACTTTTATAATTCTATCAATAATCTCATTCCTTCTTAAGTTTATTCCATTTATTAATGAATTTATTATCTCTATTCAATACTCTATGCTCTACTTAATAAAGTACAAAAATAGATTTTACATCTATTTATATGTAATAATCTAATCAAATCAAATTTATCTTAACCAAATAGTTAAACTAATTAATTTTCACATTCTATATCAGATTACAATTTCAATATATCCAATACTGTCTATTCCATCTATTATGCTTAAATAGGATCTTTATATATTTTCTATAATTCTCTTTATAACCAAAATCCATCAATATCCAATAATTTATTTCTATTTTATTCTTCTTAAATCTTTGTTTTTATTGCTTATTCATTTTATTCCTCCCAATCATCCTCTTCCTCTATAATTTAATCAACATCACTAGATTCTTATTCCTCTTCTAAATTCAATGGTAAATCCATTTCATCATTTCCTTTTTAACCAACTTCTGGTTGATAATCAGTAATAGCCTTTGTTGATAATACAATATCTGAAAATAATTCATTTGTTAATCTTCCTATTATAGCTTCTACTTCTTATCTTTTCTCTGAATCCTTTAAATTATCATTCTTCATTATAGCTAATACTTCATCTACAATTGACTTAATTACATCTTATGATTGTTCTTAAAATAATCCATAAACTATAGCTAATAATTTTTCATAATGCAATCGATTATCTTTTGTTTTTGGAATATACAGTAGATTTTCATAAGTTGGCATCCCTATTCCTTCTTCCACTTCAATTTCAACTTATCGATCTAATTTTAAACCTTATTATTTATTTCCCTTCATTGGTTTCTCTCTAATTGCTTTAGTACCCATCAATCTTGGATTTATTTTACCAACCAATGATTCAGGCTCTCCAGAAGGCTCATCTGTTCTAACACCATGTTCTCTCTAAACCACTAAATTTGAACTCTTAAATTAAAATAAACTTTACATAAGTAAATTTGCTCTCCTATAAGTGTTATTCAGACATATGTTAAATTTTATTAATATTATATCACATTTCTGTAATTGAAATTAAAAAGAAAAAAGAATAGTATTATATATCATTTATTTTCATATGTGTTTCTTTATATTTTATAATATTATGATATAAACTTCATAATTATATAGGAAGAATAATATCCAGTATCCTAAAATAATAAAAGAGATTACTTTTTGATAATATATTCATTAAATATACTTGTATTTAATCTATTATGCAATTCAACTATAATTGAATATCCATGAATTAAGAAACTTTGTTGTTAAATTGAATTAAATACAGATTAGTATATAAAATAATATAAATGGATTTAGGGACTAAAAGAATTTTAGTTTTAAAAACTCAATTTAATTAAGCATTAATTTATAGTTCATATTTATTTTTTAATTCATGAATTATATATATAAATACTAATGTAAATTTTTGTACTGATAAATAAATCTAAATTTCTTTTATCAATAGATGACATACATTCAAATATGACTTAAATTTGTTTAAAATGATATCATTTATTTGATTTTATTCTAAATTTGAATATAATTAATATAAATAATATAATAATGAAGGACAATAAATTAATTATTATGTACTCTAATATTTTTTTTATTTTATTTAAACTTATTACTAATTTATCTATATTAAAAATTAATAAAGAATTTGATTATCTTATGGATTAGATCAAGTAGTTATTCATTATAAAGTTTTTTGTGGGCAATGATTTTCATTTTATATTAAATTTCATTACATTAATTCATCATTTACAATAAAGTATTTAGTAGTAAGATAAATAAATTATAATTTGTGTCTTATTTTATTGTATACATCTAGTTAATAAACAAATCCTTTATTTAACTAGTTTTGTAGATTTATAAAATTAATCAAAATATTATTTGAAGATATTATAGTTATTGTTTTAGTTTTGTTATGAATATTAATTATTTGTCAATTTTATTGTCATAACTAAGACTAGAGCAGTTAGTTTAATTATAATTCTAATTGGATATATAGAATCTCTTGATTTAATAAAAATAAACGAATTAATTAATATGAATTGATAAATTTATTTACATATTCAATTATACAAATTAAGTGATTACGTAATTGACTGAGTCACATACCAACTCTGGTTATTACTTAAATAGGATATTCTTGTCCAAATTATTTAAGTTTATATCCACAAAACTTAGAATTAATAGAATTCTAAAATTTTGTATAATTTTTACTGCAGCCATTTTATCTCTAATCAATTTTTATTTGTATTATTTACGATAGGCAAATAATATGGTTTTAGCAGAAGAATATTTGATTCCTGCCTTATTAGCAGCCTAAGACAAATTTTATTTGGTATTGTTTACATCATGGATTTTTTAGCTTTGAAATAAAAAAAGGTTGAGAAACATCTATTTGGCATCAGATGTTATATATGTATAATTTCTTGGTTTAGATTCTTGTTTACGCTTTTTGAGAAGTGGCGTCTCTTTATGTATGTAAATTATGTATGATTATTTGAGGCCATGACGTAATGAATAAATTAATTGTAAAATTAATAAAATATTTAATAATAACCAAAAATTTTTAAATTACATTATATATGGTATTCAAACACTATCATCTTTACGATCTTCTGGTTGTTATTATTTATTTTTATCATTGGCTTTAGTTTATTTTTTAGTTCTTTTGGATTATTTAGGTGGTTCTTATGGTTCAATATTAGCAGGAGTAGTTACTTAAATTGATTAAGCTACTGAATCATCTTTTTTTCTGCTGTTTTTCTTTGCAGATGGAGGTTATTAAACAGTTGGAGGAGCTTATTAAACAACAAGAGGAGTTTATTAAGGAGGTTGAGTTGTAACTTCTGGTTTTATTTTACGTGGTCTTGATGAAGCAGGTGGATTATATGTTTAAGTAACTGGTGGAAGTTAAGCAATTTAAGGTAGTTATTATTATTGTTGTTAGATTTAAGTAGTCATCAGTTATTATGGAGGAGCTTATTATGGTGGTAATACAATAGTTTAAGAACTACTCAAATTTTCAATAGTTGATGTTTTTTGTTAGAATATATTAATAGGTAATCCAGTACTGGAGTTTTAGTTGTATTTATTACCTAATATTCTTTATCCTGCCATTTATTATTATTTGTAATTTTTCCTCTAATAATAATATATATGAATAATATACAAATTCTTTTTTTATTTATTCAATAGGATAGCAATCTTATCTAGCTATATCATAAATATTTTTATATCTCTTTTCAATATGTCCTTTGGAAAAATTTGCAGATTTGACCAACTCTTTCAAATTAGAAAATGATAATCTTTCTACCATTGAATAATCAGCTTATCCAGAGGTTTTAATTTAGATTGGATCATCAAATTTGATTTTAGAAAGTAATTCTTTGAATATAGGTTTTGTATATTATTTAAATGGATTTTAAGGAAGAGGTCTTAAATGTTATATTTTTGGAGGTAGTTTCTTCTAAATAAGTGATTCATAATCATTTAGAATATTAGTATATTAATTTTATTATTATTAAGGTTTTTTTATATATTTAATAGATTCGCATTTTTTTTAATATTATTGAGGCAAAATAAATTTAGAATTAGATTGAATACTCTTATTAAATATAAGCCAAGCATAGAGATCAGCACAAAAATTTGGAGTATATAAATATAAATTAGCTGTTACAGTGTTTGATGAAAGTGCTTAACTAACTTAATTAAAATCTCCCTAAAATTTTTGATAATAACTATTAATTTATATATAATAAGTTCTTACTATATAAAATATTGTTTGACTAAATCATTTGATTTTGTTATTTATTATGCATGTGAATTAAATCTTTCTGCATCTAAAGGTACAAATTTTCCATTTTATTAAATAAAATGACAATCCCTTTCAATATAATTGAATTTATATCTAAAAAGATCTTTAAGTTCCAATTAAGGAGGTAATTATTATTCAACAACCTAATTATTTGAAAAGATCTTCATTCTAAAATTTATATAATTTAATACTTTTTCATCATTTTTTCTCCATCATTTAAAACTTATTCTGGAGTACATCCAATTCTAAATAATAATTCTTCATATTCTGGATCCAAACAAGGTTCTTGATAATATGGTGTTGCTTTGTATTTGAATATCATTTCCAAAGAAGTAGGAAAACTCTCTATACTCATCATACTCTTTTCAAAAGATTCTTTTAATGGAATATCTTTATTCACAAATAATTGTAAAGCTTCTTAAAGATTCTCATATTTCTTCTTAAAATCAAATTCAACTGTTTATTTTATCTTTCTTTTATCATTAGAATGAATATCATGAGTATTTGATTCTGAATATGTCTATTACATATCTGGAAACAATGATTCCAAAGATACATAAACATCTCTATTTGTTGATAAGTATCTCTTCACTTTTTGAAGTGCATCTTAATATCTCTATTCATCTAATTCTTAATTTTCAATCTTAATTGTTCTTAAATATTTTTATATTGGCTTTTGATTTGGTTCTTCAATATCTAATTTTATATTTATATTATGATTACCCATTTAATTGAATGCTTTCTATACCATTTAACATAATGAATAAGAAATACAAATACCAAATTACTCTATTTCTTCCCTCTCTTTTTATAACATTTAATGAGTAGCTTTTGCTTCCTATGCCAATTAATAATTCACAGCTATCTATATATATATTGAAATCATTCTTTTACTTTCCATTTCTTTCTCTCTGAAAAATCAAGTGCCTTCAATTGAACATCATTCATTACTTATTACCAAATCTTTGGTACTCTTAAAATCTATAAAATATTTATCAATTATACCTCTTAATTTGTATGATCATGCATATTTACTTTTGGAATGTATGGTTTTTTCAATTAACATAATTTTTCAGATATTACATATTTTTTAATATATAAATCAGGCAATGATATATAAAGGTCCTTTTATCATATATATATTCTTACTTCCTATTATTTTACAGTATTTCTTTATTAAACTGGTATTGCTTCAAATTGTCTTGTGTCCATTTTGAAATATTATAATTTTTATATTTTTATAATTAATTCATTCAATATTATTATCCCTTTTTATTCTCCAAAATTTAATAATAGATTTATATTTCTTTATTTTTAATAAATAATATGATTATATCTATTAAGATTTCAAATTATATTAATTAATATTAAAATATATAATAATAAATAATTCATTCTATCTTGATCAAGATGAACCATTAACTCCTTCACAATCACCACAAATAAGCTTAATGTAAAAATCTTGTATATTGTTCTCATCTTTTGAACCAAGTGGTTTAATCTTAAGTTTAATAAGTTCATCAGCATAATCACCATCCTTATTTGATAGGTATTTTTTTGTTATTGTTATGATTTTTTAATGATTTAAATATATCCCCATAAATTCATTAAATGAAATTAAAATTAAATCCCTTTCTTATATACTTACTACATTGTAAACTTGGAAACTTTCTAAATCTGTTCTAATAATATAATACAAACTATCCATTTAATTTGAATAAAGTCGATATACATAAATACAAGCAGGTACATCAATTTCACTACCATATACATATAAGAATTTTTCTGATGTTTTAATCTTGTTAATATTTTTAAGATTGAAAGTTGGAAATGTTTTATGTCTAAATTATTTAATTGAAATTTCTCCATCTATTTGCTTATTAATAAAATTTCTAAAGAAAACCTATGAATCAATATACATTAATTTTTTGATTTATTCATCCTATGAAATATCAGTGAGTTATAAAATAATAATTCCATGTCTAACTAATTCAATTTACAACCTTTCTTTAGTTGGTTTTTTAGTTTAACCTAAATTAATAGATCCTAAATATTAAAATTTAGAAGAGTTTTGAATTATATAAACTTCAATCATCTAATAATACTTGTAATTTTTATATTTTATCATTGGAATAAAAAGCAAATCTTGGTAATTTTAAAAATTACATACAATTTCAAATACTTTGTAACAATTTAATTCCTAACTTAACTCCATTTCATGTTTTTCATGTAATAATACATTAAGTGTATAAATATCATTCACAACCCGAGTAAAAATCAAAATTTTTGGCTATATTGCTATAGAAAGAATATTTCCTTCACTATCTTAAAATCTATCATATGATTCATTTATTAAAATTTAATTATTATACTACATTAATAGGTAAACACTTACAAAGTATCCAACTAACCCATACTTCATTTTTTAAATAATAACAATCTAAAGTGCATTACCAAAAGATTCACAACCAAAATCTTAAATAATATTATCTTGAATAGTAAGTATCTGGTATAGGTGACAAGATTAGTTAGTTTGATAATAACATTAAATTATAAAAAGGTAAACTGATACTTTTTTAAATAAAAAGATTTTTTTATCATTTTATGGATATGAATAAAGGCAAGTAGCTGCATAATCAACACTTTTTAAATTTAAATTTTGAATTTATATTTAATCTAACTATGATATAATATTAGTGAATGATGCTTCAAACATACTTTATTTATTTATATTAATTTCCTCTATTTTTAAGGCTTAACCCAAAAATACTTTACTTAAATCAATTTATTTTTTTAATTCAATTTTAGAATATTTTAAATTGAATACATTTTAATTTTGTTATATATATTATTTTAGCCATATAGAATTTACATTCAATTCTTAAACTTAATAGTATGTTTTGATATTAGGACATGAAAATTTATCAAAATACTTATCAAATGTAGTAGCTGTTATTTAAAGTAATTAAGGACCTTTTATTTCAGTAAGATTTACAATTTCTATTTTTGGTAATTCTAATTCTAAAGTATATACAACACCTTATTATTCATATAAAAGTATTGATAAAGCTAAATTAAGAACAAAAAATTTTGATTTTACATACTCTTAGTAAATGATTATTATTAATACCGATTTAGAAAAATCAATTGAAAAAATAGAAAATTCTTCATCATTTGAAAAAACTATATAAAGATTAGAAGATACAACTTTTCTTTAAAATGCTTATTCTGGTTTTAATTAATAAGCAAAAAGTGCAGTACCTTTAAAATCACCTTATTTTTGAAGACTATATTCTTTATTTATTTTTAATGAAATAAAGAGTATAGATTCCTTACCCCATATCATCAACATGATAAAGTAATAGGTAGTAGAGACATCAGTCTATTGTTTTGGAAGATGAATTCCATAAGTGTCTTATCTTAATTGTAAAATTTCAATTTCATCACTCCAAGTTATTTTCAAATTTCTAAATGTTAATCCTCTTTTCAATCTTGTTATGAATGCTAATTTTATCAATATAAAGTTTACCAATTTCAAATTATATTGCAAAATCAGTAACATAATCATTAGGTTCATTTAGTACTTAATATTACTTATATAACACTAATTTTTCTTAACTTTCTTATTTTATCCACATTTATATAGTAACAAAAAAGAAATATAGTTAAGAATCTTCTGATATATATTCATTATTTTCTATTCTCCCTTTACTAATCAAAATTCCAAAATATTAACCTGATATTTTAAGTTTAACTTTTGATTATGGAGGTACTATAACATCCTTTATTAAAATAGTTTAATATAATTTAGTTTTGGGATGAAAAAATATTAATTCTAGTTAATTTGTCTCTACATTTTAACATGTAATAAAATAATAGCCATTAGAATAACCTATTTAATGGCAGTGATCTCTTATAATAAAGAATTCAACTTCAATATTTAAATCCTCCTTTTTAGTATTTAATTTACATTTATATAGTCTATAAACTATTTAATCATTCTAAATAGATCTTGAAAAGCAATAATAATATTGTATGTTGTAATTATTTTCAAATATTGGAATAATTTCAATAACATCATCACTCAAAATTCCACTTTTTTTTTTTTTCATCATAAATTAAAAAGGAGGAGAAAATAATGAAGCAGAATCAGTTTTAAAATTATAAGTTAGATCATCTGCAATAACATAGTCAAATAGATAAAAATCATAATTTTCATTTTTTGCTATTGTTATTAAATTATTCTCCTAATTTTACAACTAATTAATTTTAATTATCATTTACTTTGCAATACTCTGTCTCCTAACCTAATACTTGCATTATTATCATTACAAAATAAATCCATTTAATTTTCTTCTATTATATTTTATACATTATTATTTTAATCAAATAATATTTAATTTATGAAATATAAATTATTATTATTATATTCATTTTTATAATTTATATTCTTATTGTTAATTAATTAATCATCACATTATGAAAAATACTAGAGCATAAAGAGCTGTAACTACATTAGAGAAGAAATATGATAGAAGTGCTTTTATTCATAGAAATCCAAAAACAATGCTGAGAGACCTTTTGTTTGAATAAAATGTATAGTAAATTTAATAATTAAAGATTTTATAGACTTAAATAAGCAAAGAATAAAAAATGTATCAGATTTCATTAAATTCCTATGTCTTATAGATATTCCATAGATATACCAGATTTAGATGAATATTTTGGAATGAGAGATTAAATATAAATTGAAAATTGTATATAAGATTGCAAAAAGAAAGTAAATACATGTAAAAACAGATTGGAACAATTAAAATTTAAGATAAATGATTAATATATTTAAGAAATGGAAGATTAAGATATAAGTGAATTATAATAAATTTAACAACCAAAGAATTGTAAAGTAAAATATGAAGGAAAGGATTATTGTTATTATTAAAATAGAATTCACACTACGATAAGTGAAAATTATTAATAAAAAACAAATTAAGTAGATAAATTTAATTAGACTTTATATTTTTTAATGAGTAATCGAGATAGATCGTTAGAAGAAAAATCAGCGAAATTAAATAATACTATTTAAGGTTAAAAATTTTTGGATGATACATAAAATGAACTCAAAAAATCATTACATTATAGTGTTAGATAAAGTTTATAATAGAAAAATAAATTTCTTTCTATGTTATAAACATTATAGAAAGAAAAAGAGAGTATTGATAATGTAAAAAGGAAAAGATTATAAAAATTAAGAAATCAAATATTATAAGGATAATTTGCAGAAATATGATTATAATATATGATATCACTATTTTATAATATTGAATATAAAATTTAGATAATGATTTATATGCATATTTAATTAAATAGTATTAATCAAATTTTAGTATTTCTATTTAGATATTATTCTATCGGATAATCAGTATTTTTAATCATAAATAAAATGCAATCTAAACATTCCCTTAGGATTGTATAGAAATCTAAGTCGCTCATTCTTAGAGTCATTCTACTTTACTCTAAATTATAATAGTCTTCTTTATAACTGCATATATAATATTTCTTTATCTATTAATGTAATTATTACAAGGAATTCTTTAATTCGTGACTTATTACTTAAATATTTTAGCATTTCAAATAATTAAGAGATGTTTATATTTGATTTTTCTCATATTTCAGTTATTCATTTTGCTTAATAATTTATTAACATTATTGTTCCAATTGTTCTATTTATGGTTGTAGATTAGTAAATTATCGTAATTATTTCATTAAATTCTTATTCTATAAATCTAATTATGCAATCTTATTCTACTAATCTCTAATAATGCTATCCTTCTATAATAGGATTGTCAACAATTATTTTTTTTCTTTTTATATTTATTCAATAACAAGAGAACTTTAACTTTAATTAATCTTTCTTTCTTGAGATGAAAATTTAAATTCTTATTTCTCAATCTATGTTGATGACTTTTTTAATAAATCATCAATTTTATTATTGACCTCACTCAAACGTGAATTACTTTAAGGTGTTTAAACAGTGCTAAGATTATTTGACCTAAATGATAAATTAGTAAGATGAGTTGAGGTTGATCTAGAAAACTTCATTAAACGTTGTTTTATTTTTATGTAATATTATTTAAATAGGACTTTAAGAAAGAGTTCATTATTTTTAATTGAATTTATAATCAACTCTCTTTAGAATGGAGGTTTAAAATAATATAATTATTTATATATATTAGTTTATTTAATAATTAAATATCCTTGTATATGAGTTTCTCTAAATAACAAGCAATCATTTAACCATCATTAACAAAAACACATATGCATCATTTATCTCCATAGGTCATCTGTTTGCATAAAATAGTATTTTTAACCTCTGAAAATGAAAGATAGAAACATATGGTAAAAAATAAGAATATCATAATTAAATTAAGGAAAATGTTGAATATAAAAATACTTAAGATTTAATCAAAAAATATATAGGTTCAAAAATAGAAATTAAAATTATAAATAGTTATTTAAATTAAAGAAAAAGAAGAATAGCATCTAAAATTGGATTTTTTATTAAAATATATTGAAAAAATAAAAAATGACCTATAGAATAAGTGAGTTTTATTCGTAGGATAATTAGAAGTCCAAAAATATTCAAAATCTTAAGGTGAGAATAATAGAATGAATGATCAAATTGTAATACTCATAGTTGCATTTATTGATTATGAAAATTAGAAGAAAAGAAAGCTTAATCATTATAAAATTTCTTATAAATAATTATAATATAATATACAGTAGTTGTTAGTTGAGTTCATTGAATATTTACATAAATATTTCAAATATCTAATTATTTTAAGTAATTATATTTTTTGTTTAATTTAGAAATTAAGTTTATTTAATTCATTCATTTATTCATTCATTCAAATATAGAAATGAGTAAATGTATTAAATTAAATGAAGTTAGAAAATACTTATAATTTAATTTTTCAATAAATATTTAAATAATCTATTGAATAATTCTAAAGAATAATAGTCATTAAAATAAACTTATTAAGATACATGATTTTTACTTAAATTATAAGTTATCTAATTAAGATTTATGATTAGATAGATTCAATAATTGCAATTTTCAAACAATATTGATGTTCATAATCAAAAAAACTTAAGAATTATTAAAGTTTTTAAATGATGAGAATTTAAAGACAGTTGACACAAAAAACATAAATATCTAAATACTATAATAATAATGATAGAAAGACATTATTAATTTATTAATTGTTAGATTATGTAAATCTATTCGTTAGAGAAGAATCATTTAAAAAATTAAGATATATTTGAATTTATGTATTTAAGAATTAATGATTAAATAGTTTATTGTTGATATAAAGTATATATGAAAGAACACATTAAAATTAGGTTAATTACTATGGATAATAATGTAGAATACTATTTACTGATAATATTTGTACATTAAATATATTAGAATAAGAGTAATTAGTTATTAATTAAAGACAATAGAGTGGATCAGTTATATAATCTACATTTACAGAAACAAATATTTCTGATCCAATTTATGTTTTTTTTTAATTTAATTTGTAAAGGTAAGATTTCATTTTTTTTTTCTTATTCTTTTTTTTTTAATTTATTCTGTTTCTTGTTTATTTGAAAAATTTCTTATGAATTCTCGATCCTCTTTGGATATAAAATCATCTCTAATATCATATTTTAAATTTGGTTCTTCTTGTTAGTATTTCATTTAGTTTAACAATTCATAGAAATTATCTCTCGTTTAGAGGTTTCTGTCGTATTTTTATTTCAATTCTTCTTTGGATAGGGTAGTATAGGCTTCGTTTATTTAGTTAAATTAATGTGTTGCCCCAAAATCACTATTCTTATCCTAAAAAGACATCAGCAAGTTAATACTGGATGCCACTAAAGGGCCAATTTATGATATGCCGACTTTATTTGGTTAGGTTTAGCATCTCTCTCTAAGCCCAAAGTGTCATAATGATTTTTCATTATTATTATTCCATCTGAACATCCCTAAATAAACCATAGAAATTCTGGAACAAATTTTATTATTATAAATATAATCAAGCTAAGACTTTCTTTTTACACAACTTATTGTTTCTCTCTGCATTCTCTTTTGGATCGTGACTGTTTAAATTAATATATTTTTACATAAATTTATTAATTTTCAAAGGTAATCTATTAATTTTTCCATATTTCAACTGTTGATAATCAAAATATTCATATTCTTGTTTCCTAACTTCATTATTCATTTATCAAATTTCTCATAAGCTAATAAACAATCTCTTTTGATTATTTGTGATCAATAATATTAATCTAAAATTTCCAGATTTTCTACGGTTTTTGTATAAAATATTTAATTATTAATTTTTTTTCATTATAAAACATTTTTTAATGTTATTTTGTGAATCTTTAATATCTAATACAATCATATGATTATACATTTACAATCTAATCTACTGTATGAATATTTAAAGCATTATCCTAATAAAATTTCAATCTAACTTTTTATATATTCCTAATTTTTTTAAGAAATTTAAACTTCCACTTCTAATTTTATTTTAGCCAAATTTTATTCAAAGAAATTTTCTATGATGATACAATCTAATTTTCTAATAGATATTTAAACATACATAAATGTTTAGATTTAGTTATTTCATTGATTTATTAAATATGATTGATTTAATTTTTCAAACTTAATACTTAAATTTATAATAATCTTCAATTCAAATACTTTATTCGTTCTTACTTATGTGGTTTATTATTAAAACAAAGATATTAATATATAGTATTCATATTCTATATTCAAGATTTTATATTATGAAATAAAGAAATTATTCATATTTCTTTGAAATATTTGCTAGAGTTTATAAATTAAATTTTATTTATTCAACATTAACTAAATTTTTTTTGAATTTCTTCAACTTATCTTATCTTATTGTATTTGTTTTAATAAAGATAAGATTAAATTCATATGTAATTAACATCTTTTTATTTTCGATTTAATGATAAATTTCATTTAGGTATAAGGAATTCTAATAAATAATTAATATTATTGCAGAATATGTATATAAATGATTCTTATTTCAATATTTTAATAAAATGAAATTATACGACATCATTGAAATAATAAAACTTACTGAATAGAGAGGATAAGAGTTATTAATAGATGCTTTAGTGATAGGAATTGAAATAGGAAGAGGAAATATTTCTGATTTTAATGACTTAAAGAGTGTAGTAGAATAATTAAAGAATATTAAACAGAAAATTGATAATAGTCTATTTAGTCCTTTCATCAGAGATAATATTTATGATAGGATAATAAACTAAAAAGAAATTGTAATTAAATAAATAATTTTGAGTTGGCTGATGTTTTATAAAGTGTATAAAATTCTTTAAGAAGATTTTCTTAATAAAATGTTAAAAATGAAGTTTGCTAAGTTTGTAATTAGTAAGTAAATAAGCAAGATAGAATGAAAATAATCTAAATGCAATGTAATCATTTATTTCATTAATAATGTGTATTACCAAGTTTAACTATTCAAAAAGAAATATTTTAAGCTTATTAATGTCCACTTTGTGAAACTTAAACATTAAAAGATGAAATATTGAATCAATTACAAAATAATTCATAATAAGTAGTTTCTTGTTGTCCAACACCATAATGCAGAAAAAAATTTGTATTTTAAGGATAAGAAATTTATAGATGTTAAAATTGCAAAAAGAAATACTGTCTTAGATGCTTTTCTTAATAACATGAAATTAATAAATGTTAAATAAATAATAATAATTAATTTAAAAATGGTGATAATTATAAGGAATGTCCACATTGTAAGAAATGGATAATAACATTTTAATTTGAAGGTACCATTAAATGTACAAAATGTAATAAAAGTATTTGTTTGGGATGTAATGATTCTAAATGCAATTGTTAAGAAAATAAAGGAATCTTTTATTCTATTAAAAGCAGATTTTCGATTAAATCATGAATTCATATTTAAATAAATGAAAAACAAAATATTAAAATAATTCATTTATTATTCTGAGTATATTTGAGAAATCCTATATGTTTATTTTTTAAAGTTGATGTAATGACATTTAACTTTCTATACATTATAAGGATTAATACTTGTAACATATTAAAATAAAGTGAATTCTTCTTTTATACTTATTAGTTTTAATAATAGTAAATAATTATTAGTGATTATATATTATAATAGTATATTTGGATTCATAAGATTAAGTTATTGAATTGAATCTTTTATTTATTCTTTACATAATCTATTTAATTAATATATATAAATCTTATATAATTTTTTATTAATTAAATAATTTGAAATTGCGTACTGTATATCCTTAAGTATTTATCATAGGATTAAAATTGATTAGAAAATATATTGATCGATATAAATATTTTATTATTAAGTTGCTAAAAATTATTAATTTTATTTAATTAATAAATGAGTTTTTAAGGATTTTTGGTTAAGAAAACTATTCAACAATTCCCAATTAGACAAAAGCCAGTTTATTATGATGATTTCACTGATTAAAATTTTGTTCTTTTCATAAACAAAAAGTTAGCTGATCTACGATGTATTGTATGAATTTATTAGTTTAAAGTGGCAGCAACGATTTATCAGCTAAGCGAATTATGAACTTAAAAATAAAAATCCCAAAAGATAAAAATACTGAGGGATAGAAAATCAAAAGAAAGGCTTCTTTAAAACGTAAATCGTTGTCAGTTTAGAAGGATGATGATCAAGATAAAAAGTTTCGCTATAAATTTAGATCACCACCAGTAAAACCTGAGGTTAGATTAGCTTCTTATTTAAATGATGAATTACTTAGATAACATTAAATAAGTCCATTGTATTAGGAATACAAATTAGCTAATTTAAAAGCTAACTTAGTAAAATTATAAGCTAAAAAATCATATTAATTAAATGAATTAAATCATGTAGAATTAGAAGATGATGAATAAGTTAAATATTTTCTGACAGAAATTTGTAAGAATCATCCTGAGATTGATGTAGGTAAATTATTAAAAGTAGATGTTGAAAAGAAAGAATTAAAATTAGATAATTAAGAATAAATATTGAAAGAACTAATTTAAAAGAGAATAAAATAAGAAGAACTAGAATAATTGATGAAATTAGAATAATAATACAATTAAAATCTTGTAAATATTTATAAAGAAACCAGATATGATTAATTTGAACCAGAATTTAAGAAATAAGGATAAATTAATATGTGTAAAATAAAAAAATAAAAAGAAATTTAGGATAAGATGTTTGCTGAAATATTTAAAAGTAAATCTCATCGTACATCAAACAATAATACTACAAAACATTTCTTTCATACAAAAATTAAAACACCAGAATCAAAACATAAAGTTACACTTTCGTAATAATTTACACCTTCTAATAATATATTTATATCATAACCAACTACTATCCCAATGTCACCATAAACTTCTATGCATTAAGAACTAAAACCAAGTTAAATGACAACTTCTATAGGTACTTTTAGTGATAGTAGATCTCCAATTAATGTTCCAAATACTGATTTTAGTTAAAAAATAAAGACTATAATGGATAAATGTGAATTATTTGAAGATGAACATAAAATATCAAATTAAATATTAAAAAAAAGAATAAATTTAATGGGAAGAGAATTAAATACATATTTTGATACAGCCAGAAGTAGATATAAAAATTAAGAAATGGAAATAGATACAAATGAAGGATTTGATAGATTTTTATAAGAAAACTAATTTAAACGAAAATTAATTGAATTTTAGGTTAGTTAAGTGTAGAATTTATATGAAGTATTAAGTCAAAAAGCTAAAAGAGAATTGACTAATAATTTTATGGGATCAGATTTAGATAAATAGAAATTATTTTGATTTTAAATGTTATTTTATTATACAATTATTTTGCTATTTAATTATGTATTTTTATCATGAATTTTATAAATTAAATAATAAACAAACAAATATATATAATTAATAAAATTATATATTTAAGCAAAAAATAAAAAAGAGCTTAATTCTTATTTTTTATTAAATTTATAATTATAAATAAAAAATTTTCTTTGTGATATTGAATATAATTAATGATATATGTTTAAATTATTTGATTAATTCAATTATATTTAATGAAATTTATTATTATTTATAATTCTATACAAAAAGAAAGAATATAGTATAAATAATGACAATATATCAGACTTGATTTTTAATTAATATTTATATCATATAAATTAGTAAAGAGAAACTAAGAAGTGAATATGATCCTAGAAAATTGTTAAATGTAGGAATAAAAAGATTAAGAATTAAACTTATTTATTACATTAAGAAATTAATATGGTTTATAGATTTATTAAAAATTTGAATAAAACGAAATTATCAATAGTAAAGTTTAACTTTCAAGTTTTTGAGATTTATGGCTATAAGAATTATTATAGATTATATTTTTTTTTTTAGATAACAATAAGATATTTTCCGTATATATAAATAAGAATTGATGGATAAGTATTTTCATATAAATTATTAAAATGAAAAACTTTTAATTAATTATGATATAGAGTTATTTAGATATATATAAATTATATTATGTTAAGTTAAAATATAATAGTTGACTTAGTGTATTAAATAGAATCTTTATAATTTTATATATAACTTTATCTCATTATAAAAATAAATGATTCATTCAGATGAAGAGAGTATAAACAGTTTCACACCATAGTCAGGGTATTTTTATTCATTTATAAACAAGACATTAAGAGAATAATGAAGAATTAAGAAATAGAGACAATAAAAAATATGCAATAATTGATTAATCTGTTCGTATTCAATTATTACGTCGGATACTCTCGAAATAATCAACAATAAAAGAGGCAGCTTAAGAATTTGGAATAAATTTCTCAACTGCTAAGGCAATATTGTAAACTTATAGAAAAGAAGGTCGTGTAGGTAAGAAAAAGACAAGAGATCGAAATAAGAGTAAATAGGATTTAGGAGATTACAATCAGACTAGAAAGATTTAATCGATGTATAATCTCGAATAACCTTTATAAATAAAAACCATGTCTCCTGAAATGAAACCTTAAGTTCAACCTTATTAATAAATAATGATTCCAGTAATGAGTACACCCAATCTTGATAATACATAAATTGCTTTGGCTTATTGTTAAAGAGAGTTGGCTTAACAAAAAATGGTAAATTTTTAATTAATGATGATGATCTAAGTAAATATAATCTAAATAATTTTAGAACTTCTAAAATATTACACAATTATAAGTCAAAGAAGAATCTAACATAATTAATTGAATTATTATTAAATAATATAAATTTTATATGAACGTCGAAACATAAAATTCTGATAAAGTGCAATAAGTAATAATTGATTAATACTTTAGATTCTGCTTAAATAAGAATAATTGATAAAAGAATAGAAATATTATGAATATGAATAAAAAATACTGACTTTTGGATCCAGATTTATTAATTAATAAAATAAGGATGGAGCTATTATTTTATATTTATAAGCAAGCAAAGTATTAGTTAAGAACAATTAAGACAATTCAGGATTTAATTTAGCAACAGAAGTAATCAAAATATCAGATGAATTGGATTCTCAAAATATTGGTAAGATTGATCCATTAATTTCTAAGCTGAGATCATGTCAATTTATTCTATAGCTCAATTCAGTAAATTAAAAGTTCAATTCATAAATAAAGTGCTTAAGAAATATCCAAATTATAAAGATTAGATTTGTCAATAAGTGGGTGTAGATCTAATCAATCATAATAAATTTCATTTAGCATGGAGATATCTAATATAATTATCTGATGTAAATACAGAAATTTAGATGTTGGTAAAATGGAATTAGTAATTGTCTGAATAAGAAAGATAATATAATTTAATCAGATATTTGTTAATGTAATATTTTAGATTAAATAAATTAGTAAACTTGGTTAAGGATTATATAATGAGAGTGTTAAAATATTGAATGAATTGATTCCTACAACAGTTACATAAGAGGCTCTATTTATTCATTTATTAGTGAAATCAATAAGAATTTAAAGTAGAGAAGCATATGATTTAGTTTTTAATAAATTTAAGGTTGTTATTGATGCAGATCCAATCTTTTAAGATGTATAAAATTATTATAATTAGTTATATTATAAAGTAGGAGTGAAATACTTTGGATTAAAAGAAAAGGAATAATAATCATAAGGTATTGGTGGATTATTGAGTTAATTCTTTTAATGAAATTACAAATAATATAAATATTTAAATAATATATAATAAATAGATTTGCTTATGTGATATTGGAGATATAATCATAATTATGAAGACAACAAAGGAAGAATTCTCAAATAAGATTATTTAATAATGAATAAATGTATCATCTGCTGTCATTTTGATTTAATAAAAAAAAGAGATTATAATTTTATAATCTCTAATAATTAAAGTCATTGATTGTAGTGTTTTCTCTTGGAATTAAAGATATTTAAATTAATTAAGTGAAGAATAGATAATAGATTGTTTTAATTGATAATTGATATAAATAGATATAGTTATGTTGATTGCTATAAGAAATATTTCTTTCTTTTTTAAGGTTTATAATTGTTATTAGGATTAAGTAATGAATATATATTAGGATTAAGTGATGAATATATATTAGGATTAAGTGATGAATATAAATTACCTTATGAAGGAAATGAGAATATTATACATAAAAGAATTAGATTTAGATGGTAAACTATTTTATTTTTTCAACTAATCATTTAATTCTATTGATTAAACTAATTGTCTCATGTTAATTAATAAAAAACATTTACTTTAGTACTACTCTTTTTTTTGTTATAGTTTCAAAACAAAAAGAAAAGAAATTTGTAGATTGACAATATAATTATTAAAATTTATAAATTACTTTTCTGGTTCCAAAATACAAATTAAACACGAAAATCTTAAAATTGCGCTCAGTCTTAAAATAAAAAGGCAATTATTAAAAGGATTTCACACCATAAAATAATTAATGAAGATGGACAATAAAAGATTTAAACTGATGCTAGGACTTAATTATGTAGGGTCATCAAGTAAGATATACAACTAATCCATAGATTATTTTGCCTCATCCACTAAATCAAATAGTCTCAAAAGATGTGCCAATACATAAACAACTACTTAGGATTTGACTCAATTTGACTATTTATTACAATCTCCATAAATTATTAAGGTATTAATTCTTACAATTTATAATAGAAAGTCAAATTAACTACTGAAAGCACTATTCATATCTATGAAGACGATTTATATTGCTATGAGAGTATACAAAATGATGAATCACCACCAATCACTTTTTAGACTAAATCTTCTCCAATCCCAATATAGAAAGAATTCTACAATATCAATCCTCTTTACTTATAAGAATACAATGAGAAAGAATATAACTATAAAACAAGAGCTATTATTTTAAATCGAATTTAAGATAATTGTCAGAATTTGAATAACCCTTTTTCTCATAAAGCTATATATCTTTATGATTTGTTCCTTTGCAGACTTTAAAGTAAAACCATAAGCAATTAGACACAATTAAGATTTCTCTCCTTAGCTATAATCTTTGTAATTACTAAAATGAATACTGAAACTCCCAATATTAGTTAACTCTTATCATAGTCATCACTTAATATGACCAAACAATAATTAATATAATATGAGAGACTAATCCTTAATGTATTAGATTGGCATAATAATCCCTTAACCTTATAAGATATCATGTATGAGATTATTTACAGATTTTATATTACTTTTCCCCATTTAAAAATCTAATCAGAACAAAATACTAAAATCATAAATTAAATTGTTAATACTATTGTTCTAGACCATAATTATTTAAAATATACTTTAGAAGATCTCTCCTTTTCAATAGTATCTGTACTTTTTAATAAAGATCTATAAGAAGATTAATTTGAAGATTTTCTTAAGATTCATAATAAATAAAAATAGAATATCTAATAAACAATTAAATTTGTATCTAAGTATATAAGAGTAATTAATTAGTTGGTATTTTATTATCTAAAAATTTTTAGAATGAAAAATAACTTGACATTAATTCATTAGAAATACTTAAATTAGTTTGTGATTGATTATATATATATATATATTTATATGTCATTAGTAATATAATTTAAATTTGTGATTGTTTTAAGCACTTTGTATTCTAGTTTTATTAATCATTATTTTATTTGATTAGTAAGAACTTCTGATATCATTTTTAACTTCATTTAATAATTAATCAAATTCATCATCTATTTCTATTCTTTAATTTTAAATGCTATCATAATTCTCATCAAATGTAGAATTCATTATTTATGGTGTCATTCTCTTATCCTTTATTTAAGCACTATTTGTACGACTTCCCAAATAAGTTTAATTATCATTAATTTTAAACAATTTCCTTCTAGGGCCATTTTACTACATAAATGATTATAGATCTTATTATTTTTGTGTCAATTTCCTTTAAGTATTTTCATTTTTAGTATTATTATTTGAAATTGTTTCAATAAAACTATTATAGCATAATCCACATACTCTCACAAATTGAAATTCATCAAATTTTAGTACAATTCTTCCTGTTACATCTAAATGTAATTTTTAATCATTCAAATGATGAAGATTTCTATGCATTCTTATCTTCCAAATTCTATTTTTCAATACTTCAAATGTATCATTAACTTTAGTTAATTTTCTACAACTAAAACATTAAATCATAGTGATTTCATCTGTTACTTATTTTTTTGGTTAAAACTATTCAAACTATTCTTAATTATGTAAATAATTAAATGAATTAATGAAATTAAGAGTTCTTTTAATATTTTTACATTAAATATTGGTGTTCCACATAATAATTAATTTATCTCCAACATATTTCATAAATAATTCAATTTCATTTACTTTTTAACTTTCATTTAGACTAATTAATTTTTCAATTGTAATTCCTATTTTATTTACTCTTGTTTCAAATAAAACTTTTTCACATGCAAATTAACTATCTTTCAAAGTAATCAATGGTTCTAACGATAAAGGTATCCTTTATTAAATTAAAGTAACATGACCTTATCGAGAATATGTAATAAAGTTTTCACTTGAGTATATTTATTAAATGATCACATCTTAATATAGTTCTGAAAAATTAGTGATGTCAGATATAAGTGCTTCAAGTTCATTACGTGTTAAATATTTAAATTAAACATCTTTCTTATTCAATAATCTCTAAAATGAACACACATACTTTTCTTTAGAATTGAATGTGTCCAATATACTTTTTAAAGTAACATTCTCTTTTCTTTTTTTCAATATTTTACCAGAACATTATGAACTGGTAAAATAATGAGATATTTTGCTACCTTGCAAATAGAATGTTTATGGAACTTCGAAACAGCATTCATACATTGCAAATTATTATGCTTTCCAAAGTTCTCCTACTATATTAAACATTATAATTAAATAATACAGTAATTGATAAATATTGGATTATGTTTAAGAATATAATTAAATAAATTCATTTAAATTTGCATTCTAATGTATTTGTATAGTGATTTAATATTTATTAATGAGGAACCATTTTCTTACATGTTAAACAATATGCTCTATTTTAGCATTTTACACTGTTACAATGAACAATTATATCAAAAAGTTAAAGTTAAGTAATCTTAGGATTAGTTGAGTTACAATTTGGACATGGTATATGATTAACAGCTTTTACTTCTGCTTAAATTACTTTTTTGATTTCAACCTTTTAAACTTCTTTCACTACTGGTCTTGTAACCCATTATCCATTCACTTTTATTTTGCATTTATTATTAAAAGGACTATTTCCTTCAAAATGAGAATAATGATCCTTATTTTAATATATATACATTATTACTTGTTTCTCAAGTTAAATATCACATATATTACAAAAATTAGTACCACATCTACAGGTCATAAAATTACAACCTGCTACCTTTTCTACCATTACCCTACATTTAGGACATCTGCTTGCTTTTAAAAGAACCTTTAAATCTTAATAAACTTTGTCCTAATACATTATTTTTTATTCTTCACAAGTTCTTTCATTCTTGTGTTATGGTAAGAAACATAAACGACAATATTACATTTTACATTTAATACAATTTTAATATTCTAAATCTAATAATTATATAATACCTGCATTTTTCCAAATTATATATTTCTCTCTACAAGTCTCGTTTAAACAATTAGTTAATATTTCATTTTCTTCTAAACCAAAAATTTGATTCATTTCTATACTTAGTTCACAATATTTCTTGAATATTTATTCTGAAACAAAATTCTAAATCAAACTTTAATCGAAAAGCTTTTCACATCCAGGACATTTAAAAGTATCTAAACTTATATTTTGTTCCTTTATTTTATTTTCAAAATTTAATTTTAAACAATTCTTACAGAAAGTGTGAAAACAGGAAGGAAATGTAAAGGCTTGATTGTTATCATAAGTTATTAAACATATTGGACACTCAAACATATAATCTAAATATATTATTAAACTTTAGAACAAGAAGAATGGATATTTATATATGTAAATTCATTAATTCTATCAAATATTTCCGAATATTAATTATACTTATAATTAACTTAATCCCTCTACAGATAATATTCTTTACTAATATAATTATTCTTATCCCAAAATCTTTCCTTAAATAGTTGAATATTATTTATATGCCATATTATTCTATCTAATTAATTTATAAATTATCCTTCTTTCTATCTCCTATCATATATCAGACTTACTTTCACAGTTTTATTCTCTAATTGAAATAAATATCTTGTAATTTATCATATCATGATGTATTTTCCCTTCAGAGATTAAAAATCCATCAGAAATTGTAATTAAGTAAATATCTTAAAGTAATCATATGAATTTAATTTATAGATATCAATTAGCTTTATAAAAAAATATGAAAATTTTACTTTTTTTTATAAACTAAGTGTTTCTGACTTCAGAATAAGTACTTATAGTTATTTATAGCAATTTCATTAAGTGCAAAATTATTCATAATAATTAAATCATTTATATGTATTGTTGAGTATTACATAAATTATTAATATTTATATTATAATATGAATTTCAAAGAGGATCCAAAAAATCTGATTATCCCTCTGGATTTAGCCAAGATTATTTATGATAAGTGGGATGCTGATTTGGCCATCTTAGATTAGCCTGATTAAGTTTATGGCAAAGCATTACATGGGAAAGGAGAAGTTACATTCAAAAATGGGAATAAATATGAAGGAGAGTTTCATAATGGGATGTTACATGGTTCTAGTAATTTACAATAAACTAGGTGAGGGCACATTTACTTGGGCGTCTGGAGTAATCTATAAGGGTGAATTCACATACAATAAAATTGAAGGATAAGGAACATATTATTGGCCAGAAGGTTCAACTTATACTGGCACTGTAGTGAATGGACTTAGACATGGATAAGGCAAGTTTGTTACAGCAGATAAATCAGCTGTATATGAAGGATAATGGGAGAATGGTTTAAGACATGGTTTTGGTAAAATTGCTTTCAAAAGTGGGTATAATTGTCATATTTTAAATTTAGTGCCACATTTGAAGGACAATTTTATTAAGGCAATAAATCTGGGAAAGGTAAAATGATTTATCCATCTGGTAATTATTATGATGGAGATTTCTTGATGGATAAGAAAGAAGGATATGGAGTGATGTTTTGGTTGAATTCAAATGAAAAGTATTATGGAGAATGGAAAGATAATGTATAAAATGGTTGGGGAGTTCATTTATGGATTGAACCTAAAGGAGAAGGTTCTAAATATCTGAGAAATAGATATGAAGGAGAATGGGAGAATGGAGAAAGGAGTGGAGTTGGAGTCTTTTACTATGCTAATGGAGCTAAATATATGGGAAGTTGGAAAAACAATTTAAAATATGGAGTTGCTCTATTTATAACAGATACAGGTGGTTTTATACTTGGAGAATTCAAATAAGATAGATTAATAAAGGTTTATGCAACTACTGAAAATGAGTCTAGAACTGGTATTTTACCTAGAGAAATTGCTCCTTAAGGTGGTGAAGTAATCTTATAGAATGAAAACCCTAAAGAAGTAGGAGATAATAAAGATAGAAAGAAAGATAATAAAGATAATAATAAAGATAAGGATAATAAAGATAATAAAGATAAAGATAAAAATAAATTGGGTAATACTACAAAGAGACCTGAAAAATTAGCAGGTATCAATAATCCAAATCAAACATAAACAAATCTTAATAAAACAATAGAAACTAATCCTTATTCTTATATGATTGATTTCTCAGATTTATATAAAGGATTGTAATTAGATACTTAATAAATTGATCAAAATGTTTAAACTATGTTATTAAGACATAATTATACACTTAAAACACATTATAAATTCTTTGCTAATAAATTTGAAAGTATGCTTTATGAAGATACTTTCTCTTTGAGTTTAGAAGGATTTTGGAAAATTGCAAGAGATGTAATTTAATATTTTTAATTTAGGCTAAATTATTGAATCAAAATTATTCATTGGCTGAGTTGAATAGAAATTTTTTATAAGGATCTAAAAATAATTATAGATTAAAATATGATAGATAAGAATTAAATGTAGAAATAGATGTACTTAGTAGATAAGGAAGTAATATTAATTTGTAAGAACTTAATGATTTGTTCCATTAACAAATGGCTTTTGATTGTTTATCAATTGAAAAAATAAATTATCAAGATTTCTAACTTAAAGATGTAACATTTAAAAAGAAAGTTGAAGATATTCATGATCCTAGAAGATGTATTTTATTTAGACATTTTATTGAATTAATTGTAAGATTATCATATTTGAAATATGGCAATCTAATTGATTTACATAGAGCAATTGAAAGAGTAATAATCAGTAAATTGACTCCATATTTTGAAAGAAAAAAGGGTAAATAGAATTAATCTTTGGATGATACTAAAAAATCAACTCATCCTAAAATTATTATTGGAGATTTCATTGATGAAGTTAAACCTATATTTGATGTATGGTCTATTGAAAATAGAGAGACTTAATTTGGATTTACTGATAGAACTATTAATTTAGAATAAATATATAAGTTATTAAACGCTTCAGAATAAGATAAACTCATTTTAATAAGTTATGTTGATAAAAACTTTGATACTGATGAAGGACAAATAACATAATAATCTATTTCATAAATTGATTAATCCTCTGTCAATTAAACAGTCAGAGAAGATGGAAATAAACGTAGAAAGAAATAATAAGATTAGACTGCTGAAAAAGATTAAAGAAAGACTTTAGAAAAATCTACATCTATTATTAAATATGAATTATTGTTGTTTGAATTTACAGATATTCTTACATCATTCTTAGTCAAAAAAGTATTCATATTATATTTATCATCATCTAGCATAAAGACTTACATACCAATAAAGAAGATGAATTCAAAATAAGAATGAGTAATCATATCAAAAAATTGAAAAACAGAAAACCTCCTTCTTTAAACAAATACAAATAGCCAAGATTAGAACCCTAGACATAGAAAGATATTTAGAAAGAGCAATTGAAATAATTAAGAATTTAATAAGAAATCAAAGCTAGATAAAGGAAATTATTAGAAGAAGAAAGAAAATAAGAGTATAATTAATAATTTATAATAATAGAGAACGAGAGAGAAATTTAATGGCATTAGAAGATAATGATATCAAATCAGAACATGAAGATGATGAAGTGGAAAGTGAAGAAAGCGATTATTGACATTTTAATCAAATAGTAAATTTCTTATATATAAATAAATTTATTTAATTTATATTTATAAAATTCTTTAAATTAAAATTATAATGTCTGATCAAGAAGAAACAACACCTAGAGGAGCTAAGACTCATAAAGGCAAAAGAATTCTAGAGTCTCGAGAACCTAAATTAGTTGAAGGTCCAAAACAAACTCTTTTCATACGAGGTCCTAAGACTTCTCTTAGTGTAAGATAATTGGCACATGAATGGCATTTGATAAAAAGAGATTTTAGTACTACATATAATAAGAATCATGAAATCTAACCATTTGAAGATACTAAACAATTAGAAACATTTTGTGAAAGAAGTTAATGTTCAATGTTTTTTTTTGTATCAAATTCAAAGAAACGTCCTGATAATCTAATTATTGGAAGAACATTTGATAAAAAAATATTAGATATGGTTGAATTACATTTAAAAGAATTCAAAAGTCAAGAAGAATTTGGTACTTCTGTTGAAATTCCTATGCATGCAAGACCATTAATTATTTTTAATGGTGATGTTTTTGGATTTAATCCAAATCATATGAAATTACATAATCTTTTTACAGATTTCTTTTATGAAAATGTTCCTATTTAAGATATAAAATCATAAGAAATTCATTTAATTATAAGTATTACTGCAACAAATGATACAAGTTTAGCAATAACAGTATTATAAAAATAGAATCATGAAGATGGTATTAAAATTTAAGAAATTGGTCCTAGAAGTATTTTTGAAATTAGAAGAACTAAATGGGCAGATGATGAATTATTTAAGAAAGCTTGTCGTTAACCTAAACCAAAAGCTAAACCACATGTAAATAAATATATTAATAATTTTAGGAAAAAAATATTGTTTATGATGAAGTAGGTGACAAAAGAGGAAAGGTTTTCGTTTAATAACAAGATCTCAGTACTTTAGCATTAAAAAAAAGAAAGAAGCTTAGAAAGGGTGATCAAAAATTAAAAGCTAGAATTGAATCTTAAGAATAGAATGCAGAAGTTAATGAAGAATGAAATCCTGTGTTGTTTATAAATATCTAGACTAAAAAATTATATTGTTTTTATTATTATTCTTAATGATGTCATTTTTATGATACAATTTCAACTTAAGAAATATCACAAATTTTCCAAGTTTGAAAATAATTATGAAGATGATTATTTTCATATGAAAATATCAGATATACAAATAACTAAAATTATTAGTTAATATAAAAAACACTATAGATGATGAATTGATACAAATAATCAAAGAAAATGTAAAATAATTGTAAAATTTATTCATCATTAAAATTTTCTTAAATTTTTAAATAAGAATAGCAAAAAATAATTTATTATAAAATTATACTTAAAATCTTTTAATAAGTATATAGATTAAGTAATTTTATACTTATTGATTATATTGCTTCATTATATTTTTAATTTTATAGTAATATTTAATTACATATATATATATCTATTTATATAATGAAATAATAAAGTATAGTGTTTAAACTTATAATTTTTTTAATTCCTTATTATTTAATAAATAAAATGAGATATGTTTAATTCTATCACATTTATTCTTTTTTATCAAATTAATTAATAAGTTGTACTAATCTATAAATATAATTTTGCAACTTAAATTATATATGAAATGATATTAATCTCTTATAAGGTTTTTTGGTTAATGAATATTATAGAGATATGATAATATAGTATTTTCAAGTTCTTAAGTAATTGAATTGTCTAATTGGTGAAAATTAAATTTAATTAAAGTGATGATGAATAATTATTTAGAATAAGGGAATTAATTTGAATAAATATTATTAATTTAGAGGTGTATATATAGTTTGAAGTAATTAATAAAGGTAATATTATATTATTTTTTGGGATTATAATAATAAATAATCAAAATATTTAGAAAATGTAAATATACCCTATATATGGCGATGATTCTCCTATAAATGAAGTTACATCTGGGAGTGGACATAAAAGTGGATCAAATTAAATAAAGAAACTTCATATAGCTAAGACTTCTCGATATCTGTATTAGAATATTGTAAAGAATAGATTGCCACTTTATAATCCACCTTCAATTGAATCAAGAATTACATTATCAAGAACAGACTCTCATTTGAAGTTAAGTTTTGTTAGTCATTCATAACAGATGAGGAGGAATGCAAAATGTGAATTTCGTCAAATAAGTAGAAAATTGATTCATGCAATGAATTTTGTGAAAGAACTTAGATAATATGCTGAATAATTAAGGACATAACATATGGAATATAAATATCGGCATCGTAACTTTTTGCCTTTGTATCCAGATGATAAAATGTATATCATATGGATAGTATTAATGAAAGGGTTGCATTGCTTTGCCTCAATAATTTTGCCTTTTGAATTGGCATTCCAAGTATTGTAGCTAAAAATATTAAGGGAGTCGGAACAATAGTGACTCAAATACTTTCTGCAATATTTGCAATAGATATCCTCTTTAATTGCATAAGTTGTCACATAGATGAGCATAACATTCTTTTGCATACTTTCGATGCAATAATTCCCTATTATGTAAAAAGATGGTTTTTAATTGATTTAATATCTATAATCCCATTCGAAGATTTCGAAAGTACTTAAATATTGGGATTAATGAGATTATTTAGAATAGCTAAATATTTTATGTATGAAAGACGTGAAAATTACCATACAGCTAATGATATAATTAAGAAGAAGGAAATTATAGTAATTGAAGATTTATCCTATAGAGAAGATTATAATATAGATTTGAGAATAAGAAGAGTAGTAACCATATTTATAGATATGGTAATATTGACTCATATATTTGCATGTTTATGGTTTTGGAGTGCTAGAATAGATGAATTTAATTAGGATACATGGGTAGTAAGAGAAAATGTTTAAGATTTTAATATAGGAAAATAGTATCTTATTTGTTTTTATTGGGCAATATAAACAGTGACTGTTATAGGATATGGAGATGTTGCTGCTCATACATCTTTTGAATTCTTTCTTTAAATAATATGGATGCTAATTGGAGTTGGATTCTATTCATTTACTATAGGTGATATTACTTGTATTTTGGTGAATGTTAATCCACTTTAAGAATATGAAGATTAATTAATATTATTAGAGGAATTGGGAGATTAAACATTTATGATTGATGAAATACTCAAAGAATTAATACAATTTGCTAAATTCAATATATCTCATAATCCATTTTGGGCACGTAATACAATTGAGATGGTATAAGCTTTACCTTGGAGTATGAGATAATATATTATTGCATCAACTCATAGAGAAATACTCAAAATGGTTCCATTTATTGCCAATGACATTAATTTCTCTACTATGGTATTACCTTATTGTACTTTTGCTAAATATGATGAATATTCTACAATATATCATATAGGTTAAAGTTCTTCTGATTTCTATTATTTATTAAGTGGTGATGTAAGATTATCTGATGCTTCTGGTGAATGTATAATAAGAGTTATGGAAGGAACAGTTTTTGGAGAAGTAGAATCAATTGAATAGACTTTAAGAAGATGGCATGCTCATGCTGTTACAAAAAGTGTTGTTTTAATGTGTCCAGGTAGATTTTTTGAATCTTTAATCAAATAAAATTCTACTCAGTTTTTTGAATTATATTAGATGTATAAAAGAAGGAAAATCTTATTATCTGATTATGCAGAATAAAAATAAAGTAATATTTATATATCAATTATTTTAGGATAAGCTGTTAGACTTAAAAGATCTACAGCCATAATTGTAGAAGGTAAAGTAGTTTAAACACAATAAGTTAGGAGATCAAGTGAAAATAGATAATAATTCAAATCAAAAATAGATTGTAGAAATTACATCAGTGTATAATAGGATTTAATGTTATCAGTTGTTGGTTAAAAGTAAGCAAGGAAGAAATTATTAAGAGAGAAATTTAGATTGGTATATTTTATATATATAAATAAAGGCTGTTGATAGAATTAAATAAATGATAGTTAGAACAAAGAAAAGAAGAGGTGCATTAGTTGCAGATCCAGATTATAAAATCATTAGAGAATTGATTGCTACAAGAAGTCAATAGACAATTTAAACTAATATGTTTGATAGTAATAATTATTTACAAAAATTAATGAATAAATTTGGTAAAGTTGTAGAAGAAGAAAATTTAGTATAATCTTTTATAATAAAAAAAAAATAAGAATCTTATGAAAAAATTAAGAGAATGAAATTTAAGAAACTTGTTGGTGAATGGAATAAAAGTAAACATCGTAAATCAGTAAAAAGAGAAATTGATCTCTATTATTCATGGTTTCATGAATTAATATATTAAGAACTTTTATAAACTAGAATTGATCAAAAATAAAAGATCAAAACTAAATAAGATAATATTAGAAAGAATTCAGTTTAATAACTTAAAGTATTAAATTTAAATGTTAATTATATAATACAATTAGCAATGAAATTTTCAATTCATAAATTTGAAATAATGAAAACTGAAAGAGAAATTGATCTAATTATTGATGAATGCCAATCTATCGTATAATAAATTATGTGATATTACTTACTCTATAAAATAATATTATATATATTTATAATGTTCTAATTGAATAATAATTCATATTTAATATTGTATTTTTATAAGTAATTTCTTATTTTCTAATGGGTTAATTTCTTTTTTTATTTATATATATATATATATTTAACTATTCATAAAAATACATAAATATATATAGTTGGTTAATATAAACATGAAAAATATAATTTCTAATTTCTTCTAAAAGTCTGTAATTCTAAAATATAAGATGGCAATAAATAAATGATGAAAATAATAAGAATTATTCAAACCAATATTATGATCTAATTATTTAGTAAGTAATATAAACAAATAAAGTTGATGAAGATATATATATAGCTTAGATAGAAAAGTAGATGAAAAAATAAATTAATTAAAAATTTTGGCGAAGATTAATAAAAAGTTAAATATAATTACTTAATAATGTAACATAGACCTTAGTCATCAATAATTAAGTTGAATCTGAGGCTTCTGATGTTCGATCTAGAGAATCAATATCTCGTCTAATGTTCACTCTAAAGCCAAACAAAGTTATAAGTTCTCCAACTAAAACGCTTTGTTGATGGAGAGACTCTTTATATTTAGAATCTATTATATAATAAGAAGTCAATATATTGTGTATCAAGAATATTTAATTAAGAACCATGCCTTAAAAATTAGAGGTAATTAATATGCATTTTGAACTTTTTTAGAATCATATTTAATATATAGAGAAAGTTGATTGATTTGAATTACATACTTATCTATTAGGATTAACTACTGCAAATTAAGAAGGAAGTATAGTGTCAATGTTGAAAGCAAAAATTTGAGAATAACCCTAATAAATATCTGAGCTTACTGAAGGCTTAAAAATACGATGCAAATCAGTGAAATTAACATAACTAGTAGAATTACAATAAGAAATAAAGAAACAACAAAATGAAATAATGTGTTTGAAATAGATTGAATAAGTTGCCATTAAGGTGAAAGACCAAGAGTATGTTCTTTCATATGAAAATAGCTTATTTAATGATCCAGAGACAGGGAAGCGAATTAAAAATTATATATTGACCATTTAATGCTCAAGAGTACCAAGTTGAAGTATCATTTGATATATAGAAATTAGAAGAGAGATCTAAGAATATATACATAAACCTACTAATATTATCAATACTTATTAAATAGATAAAGAACAACTTGAAGATCTTAGATATAAAGTAATTTCAATGTGTGTTGAGTAAAATAAGGTTATAATATATTTTAAAAAGACTGAATTCATTCAATTAAAATAAGGTGTAGAATGCTTTATAAGGAAGAATTTTAATTATCAAATTTGAAGGCATAATTAATAAAAAAAATTTGATAAAATATTTGAATTTTGAAATGAAATATATAAAAATAGAAGATATAATAATATTGATGATTTAAGACTAATTTGAATATAGAACAGACAAATGTTCTAAAATCTATAAATTTTTAGTATTTTGCAGATGCTTATAATATTGATTAAGGATTTTTGAGTGTTTTTATTTAAGAGATGAATGTTAAATGATGGATTAATTGAATCAATTATAATAGATTTATTTAAAAATATACAAATCAATTCCAAAAAAGATATAATTAAAATTTGAAAATGATCAGGGAATATTAATGTAAAAATAGGATAGTGATGAAAAATAAATATATTATGAATGAATTATGATTTGATACAATATTGTTATTTGAATATATATTAAATAAATCAAAACCTATCGTATGGCAATGGCTATGATTTATAAAACAAGTATCCTAAAACACCTATAATAATAACAAACATGAAGAATCCCCAAATAAATTAACCCCATAGTGTTCTATCCCATACTGAATTTGGGAATGTTTAATTAATAGGAATCTATGAAATATTGAAATTCAAGATTGTTGATCCTCCTTTTCCTGAAACCAATTAATTATTGATGTATGTCTAAATGCTCATTGCTGAAATAGAAGTTATTAATTATTAAGAATCCTAAGTAAATAATACTGATGAATTTAAAGTTACACCTCCTTAAATATTATAATTAGGATAAGCAGAAATAGTAAGATAAGGACATGTATCAAGTAATGTAATTACTTAATTATCACTTATCAAAGTTCTAGCAATACCAGCAACAGGTTAATTATCTATTTAAGGTGGTTGCATCAATTATAGGATAGGAGGAGTTTCTGTTGAAACATAAGTGGTTGATCCTATAGCTGTAACAATAATTTCTAATTCTTCTTTGATTATTATTGGTTCAGGTGTTTTTATTGCATTAGGTTATAAATTACATTATCTATAAAATATAAAATAATATATATACTGATTAATAAATCCATAATTAAGGAGTGAAACCTAATTATTAGATGAATTTGAAGGATTGGCTACTATTGCTACTACTTAATATTGATTAGTATTTGAGCTGCTTGCTGAAATTTATAAAATAGGATTTTTATCAGATAATCCAAGAAGTGTACAAGCATATTAGGATTGGAGATAGTAACCATTACTCAACTAAAATTGTAATTTAAATATATATGCTGTTCCTTAACTGACTGCTATTAAGGGTACAAAAGAGATAGTATTAAATTCAATTATTGGAGATCCTGCTTAAATTACTTATTGAACAGAATTTTATGTATAACCTAAATGTAAAATAATTAAATACTTGATACTAATTACATTAAAGCTAACAAAAAAGGTTTTGATGAAGTTGAGATCATAATATTTGTTTAATTATAACTTACTTTTGCATTAGTTTAAAATATTGAAGACAAATTAGTATCTGGAATAAGTGTGATTACAAATCCACTATCACTACCATATGTATTATTTGCTTATGGATAAGATTATAAACATTATTCATCAATATCTGAAACACATATGTATCCAAACATTATTTGAGGGAGTGGATTTGATATTTAAGGATTATTCAATCCACCAAAGTATTCAGTTGTTATTGAAAATACTGTAACTGAATATTAGTTAGCTAAAGTATTATTTGGAACTTAATAGATTTATTAAATTGGTTAAATGTATTAATAATAAGATACATTTGGATTTGATGGATAAATTGCTATTTTAGTGTCAAAATTAGCAGTATATAAAAATGGTAATATTATAATTGTTGGAGGTGATGAACCAAAATTATAATTATATTAGAATTATAATACTACTACTCCTATATCTAAATAAGTGGCTGATTAAAGTGAATATGATCCATTATTTGTATAATTAAGTTAACCTAATGTTGGGAATGCTTCATTTAATATTATTATCTTTGTTTCTTATACTTATTGAGTTAATGTATTAAATAAAGTAAAAGAAGCTGCAAATTTATTATTTATATTAGTTCCACAAACACTGACTACTCCTAATGAATATTTATCCACAAATATTAATGGACATTTCTAAGAATTAGGAGATATATCTAATATAGGTAATTTATAAATCAAAGGATAATTAATTTTTACTGTTGAATTATTAACAAAATCTTAAGGTGGATTATAATAAATATATGGAGTCACATATACTAATCTATTTGTTTAAACAAAAGTGAACCAATATTAATTTTAAGAATTACTCTCCGAAAGCTGTGATTATTCTGTTTATATATACATATATGCTGAAACTGCTGTAACTGGAAATTAAAAGTTTGTAGTTTATGGTTGTCTTTCCACTGGAGATATTATGTCAAAGTAATAAAATGATGATTAATTAGTTCCATTTGATAATTAAAAGCTTTAGGTATTTCCTTAGAAATAAGACCTTGGATCCACTTAGACATAACCTGATAGTTATATAGTTGTACTATTTTATACTGTACTTGTTTCTTTTACAAAGGAAATTAAATTCACAGTCTAAAATGTTGCTTAATATTCTTAAGCAGAATCTGGCAATTCAGAAGTGTATAATTTACTTGAAGCCTTAAAAATTACATAACTGTATTCTGTTTGTTCGTAGAAATTGCTATTCAAATTACATTATACTTAAAATTCAAATTCCTCCAAAAGAAGACTATTACGATATCCATCATTTCCTTTTGATTTAAATACTATTCCATCATAATATATAGCACTAGTAACACTAAATGGAGCATTGACTATTGGATCATTTGCATCAGTCTCAATCACAAAATATAATGCATTCTAAATTGAAGGAGTATTCTTATACACATATATTTAATATATATTTTAATTGAAAGGTTAAGCCATAATGTATAAGAAACGAGCTGAGGCAGCACTCTACACTATCTTCTGAATTCCATACAACTATAATTAAATTCCATTTACAGGAAGATTAGGAGGAGTTTATTGATATTAGGAAAACAAGATTAATGGCATAAAATCAATTCTTGGATAAAATGTTAAAGTAGATTATCCAGAGTTATTGATTATTAAAAGATACATTCCTTCCATAGTGAATTGAAGTTAAATATCTGTTTTTGTGATACTATTATATGTTTAAACAGTTCCAATTACTTCTAATTTATATGAATATTTAGTAGAATAATTTGAGTAACCTCCATTATAATTGATAGCAGTAACATAATATTAATAATCAATCATATCTGTAACGACAGAATCTTCAATATTAAGGAAAATGATATTTCCATAGGCAGGTACATTATAAGTGAAACTGTTTATTTTAACATTGTTAGTATTTTCATATGTTTAAAATGATGAAAGTTCAGTAATGCTAATATTTTGAGTCAAAAATTCTAAAAGATTGATAGCTGAGAAATAATTTTTGGTTTATTAACCATTTTAAGTTTGTTAATAAAGCATATAGAAATTATCTTAAATCAATGCAATTTGTATTCCTTTAGAAGAGTTTACTTATTTCGAATTATAATCTATGGTTTTACATGTTTAATATAATGCTGTATATGGAAAACTGACCATACAAATTGTAGTATGTCCTACATATGTTTTGTAATTGATATCAAAATCATTCCACATATATGCTATATTTAAAGAATTATTAGTTGACATACTCAAAGCGAATTGCTCAACTAATGTATCTTTTACTGGAATGCTAGCTATTAAAGTACATGGTTAATCTTTTAAAGCTTAACATTAGAATAAAGCTACATAATTTGAAACTTACACCAATTAAAGGTAATTATCACTATCAGCTACCTTATCTTGATAATTTTCAACAAAGGAATTATCATAAAATATTTGAGAGTACAAAATCTTTTATCCACCTATAATATTAGAATTTATTTTGAATGGACTCTGTATTGAAGGAGTTTATAAAACATTAGAAAATTAAATATCAAAATTTGAATATGCTGATTTTGTTGTTGGATATCCAGCTAAAATAGCAGGTCCAATTAACATTTTATTAATATTCAGGATTTGAATGGATCCCATATTTAAATTGAATATTGGACCCCATTAAACATATGTCTCTTTTGTACTATTTACTTGATATCCATTAAATATTTATAAATAATATTCATTTGATGTGATATTATAGAATAACTACAAAGGTGGACATGATGTTTAATTTTTATTTGTATACATATTGGTTGTTGCAGTAATTGTGATATTTTAAATAGTTGTATTTAAAAAAGGTAAATTTGTAGCTGTGATCATTGGATTATTGAATTCATAAGTATAAACATTCTAATCTGCAACAGCTATTAAAATACTATTAAAATAATCAAAGGCAGTAGATTATACATTTAATTTATAGTAAAATAATACTTTCCAATCATTAATAGAATTTAAAATACTTGGATAAACTGATATTCCATTAGAATTACTAATAATAATGTATCTAGAATTCATGAAAACTTAAGTTGTAAATATTTAATTTTAAGTAATTTAAGAAGTTAAAATTAATTAAGATTATTAAAATTATTCCTTATTATCAAATACTCCTGTTTTCTAATTAACTACTGATTCTTGAAATACTCCTACTATTAAACCTTCAATACTCCAAATAGATAAATAAAATGTGTCATCTGAGAAATCTATTTTATAAGAACTTACACCCATAGTTCCTATATTAAAAGGATTAAAAGGATTAAAAGGATTTATTTTTGCTGATAAATCTAACAAATTTACAGCTGTAAATCCATTATAATAAGTAGAAACAAATACTAAAATAAATAATAAATATTACATATTCCATTTTAATTCAATGAAATTCCTGTATAAAAATCAGTTATTAAATTATTGTTAGTTTCCAAAATAGTAGGAAGTTATAATTAAGTGAACTCATATTTTCCATCTTCCCCTTACAATATTTAAATAGCAGAAATATTTGTTGATATGACTGAATATGAATTATTTTAAAATGTTCCCTAATTTACTATTGTTACTATATATTATCCAGCTGTTTAAGTAATTACACTCAAATTCGATCCAGGAGTGATAATTATAGTATCAATCAGTATTGAAAAATTCTATTCTGGATCTGATGCTTAATAAAATAAATATTCAAGGATATTTTTTCCTGAAGATGAGCATGTAACTACAACCATATCTTATAAAAAATTAACTTAATAGCATGTTCCCGAGGTGATTGATGCAAAACTAATATTGTAAGATGCCGATTAAAGTTAAGATTTAACAATTGCAAAATCCAATTCACTAACTTGAATAAGTGCATAATAATTAATTCCTTAAATATAAGGATTATTATTGAAATTTGAAGAAGTTGATGAAATTATTGTTCCTTATAATACTCCTTATCCAATTTATTGTCTTCTCTACACAAAGGGTTATCCTTTAGGGGTAAATGTATATTTAAGTGCATCACCGATAAAATAATCATTAAGTGGTAAACGGAAGGTCTCACCACTCACTATTGTTAACAAATTATATTCTGTATTTTTTAGCTAAACATATAAAAATGAATTACTCTGCATGTCTATGATAATGTCTAATACAAAAAAATTAGTATTAATCCCAATTTCAATATGAATTGCATAAAAATGAGATTTTAATTTATGATTATTTCAGAATTAAAATTACATTTTTATTTTATATCATTATCTAAATCATTTTTTATATAATATTGATTAACTAATTCTTTTTTTATTTTATATGATTGATTAAATATAATAAATAGATAATTATTAAAATATAATGAATCATCAATCTCTCTAATCTTGTTATTTAGATTACATCTTAGACTCTTAATTACTTCTCTAATCTAATATAATCTTTAAGTACTCCTTTCTTTTGATTTATAATATAATACCACATTGCTTGATATATAATACAAATTTATATTTTTCATTCCCAAATATTTATCAAAATTCCTATTAAATAATGTACAAATAATATTTACATCTAGATTTTTAATAAATTCTTTAAAATTTTACTATTTGGAATATATCTAATTATTATAATTTGTATTTTAATTACAAAATATTATTAATAATCAAAACTCTTTTATTTAATATCTATATAATTAGACTACTCAATTTAATTATAAATATTAATATAAACTCATAAAATCATGCATATCTACCCTTAAATTCATGAACATGCTTTGCTTAAACAAACAAAATAAACCAATCTACTATTTTACTAGATAATAATCTTGATATGTGAGCTATATAGAATTAATACCATTATATGAAAATAATTTCTCTTCCTGCTTCTATTGCTTGTAAAATACACTATGCAACATATTCAGGAGTCATCATAGGTAAAAAATAATCCAATTTAGTTTTCAAACCTTATATCTATATATAATAATCATTTCTTATATACCATTCCAGTTTTTATTCCCCATGGACAAACTAATGTAGTTCTAACATTACTATTTTAATATTTTAATTCCATTCTTAAAGCATTATGAAATCCCCACATTGCATGTTTACTAGCTGAATAAGCAGTTATCTTCATCCCTTAAACAATTGATGCAGCCGAACCAATGTTAACAATATGATTGATATTATTATCTTTAATAAATTCTTATGTTAACATAGCTGGAGCAAGATAATTAATTGTGTTTGTTTTAATAACATCTTCAATAGTTTCATCTTCAAATAATTTAAATATTCCAACTCCAGCATTATTTATTAAAATAGTAACTTTGTATTTTTATTTTATTATTGTAATTAATTCTTTTGTTGATTATAAATCACTTAAATCACATCTATAAAATTAAGCCTCACTTCCTTCTTTTCTTATATCTTAAAGTAAATCCAAAGATAAATCAGATCTCACATCTAAAAGGATTAATTTGCATTTTTTTTTTGCACATTCAATCGCCAAAGCTTTACCCAATCCCATACATGCTCCTGTAATTAAAATTGTATCCTTTGAAGTTATAGGAAAGATACACTTTATATTGTCTCTCCAACAATACCAAGCTATCCCTATAAAGATTATTATTAAATAATACATATAATTATTAATATATATTAAAAACATTTATAATATTTATATTAATAACAATTAAAGAATCATATAGAATTGCAAATCAATTCAAAATGCAGGTTTATAAGAATTAATTCCTTAATAAATACTCTTTCTAGTTTGATTAGTTGACATTTGATAATGTTTTCTAGTTGAATTTTAAGGGATTCCATTATTGATGAAAGAATTTGGAGAAAAAAATTATCTTCTATCATCATTTTTAGATCTTAACGGGATTCCCAATATTCTTTTATTGAATTAAGAACAATTTTTAGGACTTGAAATAATTATAGGAGGAGTTTATTTTGGGGATGGACTAAAAAATATGGAATTACTTCTTGGACTAAAACTAGAAGCAGTTTTATCCTAAACTATTTTCTTTCTCTTTATTATAATTGTTTATCGATTATATTTTTTAAATACCTAATCTTGTTTAGCTTGTATTACTGTATATCTTGCAGAAGGGTCAGGATCAAGCATTTTAGTAAGTAAATCTATAGTTTGAGATGAGGAGTTCATTAATGAATAATCTATAAAACCTTCTTAATTCTCAGACAACATCTTTTAATAATTTTGATTGTAAAAGGGAGATTACTTTGATGTCAACATTTAATAAAGTACAATTCCTAATCCATAAACATCAACTTTATAATCATAATTCTAATCTTTGAGTATTTCTGGAGCAATACTACCAGGAGTACCAGCTCTTTAATGATTATACTTCCCATTTTCATTATAATAGACAGCTAACCCAAAATCTGAAATAACGATATCTTCAAGATTGGGTTTACGAAGTAGTATATTTTCAGGTTTGATATCTCTATGCAACACTCCTTTAGAATGAATATTAACTAAAGCTTCTAGTAATTTATAGGTAGTTTTAATGGCATCGTCTTCTGTAATTTGAGTTTATAAAAGATAATCATAAAGACTTCCATATTTGTAAAACTCTTGAATTAAATATAAGTATTTTGATGATTCATATGTTTCTATGATTTGACTTGTAAATGGATGATCCATTTATCGTAAAATATCTAATTCTTATTTAACACAAGTTAAATCAAATTTAGTAGAAGACTTGTCATATATTTTGACAGCAAATTCTTGTTTACTCTCTTTGTGAATTAGAAGATATACCTTATGTTAAAGTTTATAAATTACATCTGCAAAGCTTCCATTTCCTAGTTTTTTCCCAAGTGTATATTTGGTTTTAAGATTATATTGAATACAATATTTTTTAAGATCTCTATTCCATTGTTCAATTTAACCAAAAACTTCAAAACAATAAGTATTCCAAATTAACTTGAGTCCAGATCCTAATTTTTCATGATTGATAATTTCTAATATAAAGTTACTAACATTAAAACACATTATATCATCCTATTTTAAATTATAAACATACTTCTCCTTTACCAAATTTCAATATAATTGAATCCTTCCTAGCAAATGTCTTTTTCTTATAGTCTTTATGCTTTTTTGAATAATAAAATAACTCTTCTTTAGTAAATTCATTCAATCGAATATTTTTGTCAACTTTTTTCCAAATAGGTTAATCTGATTCAAAAAGTATAGACTTGTAATTAAGTAACATCAAAGATTCCATAATGTATTATTATTAATCAAAATACAAGATTATATAATGAAATTTCATTCAAATTATTAAGACACAAAAAAATGCTTAAGATTTTTAATTATGTGATCTTACATTTTTTACTTTTTATAAATAGAAAACCTAAAATCATTTATATATTTTGTTGATATTCTTAATCTATTACTTATTTTATTGTAATAAACATAAGATAATTAGAATTGGATTAATAAATCAAATCAATAATATAATTATATTGTGAATGATTTGAATAAAAATTGATATTATAATATACATAATATAAAATGGAACACATTTTATTAAATTAAAATTCATTGTTCATTTTTATTGAGGAATGTGCATAATAAATCTTTAATATTAATTTACTATTCAATATAATTAATCATTTATATTTTAAATAGAATTTCCATTTTCCATTCAATTTCTAGTTTATTTAGAAAATCTTCAATAAATATACTGACTTAAATTATTCAAATAAAATTAAGGTGATCATATCAAAATCATCTTATTATAATGAAATTTATGAAAGATTGATTGAATTTGAACATTTTTCAACATTAATTTTTAAATAAATTTATATTAACAATATATTATAAAAATTTGTAAACATTTTACAGAATTATATAATCAAATAATTGTGATTCAATATTTCAAGTGAAATTAGAAAAGAGTGTTCTTTGTGATTATGTTGAAAATAGTTTCTTTCCTGGTGACATCATAGGAGATGAAGCATTACTTAATGTTTAGCGGCTATTTTTAAATGTGATTCTAAATTTCTATCTTCTCTAATATTATTTTGAAGAAGGAGGTAATTAATTAATAGGACAAGGGATTAATTTTAGATTCTCAATAGTTTTAGGAGGTAGACTTTATTTAATAGTTAATTTAATTGAAGAATTTCTCTTTTCTGATTCTAGACTAGTAATTTTAAGTTTATGTAAACCTTTGAATACAGAATGCCAAATTGCTTAAGATGAATTAATACGTTTCTATGGATTGATTTCAAGCATCTACTTTAATAAATCAAGTGCATCAGATGATGCATCTATTATAGAGTAATCAATTTGACCATGATAATTGAGAAATATCCTTTCATCATAATTTTTGGTTGGAAATGGTGAAATACCTCCAGATAACATAGTATAGAAGATAACACCTAAACTGTAGACATCAACTTTAAAATCATAACTTTTATCTTATAGAATTTCTGGAGCCACATAACCAGGAGTACCACAACGAGTAAATAAATATTTAACATCTCTTCTAAAGAAATCTGCAAGACTAAAATCACTAATTTAAACATTATATGGAGCCAAAGGATTCTTTACTAAGATATTTTCTGGTTTTAAATTTCTATGAAGAACACATTGTTCATGAATATAACTTATTGAATTAAGCAATCGGAACATTATCTTAATTGCTTATTATTCTGGTATTTGATATTTTTTTATCAAATCAGTTAAAGTACCTCCTTCAAATGAATCATATACAATTAGAAATTCTTATTCATTTTCAAATACTTCTATCAAATTTACAACTCCAGGATGATTCATTAATCTAAAGATTTAAATTTCCTTTTTGATTGCATCAATATCAGATTATTTTGTTAATATTTATTTCTCATATACTTTCACAGTATAATTAGTTTATTCGTAGATATTAATTGCTTCGTATACCTAATTTATTATAAATTGATACTTTGTATGATGATCCTCTATTAAGTAAATTTAATAACTCATACTTATTACTAAATTCTGTCTAATAACAATATTTTTTTAATGATTCAAACCAATCCAGAATTAAAGACCCAAATATTAGAAACTTAAAGGTTGACTTAGTAAAGGAAAGTCCATGACCAATATGATTGTTTTCTACTATTGATATAATACAATCTGTTATATCTACTATCATATATCCAGTCTAAAATCAAATATCATTTATACTTGATTCTTCTTTTTCTTAAAGATCAAACTCCTCATCTTAGCTATCTCTATCACTTTAAACGTTTTCTTCTTTTCAGAATACACATTGAATCTATCAAAACTGATATTAAGAGGTAAGTTTGATATGTTTTTAAATTACCAAAAGGAACTCATCTTTTTATCAATTTATGTTGAATCAAAATCTTTTTAAGGAGATTTCATTTTATAAATTATACTAATTAACATTTATAAACTCTTTAGACATAGTATTTAAGGTAAATACATACAGAAATATTTATTTCAAAATCTTTTATGAAATCAAACAATTTTATCTAATCTAATACATAAATAGCTTTGAGTAATTAATATATACTTTGATTATCTCAAATCTATATCTAATTACATTAATAGATAATCAATTACTAAAATTAGAAATTGATTATTCTAAATCTATAGATTACTACATATTAAATTATTTATTAGTTTCAATGTTATAAAATAGATTAATATTAGTATTCAATGAAAATCTATCTTATTATATCAAAATAATATTAAAAAATAGACTTTTTAATATTTAGAATGTCTATTCTTTAAAAATGTTATCAATAATATTTAATAAATAAAATTGAGATTAAGAATAGTTAAATAATTGTTTAATTTTTATAGTAAGCAATTTTTATAATAAACTCATTTTAATTTGTAACTTGATTCAAATAATAAATATATAATTAATTATATAAATATGTATAATTAAAAGAGAATAAAAATTTATATTTACAGTTATTGTCCAGATGATTTGATTGGATCAGGATACTATATTTAAGTATTTAAAGTCAAGAATGATGTAAATGGAGATATTGTTGCAATAAAAGTATGGAAATATTGTAAATCAAGGTTTATGATCACTCAAGGGTGTAGCATTAAATAGAAAAATATAAATTTCTATAAGAAATCGCAGCATTATAAGTCTTAGATTCACTTAACATTTTTAAAATGCATTTTTACAGTCATAATACATATTTTACATATATTGTAACTGAATACTGTAATTAGGGTATTAGATATTTTTAATTCTATATAGGTGATTTAGAAAATATGATTATGATAAGAGGGTATATTTCTGAGAATGAGGCAATCTTAATATGTTATTAGATTTTGACAGGATTAAAAGACCAAATCTCAAAGGGAGTCATTCATAGAGATCTAAAACCATCAAATATTTTGATATAAAAAGGTATTTATAAGATTGCCAATTATGGACATTCAAGGATGATTTATTCTCAAAACCAATAAGTATAATATAATGTTGGTACAACTCTATATAATTAAACTTAAACATTGACTTAAAACAAATATTCAGTAAAGAATGATATTTGGAATTTTGGAGTATTATTTTATAAAATTCTGACTGATAATGTCAATAATATTATCTTAGGAAAGTTACCTTGGTAGGCGGATAGAGAATAAGAATTTTTTTAATTTTTCACAAAAAATCCTATTCAATTTTCTGATAACATAATAATTTCATCAGCAGCTAAAGATCTTATTAATAAATGTTTATAATTAGATGAGAATAAAAGATATAATTTTAATTAATTATTTGAACATGATCTATTTAAATGTTTTTAAATTAAAACTCCTAAAAAAATAGATTTAAATGTTAATCAACAATTCTCAATTAGGAAATTAAATAAACAGAGCAAATACTAGTTGTACTTAAGAACTTTAGTATCAATCAATCTAAAGATTCTAAAGTAGAAATAATTAAAAAGAGATTAGATAAGAATTCATGAATTATGGAGATGCTGTTTATAATATACTAAATTTACATAAATTGAAATTAAGGATTTAGAAAATTATTGATAATTTTGATTTTTTATTGAAGGAGGATTGAAACAAAAATTATTGTTCTCTATTATAAAATATGCTATATTTAAATCTGAAAAACTTAAAAAAATTTTGAACGAGAATCATTCTACTATAGATTAAACTAAGAAGGATGATTTTATAAATTAAAGTAATATTATGAATGATATATTTAGAACTTCATTTAAAAAATTGGTAAAAAATTTACTTTTATAAAATAGAGGGAATATATACATAAAGATGAAACTTTATATAATGAAATAGTAAAAGATAAGAAATTTGCAGCAGTATTTGATGAAAGTGAATTAGAAGTTATGAGTTTTTATATAATAATGCTTTCATTTTTAAGAAACTCAATTACTTTGTTATAAAATTAATTGAACTTTAAATTAAGGAATTTTAAAGAATAGGATTAATTAGATGGAGTAGAGGAATGTGCCATATTGTTTTTAATATATTTAGTATTATATATGGAGATTTGTTTTTAAGAAATCTCAAATTTTTAGAATTCAATATTCTATCTAAATTAATTCAATTTAAAATAATTGGTTGAAGAAAAATATACAAATTTAACAAAAAAATAATTCTTGTAAATATCCTAAAAAATTAATTCATTGTAGTTGATTTGAGTTTATTGATTTTGATATTATTTAAATGATATTTTTAGTATACAATATAATTGATAATTGTGGAATTAATGTGTTTATTATATGTTTTTATTTCTAAAATAGAATTATCATTAAATAGATTTAATATCATTTAAAATGCTATAAATTATCAAAACAATAATGAAATTATTGCTCAATTAAACTATCAAATAAATAATATAATTTTGACATTATGATTAAAATAAATAATCTTATTTTAAATTTCAATTTATATTTATTATATTTAAGATATTCAATTAGTCTAATATTGATATTAATTCATAATGAATTATAAAATAGGTTTTAAATATTAAATTATATGTATAATTTATAAATTTATCATAGTATCATCTATTTATTTATTGTATCCTTGTCTTTTAGTATTAATTATCAAATATCTAATATTTTAATATAATTCTCTATAAAGTAATATAATTATTATTAAAGTAGTATTTAAATTAATAATAGTTCTATTCTATTTTATGCTCATATTTTAAATGTTTGATGTATAAACAATTAATTAAGTAATATAGTTTCAAATAAAGCAATATTTATTAAATTCATTTTTGTTTTATGAATTAAGAAATGAATTAAATAATACAAAAGGAATTTAATGAGTGCAAAGAGATTGGTGATGGTATATTAGATTTAAAAATTCTAAATGATTATAGTTGGTAAGTTGTAATAAAGGGTCCTAAACTAGGCCCATATGAAAAAGGATAATTCTTCATTCATGTGTTATTTCCAAAAGAATATCCAAAAATTCCTCCAAAATTTCGTGTGTTGAATAAAATATACCATATGAATATAAATCAATAAGGTTGTATTGCTCTAAATACTTTAAAAAAGGAATGGTCAGAAAATATTGGTGTAAAAAAAAGTAAATGAATATATAAAAACCTTTGAGTGCTATTAGAAATTTTGAGTCTTTTTTAAAAGCCTAATCCTTAAAATCCGTTGAATCTTAAATTAGCCTAGTAATATTAGGAGAATTGTTCAGAATATTATGAAAAGGCTTAGTAATGGACTTAATAATATGCAACTTTTATTGATATTAAAATTGAATGAAAAAATAGTTAAATTTGGATATTATTAATATATGAATATCTTATAATATAAGATTTCTTATTATGATTAGATATTAATGATAAATTTTAAGAAATGGTTTGAAATTGATAATAAATATATTTATTTTAATCTATAGAGAGTATTTAAACATAAAATACTAATTCATGTTTTTTAGAATAAATTTAAGAATACTCAAAATAGATAAAATATAAAATATATTTATATTAATGAATGTTCTTTGGTTTGATTATGAAAATGTTATTAGATATATATAAATATATAGATAAAATTAGACATTTTTTTATTTTTTTAGTAATTATATTATTAATTATATGATAAAGAAATTCAAGAAACTATTTCAGAGTTTATCAGAGTTCCAAAGCTTTTTAACTAAATCAAGTTTAGCTAGAGATAATTTTGTTTTTAAATAGGAAGATGTAGAAATTCTAATTCCATTTCTAACTGATGAATAAAATATTACAGATTTTTTCAAGGTTTATTAAGATGAGAATTTACAACTATATACAATAAAAATGAAAATGTTAATCACAATCCATTAAGTATTAAATATAAGTGAAGAATTTGCCTAACACTTTTCAAAGATTAATTTTGCTTATTTCAATAAGTAATGTAGATAGTAAAGTAGAGCAACATCTAAACCTGAAACAATTGTTTTTAAATAAATAACAAATGAAGTGTGGCTACTTGATAATATACAGATTCCATTTCTATAATATCTATAGAAGTTAGCATTAAATGTATAAGAAATAAAAGCCTATAGAAATAATAATCCCAGAAAGTAAATACTATAATCAAAGTATGAGTATATAATTAATATAAGTTTGGTTGTTGAATGTTTTAAATTAGAAAATTTAGTAAATCATGGTTTATCACTTGTTCCTTAATTAAAAACTGCATTATCTAATTTCCCTCATGACTTTCTTCTTAAAAAATTAGCTTGTAATCTATATAGTGAATTGAGACAATTTCAAAGACAATTGATAAACTCTCTTTCTGCACTTTTAGATACTAATTCTAGAGCCTCCAATATAGAAATATTTGAATTCTTCAGAGAAGTACAGTTTAATAACTAATATAGGTTTAAATGATAGAAAAAAAAACAATGTCTTATTATCTATTACATAAATTGTTTGATCCAGCCAGAAAATTGATGCCACCCTTACAATTAAAGATAGATCTTAAGAGTGCAAAACATCTAGAATAATAGGCATAACATGAATAATAGAGGATTAATCAATAGAGATAATTGAGGAGTCAGAGAAATTCTAGATCAAATAGCACTGATCAACAATAACCAGTTTCTCAAGGGTTTATTAGTTAGAGAGAGAGACGATTTATGATGTACAGTAGAGCTAAGAAATAAGATACAATATAAGAAGACATAGAGATGCCAACAGAAGAACAGTAACCTATATCTGAATAGAAGAAGAATACATAAAATATGAAGATTGTACAAGATGATGGAAATAATTTAGAACAACAAAAAATTTAAAATATTGAATTAAATGTAGATTTAAAGAAATATGTTATTTCTAACAATAATAGTTAAATTGAACTATAAGATAATGGTAAAATTAGTGAAATAAATGAAAAAACTAGTTAAAAAGAAACAAATGATGTTGGAAAAAATTAAGAAAGTACTAGCTAAGCAGATCAAGATGAAAATTAAGACATTTGATATATAATCTTATTACTAAAATTTAATATTAGTAAAAATTCTGACATAATAATTAAAAACAATTCCATATTATTAACAACAATTAAATATTTGAATTATATTATATATATATAAAGGAAATATCAATAATATTTATTAATAAAAAAGATCCAATAATCAATAATAATTAGTTATTCTTTTCTTATTATGAAATTGATAGTAATTATATTAAATATTATATATTATAAATTGAAAAGACAAACTACTATAATAATATTAAAATAGATTAGACATTGAACAATTATTAAACTTCATCCCCTCAAACCTAAAATAAATAATAAATAAATTTAATAAAAATAAAAAATTAGGTTTATTAAGTTTCAAACTTAAAAAAGGATGAAGTTTTATGATATTTATGCATTATAATGATATAAAGATTATGTTATATTTTAAGTATTGATAATTTTATTAAAATGATCAATTCTCAATCAAATTATTTATCTTTTGTGTTGAATTTAATATTTTTGAGATGAAAATAAATATTGATAAAATTAATGAGAAATAATTAAATTCATAAAATTATTAATATTGCATTTTATTTATGGAGGAATATCTATAAGGGTTTGTGAGCACATCCATAGTAAAAACACTTTTAGCTCCATTAGAGAGGTATAAACTAATCAGACAGACTTAAGATATTCTTACTTTAAGTTCCAAAGAGAAGATGACTAATTTTTATTAATTTCTTAAGAAAACAATTTCAAATGAGGGACCTAAAGGATTATTCAGATCAAATTTAACAGCAATTTATATGTGGATACCTTAAGTGTATGCATAATATGTTTTCTATCAAAATATCAAACAAGTCACTTATGACAAAGATGTATATAAATAAATTGAATTTCAAGATTTTGTCAATGGGACTTAGTGCAACATTATGTGGCATTACTACTTCTATATTCTCATACCCTTTTGATACAATAAGAGTTAGATAAGCAACTGAAATTTAGATTCCAGGATAGAAAAGAATGTATGTAGGTTTTGAAGAGACTCGATTTAATATTAAAATAGAAAGTGGATTTTTTAAGGGTCTATATTCAGGATTTACAATTGGATGTGTATAGACATTATTATTTGCATATGGAATAGTAGGATTGAATTCATTATTAGATGGCATTACACCTTATAATTAATAATTAGCTTATTTGGGATCATATGCATTAATATATCCAATTGATAGTGTAAGACGTCGTTTATAGGTGAAATCAATTTTGTTTTAATAAGAAGCTTCGAAAAAATAGAATTTATGGGAGAAATTGAAATTTAATATGAAAGAATGGAATTTTAGTTGGGGTTATGGTGGATTCTTAGCCCATAATGTGAGAGGAATAGCGATGTTATTAATATTGGAATAAGTAAATTTCGAATAGCTTTATTAAGAGACTTAAAATCAATTGAATCAAGCTTTAAAATATTGAGTATTATAATTTTATCTAAAATACAATAATATATATATTGTTGATGGACAAAAAAATGTGATCAAAAATAAAGATCATATAATTTTTTTGATTTACATGTATAGATTGTATGGCACAAATACACAACCAAGTACAATCAATATCCAAATCCAGAATGGATGTTAGAATTTTGATATGTAGGGATTATCTATGTATTTGACTTTATGTATTTTACGACCTTGTAATACTAAGGCTGCTGGGATAGTGAGTAAAATGAATACTCCACATACTCCTCCTGTTATACCTACAATCATTTCAATTTATTTTTTTAGCACTTTTGAATAAATGAAAATGAATTACATATGGCAAGAGTTGCACAAGGTAAAATAATAAGTAGTGTGAATAAAGCTGTTGGTAAAGTAATTTGTAAATTATCTTTTGGAATAAGATGAGGAGCAACCAATTTCATAAGATTTTTACGTATAGTAATAGTTAATACAGGAAGTGCAGCTATATTTAGAAACATATAAAAGCTAATTATATAATATGCCCATTTTAACTATTTCTAATTAAAGAGTTTATTATAAAAACTAGCATCTGCAAAGTCTTCTTTAGGAAATGCTAATGTGGCAGTCAAACATACAAACAGAAATGTAAATAATCCAAAAGCAAAGCTAATAAAGATGATCTTTCTGATAGCTGAGGTAGGTCTTACTGGTCTTAACATACCAGGTGATGAATGATGCATCAAGAATGCAAATATTGCTGTTGATATCATTTATGGCAATGCATCAATATTGAACCATTGCATCTCTTAGATTTATGTTCCTTCTTCCTATATCATATATTGAATAGACCCTCCAAGCATGGCAAGGATTGTTAAATAACGAGCAAAAGCAACAGTCGATTATACTATTTGAATACTAGCTACATCTTTAAAGGATAAAATTCCACAAAGAGCAAAGAATATTATAATCCAAAACCAATATTATTCAACTAGGGTGATATTTTAGAAAACTTCACTATTGTAAATATGATATATAAATGATTACGATAAAGAATTTCCAACCATAACTCCTTTTGCGACAACTGCACCATATAGGTATATCACAATAATAGATACAGTTAAATATTCAGCCCATTTGCCATAAAACAATTTAGCCATTGATCCATATTCGAATTGGCTTTATAAAGCATATTTTGATTATACTGGTTAAGATGAAATTTCTTCAGTCGAATCAGAAACTGTGTGACTTGCCTAAATATTCAATCTATCAATTAAATTTGTGTCTTTATCAATTTGATCTGCTAAATATAGAGCCTATATTAATTACAGATTATTAAACTACCTCAACAATGAAATCACATGCTATTATACTTATAAGACAACATATAGAAAGCGATATGGAAGTGTAACCATAACCAACTTTTACAGAGCTGATTGGTAATAAAATAGGTCCAGAAGCCATTAAGACATTTATGAATGTATTAAAAGCAGGGAAAGGCTTAATATATTTCTATTATTGCATTGATTAAATATTAAATTTGAACTTAATTTTTATTAGGATTAATTTTTAAACATATTATTTTATGTTATTAAAGATATATATGATTATTTTAAACTTTATATTATATTTAAATGATAAAATAAGAGGATCTATTCAAACTCCCTTGAATAATCTTATTCCATCTCTGCCTCCCCAAAGACCTCTAACCATTAATTACCAATATGCAAATGGGAAGAAATGCTTCTTCATTAAGTACATGAGTTTACTGTCTGATGATTAAAAGACAGGAAAGGTTTCATCTAATTATTTATTGTACTTGAATTCAGCAAGCAATACTTTCTTATTCGAAGTATAGACAGGACATGAAGTATAACCTCAATTCTATTTTAAATTTAATACCTTGATATTCTGGTAAAGGGTTCTATTTCAATTTCCAAGTTCTTATAAGATTTTTAATAAGAATTGGAGTTTAAGCCATTACAGCAGCAGCCGTTTTGGATGTTGGAACTGATGAGCAATCTCCAAGACCCCAGACATTTGCATAACGTATATGTTGAAGTGTATTAGGATGAACATTAACATATCCATCTGAATCACCCAATCCACTTTCAGCAATAAATGCAGCTGGTTTCTTAATAAGATATAAAATTTATATAATACTTAAGGTGGAACAATATGCAAGAAATCATAATCAGATGTATATTATTGTTTAGTTTCAACATCCTCAAAAATAACTTTATGATCTTGAACTTCAATTAATCTTTTTTTTAGATGACAATGTAATCCTTTCTCATGTGCCAATTCTCCTATTATTTGTGAGTATTTAGGAATGCCAAAAATAGAATCATTGGCTTTATATACATGAAAGTCACATTTGACTCCTCTAGTAGATAATCTTTCATGTGTTAAGAATACAATGTTTGATGGAATTCCTTCACATTTTGTAGGTGGTTCTGAAAATATTAGTTTACCACCTTCAAATTCTCTAATCATTTTATCAATCTTCTGAGCATATCTATAATAGTAAATACTTCCTACTGGTGCCTCTGGATTGTTCAGTTATTCCAAAGCACCTATAATAATTGATAAATTTATACCTTTAATGGATGCATAATCACGTTGCACTCCACTTGCAACAATCAATTAATCATATGTGTATTTCTATCCATCCATGGTTACAATTGTATTTTATTCTGGATCAATTCTCACAACTGGACAATCACTCAAACATACATTTTTAGGTAGAACCTTTTCCATTGGTTTCATTGTTTACTCAACTTTACACATACCACCACCTTCATTAGATCATCATTATCTACCAACTAAGGTCCATCCTGTTTAATAGGCGTGCATTTTGTATGGTTCAAAAATGCGAATCTATTATGGAATAAAGTGACCATCTCTCACTAATTGTGCAGAAACATTCAATCCTGCTGTTCCACCTCCTATGATTGCCACTTAACTATGAATAGCTCTAGCAGTGAAAGTATACAAAGAGATATGATTCAAGTTTCTCATTAATTTTATGATAAATATAATTAGTCACACTAAAGATATTACTAATACCAAATTGTATATTTATTATTAATTCTATTTTCCCCTTATCTTTTAAGGCTTAAGTAAATTGATAAACATCTATATATATTTATGGAGAATTTGAATATAAATTAATTTATGAAACTATTTTTTATTGCTACAATTGCATTATTATCATACATAGCAATTGATCTTGTATTCAATTAGAATATGTGGGATGCTAATACTACATTGACATTATATTTGCAATAAAACTAATTTGATGGTGAGAAAGAAATGTTCCTAGTTTTCTCATATTCCCTTTATGTACTTCCAAGCATAGCAGGAATAGCTTTTCTGATTTTGGATAATAAACTAGGAGCATTGTTATATGGTGGAATGATTCTATTCTCAGTAGCATCTAATTCTTTATTGAAAAATATCTATCATTAAGCAAGACCATTCTTTATTGTTGAAGAGATAGAGCCTTATGAATGCAATAAAGAATTTGGAAAACCTTCAGGTCATGCAATGACATCATAAGCAATGTGTTTCTTATTACCATCTATATTATTTCCAGCTATTTGGAAAGATTAATCGAAGTAATTAAATTAATAATCATAGCTGCAAGTATCCATTACATTTAAGGTTATTAGTTATATTTATTATTACTTTTTGGACCTTTATGACTGGATTTTCAAGAGTATTTATGGGAGTTCATTCATTTGGTTAAATTATTCTAGGTTGGGTTTATCAAGCATATATTTCTATAATTTACATGCAATACTTACATGATAAAATAGTTAATTATCTAAAAGAATGTTTATAAGTTGGATAATAGGGTGTTTCAATTAAAGTAATAAGTGTAATTGGTTTCATTGTATTCATTTGGACATGTATATCGATTCTATTCTTAGAATTAAATAGGAATATATTCATATCTACATCTGAAGCTACTTTATGGATGGAGGCTGTTTATGAAAAGTGTGATAACCAAACAACACTTTATACTATTGATAGTCCTTCAGTACTCTAAAATATTTGTTTCAGTATGTGTTTGTATATTTGGTTTATGCTAAGTTTTGTTTTTGGAATTAAACTTAGTAAAGGAATATATTTAGAGAATGAATTCAAATAACATTATAAATAAATATCATATTGGAAAAAGACTTAGAGAATATTGGTTTTGATTATTTTGATTTCTTTATTGATTCCATTCTACTTCATTAAATTTGATGCAGTTTATGCATAAGCATTTGGTTAGGTAAGTCATTCTATAATTTAGGTTGTTCCAGTTTCGATATTAGGAGGATTATTTATAACTGTTGTGTACTAAAAACTATTAAATTATTTAAAGTTATCTATACCTGGAGATTTCTTATAAATAATTACTAATCAATCATCAGATGGGTATATTAATTATTTAATTTAAATAGAATAATTATTGAAAGATAAGTTAAGAAATCTTGAAATATAAATTTATTATAAGTATTTTAAATATTTTATAAATCAGAATTTTCATAAATTGATATAACTTTTTTTAATTGTTTAAATAATAGTTTTAAATTATATTTTAATCATATTATTTTTTATTTTTAAAAAAATATCAAATAGAATTTAATTCTAAATCATTTCAATAATCTTCTTATTAGTTATTGTATGATCTTCTAATAATAAGACTTGTATATGAAAATAAAGTTTGATTATATAATATTAATTAAATATATCTCATTCTTCAGATTATTGTTTAGTTGCTTATTATTCTAATTTCTATATATATCTTGACTAACCTGATTCTTAATATGTAAATTTAACAAACTAACTTTATCTGAATTCTTTAGACTCTTTTTTCTCTAATTAATGATCATCTAATAGTAAATTCTAAGAAGCCCATGCTGGTTTACGATATTTAGCTGGTACATGTTAATAACATAACATTCTAAATTTCTAATTATCCAAGTATTATTAAGATGGTTCCAATTCCTTCCAACAATAATAATGTATCCAAATCTAACAATTTTCATTATTACATTTCAGAGTAGGTCCTTTCCTTTTACATAAATAACAATAAGTCTCTTATGATATTTTAACTGCTTCTTATAAAGATTCAAAATCTATAGTTCCTTTCTTTTCATCACATTCAACTAATGATGACCAATAAACACAAAGATCATGAAAATAAAGACCTCCTCTATCAATCAAATAATCCTTATTAGTTCTCTTATCAAAGGCCATTTTAAAACTATCCAATAATCTAGCCTCTAAATGATAAGGTCCATATAAATCTCCATATTTACAATTCAAAAATTCATTTATTCTAGCAAATTTCTGATGACATTTACATATTACACATGCCTATTTGGGTTCAATTTTTGAATGTTTAGAAGTTGGTTTAAATTTACTATAAATGAAATCTAGAAACCAAACTTTAGATCCTGCTACAGCAAATACTTTCTCTAATCTTCCATTACCATATGAGAATGGTTCATCATCAATAACTTATTCTTCCTTTGTACGCTATTTCATCATCAACATTTTTCTCATAGTTTCATTCTTATCTATCCACAATCTCTCCAATACTTTATCTTCTTCTTTTGGTTAATCTGTTTCAAATATAACAGGTTCAAAAAAAGAATTTACTTAAGGCATTAATCCATTTTTAAAAGTCAAATCTAATTTATTATAATAAAGAGGCTTAGTAAAACTAGATTCAGCTTATAATTTGATTCCTTTCAATGTTGATATTAGAGGTTCCAAATATTCCTAAAATAATCTCTCATCTGGTACAAATAATGAATTAGATTAACATGTTACTGTAGATTTTATGTGTAATTTTTATAATTTAAGACAAAGTCTTTTCAAACATTCTTCAAATTTATCTTTAAATTATTAAGGTTCTACTGATTCTTTTTATGAAAAAATCAAAAAGTTATTTATCACATTCACATCATTTGATATTTAACAATATTTCTCAAATTATAATCTGATTGAACCTAGAATTTCAGAAAAGTATTAATTTAATGCTTCTAATTCATCAATTGCTGTTAACATTGCTGTTACTATTCTTGCTGATACTTAATTCACATTATTCGATGATTTCTATGAACCATCAAAACTGACCAATTATTTTAATGAATCAAAAAATTCTATTCCCTAAATTACATTATGACCTTCATGATGATTCTTACATTGAAAACAAAAAAATCCTTAATTTAAACATGAAGCTGTAAGACAAATTAAATTAGCTTATTCATTTTAATGAAATTTGCATTTCTCTTAAAGTACAGGTATAGTTTCTATTTTAGTATTCATTAAAATCTAACATACCTTCAAATATAAATCAAAATCATATATTTCCAAAAATCCTGGTATTTTTTTTTAATACTATTTTATATTAATACCCTCATTGGAATTTAGATCATTCTTTTAGATATTTATAAGTTATTAATCTAAATTCTCATCAATCAATTTATTAATTATAATGAGTCTAACATTAGTATCTTACAATATCTCTCCTTTTGTACTCAGAGTCACATCAGCTTTAAACTATTTCTAGATTCCATATCAACAGAAGGACGTTGATGTAATGAATAAGCCTGAATGGTTTATCAAAGCTAATCCTCTAGAAAAGATTCCAACATTATTTGTAGGAGACAAAGTCATATAAGAATCCCTAGTTATTTTAGAATATATTAACTCACTCGTTCCTAACTCCTTACTACCTAATGACCCACTTGAAAAAGCAATAAATCGTTCCAGAGCTGAATTTTCAAATGATGTCATAGGAGTCATTTTAGGATTAACAGCAGCATCTACAGAAGAAGTATTTTATTAACTCTAATATAGGCTTTTAATAATGGATTGACAGAATTGAAATGGTATTTTGATAAACTAGAAAATTGGTTAAAATAAACCAAATTTATATACAGTGACGAATTAACTCTAGCAGATTTTGCATATGTTCCAATTTATGCAATTCTTCAAGCACTATCACCACATTTGAAGTTTAATATATTTGAAGGATTTCCAAAAGTTTAACAATATGGAACAACCCTTTTAGGTCTTCCTAGAGTTGGTACAAGTAAACCAGAAGGTTATGAGTAAATTTTATTAGAAAGAATAAAAACAAGAAAACCTTATTTTTTATCTGTGTGATAAATATAAATATCAAAATATAACAATTTCATCAAAAAGTGTTTCTCTTATTATTATTATTTGATTTCTGTTTAATATTATTATCAAATGGATTGAAATTTAAAACACATAAAAACATACTATAATGGATTAAAGCACCTAAAATAATTAAAAATAAGTTTATTTATGAATTACTGGCAATTAAACTATCAAATCAATAAAAAAATAATATTACAACTTTTTTTTCATAATTGATCTATATTAAAAGATAATTGATAATGATATGTGTATACACTTTTACAAAGAGTGATTCTGTGTTTCAACATCTACTATGTTAATTTGAGTTATAAGTATAGAGTACTCAAATAAATCAATTAGTTTATATACATTAGGTTATTTGAAACATGTTAACACATATATAAGTGTGTTGTTAATATTATTTGAGAAGGAATGGTCAGGGTATTGAATTAAAATATAAGGTTGAGTTAATTAATGTAAGTTCTCATTGATGATGAAATGTAACATAGTTTTCAGAAACAAAGAGATATATTGGAGATATGAAGAGATTTATGTATAAGAAGAATCAAGAGGGGGGAAAAGACATAAGACTTATAAAATATATGTTTATTTGTCATTATTTACTCATCAAAGTGTTGGATTCATTCAAAAGAGATAAGTTGGAATGCATTCCAGTCCACTTCTATATAGTCAGTTTCCTAAATATAGAATTGAAATAGTTACTTCATGTAATACTACTGATCTAACTGTATAATTATTTATTGTTTAACTATCCTCGAGCTAATTATTTTTGAAGTATTGCGGTTCGCTTTTGAATTCTTGTTTAAGATCTTTTTTGGGTAGTTTAGGCAAAACTGTTCCCCATCTCCAAACACTATCATCTAAAGGATGTGGTTTAGAGGGTTTATTTGTGAAGACAATGGGAGACTAACTCATAATATAATTTTAATAATTATAGTGCACAATTATTTATTTGACTTAATTTTATGTCTCCCTTCTTATTTTAAGAATTATCAATAGATATTCAATCAAAATAGAATACATTATCTAATCATACAAAATATTCATATTAATAATAAATAAATAATCCAAACCAAAATTCTTTATATTCCATTTAAATATTAAAATTAATCAACTTATATAGATTGGCTGTCATATTTGAAAGTAACAAAGAACTTTTATTTAAAATTTTGATTATCCTTATAGATACTATTAATTTAACATTTGATTATGAATAATATCTCTATCACAATCAGATAGAAAATATTTTATATTCTTACTTAGTGTTAAGAGTTTAAAATCACATAAATAATTCAAATCTTGAATATTTTGTTCATTTCATAATGACATTTGATTTTAAATAAATAATTTCATCATCTTTTTTGAATGCTTTCTTAATCAACAATGAATTATATATTTTAAATAGGTTATACAATTAGAAAAATCAACACTAAATAAGAGTGTGTATTTTATGTTAATAATTACTTAAATGTAATAGAGAATATCTTTTCCTAAAAAATGGCCAATAAATGAAATTTTTATTTATAGGGAACCTTTTCATAAAATCTTACATCTGAATATTAAAGTCTTTTAATGATTAAATGATTTGGATTGACAAATTAGGTATCATCAGATTTATCAATCTTCACTCATTAATTTTGAATTAATATCTGATTACATATAAAAATGTTTATCTCAAGTTCATCAACTAAAATTTTTTGATAGATTCCATTTCATCTTTTAATTTTATATTATTAATATGATAAAATTAATAAAGTATACTAAATAAATTAATTATTATCTAATTCAATTACTTGTTCAGAATGTTGATTATCAAATACCTTTAAATAGATCACTTTAGATAACTCTTTTTATTATACAATATTTCTACTTTTAATTTATAAAATCTTAATTCATATAAATATATATTAAAATAATAGAAATTAACAATGATTTACAATAATAATTATATTGTATTAAATTTTAGTTATTTATATTAATTTAGAGTATTTCAATTAAATTAAATAAAAAATATGATTAAAAACTATACAATCTAGATAGTAAATTATAATATAAACTATGATTTAATTATTAATTACTTAAAAAACCCTAAAATAGTTTTCCTTGAAGATGCAGAAATATCTTGAATTAATTTAGGAATTAATATTAAGATGAACTTTGAGAGACAACTGTATGAAATATATCAAATAGATCCAGATCAATTACACAAAAATATGAATCAAGATAATCTTATTCTTTTATGCTAATTGGCAGATTAAAGTGATAATGAAATTACATTATAAATTGTTGGAAGCTTAGTATCAACTTATATTGATTAAAATCATCAAAATATACCAGAATTTGATAAAATATTTGAATTTGCATGGAATAGAATCAAAAGATTTAATACTCATTCACGTCCAGTCTATCACTTTTTTGCATCAATTATTGCAAATATCATATTACACTTTTATGATTAAATACCTGTTTAATATTTTAAAGAATAAGCTTAATTAATGAATAAATAAGTGTATCTTATTATTATTGATACAGTATTAAGAAGATTATAACCATAAGAACGAGTTGGTGAATTCAAGATTCTAGATTCAAAACAGAAAATAGTCAGACAATAATTTTTTAAACATAATCTTGATTCATTTCTTGATATTATAACTACTAGTTTAATTGGTAATAATAGTAATTCTGATTTACAATTATTAGATGGTGCAATAGATTTATTAAATTTATTGTTATCATCTGAAATTAAATAAGATTTTAAAGAAAAAGATTGGCATAATATCAAAAGAGCTGAAATTAAAAACAAAAGAAACTTATAAACTATAATGAAAGAAATTAAATTTTAAATATTAGATTAAAATGAACTTGAAAAGATGATAAAAAATCAATATATAGATCATATGGATCCAATTACAAATCATATTAAAATGGTATGGTCCATTGTTAAATATTAGTAATTCATTATTAAAATGACTGAATTATTACCATTAAATATTAAAATATGGGAATCTCTTGGTAAAATATGTAAAATTTATTAAAAATATTATTCCAATGATAAAGACAGTATAGATATTATCTATTAAATAACTACAAATATTATGGTATCAGAAATATCAAAAATTAATTCAATAAGTTTACTCAATTTTGCAGGTAAAACAATATTTGCAAATCATACTCCTTAATGGATTGAATTCAATTTAAATTTAATCAAAAACTTAACTACCATAGAAGCTATTTAAGTTGGACTTAAATTTCTAAGAAATTTAATTAGATTTCAAAGATAATATGACTATAGTTAATTACATTTATTTGTTATGCCAATTATAGCAAATTTTTTTAATAATTGGATTATTCAAAATAATTAATGGATTAATGATAAATTGTTAAGAAATAATATCAAACACATTTTAAAAGAAATTAGTTGTTTTATGATTGAATAATATTTAGCATTCTTTGCTTAAATGATATAATTAAATCCTGAATAAAATCTATAGGAAATGGCTTTTAAATATTATGCAATAGGATTATTTGCATCTATTAAATGTACAGCATATTAACTTGATGTTATGAATAAATTATAATTCTACAAAATGGAATAATTTATATATCCAATAAATCTAGATTTGTTTAAATAATTTAATTATTAAGAATTTTATTGTAAGGCTTTTGATTTTGCATTCTTATATTTGAAAAATTAATCCCCTTTTACTGATAGATTTTTATATAAATTTTGGAAGATACTTTTTGATTAATCAGCAATTATTAAATTTGAAGAAATAATATAAAAAATGTTAATTGATAGAAAAATATTATTTAATTTTAATAGAATATTCTTATTTAATGATTAAGAATTAATATAGAAATCTTTAAGAATATTTGTTAATGCTAAAATAAAATTGGAAGATCAATTTTATTAAATAAATCAAATCAATATCCCAAAGGAATGCTTTTTAGATTTTCATGAATTTCGTATCATTCCTAATTAAAAGATTATTACTCTCTATCATAAAGTCAAAATGTATTTGCTAAATGTTGAAAATGAATCTATTAAAGATTAATCAGAATCAGAACAATTAATATTAAAATTTAAAAATGATGTACTTTAATTTTTAGATAAAATTTAAATTACTAGAGATATAGTTTTTATTTTATAGAGTATGTTGAATGAAAATGTAAGGAGTCTTTATGGAATTATTATGTAGATTATTGATGATAAAGCCTATTTAAAATTATTTGCATAAAAAATTGATTTTGATATGCTCAAATTAACTAGAATGATGATAAATACTACTGGATAGATTGGATAATTGAAATAAGTTATGGTTGATCAATTATATGAATGGATATTATTAGTAGTTTAAAAAGTACAATTTCATCTAGATTCTATAAATAAAGAATTCAATTAAGAAAGACAATTAGGATAAAAAAGTATCTAAAATATCTATAAACTATATTATAAACCATTGTTATAATTATTAAAGATATTTGAAAATTTAAAATATCTTAATAGATTAATAACAAGTAAAAAATAAATCAGAATATAAATTTATCAATCAATTTTACTAATTTTCAAATATATCAATCTCAATGATTTAAGTAATTATATTCATAAAATGTCATCATTATTTTATGTAATCTAATGGTTATTGGAATTTGAAACTACTAGATAAATGATAACAGATGAAATATTTGGATATATTTTAGATGTAATTCTATTTATATTAATTTAGTTTATAAATTGTGCTTTATTAATATAGGAGAAACGATCTTTGATGACTTGTTTAAAGATCATATCAGATATATAAACATATGATTAGTTTAGCCACTCTTAATATGTAAATTTATATTTTTATTCTTTAGATTTAATAGAGATTAATTGCTGAAAATTGTTTATTTGGTGCCTTTTTGTATAATATAAGAATCTCTGATATATCAGTCTTGATTTTAAGATACTTTTAAAGAATGCCTAATGATTTTAATGTTCTATTCTCTAAACTTAAACAAAGAATGTAACCATATAAGAGTTAAGAATGGGATTAAATTATTAATATCAAATTAGATAAACTCAACTCCATCATTCCAAAATAATAATAACTTATTAAATCAACAGCATAAAACAAATAAATAGAAAAAACCTTTACAGATTATTTTTATTAAGTATAATTATTTTATAATTATTATCCATGATTATTTTAATATACATTCATTATAATCTTAATCAATTTCATTAGATTGTTAATTATATTTTTAATTAAAAAATATTCAGAATTTTTTAAATTACATAATATCCATTATTAATATAAATATTTCAATAGATTAATGAAAATATTATAAATGTATAATGTTATTTTATTATTCTCATTTATAAAAAAAATACATTATATAATATTTGATAAATGTTATAATTAACTTATATCATTATGTCAAAAAGAATGGATCTCCTTTTTTGATTCTCTCTTGAATGAGTTAATCATAATTTTCTACTTTACTTGATTATACTCCTGGTAGTGATAAAATACTTTAAGAATATTCTTATAATCTAGGAAATCCTTCATATAGATTGAATTTCAAAAGGGGCTTAAGTGCATCAAATAATGTAAATATTGGAGCATAAGCAAAGTCAGCTAAAGTTAATTCATTACTAAAAATGAATTTTGATTATTATAACCAGCCTTCTAATTTCTCAAAATACCATTTCAAGTCTGCTATACTATTTTTAAATGACTAAATATAAATATAATATATATACCTCTTCAGTTTTTGCTGAAAATACACTCCAGAAAGTACCAATGATTTCTCCAGAAAATTCTGCTCTTGCTCTATTCAATGCTTTTTATAAATTGTCATTTGGAAGTAATGATTGAGGAGCAAGAGTATTTACATAATCTAAAATAACAAGGGATTCAAAAAGGACTGTCTCACCAACAAACAAAATTGGAACTTTTTCTAATGGACTTGCCTTAACAAACCAATCTGGTTTATTCTCTAAATCTATGTATTTTATTTCATATGGAATTTTCAAGTGGTTAAGTGCAGCAACCACTCTAAGAACATATGGGCAAATATTGAAGGATACTAATGTTAAACTCATTTATTTAATTAATATGTAAACACTTATATCATTTATGAATCAGGGATTTAGAATTTCTTAATTCTAAAATAAAAGAAGCTAACTATCATTAAACAATTGTTAATATTGATTCTAACTATGTATTCTTAATATCTAATCTAATGAATAAATCAAATTTCTTATAAAATATACTAAACAGGGATTACCTACAATAAGAATTACAAAATCTTAGAAATCCATTAAAATTTATAACAGCATAAATATATAAGTTTGAGAAAGGAGCAAAAGTAAAAGATGATCTAATTAAACAATCTCCTGACATATGTTTATTGATTATAAACAATCATCCAATTGAGAGAATAGCTCTATCAACTCCTAGATATACTCATTATATACTCTATATCAATTTAGAACATACATTTTATGTTTTAAGAGAAAATAATGTTCAAGAAGTGAAAAAGATTACTTATGCAAATTCTGCTGTTATTTTAATGAATATTACTAAGAAACTGTTATCTAGAGGTATTAATTAAAGAGTAAGAGCATTTATATAATGTTTAATACAAATACTAAGATCACTTGAAGTGATTATGTAATTAATGAATTATATTATATTAGGAATTAAGAATAATAAATTTTAATAATTATAAATCAAAATTTTGTTGATAAATTTGTTGTATTTAAACACTTATTTTCTTTGTAACATTTCTTTTTTTCAATTAAGATTGATTAATGAAATACTTTATATATTATAATGTTATTATTATTATTAAATATTAAATATTTAATATTTCAATTGAAATAATAAAAAGAATTGAGTATATATATATCTACTATAATTTTTTATTTTGTTTTCCTCTCTTTATATTTTTGTAGCCTTTTATTTTTATATAATATTAATTTAATATATTTAAAATAATATATAGTCTTTAATGTTAAGAATATTTTATATTTATTATTTGAATTCCTCTAATATTTCATAAAGAGTGAAATATATTTAAATTTAATTCATAAATACTATAGAAATTTGTAATTATGATATATTCATTATTTTAATTCTATGTATTCTGATCCTTACAATTTTCCTTTTTAAATCAATATTTTAATAGCTTCCTTGATATTATTTTCTGTAATAGGAGTAGAAAACTCACTTTTGAAAGTTGTTTTGAATAATTGAACAATCTTCTCAATTTTTAGAGTGCCTGTTTGTTTTAATAATTCAATCAAATTATGAGAAATTTATTGAATAAGTTAATTTGATTACAAGAAATTAGTAGATGAAACAAATAAGTCTTCAGGTATTTCTTCAATTAATAAATCATCACAAGCTAAGAAATAATATATATATAATACATTAAGGTATATATATTTTGACAGCTGTATAGTAAATTATATCATTTTCACCTTTTTATTCTCTGATTACTCCTTTTTAAATCCAAAATTACATTCTTCTTTTCAAATCTTCATGATTCATTTGTAATTATTATGCTAAAACATCACTATATAATCCTTTAGAATCATCATCATTAAAATATCCAATTATACAAGCATGAATTGGTAAACATTTAAATTCAAAATCTCCATTATCAAAAGTCAAATCTAAAGTTACACTACCTAAATCATGATGCCATAATAAAGAACGCATAGTTTTAATTTTTTCAAATCTTTTTTAATAATCATTAAATAATTATTCAATAGCTGGAGGTAATTTAAATGTAGGTTTAAATTCATAACTAATTGGCCAAAAGGTTTTACTTAAAAATAATGGTTTCAACATATTGAATTATGTTGTCAATGATTAAATATTAGTATCAATACGTTTACTTTCATAAATATCTTTCATCATAATACTACATGTATTCATAGATTATTCACCAAAACGAATCTTCATTAATTCAATATTAGCTATTTCTTACTCTAAAGAAAAATCTTTAGGTGTTAATATCTTCTCAGCAACCATATTTTAATATTCACTTATAAATGCTTCTTATGATCCATATAAACTTACTAAAACACTAGTTAAATCTTTCTCTTATGTAGATTCTTCATCAGATGAATCTTATTATTCAAATATCATAACTTTATCAGTTGAATAATTTTATTAAGTTAATATTCCTATAATACATCTTAAAAAATCAGATCTTTATAATAAATATTCTTTTATTGGTTTAGTGACTTTATCAAATACCATATAGTCTGAATCTACAAATTATAAAACCTTTAATAAATTCACATAGAATTTTAAAATAGTATCTGTATTAACACCTGATATTAATAATCTTTTTTTCATTTGTTATTACAAACATTAATCCATATTTGCATACATTTTTGTTACTTCCATACTTTATTTAAATTCATGTAGATGATCACTTGTATCAGGATAGTAAAGAACAGCTTCAAACATATTCTTAATAGTTCTATCTGCATGTACTTATTATATTATATTTTTGGCTAAAGGTTCAATTGATTCCAAAGCAGCTCCAAATTCTAATAACTCATTTAAGAAACCTTCTTCTGAATATATCTTTTCTGCATACAATTTCAATAATTCTATAGTAATTGTTTAATATTGCTCTTTGAAATTCAAATTATTTAATGATTTAAGTCTATCCTATATATCATATTCAAGTTCATATTTTTCAACCACTATCCTAACCTAATCAAATAAACTATAATCTTATTTTATTCCCATAAATTTGATGAAATCAGCTAAATAATCTATTTTCCCTTCTTCTTCAAATGTACTACTCATCAACTTCTAAATAGGCTCTAATGAACATAATTTATTTTCTTTTGCAAAATCTAATCATTTAAATATCAAAAACATACATTTATAATTCTCATAGCAGATATCTAATATTCCTGCCTATCTTACAATAGGCCAGATTTCAGCTATTTTGCTAGAATCACTTTATAACTAAGTATAATATTGTTAGTAAGCCTTCTACTATGCAATAATTGTATCATATTGAGCTTGACTAACAAATTAAGAGTTAAGTATATCAAATATGTTCATTCAAATTTCAATTTTTTATTTTATATATTAATAACAATAGTATTTTATAAAAGAAATGATCCAAACCATTTTCAAATTAATCTAGTTTACTCAGTAATAATTTATCATCTTACACTATTAATTGAATTCATACTCATTTATTCCATTTTATAATAAATATATTATATATTACTAAAATATATAATCAAAGACCTTTTGGCTTATAAATTAAATCATTAAAAATACTTGTTTTTTTTAATCTTATCAATATTGTTTAAAAGTCACCTCTATTCATTTCTTCTCCTTTTATATTATTAATTATGTATTATTATTAATTTTGAATTTAACTTGATTTTGTAAATTTATTTCTATTTTGCTAAGAATTCAGGTCATTTTTGCTTATTAGCTTATTTACCATTATATCTAAGATATATTATAATATTATTTTTAGTATTTATCATACGATACTACAGTTATTTGCTGAAGACAGGCCGTTTCTATTTCAAACTTGCCAACATCTTAAGTTGAGATATTCAGTCTAGCACTATGAATATGAGGGGCAGTTTCTTACTCTTTGGACTATTTCTTTTTTTTCTCTTTGGTTCAAGGAAGATATCACTAATCAAATTCGTGCTTGATATCGGATACTGAATTACTCATGAAATTTAAAATCTCCACCTCCCTTGATCCCAAAAATATGAAAATAATAATAACTTGTTAATTGTAATTAAAATACTATTAATTTTAGTTTAATGTCAAATAAATATTTAAGATATTAGCTTCTCAATTATTTAAGAATTGTCAATTAAGTATTTTTTATGTGATTTTAAGGATTTTTTAAGAAATATGTATAATATTTAAATGTATTTAAATTATGTGAATAAAATGTATAATATATATTTATATATTTATAATCAATAACAATAGAAATTAATATGATTAAGTTAGATGTATAAAAATTAATATAACTCATTCCTTAGGTGTAATTTTCTTGGCTTCAATTTTTAAATCCCTTTCTAATTTTTAGATGCATTTATAATTATCTCCTTCATCTGGTCTATGTTTCAAACAATCAACAAATCTATGTTCAAAATAGAGTCCTTAATATCTAAATTTCTTTGACATTTCATTAAATTAATTGACTAATTGCAATGCACAATTAACATAATTATCTACAGATTTGATATTTTCTTAGTAGCATTTCTCTTTTTATTCAAACATATAATTGGTTAGATAATATTTAGTGAGATTTTAGAATTCTTATACATGATAACTTATTTTTTCAGTATACTTCATTTCTTTCTCATACCTTCTATCCATTAAAATATTTATTTTATATATTTTTTAATTTTTTTAAGTACTTAATAGGATCTGACTCTTTAACTTTACCATTCAATTAAGAATATCTAAAGTATGGATTACCCATTCTTTCTTCAATTAAGGATGTTGGAATCAAATTGTCTAATCCCATTTTATTTTAAACAATAATATTGTCTGGTTCAAGAGTTTTTGCAAATAGAAATACTTCTTATTATGGTAGATGACCTGGAAAGATTAAAGTTTCATCATGAAATCCTCTTAATTTTTATAAAGTTGCAAAGAATGCTCCATAATCTTCTATTTCACCAACATTACTTATCATAATTTTATATAAATTTACTTAACTAATATGGTATCTCCTGAAAATAATATGGGTATTTTAGTTGATTAAGCATTAGTGTCTGTCACAGCTATCATATAATTATCAAAAGTATCTAAAAATTAAGAATTGAATTTACGTCCATTAGCTTAAATGAAACAAATTGCTAAATCTCCAATTTAAAATGGTTAAAATTCTCTAGCAAAATCTGTTTAAAAAAGAGTGCCCAATTTATTTTCAACTATTCCACTATAAACTTTTGCATCCTTAAATTTTGAATAGAGTTCTAAAACACTTGATGTATGATTAGATCTTCCATGTGTTTAAAGAATATAATTCAACTTATATCCTGAATTTACTTCTAGATTCTTTATATTATAGAAGGCAGCTTCAAAATCTCCAGGATCAATTGAGATTATTGATTTCGATTGATGATCTAAAAGTAAGTAAGCAATATAGTGATCTCTATAGTTATATGAATATATTTGTTATAAAAGGGAATGATTCTAAGATGAGTATTTTGAGAAGCTGTATGCAAATCTGAATAATTTCATATTATATTTTTTAATGAAAGGTTAAAAATTATGGAAAAAATTGAAGGGTTATCTTCTAGAGAACAAAGACTATAATCCAGATATAAATGAAGTGTAAATATTTAAAAAAGAAATGAAAGATGATATTTTAATATATTATGTAGAGGATGTAATTATCAAATAATCTAATAAATAATTATTACCTGATAAAAGTTAATTGAATTAAGTTAATGAAAATGATATAGATAATACAGGTGCCTTTTATTGGCCATCTGAAATCATTTTAACATAATATATATTAAGTGATATTGATAGAATTAAAAATTACAATATAATTGAACTTGGAGCAGGGAGATCTGGTTTTTGTGGATTAGTATTAGCAAAAAAAGGTTTTAATGTTATTCTAACAGATGGAAATTAATAAATTATTAATGAACTAAAAGAAAATGTGATTTTAAATGAAATTAATATATAAGTAGAAGTATTAAAATGGCAATCTGGTGATCCTTATGTAAATACATGTGCATTAATTTCTGATTGCTTCTTTTTTGAGAATTATCATGATGATTTAATTAAAATGATTAAAAGATTTTGTTTTGTTATAGGTGCAGCACCATCTCGTGGAGGATCATTAGAAAGATTCATAAATAAATGTACAAACAATAATATTGAGTGTAAAAAGCTTAATATCTTTTATGATACTTAAATAATTTTATTTAAAAATTTTAATTGAATTATTATTTCTTTTTATTAAATAATATTGTATATCATTCTTCTCTAACAAAAAGACAAAGCTTTGAAAAATCATCAGCAACAATATATTTACCATCCTTTGATACATCAAGATTATAACAATTAATTTTAATTTATTACTCTACTTTCCATTCATTATCATTTTATTAATCTTCTTCAAAAATTTAAATTGAATGATTTCCCATAATAATTAATTTTGAATTCAATCGAAATTTAATTGTGCATCCAAAAGTAGAAGATTTTTAATAAATTGTTTATGTTTCATAATATAAACCTTTACTATCTGATTTCCAAAAATTACGATCTCCAAATCTATTGACTGTACAAATAATATTCTCAGAAGAATCACTAAATTAAGAATAGATATTCGATTGATTTTCAAAATATTAATGCATTTCTATTTTATTCTGATTACAAATCTTCCATATTATAAATATGTCTTCACTTGTAGTTATCATAAAAGTTGCATTATAATTAAAACTTAAATCATGCACATTTTTCTTGTGTTTTTAAGGAAAATGTATTTTATTTTTTTCATCATTTTCTTATTATGGATAGAATATAATAATATTATTAAATGAAGTTATCACTATATTTTCATTGATACTGACTTAAATTAAATGTATAGTTTTTTGCATATCAAATTATTTAGTAAATTACCAAAGTTTTTATTAGTTTTCCTCATAAACATTAATCATTTTATCAGAACAAGCATAAATCCTATTAATTGTTTTACTACTTGAAATCTTAGAGATATTTTATGGTTTTTATTCTAATTTTTAATAAACATTCAATTTGTTGTTTATAATTTTAAAGGCAGTTAAAGGTAATTCATGACTAAAAGCAAAAACATATTAATTATTAGCACTAAACTCTATTCCTCTAATTTACTAAGAATATTCTATCTTATCTTTCTCAATATACTATTTATATCCTGTTTATTCCTCTTTAAAACAATCTTGTTCATCAGTCTAAATTTAACTTGAGATTTAATAATCAGGATTAAATGAATTTTCAATTTAAGTTTTGATTTAATTTACTGTTTTAATTTTATCATGAAGTATCATAATTTATTATTTCATGATAGCATTAGTCTTACTGTATTAAAATGAATGATTGTTTTATTTAAAATTGAGTGTAAACATTATACTTAATTGTTTTAAATCTTCTAAAGTCAATTATTAAGCAGTAGAATAATAGTTAATAGTTTCAGGTGTAATTATTTGTTTCTTGAAAAATTTAATTTATTCCTTGACTTATTTACTAAAATTTTCAATCACTTAAAGAAAATCTTACTTAATTGTATTTATTCTATTTAATAAAAAATTAAGATAGCTTTTAATATTCGATTCCTCTTAAATATGGATCATTGAAAGCTGATCTAAAATTTGAATTATCTTAACATTCTAATATAATGATTTAGGGCATTTTGAACAAAGTAAATGAAATTCTTATGTAGGAGATGAAATTAAAGTAATATCAATAATAGGTAATTGATGATTTGGACACATAGGCATCTAAATTTAGTTCATTAGAATTTATTGAAAAATTGTCAGAAATGAAATAATATTTGGTTATATATATATTTTTGTTTAATTATAATAGGAATGCATTGATATGAATTGGAATTTATTGATATAATCAATGTAAATTGGTGCATCCTTCATGAATGTTTTTAAGTTCAGTTTCAGAGGCTGGTGTTTAGGAAATTGCAGATTTCCAATGTGTTGTAAGAACATCAGCAGCAAACTCAATAAATAAGGTATCTTAAATCATACAAGCATGTCCACAATGATCAATTCCCTTAAAATGATAAATTAAATAAATTTACAGTTTTTCCATATTTACAAGAACAAGTAAGACCTAAATATCCTGAATTTGTGAATAGTTTTTATCCTTGAGCATCTTTTGAATCATAAATAGATGAGACAGTATCTCCATTATGTTATGAACAATATTCAACTAATTTTGTTGGAATATTAGTTAATCCATGATTATGTTCATAAATCCATTTAATACCTGGAGTCATAGATGAGGAAGAAAGGACTGTACTATCTCCAATAGCTTTAGTAATATGATCTGGGAAATAGAAATCATCATTAGAATCAACAATAGGTTTAGGTTATTTTGTATATTCAAATTAGAATGGAGTCATTTCATGTGCAGCATAAACTACAACCATAGGAACTCCTGGATGTTCAACATTATTAGCTTTTACTCTTGTTGTTTCTTCAACATAATCTAGTATTTATTTAGCATCATTAGCATTAATATTATCAGTAATAGCTTCTTTAGTAGATTCTTCAGTTGAATAATACAATTTATCAACGACTTTTAAAAAGTGTTCACTCATGTCATGCATTAATAATTAACAATGATTAGATCTGTCAGCAAAATCAGCACCACAAACTTAATCAGGTTCTGGGAACCAAGATAATGGATTTGGTCTTGTTGGTCTCTTACCAGTTGAAATGAATTCTTTATCCCAATCCATTCTATCAAGAATTTCTTACATCCATGGTTCTCCTCTGAATCTTGTGAATGTATCTTTTGGATACAAATCAACAATACTAGCAGAAGTACGAGCCATCTTCTTTTAAGCATACCAGTTAATACCAGCATCCAAGATTAAGACTTTAAACATAAAACTATCATCTCCACCTACTTAAGGTTTAAATGTCTTGGTTGCTCCCAATAAAGGTCCAGCTATTGTAACAATACCAGCAACTTTATCTTTTTCTGCTTAAGTCATTGAATAAACTGCTTATGTAGAATGAAGAGAACCCAAAGAATGTCCAAAGATGTAGGTCTTCTTTCCAGTCAATCTGTAGAATGTTTCAACAGATTTCTTAATATATTATTGGGATTCTGAAGCTGCAATAGATTTTCTAAAATCATATGGAGCTGCTTGCATTGTTAATCCTGGAATATAACCCATATTTTTAAGTGTATCTGAGAAAACATGATATCCTTTAGGATCACACATAGCTGCTTTGATAATAGAATCAGTGGCAATTTCTTAGATGGCAGTTGTTCCACATTCATTATCAATTGATTTTGGTGTGTTACCAGCCCAAGTGATTTCAATACCTGGAGCAGCTGTATATCTTTCTCTTGGATCTTTTTTAGATTTATCATAATATAGTTCAATAAAATCTCCAAAACATTTATCTTTTTTATTAGTCATTGCAATTGAAAATGGACCAGTTAATGCACCAATCCACATTCTGTATTCTTCACTTGGTTTTTTTAACCAGAATTTAGATGAACTACAAGTTTACCAACCACAATTTTCAAATATATCAGGTCTTTTTGATTATAAGGTTTCACAATCAATTTTTACCTATAAAATTATAGAATTATATATATATACCTATAATGCTGTACCAATCAAACCAGGTACTAAGACAGCTGGTTAGCAAGGACCATTGATAAATTCATTCATATAATTTTCTAAAGTCATTTTAGTATGATCTTTTCCATTTGTACAAATGTTAGCTGTTGTATTTAAGAAATCTGACATTTTTTCTTTACGCTATTTTTCTTATTCTTGATAGATTTGTTCATGATATTCTCTAGAATTATCTAAATCTATAATTACTCATATGCTGATTATGGCTTCCAATTAGGATCAAATCTACTAATTCTTTTCATACTTCCATCAGTGGAGATGATGAATGTATCACCTTCAAACCATGGATTATAATCTGTGTTGTCAAGGTATGGTAATATTGATATTGTTCCTATAGCCACAATAGCAAGCAATTACTTAATCATTCAAAAATTATATAAATCTAAATGATGTAATATTGAATGATATCATCCAACAATTTTTCATCATTTTATTAATAATACATACAATTAATGATTGATTATTGAAGGAAATTAATATTTTATATAGAATCATACAATTGTAAGACTCAAATTATCTTAAACTCTTTTCTTAATAATTTTTTCCAACATTTCTTCTATGCTTAAATCCTGACTTTATTTATTTAATTCATAACAATCTGTTGCTAGTTTTTATTATTATTCAACCTTTACATATTTCTATACTTCATTAAAAATTTAATTTTTTTTTTGTTATTCTCTTTCTCTTTCTTCCTTTGAAGTATCAATTTAGCATTTAAAGATATCTTAATTTTAGTCGTAATCGTTCAAATTTGGATATGAACTTTTTTTTTAATGAAAATTTTATGAAGTTTCCAAAAGGATAGGAGGAGAAAAATTCAAATTAAATTAAAATTATTGATTAAGCATTTAAGGTACTTAATGAATTTCATTAATTGGATTGGGAAAAGCTGGAATTTTAGGTTTAGCATCTGTAGTTGATAGAGGTGTGATTTGTCTTTAGATTGGTTATTGTTATCTATCTTATTATGGTTGTAATTAAAATGGTACAAACGTATTTTGATGTTATTGATTTTATAAAGATTAAAATTGTACTTACTATTAAGGTACACTTGATTATACAATAGCATCTGGTTATTTTGGTTAATTAGAGATTTTGTTTTGAGCAAATTATGCTTAATTAAAATTTTGTACTGTGGATGGACGCTTTTAGTCTCGAAATTAATTAATTTAAAAAGGTTATAAGTTATTATTTTAATTATTTAAGGTATTTAAGTTAGTTTAGTTATTTAAGTTATTTATGTTATTTGGGTTATTATTATTATTTATGTTATGCATGTTATTTATATTATATTTCTTATTTATCTCAAAGCTAAATTATTATTATCCTATCTATGATGCTTATTTCTTTTAATTTTCTAATAGTTAAGCCTAATTTTCTAGGAAAGGTTTTAAATCTCTTTATCCTTATACAATAACTAAATTGATAAATTATTATATTTTGACAGGCAATTTTTAAAATTCTTGCATTTTTCCTACTGGTATCCTCTATCTATCGTCTTAGGGAGTGAACAATTTCTATAGAGTAAAGATTTCAAATGCTACACAAGCGAAGGCAAATATATCTATTGTATGATTATAATCATTATTTAATAGTAATTCTTAACTCCAATAACAACTATTGCCAACAACATCTAATTTATCTTTCATAACAAAATGAACAACATAATTTAAATGAGTAATTTTATACTATCCTTCAGCAAAACATATATTTTCTGGGTTTATATTTCTGTGTCTGTAACTGATTAAATGAAGATAATATATTCCTTTTGAAACATCATTACAAATTTTATATTTTTATTTTTCATCTAATTTTAAATTCTATAATTAATAATTAAGGAATGATTCTTTATCAACATATTCATAAATCACATACAATAATTTATTATAAGGATCTATAAAGAAATCTTGATATTTTATTATATTTTCTTATGGATTTGAAATTAATTCATCTAAGCATCTCATAAATTGATCACTAAATTGTTTTAAACAATCACATAATATTTTACTTTTTGTATCTTTTATTTCTCCTTCATATCTATCTAAGTTATGGTCTGTGAATCTTTTATTATAAAGAAAATAGACTGTCCCATTATTAGGGTTCTATATTGTTATCTAATTCTATTATGTTAAGTGGAATTAATTCATTATTTTATTATTATTGTTATAATTTAAAACTAATGATAATGAATAATAGGAAGACTCTATTTGAGTATTCAAAATGGGATCTATGGATTCATTCCTTAAAGATGTCCATTTATAACCTTACACATAATTTACTATTAAATAGTGTTGTAACTGTACATTTATACAATTTTCTAATTTTATTGGAAACCATTCAAATGGTAATTAAAATCATTATAATTTTAAGGTCTACTATTCAATACATCCTAGCTTTGCATTCCTTTTTCAAACACCCATTTTCAAATATTTCCGTTTAATTCTATCCTATTTCTAACCAAATGATGTATTAAGTAAAGGACAAATAGAAATATAGTTGGCACTTTTATATATAGTAATTCAAATCACCTATCAAGGTATTCGCAGTATAATTACTCATGATCATATTGAAGATAGTGATCTTATGTAATTTGAAAAAGCATACTACATTTTATATCTACACATATAGACTTATAGCATACTTTGGAGTATTTTTCAACACTATCCTATTGATTCCATTTACTAATGTTTACATTGCCATACTATATTGTGTGAATTCCAATTTTGAATGCTATGTCGGAGCTTATTATGCTCATTTTGTATTTTCTGTAAAAATATATGTTCTAAATATATTTAGTTTTTGGGATTATTCATGCATTTTATTCATATTGTTTACTTCAATTTGATTTTCATGGAATAGAATCCATTTTCTACTATACCATTTGCTAGCCCTTAATAAAGTGCCACATTGATAAAACAAATAATTAAAATAGTATTGCCTATTTATACCATATTCGATTATTAAGGATCATTAGATAGAGTATTCATATCATTATTATGTTTATCATACATCTATCTAAATGTCCAAAGATTCAAGTAACCCAAATATTATAATAAATGGGTTGCCTGGGTTTCAATAATAGAAGAAGTCACTTTGTTATGGATAACACTTGTTAGTTTCTTTACAGCCTTCATTAATTATGATTAGGCTGAAGACATAGGGTTTTTCTATATGATAATAGGTATTCCTTTGGTAGTTCTAGTTTACTTTCACTTGTTACATTTATAAAATAAGAAAGTCTTATCAATTCTATTTAGAAATATAGAAAGAGATATAGAGGCTGAGATATATTTGATAGCAGTAATAAAATTGATAAGACAGAGAAAAAAGATATGGTCTAGAATGTTATTGGAAGGGAAATTGAGATTACATTCAAAAGCATGTTAAAATAAGGAATGTATTTGTAAGGCATTGATGCTTGAAAATATAAAGGAAGAGGAGATTGATTAGTATTGGTATAAATTTTTAGGATTTTTATTGAATGAAATGAGAGAGAAATTCAATAAGAGTTGTAGAATTAATCTTTTATATGCATTTTTATTGAATGATTAATTAAACAATCATTTTAAAGCATTAACAGAAATGATGTTTGCTGAAGATAATAAACCATCATTATAGGAAGAATTGGCTATGTATCATTATAAAAACATTATTTAATAAAAATTAAAAGATATGGAATAGAAAACAAATGAAAATAAAGGAATTGATGTTAATGGAATAATGGTATTTTAAAATACATTTATAATATTTTTGAATGCAGTAGAGAAGACTGTAAATTATCATATTGAATATTGGCGTGAATTATTAGAAACTAATCCTGATATTTTAAAATTGAAAGTAGTTGGATCTAAAATAACAAAGAAATTAGAATAGACAATGATTTAATATCAGAAATTACAAGAATTGAATTCTAATCATATAAAATTTTTAACCATTTATGGTAATTTCTTAAAGGAAATAGTTAATGATGAGGATGAATCAAATAGAATTTTAGATAGAGTTTAAATATTAATAAAATAATTTTAGAATAATAAGATACATGATTAAATAAGATTAAAATATGGAGAGAATGCTAATACATGTATAATAACATGTTCAGGTAATTTTAATAATATGGGAGTGGTTACTAATTGTAATAATGAAATTACACGTTTATTATAATTTAGCAAGAGTGATATTATGGGTATTAATATCAATTGTATTATGCCAAAAATATATGCAAGTCATCATGATTAATATATGATTGATTATATAGAATCTAGTAAACCAAAAGTAATGGATAGAGAGAGAATCTTATGTTGCATAAATTCATAATAATATTTAGTACCATGTTCTTTAATGATTAAAATACTTCCAAATTTAGATGAAGGTATAAAGATGGTTGGATTCTTATAAGATTATAATAATTAATAGGAATCAAATGAAGAATGGCATTATATTATAGTTGATGGATACACTCAAACTATTTTGGGTATTACTTAATCATGTACATAAATATTTGGAATTCCATAATCTATAATGACTAATAATACATTCAAATAAAAATTTACATTTGATGTACTTTTTCCAAATGTAGAAGAACATATTAATATGGAAGATGGAATTTTGACTTATTTAGATACTACATAATTATAAGAAGATTATTTATAAGGAATAGGAGAAAGTTAGAGTGAAATATCTGTTGAAGATGATGATGATTAATTTTGTGAATTTCCTCATGATCCATTAAGATCATCAAATGATACAAGAATATAAAGATATTTATTAAAACCAGTGGAATTAAAATAATAAGATTAAGTTTCTGATACACCAAGTCCATTATTTAATAGATTTTAAACTGTAGATTTTAAGAAAAAAAAGAATGATAAATTACAAAGATATAAAAAGTATAAAATAAAATTAGTATTATGTGATTAATTAAAAATTGGAGAATATAATTTATAAACAATTAAATTTATGTGGATTAAAGAAGATGAATAGAGTGAATAAATAATGAAAATGGATTCAATGAATTCAAAATAAAATTAAAATAATCAAGATAATAAAATTAGTGATCATTTATAACCTGTTATTGAAGATGGTAATTCTAGTAGATCATCTAGAACTGAAAATAATCAAAAAGAATTAAAAGAATTCAAATAAATGATATCATCCAAAACTTAACCTAGATCTATAATCATTTTAAAACGTACAGTTTGGTTCATTATGATACTATTATTAACATTAAGTACTTTAATTATGGCTTATAGAGTCATTTAAAGTAATGATGTTAAAGAAGGTGTTAATGCTATTTATTAAGGTTATTATAGACATAATATTATATCTGATGTTGTTTACAATGCTAGAAAATTATAATTAATTTATAATAATACTTATGATGATGATATGTAAATAGTTAAATCAGATTTATAATATTGGGTTAATTCATTATAATAACTACAATATGACTTAATTAATGTAAGACTAATTATGGAAAATAGAAAAGGAAATTAAATTTAACCTTAAAAGTATACAACTAAATTTTTAATGTCTAATGGATAAGAAAGTAATTAAGATTTATTATTTGATGATGCTATGATGTATTTTATTACTTCTGGTTCTTAATTAGATAATGCTTCCAATGATTCATTTATATAATCTTCAAATAGTGGTTATAAGAATTTCTATTTTCTAATCAATAATGGATATTATGTATTAAGAAATGGATCAGAAAACATAGCTAACAATTTCTATGAATTTTATTCTAATCTTATTTAAGATTACTTAATAAAATTCTTGATTATTATGATTATTGGTATTGCATTCCTCATCATTTCCTCATTAGTCTTAATTCCAATTGTTTCATAAGTACATGATACCAATAATAAAGTATTATCTCTATTTGGTATCATACCTGTAAATGAATTAAAAGATTTGGTCACTAAATGTGAATAGTACTTAAAGAATTTCTTAAATGAATAAGGAGATTCTCATAAACACACTAAAGTATAAGAAGCATAAATTACTCATTAAAATATTATTCATACATCTGGACATGGAGAATAACCATTAATAAATAAGGAACATTAAGATAAATAAGAAAGTAATGAAGATGATGCTAGCAAACTCATTTAAAAACCTTAAAAATTATTATCATCAGGACATCAAAGTGTAAGTCATGTTAAATAATTATCAAATTTAACTTCTGATGGTTAACCTTAAATTCCTATTCCTATTTCTTAAGGTGCTACTAAACATGATTTAAAACATTCATAAAAGAAATAATAATAAAAGGAGGAAGAAAAAGATGATGATTAAGAAAATTTAAAAGCAAATAAATTATTGAATTCTTAAGGAAGTCATAAATGTGCTGTAACTGTTTAATTTATATTCTTTGCACTACTATTTATTTCATATTTTGTTTTAGATATTATATTAGAATCCTATTTCCTCAAAGAAACTTAAAATATATTTGATCATCTTAAAAATATAGAAGATAGACCCATTAATATCAAATATTATATGTATTTGTCAATTGAATAATTGTTATTAGAAGATCCCACTTCTTTAGATACATATAAGAATGTCTTTCAAAACAGATAATCAGAAAATGAAAGAAATATATCTATTGAAATTTAATAATCTCATCCATCATAATTTGATTCCTATTTTTCATTATTAGCTGGTATTTCATTTAATAGTCTATGTGATTATCCATTTACTGTTAATTAATTCACTTTAGTAGGCACAACTTGTATGGAAGTATAGGCTGGACTTTTATAATAAGGATTAAAAACAACAATAGCTTCAGTTGCATTAACATCAAATGATATGTTAGCTAAATGGTCTTTAAGTGATAAAACATATGATGATTTATCCTAAACTTTGAAAGAATATTATAAAAAACTAGACACTATTATGTAATATGTATCTAATTGTTGCTATTATCTAACTTTGTAGTATTAGGAATCTACTTTAGATTATCTATCATATTAGGAAATGATTGAATAAGTTAAATTTTCTGTGTTTCTAATTATTATGTTCTTTGTATTCATCTTTTGCATGACTCAATACTAAAATAATTTGAGTGAATAAATCTGGGAAACTAAGGTACTCTTATTCGTGATTATTACAGGGCTTATTGAATATGATACCTTTAGAGATTATTGCCAAGTATTAACATCTGAAGGAACAATTTGTAGGAGGGGAAATTCTTAAAGCTGTTCAATGAATTAATAATTAACAATTACTCACTGTGAGCATCACAATTAATTATTGTGTCAATAGCTCTTTTATAATTATTATTTAATATATATATATATATATTCACTTTTTTAGCTTCATGTTTTTTTATTTAAATTAATTTCTTCTATTATTAATTTTTATTATATCTAAACAAAATAGATTATAGAATATTTATATTCATATTTTTGTACATGGCTAAATAAGAATATAAAATTAATGACTCAATTAAAAATATATAGTTGGTTTATATAATTGCTGTAATTAGATACTATAGACACATAATTATATCTGAACCTTCAATTTCTATACTGTCTAACACAATATGAAGATATAAGAAGAAAGTAAATATCATAGGTATCTAATTGTGAAAAATCACTATATTAAATTACTGAACTTAACTAAGATAAAGTATCATTTTTAACAATTTTTGAATTCACAAATTTTTATTTTATAATATAGAAGTTTTAAAGATCTTAAATTTAAATAAGTTTAACCGGCTTAATATAGAATCAAATATTTAAAATTGATCAACTTTTTAAATTGAAAACTATTATTAATAATCTTTATAGCTAATATTCATGTATTATATCCTAAAACATTATTCTCTTATTTTGATTATTTATTTATACTTATAACAAAAATCAGAAAGATTTTTTATTTTATTTTTATAATATATTCCCCATTTTTTACAATGGAAAACTTATAGTGTTTAAATATAGAATGACGTAATTTAATTTTAAATCTTATATCTAAATATATTAATTACTCAAACATTATTTATTTCCAAAATAAAGTATAATAATAATATAGTCTTCATTTTAATTTAATTTCTTTTTATTAAAATCATCCTACTAGATTATAAACAATTTTTAATTTTTATTGAATCTAATTAATTAATAAGTAGTTATTTTTTAGATATCCACTTAAATTTTTTAAAGTATTCGAAAGGTCATAGTAATCAAAATTATTATGTTTCTGAGATATTTATATATTTAAACAATACTTCTAATTATAAATTGCTTATAAGGAACTAAAATAATATAAGTTTCCTTATTAATAGAATCTAATTTTAGACATTAACACTCAATTTTAATGATGATTAATAAATTAAAATAGCAATTTTATATAAAAATTAATAGTTTTTATCTGCTGAGTATGAATTTATCATTTTTTATTTGTTGTTAAAAGAATCATAATTACTTCCTATCATCAATATCAAATTTAAAGATGTACATTATAAATATAGAATAAATAAAATTATTTTTATAAAGTTATTCTCCTCTAATAGTTAATAAATAGAATCTGGAAATCATATTTTTGGTTTATCATTATTAAAATAACCTTCGATTTGATATGTAATCGTGCAAGTCAAATGAATATCAAAGACCACCTCTACTTGCTTTATATGATAAAATAAGCAGATTAAAATCATTGGATCGAATTTTGATAAATACGACCTCTAATTTTAAAGCTAAACCACCATAAAAATCCCCTGATATTAGGGCAATTCTTGATCATTCTAAGCTTTCTATTGAAAGATCAAGATCCTCAAAAACAATTGACTAATAATTTAATCATTAAAAAAGAGATCCAAAATATGAGTTAGGAAAAGAAAGCTAGCTTTTGGAATTATATTTAATGTGTAAACATAATTCATTATAAAAAAACAGAAATTAGTAATTAATTTATAAAAGAAAGCAAAGATAATAGAACCGATAAGTGTCTTTAATTACTTGAACCAACTTTTGTACATTAAATATGTAAGAATCAATTTTATTATCTTAGTAAACTTAAATTCATTAATTCCAATAAATTCTAACTTAAAAGCTTATATAAATTTTCAAGATATGAACAAGAATTCTGCTTTACATTATGCAGTTTTGAATGAAAATATTTCACTTGTATAAGCTTTGATATTTAAACAAATTTAAATTGATATGGTAAATTCTGAATAGATTACACCTTTTATGTTAGCTTGTATTCAGTAATCTTTGATTTAATATTAAAAGCGGCTATATAGACATAATACTTATTTTATATGATGAAGGAGCAGATATCAATCATTAAGATAATAAGGGAGATACATCATTACATTATGCTTGTAAATTTAATTAGAAAGATGTGGTTGAATGTTTACTAAAAATGAATGGAATTTAAATTAGAAAAAATAATGAATAAAAAATACCAGAATCTTATATAAATTAATAAGAAATTCATGTATTGTTTTAAAATTACCATCTATCTACAAAAAGTAAGAGATATACTAATTTAGAAAAAAGAACAAAAGAAATAAAAATTTAAAATATTTTGACAGAGTATTTTAAAAAATAAAAAAAATGTCAATTGAAAGAAAGTTCTAATCATATAATTAAATATGAAATAAAATAAAAAAGTTTAAATCAATAATCTAATCAAATAAATTAAATTTTAATAAATACTCCATCTACTACTGATTCAATGAAATAATCAAAATCTAAGGATGATGAAAGAATAGGTCCATAATAATTTAAAATAGTTGGACTTTTAGGTAGAGGAAGTTTTGGAGAAGTATATCTTGTATAAAAATAATAAAATTTATATGCAATGAAGGTGCTTCGTAAAAGTTTAATTTTTAGTATTAATAACTATATATATATTAGAATAAAATATTTGTAGATATGCAATAACAGAAAGAAATGTTTTATCAGTATCTTCACATCCATTTATTGTTAAATTAAGATATGCTTTTTAGACTTAAGATAAATTATTTATGATATTAGATTATTGTCCTGGAGGTGACTTAGGTTAGATTTTAACTAAATAAAAACGATTGTCTGAAGATTTAGTCAAGCTATATATGTGTGAAATAATTTTGGCATTAGAGGATCTTCATAAAAGAGATATAATATTTCGAGATTTGAAACCAGATAATATTGTACTTGATTCAGAAGGTCATGCTTTATTAACAGATTTTGGTTTATCAAAAGAAGGAATTTTAGATGCTAATAGAGGAGCTTAATCTTTTTGTGGTTCAGTAGCATATTTAGCTCCAGAAATGCTTAAAAGATAAGGACATGGCAAAGCTTTAGATTGGTATTTACTTGGAGTTGTTATGTATGAACTCTTAACTGGATTGCCTCCATATTATTCAAATGATAAGGATGTTTTATTTAATAACATTTAGAATTAAGAACTACAAATTCCAAATAAAATTTCTGTTGAAGGGAAGAGTCTTTTGAAAGCAGTATGATATTAATTAATACTTTAGTTATTAAATAGAAATCCAATAAATCGATTAGGTTCTGGAGAAGGAGATTACTTGGAAGTGAAATAACATCCTTATTTTTAAGATATAAATTGGGACTAAGTATTTAATAGAGAACTTAAGTTGCCAAAACCTAATAATAAGATAAATCTTTTATCTAAAGGTGTTTAAAATGTATTTGATTTGCAAAGTTTTATTGAAATAGAAAAATCTCATATTGATGGATGGTCTTACATTCATACAGAATGAATATTATTTATTAATGTTAAAAACAATTTTTATATATATATATTTATATTCACAAAAGATTTTTTAAGTAGTTTTTCTCATATTTATGATTTATAAATAATTTATAATGCTTAGAATGATACTTAAATACTTATATTTATAATATTATTTTTATCATAAATTTATACTACCAAGTTTAAGAATATAATTGTAGATGAAGAAATCTATGGGTTAAAGCTATCGCAAAATACAAGCAGAATTTAGGTATGAAATATACTTATAATCCATAGATAACCTAGACCTTAATTGATGGAAGTACAAAGTATGACAGTAATATCCAATCAAAGTAATTTAGTTCTTATTCTTTAAGATGGAGCAAAGAAATTCTCATTTAAGGAATTCCTTGAGAAATAGAAATCTATTATAAAAGAAAAGAAAATTTCATCAAATGATAATATTATTAGGAAGATTGCTCCCATTAAATTAGAAAATTAATTAAGTAAAAATAACTCTCCTCGATTCAGAATAAAATTAGTATCAAGTCCATTAAGTACTAACAAAACAACACTTTCAAGATCTCCTTAATCTTCAACATTTCGAAATCGTAAAATCCCTTTAGAATCAGATTAGATTTGTGAAACGGAGATAAAAATATAAACTAATAGAATAGATAGAGCATTTTAATAAACTGATATTGATGAAAGTACTATGCTATCAATTAAATCACCAACAAGACAGGAAAATAGATTAGAAAATTCTTCAGTGATTAAAACAAGAAATTTTATTAAATCGGTAGATGATGAAAATTTGTTGAAAGAGTAAATTAAGCCTCCAAAAAGAACAAAAAAATAATTAAGACATTGTTTACTAAGAGCTTTGAAAAAATTAAAAGAAATGAATATCACAACTAAAATGATGGTCTAAAAATAAATATTTTCTAAAAGACCTTATCAAAAACCTTTTTCTTAAGAATTTATTCATGCAGTCAAGTTAAATTAATTAGAGAAGGTTCATTAATATTTAGAGAAAAACAAATATTTGGTTTTTGATTTTGATTTTTTCAATATGTCTGCATTACATTGGTCTAGTAAAAAAGGATTGTATGAAATGACTGAGATGTTAATTAAATATCATGCAGATGTTGATGCAATAGACATATTAAATAGAACACCTCTATATTTAGCTATACAAGAAAATAATATTCCTATTATTGAAGTAAGAATTTTATCTTTAGAATTTTAGTTACTATTAAGAAATAAAGCATATCCCTGGTCTACTTCGGTAACTGATTTGGGAGAAGTGGTTAAGGACAATAAGAAAGTTCGTAAGATCTTAACTTTAATCAGAAGAGTAAATATTGAATTTAATTATTAGTTGGACATCATTAATATGTGGGGAGAGAAGAAATTAAAAGAAGAGTTTTTTTGATTTGTATTTATATTTTTATATTGTCATAAATCATCTTCACTTGTCATTGATCTTTCAGCCAGAGGAGAACGTTATTCAGTGAAAACTCTTGAATAATAAGCTATATTCCTTTATATCTGACTTAACAATGAATCTTATTCTACAAAGTATCTTATAGTAAAGCTCAAAGGCTCTATACTAACTAAATTTATTGGACCTTTATGAATCTTTATTAAATTGATAATAATTTACTTATTTTCGAAAGAAAGGTAATTATCCTTTTTAGATATGCCACATTATTGTTACCCCTTCATTAGTACAACATACTATTAAATTATTATTATGCCAACCGATATCAAATTATCTAATTAATAATTTTGGGTTATGTTCTATAAACAATTTCACAAATTCAAGTTTAGGTAATGAATAATAAGTAAATTGATAATTAATATTTTTACTCAAAATAATTAAAAAAGTTTGAGCTTTTTCTATTTTTACATCTATTATTTAATCATTCAAACTTAATTATCGAATTAATTATTTTTTTGATAATTAATAAATTGATATTTTGTATTCACTAACAATAATTAGTGAATCTTAATTTTAATCATAATGCATTTTTTTAACTTTTTCTTCTGTTTTTAGACAATATATTTTAGTTCCTTAATCCCATTCAAATAACCAACCATCATTTGCAATAGTCCATATTTTGTATTTTAATAATTTTAAAGTATCTAATGTTTAATAATTATTTTAAAGTAATGATTCTTATTCTAATAATTCTTGTTTTTAAGAATTTTTATTGGTACTACCATTTCCATTAACAAAATTTGATTATAAAACCCAAATCATATCTTAGACTGGACTCTAATGAGCATTTAATACTAATTATTTATTCTTTCTTAATTCAAATATTATAGCTGTTTTATCTTTAGATGTAGTACCAATATATTGATTACAAGGTGATATTGTAACAGATAGAATCTCACTTTGATGATAATCATTTAATGTACGTATTTTATGTAATTAAAGTTCTGAATTAATTTGTAATTGTTATTAATATATTATTACATTTACCTTATCAGATACTTATACTTATAATGAAAGATCATTAGAATATTGAACAATAGATCTACATAATAGAAATATAATTAAAACATTAAATGTTATTCTCGTATAATTTTCTTTGTTAATTTTTATGTGCATAAATGTTTCTAAGAGATTAAGTAATTAGATTCCAATTTACAATGATTTTTACATTCTAAAATCTTATTTGCTTATGCTTAATGCATTAGAATCATAAGTCTATTTGGTTGTAGGACTCCAATTTCTTGATGACATATAAGCAAGATTTGTCTAATGATTTCAACACATGTAAGAGGTTAAATTTCTGATTCTATAATGAGATTTGCTAATTGATGTTTTTGTTATTCATCTATTATATAAGACAAAATGAACCTAAACAACAATCTTATAAACGTCCTCTTAATAATTCAACAGCTTCATTAATTTTTTGTTATTACAATAATTCTATATAATGATTTTAGACAATTATAAACATGCATTTTTATTTCTTTTCTTAATTTACATATGTATTGAATATTTATTCCAATTAATCAAAATCATGATTCTGAATATAAGTAGTAATCTTGGAAACAATTGAAGAATCAACTTTTGAGTCTAATTGTTATAATTGATTATAACTTGTTTTTTAGATTAGTTCTTTAATTGTTTAATAGTAACCATGATTGTTTAAATATTGAAGAAATATTTATAATTTTTCTTATTGTTTCATTAAATAAATTAATAAATTACATTGAAATAATAATTCTTCGATATTTTTCATTAAATAAATTATCACAATTAAAAATTTATACTATGATTTCTAAAATCCCTCTTAGATTGTTAAATACCATTAAACCATTGTAAATGACAAGAATATTTGCTCCATTCTGTACATAATTGGAAAAGGTCAATAAAAGTATTCAATCTAATAATAATAAATAAAGCTGGATAAAAATTAGTCAAAATAGTTGAGAAAGAATTAAAATATGAGAAAACTAATTATGTTGAAGATGATTCAGTTACTGAATTCATTGAAAAGGCTGGTTTCTAATTAATTGATGATGACAATAATCATGAAGTCACATTAGAAAAAAAAGTAGGTGATGTTAAAGTTATTGTACAATTTTAATCAAGACAACCTAATTCAGAAGAATAAGAAGAAGAAGAACCAGAAGAATAATAAAAAAAGAATAAATAAAATCAATAGGAAGAAGAAGAAGAAGAATAATAAGAAACACAATCTGATTTTGCTGATTTCACAGTATATCTCTAAAAGAGTAATGGATAAATCTTATGCTATGAATGTACTACATCATAAGGAGAAGTATAAATTCATCATATAATATTAGGTTAATGTTAATTTAGTAAGTTTAATTAAGGATTTAGAAGCTCATAAGAAGATTCCAAGATATGAAAGAGGATTATAAGATTATTCAGGTCCAGATTTCATTACTTTAGATGAGGTTATTATAATTAATAATTATTTTATAGAGATTATAATTAGCATTAGTAGATTATTTGAAAGGTTATGGAATAAATGATGATTTGGGAGCATTTATTGAACATTATTCATTAGATAAAGAATAAAGATTGTACATATAATGGTTAAACTCATTAACAACATTCTTGAAGAATTGAACAAAGTTATTCATTTGTTATTGTATAATAATTAGTCATTATTATTATTTATTCACTTTTGCTTTCAATTTCATGTGTATTCTCCAAATTGATAATAATCCAAATATTCCTGAACTCTATAACAATATCAAACCACAAAATTTTCCGAAAAAGTTAGTTATAATATATAATAAGGAGGTGATAGAGAAAGAAAAACTGAAAATTATATACATTAAATCGACTGAGTAGATGAACTATTATTATTATAATATAAATTGTACTTTTTAAAAATAAACTATCTAAAATGATATAGTTGTTGACATCATTGCTGAACAACTAAATCCAAAAATGAATGACATTGTAAATACTAAAAAGTCTATCTAAAATATGTATATTCCCCAAGCCAAAAAACATCCCAATTAATATACTCCTAAAATATAATATAGTCCTCTTAATTTAATATATAATTTTATACGTTATTTTTTAAGAGAAATCTCCAAACATCCCTATATAAAAACATCCAAAAATCTATCCTATCCCTACATACAAAAATCCTTCATAAATTGTAGCAGCCCTAGTTTCAGGATTCAATACTGAATTTATTGTCAATAGATTTGGCAATTACAATAATAAATATGACATCAAACTTCCAACATTAAAAATCAAAATAATAAAATAATAGAATCCTTCAGAACAAAGAACAGACAAAGTTAAATATAGATTTCCAAAATAATTATTCTTAACATATTCTTCCATTAATATTGTTTTCTAACCAGCATAAACCCATTATAGATCATCAGATGATTTTGGTTTCTCTGATAGAATATCCTATAAATTATTCTCTTCGTATGAAAAACTTTAAATTGTAAAGAATTATTGAGTCTACATCATCTATGTTTATTAATCCATTATTTATTAAATCTTATCACTTTCACCAGTAGCTTCTTCTTCTATTAATTTATTATATAATTCATTTGACTCATTCTTTTTATTCATTTTTTATAGTTCTAATCTCAATATCTTTTTATTCTCCTTCCCATTTTGCATTAGCAATTGAGATATAATTTTATTAAACTTTTTTAATTTTGATTTCTTTTTTTCATCTGGAATTGTTAAAAATAATGAACATAAAAACAAAGAACTGATTATCAATATAATATAAACATGTTTTAATGTCTCTACTAATGAACCTCTACTACAAAAATGAACCAATAAATTCCCTATTAAACTACCGATCAACCATTAAAATTGATGTCTATATATTAAATTATAATATCTATATACATACATAAAATAGAATGAACTATAGTAAATTATCTTCTCCCGACCACCTGCCAAATTAGACAAATAATAAAGCATTGAAAAAAGTAGTAAAGTCTTACAAAATCCTGATATAGCTGAAAACACTATAGTGAATGTCCACATTACATAGACATTGCAAATTGACTCCTCAGAATCTTTACATATTGTTGCAAATTAAATGGGTATAATAAACAAAATAGATCCTAATGAGGAAAAGAAAAATATGTATCTGAACTAAACTTTTAATAAAAGCATCGGAATAATAGGTAAACTCAAAGGGGCAGCCATCTCATAACAAAACCATCTATGTAAAATAAATATATATTGTACTAAACATTTCCAAAACATACTAGTCCTGAATCAATACCTAATGGAAAATTGGTTGAATATAAGAAATCATATATTTGCATCATCCCCATTTTTCCAGTCATATTGAATGCTTTAAGCAGCATAAACATAAAGCAGCAATAAGTTGAAAGCCATAAGTCTTTTGCTGATTTTTATTCTCGTATTCTCAATTAATATCTATATTAAATGAATTATAATTCATTCATTTACTATAAATTTATATATGTTTAATTGAACTAAATAAACATTGTAAATTTGATAATGATGTATTAAATAATATTGCACATAATAATTTATTAATATTTTTGCAAATAAACAGAGATTCTAGTCATTTTAGAATTTAAACTAATTTCTAATAAATTACTATCAAAATTAAATGAATCAGTTTCAATTTAAATTTATTATCTTATTAAATTAAAATTTGACTTCTAATTTTATATACTACAAATGAACACTTACAAGTAATTTAAATCAAAATAAACTATTACTTATTCAATTTCTATTATATTAAGTTATCAATTAACATAAATTACTTCAAAATATCAATTATTTAATTTAACTATATATATTGATATAATAAAATTAAATTAAAGATAATTTTTATATAAAATAATCTTTTATTTTTCTTAATATAATTAATGATTTTCAATTAAATCCTATTATCATTCGATCTCAAAAATTAAATCTAATTTTAATTACAGAAATTATGCATCCAAACCCTGAACTCTCTAATCTTTCTTCATTTTAATTATAAAAATCTCCTTTCTAAATAACTAGATTTTCTATCTACATCATATGATAAAGGATTTACTTATTAGATTAATTATTTTTTAGTAATTCTAATTTCTTTAATTTCTTTCTGAAACATTTTTTCTCACATTATTCTAAGTTCTCATTTTTGAATTGCTATTGGAATTTAGAAATATGATTTGTTTCCCAATTAATATCTTATTATTATTTGAGTAATTACATATAAATTTAACGAATCCTTATTTGGAATTTTTTATTTATGATTGTATAGAATGAAAAATGATATTTGTTTTAGGTTCTTCTTTTCATGTTATAAGATTTCAAATAGCAATTATAAAATGAATTTTGTTTATTGATTCTTCAAAATTTATCTTTTAGAAGTGGTTTAAGCACTTTAAAATTTTTTTTAATATTTAGCTATTTTTGATAGAATTTTATTTTTATCAAAAAAAATAATGTATTTTTATAAATTATATGTCTTGAGAAATAATGATTAATAGATTAAATGATTTATTGAATACATTCTTAATCAGGAATAAAGATTAGTTAATTCATTATTTATCTAATTATTTTAAATTTTAAGTAATCTAAATAAGAATTATATTGTTTTTTTTATTATTTTATATTAAATTATAATTATCTAATCTATCAAAAATTTTATATATTATTAGAATAATTAAAAATAATCTAATCATTTGTTCTTGATCCCAGATATTATTTTATTTGATCATTTTTAATTTTAAATATCTTCAATCAGCAATATCCATAAGATTATTGTATATAATATAAAATTATAACATACAATACTTATTCAATTAAATTTTTCTCAAAGTCAATATCTTATGTGATTGCTCTAAATACACAATTTAGTTTAATAATTAAATTTTTTTTCATCAATCTATTAAAAATGAATACCCTTTAATTTCAATAGAAATTGAATATTAATATTTATTATTAATTAAATGTCTTAGACTTCAGATAAGAGATTGTGTAAAGTTCATAATTAATAAATTATTGCCACTAATCTTAAAGAAATCTGTGATGAAGATAGTAGACATTTATGTGGGTAATGTTTAACACTAAAAACTATGGAATAAACTATACATATTAATGAGGAGGCTTAGAACTACTTAAATGAAATTAAAGCAGGTTATTATTAATAAAAGAGTAAAAATATTGATTAAGCTTAAAATGTACTAAGTTAACTCTAAAATTGCATTGATGAGTTAAAAAGAAATTTGGTGTAAATTTGTGAAAAAGTCTCTTAATAAATTACTCAAGAGATTGAGAGATTATCTAATCTTTTGGAAAATTTGGATTAGACTATCTAATCAATAGATGTTTATAATTTTAATGAATTATTTAAAAAACTATAAAATGAAGATATAGAAAATTCACAATTTTCATTTAGAAATATTTTATAATCTTAGATATCACAAATATAACATAACCAAAAAATTGAAGAATTCCTTCAATAACTTAATTCTATTGAATTTTAAACAAGTCAGTTGGAAATATATTAAACTGAATAATTATAATAATATTCAGAAGAAAAATAAATTGTAAATATTTATAGTTTTAATTTATAGGACACTCCAGGATTAAAATTAAATTGTTAAAGTCACAATAAAGAAATAATAGCCTTTGATTTAGATCCTGAGAGAGCTAAGGAAAATAGATTAGCTTGTATTTATTGTATTGAAGAAAATTCTATAAAATATTGTTCATTGACAAAGGTTTAGAAACAATGGAATTAATTGGAAGAAACAAAGAAAAAGAAATTGGAAAAATTGCATCAAAAGAGTTATGAGAATGAGTAGGTTATATTGTAATAATTAAATTCATTAACAGAAGTATTTTAAGAGAAAAAAAATGAAATAATGTAATATCTCAAAGACCATAATGAAGTTTTAAATCATACAATTAATACAACATTTTAAGGAATGAATTAAAATTGGCAAAATTATTCAAAGAAAACTCTACTTGATATAGTTGAAACATTATCTAAAATTTAATAAAATGATTAGATTTGCTTTAAATAAGAAAATTAAATATTGGAATAAGAGACACTATTAAATAAAAATATATATAATTCTCTTTAAAAAATAAAAGAAACTTGTTAAACATCATTATAAAAGATATTAGATAAGATTTGTTATGATTATGAATAATTCTGTTTTATTCCTGTGAAATAATAAAATAAAGAACTTAAATTGAAATAAAAAGAGATTGAATTAAATTTATAGATTCAATAAGATAAGAAATAATAAAATATAAAATAAACTTAAACAGATATGGGATAGTAATCTTAAGGGAAAATTAATTATTTAATGTTATAAAATCATGCAATAAGACAAGTTGATAATTTTAGAACATTAAACTTTACAAAAGAGAATGATATACTTATAGCAGGATGTAATAAATAAATATAAATATATAAATTTTGTTGGGGGTAATTGGAACTTATTTAATAGATAGATAAACATGATTAGAATATTTGTTCAATTTATGTTATGAAGAAAAGTAAATCCTTTATTTCTGGAGATTTTAATGGAAAGATTATCTTTTGGATATATGAAGATAATAAATGGAAATTTACAACAGAAATTAAGGAACATACAGATTATGTTAATTAGATATTGTTGAATAAAGATGAAAATGAAATGATAACATGTAGTGATGATAAGAGTATAAAATTTTATTCAAAAGAATAATAATGGAAATGTATTTAGACTATAAAGAATCATCAAAGTAATGTTCATGCAATATCATTAAATACATCAGAAAATACTTTGATTTCATGTGGATTTGATAATTAGATTTTAGTAATTGTAAAAGATTTTCTTTCAAGAGAATGGTAAGTAAAATAAACAATTAAGAATGAAATTTATGGCTATAGGATTTGTTTCATTAAAAATAATCATTTCTTTTTTCAACCTTAAGGACAATAGAAAATGTGGTTATATAAAAAATCTAGTCAGAATGGTGAGTTTGAGAAGACTAAAGAATTTGATGTGAATAAGATATATAGCAGTTGTAGTAGATGGTTTTAAATGGAATATAAAGAATAGAATTAATTGTTATTATGTAAGAATGGAAATTGTGTTAATTTATTTAAAGTTTTGGATGATTATTCATTAAAAGCTGAATAAACCATTACATTTGAAACTTAAGGCATATTTGGAGCAATTACTAGTGATTCCCTATATCTAATATTATGGGATGATAAATCTAAGTAATTTTAGATTAGAAAATAATATGATGAATGATAAATTTAAATAAAAATAAATATTTACATAATAAATTTATTTATATAATCATCATATTATTACTTTATCTTTTCTATACAATAGACCAATAGGATTTACTTATTTCTCTTCATTCTCCACATTACCCATCTCATAGTATTTTATATCAGTTTATCATTGGTCATCAAGAGTCACTCTCTTTAAATGTTATCTTATTAATATATAAACATAAAATGGCTACCAAGATGGTCATAAAATTATAAACATAAACCTAATAGTTTATTTTTTAATCAAATCCATATTCAGCCTATTTAGTTAATAATAATTCATTTGGATATCCTCTAACAATAAATCCTATAGGTCTTATTAGGCAGTAAGCCTAGGTTATAATATACTTATTACTCCAACTAATGAAGTAGATACTATTCTCATTTCAAGATTACATTTGAGACCAATTCAAACCTAAAATCACGCCAGAAACAACTAAAAGTTGTTAAAGGAAAGAACATAAAGTTTGTTTCAATTGAATAGTAAAATAAAGATTGGATCATCAAAGATATAATGAGTCCAACACTAAATCCAAAATTAAATAGAAGGAAAAAGAACCTTTGGATTGAAGCATTGAAATATATGAAAGCTACTAATATTCCTGATCCTATGACAACACTTAAAGCTGCATTACTAGATTCACCATAGTAGATTTTTTATTAATAAATTTACATTTGATTTTACTATATTTAATGTGGTCTCTCCAATAACAATAGTAGTAAATCCAAAACCCATAATAGAAGCAAGAATCATAGATTATAATTATACTAATTTGTATCCAAAGAGTAAGAAGAATATTCCAACCATCCATAGAATTATAGAAAATATCCATTTAAAATCAATAAAGAATTAAGTACTATAACTTAAGATTCACTTGTTTTATTATCTAATTTTGGAGTATTTTTATATGTTGATGTCAAAATATTACTATTATTGTTACTATTGGTATCTTCTTTATTTGTATCAATTTAAGTAGTTATTTTATTTTCATTTGTGCTTTCAGTATTATTATTAGCTACAGTGTTTGTATTGGATGTATTACTTGTTTCAATTTTAGTCTTTTCCAAAATTCTAATGGATTATTATTTCTCACATTTATAATTTAAAAGTCCACATAAAGTGATATGTAAAGATTTCTCATCATTTCCATAAACCAAATTATTTTCTTATAGATTGATAAAATCAAATTTAATATCATTGTTATATTAAACTTGGCATAAAAGTAATGTTGTGAATAGAATTGATACTATAAAAATATTCATCATAATTAATAATGAAATATCACAAAGTTAAATGGGACTAAGTACCTATGGTTGATGAAGCTAGCCAACATTATCTTGATTAATTGAATTAACGAAATCGTTTCCATAACTTTCCTACCAACTAATGGTTTAAGAGGAGATCTGATTAAGTAAAGCCTCAGTATCTCTATTATCCTGAAGAAAGAAAATTACAGATGGAACTAAAATAAATTTTCATGGTATATCAACTCATTAACTTCCATAGACTTTAGATTGTAACAATGATGGTGTTCTTACTTTGGCTCATCTGTTTATGTTATTCAAACACTATGGATATGGAGTGAGTGTTAACGATTTATAAACCATTTATCAATTTATAGATTATAACAAGGATAAAGCCTTATCATTAGATGAATTTAAAGGTCTTACAGAAAATCAAGAAGCCTTGTAAGCATTCAGAAATATGATGCTTAAGATTCAAAAAACCTTAGAATATACTGAAAAGTATGTTCCATTATCTGTTGGAGCAATGCTTAGCCATATTAGTTATTTGGTTCAGAGAGAAAAGTAACTCAAAATGATTCTCAGTGAATAAAGCATCTCAATTAAATTCTAAGCTTTTCGTTAATTAATATAAGAAACCGAAAAGAAAACCATTGCAGATGAAGCTTATACATTGTTTCTTAAAGCTTAAGCAGAATTCTAAAGAAAACTTAGAAGATAAAATTCAGTAGATTTAACAATCAAAGTCAGAAAATCATTCTCAACTATCAATGGATTATAACCACTCTTGTTCAGAAATATGCTCATGAAAGATGCTAGTGAACTACAAGATCTAGCTAAAATGGTTAAAATATAAAGTAAAGTAAATTAAGATACTTTTCAAACTGTGACTGAATCACTGGATGAAAGTTCTTTATCAAATATAGAATCAACTGAAATTGAATAAGTAGTCAAAAAAGCTTAATAAAAAGGGAAGCTCTAAGCTAATCAAGAAATTAGATAATTATTAACTCAAAGAGAACTTCCTAAAATAGCATCATAACATAGAAAATAATTGAGTGTGGTGACAGAAGATTTACCTCCTATTTAATTTAATTTAAAAAAATGTCATTCTACAAATAATAAAAGTCTTTTAGAACGCTAATTGAAACTATAAAAAATTATTCCTGCTGAAGAATTGTCTCAATTTAACTTTCTTTCTTCATCGAGATCAAATAAAAATTACAGTTCAACATAAGAACAAACCTCATCAGAAAATTAAGGAGGCTGGTCTAATAGTATTTTGTCTATGAAATTGCCAACTTTATAATGAATATTTGATTTTGTATTAAATAGGATTTTTTTTAATCTTTATAATTAAATAAATCCATATTAGAGTTTATTTTCTTTAATAAAAATATTTAAATTTATGTATATATATTCTATCTTATATTAGTGATTCTAAATCAGTATTCTAAATTAGTATTCTAAATCATATTGATTAATAATGTCAATAATTAATATATATAGGCATTTTGAAAATCCTTTAAAATAAGAATATATATTTCTTTAAACATATATGTATTTTTGAAATTGATTGAAATTTTGATACTTACCAATTTTTATTTTTTAATAAGTAAATATGATTATTTAATGAATTTAAATACTCTCTATATTTACAGTATTTTGTTATGATATTTAATCATACTGATTTTAAATGTGATTCATTAAGAGATAGTATATGTCACCAATAATAGATTCAGAGTATTCTCTTATAATTTTTAATTAAATTAATTTTATATTTATTTTTTAATTTATTTTATCAAATAAATTTTCTAATTATTAAATAAATTTTAGTAGATTAAATAATTAAATTAAATATAATACCTACCATCTATGCGATTAATCTTTGAATTTGTTAAATATCATACAAATGACAGCTAAAAATGAGTATTTTAGTAAAGATTATAAATAAATGTATTATTTCAAATAAGAAATGTTACCTTCTTCTCTTTTTATCCAGATGGGAACTTTTTTATCTTCTTAATTAAGGATTATAATTCATTAAGCTACTAATTACAGGATTTTTTCTAAATTAATATTTTAATACCATTAATTATTCATATCTTTCTGATCTCTTAATCAATTATTCTTCATCAATCACAATTTTTTATTTTCTTATAGAAGGTAAAAAAGATATATTTTGTCTTTTGGTTTCAGTTTATGGTGATAAATTTTGATTTTATTCAATGACAGTCTACTGATTGTTAGCATCATCATCATTGTTACAATCTGAGGAATTGATTGGATTAAGGGGTCTTTATTTTCTATTGGTTAATTCTTATGAGAAATTTTTGGTTGCTAAAATCTTTGGAGCAATGTTTTTTATTTGATAACCTTCCATACTATATCTGAGAATTGGATTAATTGGAATAGAGTGTCCTTCAAATATTAATGAGTTCCTTCTACTCTTAAAGTTATTTTTTTAGTGTTTAATGTTATCTTATGTAAATTACAAAGTTTAATTTACCTGTGCTTATGATATTTGTTTCAATTTATTCATGATTTTGTTTATTTTCAAAAGATAACAATTACATTGTTTTTTGAGCAGGGTAATGCAATTATCTTTTAAGTTACTTTATAAGATTGAAATCATTATAAGGACTTAGAGATTGGGATCGAAGTTGTCTATATTAAAAAGGCTATTCACATTATGAATTCATTATTATTAAAGTTTAATTTGGAAATTAAAAATGGCAGAAGAGATTTCAATTACATTTGATGAATAAAACAAAATTAGAGTGTTGGATGCTGAGAAATATAGAGAGACAGAATAGTTGAAGATAGAGAGCATGGATTTTATTAAGAAGGTACTTGCTTTAGATGAGGTGGTTCAAAATTTGAATGAGACACTTGAAGAATATTCAAAAAAAATAGAGATTGAAAAGTTGAGAGCAATAGGAGAGGTATGAATATTAAGATTAATTAGAGAAATAAAGTAGAAACAGAATAGGAAAATAGAAAGAAAAAATTAATGGAGTTATCAAATATTTTGAATGAAAGAAAGGCTGAATTAGATAGATATTAAATTGAACTTGATAGTTTATAGAAAGTTGAATAGGACTAAAGAATATTAATAGAGAAACTCAGTAACAATGATGCATGATTAAAAATATAAAATTATATGTTCCATTAATCGTAATCTCTAAATAATCTAATAAGAGATCATGGTTCAAAACCATTACAAATAGCAGGAAGATATCCAGAGAGTGCTGATTTCAACATTAAGTCAAAGTTCTTTTTGCCATAAATAAAAATGACAGAATAGAACAATGTGGTTACAGATAAATCAAAGTAGCTTCGATTACCATAGTTATAAAATCATTTGGCAACAAGTGATTAACACTAAATTAAGAAGATTGAGATAAGAAAGTCTATTACACCTAAATATTAGAAGAGATAAACAACAATTTATGCAATGAGAACTAAAGCAGGATGTTAAATTAATAAGGCTATAAAAATCAATTAAGATTCTGCTATTGTTTGTCCCAAACTTCTTGAAAAGTATTAATATATCATAATAAAATAGTATTGGTTATAAATTATTTGCAGTTTCAGACGGACATGGTCTAAATGGTCATCATGTGTCAAATTTTATAAAATAAACTCTTCCTAAACATTTGCATAATTAATTGGGAGATAATCATGAAGATATTAAAATGTAAATTTCAAGAGCATTTACAAATACAAATAGAGAAATTTGGAATTCTAATACAGATACAAATCTTTCTGGTTCTACTACTGCGTTAGTGCTCATAAAAAAAGATATTGTAATTAAATATTATTATAAATTTGTTTTAGATCTATACAGCAAATGTTGGTGATTCAAGAGCAATTTTATGTAAGTTTGATTAAGTTTGGTAAATCTTACCTTTAACAAGAGATCATAAACCAGATGATCCTGAAGAAATGAAAACTATTGTTGATGCAGGAGGTAGAGTTGAATAATAGAAAGGTTAATCAATTTCTTAATTTAGATTTTAATTGGAATCCAATAGGACCTTTTAGAGTTTGGTTATAGTATATTTAAGCACCAGGTTTAGCAATGTCTAGATCATTTGGTGATAAAGTTGGTGCTTAAGCAGGAGTAACAGCAATTCCAGAAATAAAACAATTTGCTTTGACCAACCATAATTAATTTTTAATTGTTGCTTCTGATGGAGTTTGGGACTATTTGACTAATGAAGAGGTATTTCTGTTAATAATTAGGTGATGAGTTTGGTGATTCCATACTTTGAAAAGGATAATCCAGAACATGCTGCAGAAAAAATAGTGAAAGAAGCAATCTAAGCATGGAGAAGAGTAAAAATTTATATTTAATTTTAGAATAGTTTAGTAAGAGATGATATTACTTGTATTGTTATCTTTCTATGACTAGAGTAAGTAAGGATATAATGAATAAAATCTATTTTGTTCTTATTTTATAAAAATGATTTAAAAGTAGATAATTTTCTATTTTATAATAAACTTATTCAATTATTCTTTACATAATAATTAAATTAAAGATATATTTTTAATTATTAAATATTAACTTAAATAATAGTATATTATAAACAAAAAATATAGAATATTAACATATTGATTTTGGTAATGAATAAATTAGGGATGAATAACATAAATGATTAACTCTACATACATAAATATATTAATTGATTGATATGGAATCAAATTTATTTTTACTATTCAAATTGCTTTAAATGTTTTATATATTTTAGTAATAAAATTTGATAAATGTTTAAGATAATTGAAAGTGGATGATAGATTTGTTAAGAAACTATCAAATAATACAGATTAAGTTATATAAAATTAAATATTAAGAAAGATGTTGTAAAAGCTTTTGATAAATTAAATCAAAGTTAATAAGTATAATCAACTTTTATTTATTAATAAAATGTTTAAATTTGGATAAGAGAAATTCACAAAAAAGACTTTGCCTAAGAATTTTGCAGACTAGATTCTCAATCTTGAAATGGAAATAGAATTGAATGATCAAGTTTAAATAGAACTTATACAAGATTTGATTTCACTATATATGGTATTCATTTATCGTCATCTCATTTAGGAAGGAGTAGAATATTATGAATCCATTAAGGATAGAAGACATCTTTATTTTTAGAGAAAATTGAATGCATTAATGTTAAAACCTACTTTTATTAATGCAACTTAAAAATATGAAGAATCACATAAACCAAAAGATGACAATTAAATTAAAAGAGCAAAATTTCAAGAATAAACTCGTAGAATTGAGCTTGATCTCATTTATAGTCAAACTGAATCAAAAGAGGTATTCATTTCATTTTGTGATTGAGGCTCAAGTTAAAGGAATTGTTGATAATCACACAAATTAAGTTATGAAAATTGAAAGTCTTATCAAAAATGAAATTGCAAATCAATCTGATGCTTTTTAAATGCGTCTTGAAAGACGTCGTCGTTCAAAATTGACTCATTCTCTAAGTCAACCAGAAATAGATCTATAATCTTAGAAATCTGGTAATAGCAATAAGAAAAAATAAATTGAAATACATGAATAAATAGGTATTAATTATATATATATCTATTTTTAGTGTAAATCAAATAAATAATTCATGAAGAAGATGAAACAGCAGCTAATAGAAAAGATTCCACATTAAAATAAACTAAAGAAAAGAAATGGGAAATAATTCATAATTCATCTCTTATTTAAGAGAATAAGTATATTGCAATTTATTAAAATCATAGAAAACGAACTAATAGTTTAATTCAGAGAAGAAGATCTGTATTTCTGACTACCAAACAAATGATATAAACTAAAAGATCCTTAAGTTGTGGAGCTGCAAAACCTGTGGAAGAAATCAAGAATGAATGACAATGTAGTAATAATAATTATTATTATAAATATATTATTATACTGTAACATATTCTTTATTTCAAAAAATTATAATCTAATTTATATTATACTTTGTCTACTTAACAAGGTATTTTATTAAATCTCTGATGACAAATATTCCTTATTTTTTATATTTCATATTTCCTATTCAACATTGAAAATTTATTAATATATTTTTAAATAGATAATTTAATGAATTAACTTGAGGATGGAGAAGTTCCGACTAATAATGAACCCAAAAAAAATGGAGCATCTATTTACTCGTCTACTTATAGGACAAAAGTTTGTGAGCATTTCAAAAAAGGCTCTTGTATTAAGGGCAATAAATGTTCATATATGCATCCAAAAGAGCTATAGAATGTTACTCGCATCTGCAAGTATTACTTAGGGCAAGGATGTCAGAATTAATAATAATGCTAATATTCTCACGATTTGTCTAAATACCAATGCAAATTCTTTTTTGCAATGAGTAATTGCAAAGGATAGAATTGTCGTTTTTCTCATGATCTTTGGGAGAATGAAATTGCTAAGTAACAATGGGCTGCTGACAATGATTAATTTTTAAAAGATTGTTATCAAAGAAGAGTAAATTTTAATCATATTTTATTTTAGGGTACTACTGGTTTGGGAGCAGCTTATGATGAATAATACAAAATGAAAGTTTTTGAATAACAGAAAGTTAATCCAAGTATTTTATTATTTTAATATTTTTTAAAGATTAGAGAAACTACCCCTTTTATCCCAATAATTATATGGCTACTTAACCATAATCATAAATGCCAAACAATATTTTAAAACAAATATCTCCACAAATACCTTAAGGAACAACTAAATTACCGATTAATAATGACCTGGATCCAATAAGTGATGAAGAATAATAAGAAGAAATTAATAAGTTAAACATCTATGAATAATAAAACCCATACTAAATACTCTAAAATAATATTACACCTATCCCTCAACATCAACCCTTTTCAATTAATAACTAATACATCCAATAAAGAATACCTATCAATTAATAAAATTAATTTATATATCCTCCTACTGTCCTTCCTAACTAATAATAATAATAATAAATGTTTTAATAATAAGCATATTAATAAATGAAATATTATCATTAATAGAGTTAAAATAATATGTATATGAATTAATATCATCCACAATAACCATTTTAATTATAGTAATAATAACCTCTAATTGAAGATTAAAAAGAATAAATATTATAAAAATAATAAATAATCTAATAATAAAAATAATAGTAATTATAATAATTATAATAATAATAACAAATTTAATAATAACATTAGTAGTAATAATTTTTATAATAACCATAATAACTATAATAACCATAATAACCATAATAGTCTTAATAGCCATAATAGCCATAATAGTCTTAATAATAATAATAATAATAATTATAATAATAATAATAATAATAATAATAATAATAATAATAATAATAATAATAATAATAATAACCATAATAATAACCATAATAAACATAATAATAGCCCTAATAATAATAATTTGAATAATAAGTCAATAATGGAAAGTTAGAAAATAAAGAAAAAATTGAATCTAAATAATAATAGAAGAAATCCAAAGAATAATAATAGAAAAAAATAAAAAAATAAAAATCAAAGTTTAATAATAAAAAGAAAAGAGAAACCATCAAATAGATTAAAGATAGATTAAAAAAATAAAAGAATAAAATAAAAACTATCTAAATTCCACCTGAAATACCTACCGAAAGTTATAAAGTTGGATCAATCAGTAAGCATCTTGGAATAACTATAAGAAAACCTGTACTCTAGTATTTCTTAGGTTTCTGATTCATCATTTATAAATAAAAATATTTGTTCATAAAATTTAATTCTAAAGTCACACATCCATTTAATTTAACAATTGATATTATTAAAATTTAATATTAACTCGATCTTGATTAGAAAAGTGAGAGGGTTAAAAGAATAGAGTTTATTTGATTAATTTTATAATAATAATTGATATATGAAAAAATTTCTGGTAGCATAAAAATCTATTGGATTTGTTAGGTCAATTAGAGAAATCTTTGATGAAGAGTACAATGAACATGCTTAAGAATATGATGAAATACTATAGACAATAAAAAACAGCTAATAGTAATTTACAGATACTAATTTTCCTCCTTAAAGTAGTTCCTTAAGTTTATCAGAATTACCAAAGAGTATAGTAATAAATAAAAGTAGGTTGGAAAAAATTGACATGGAAAAGAGCGAATGAAATCTTTGAAGATTTCGATATATTTAGTGGCAGTATAGAGCCATCAGACATAAAATAAGGAATCTTAGGAGATTGTTATTTTCTATGTGCACTTAGTGTAATTGCAGAGAAATGTGAATTAGTAAAGAGACTGTTCCATAACAGCGAAGTGAGTCAATATGGGTTATATGCAGTATGGTTAAATATAAATGGAGAATGGACATCAGTAGTAATTGATGATTATTTTCCATGTACAGATAATTTACCTGCCTTTAGTAGGGCGAATGGATTATGGGTTATGCTTTTAGAGAAAGCTTATGCAAAAGTTTATGGATCATATTTGAATATAGAAGGAGGGAATCCTGCAATAGCAATGAGAGATCTTACAGGAGCCCCATATGAGAACAAAGAGAGTGGTTCAGCTTAAGAATTTTGGGAGTATTGTGAATAAAATCATGATCAAGGATTTTTACTAACAGCTTATACAAAAGAAGCTGAATTGATTAATCATGAGAACGAATTGGGATTATTGGCTGGACATGCTTATGCTATATTGAAGTTGGCAAATGTATTAGATTAGAATAATAAATTATGTCGAATAATGCAGATGAGAAATGTAATGAAGTAAATTTAATTAATAGCCTTGGGGACGAGTAGAATGGAAAGGAGATTGGTGTGATAGTAGTAATAAATGGACTGAATAGACAAAATAATAATATAGTGTAGAAGATAATGATGATGGAATTTTTTGGATGTCAATAGAGGATTTCCGAACATTTTTTGCAGGAATAGGAGTTTGCAAGATTAAGAATGATTACATATATAATAGCATTCAATGTTAATTAAATGAATAGAATAATTGTATAATACATTTAGATATGGTTGAAGACTCTCATATTTATATTTCATTTAATTAGAATGATAATAGATTTCATTTGAATTAGATTGCTGATTATAGGTATTCATTTGTTAGAATAATTGTATCTTAATTAGTGAATGATACACTTAAATATATATCAGGTATTTATAGGGCTGACAGAAATGTTGTAGTAGAACAGAATTTAAAGAAGGGTTAATATTTAGTATTTATTGAATTGTAATGGCAATATCCATAAATTTAAATCATTAGTACATTAAGTACATATGCAAGTAAAAAAGCTAAACTCAAACGTATAAATGGTTTGGATTATTTAAATTCTATTAGAAATATAATAAAAGATTATTCTGATAATAATGTAAATAAACTAAAAGAGATAAACTATTTAGATTAATATAATAAAAATATATTTAAAAGAATTGGTATTGTTGATGGATATTTATTTCTTCATTATTAAAATCAAACATTTGATAGTATTTTATAAGAAGTCATTCATTTCAGTGATACTATAGGATATGTACCAATTTCTCCTTTGTAAACTAATAGTTTTTAAAAGGATAGATCATTAAAGGTTCAATTTACATCACCACCTTAATCTGTGGTTATTATTTTGTTATCTTAAGTAAAATACTTTAGTGAAAATAGGTTAGAAGTTCAATAGGAAAATGTTAGTATACTCAATAATCTTAAAGTTAAATAATATGCATTCCACAAAAGCATGATTAATATGATAATAATCAATTCATTTTAAAATAGTTGAATCTCTCTTAGATGTAATTAGTAGGAAGACATAAATTAAATGTGAAATATTATTATTAAGCGCATTTATAATCTAGATTTAAGAATTAAAACATAATTAAAATATTTGAACCTTAACCTGAAAATATAGAGTTAACAAGTTTAGAAACATCAATATTTTATTATTTCCATGATTTCTTATCAGGTAATATAATTAATTAATTAATTATAGAAATTTGGGAACCATTTATATTTTATATAATAATGTTAAATTTGTTATTAATTATGATATTGAATAATCATAGAACACATTTAGCTTAAGTATATATTCTTCAATATTTTAGATTAGTAATTTATTACTTTTCATAAGTTAAATATTGAGTGGTCAAAAATAAAAAAAATCTATCATTCGTATAATGTCTAAAGCATAATTCATTTCAATATTTTTAGAGATCATAATTAGATTATTGAGTTTTGAATGTTAATACTTTACACTACCTCCAAATCAAATGACTGTCCTTTATAAGTTTTTATTAATTATTACTATTTTCCTTAATTTCTTACTTTTTGTGTGTATATTGAAATTCCTTATTCATTATGAGACTATTGAAACTGAAATCTTTAACCCAATGCAAATAAGGTATAAATGTCTTTTTAATTTAGATTGAATAATTATTTAAAAAAATTATCATCTATATGAATGTATGATAATATATGTATTAAATGATCATTTTAACTTATTATTATTATTATTCTACTCTTATTAATTTTGTTATATAGGACTAAAAGTCTGAGTTTTATATTCTATAGCTGAAACTGATAATCTGTTAGGTATTTAGTTATCAATTTTAAAAGTTTAATCTGATAATTTTCTTTTTAAACTTGGTCTCTTTGTATCAAAAGTTAACTAGACTGTACTTCTTCTTGGTCTATTTTCTAATAATTCTTAATCAAGATTTCCACTATTGAAATTTTTTTCATTCATAGCTTTTGCTTTATAAAAATCGTTAACTACTCTATCTGGATAATCTGGATCTACATATTCATTAAGTTTAAGCACTTTTTATATTTCTAATATTAGATATTATTAATTACCTGCAGTAATATTTTTTTGTTCATCATCAATTTAAATTGATTGATTTATTTCATCATCTGGATTTACAATTTCTACTTATGCTACATTATTAATATCAATCTAACCAAATACTAAATTGGATAATTATTCACCATTATTTGTTTGAGTTATTTACACTTCTGATTTCTGTTCCATGATTATGATATTTTATTAAGTTTCTTTTTATGGTATTTATTATTCGATTGGTTATTATGCATCTCTCTATATTACTTCAATATTTTATAATTCTATATGTCCAAATTATAATAACTTTGTATCATTAATTTGGTCAGTACTAAATTTTATAGATTAAATCAATTCTTCCTCTTTTTATGCATCCTCAACATAATTTGGATTAAATCCAAATAGATATGTATTTTCAATATTAAAAATTTCTTTTTGATTTGAAATATAAAAATTCCAATTTTCCTCTTAGAAGTCATCTTTTAAAAGAAATGATAACTTATTTGCCATTCCTTAAAATCCTTTAGTAATACATTTTTTAATTGAACCTACTTGATATTTTTATTATTAATTAAGATATATCAAAAATCCAGAAATATTTGCCTTTATGTAATCTTATTTAATTTAATTGTATTCATTATTTTTCATAACTAATGATATTATTTCAACAAAAAGATTCTAAATAGCATTATTAAATTCATGTTTAAGAATCAATTACATTATTTCATAACATATATTCGAATGAGAAAATAAAGGCATAATATTTTGTTCATTTTATTTCAATACTATCAAATAGAATTCAATTAATTGTAATTTAAATTAACCTAAAGGTTCTTAATATATACCATAAGATGTTTGAAATGGAGCTATAATTTTAAGAAATAATTACTTAAATATATTTCTAAATTAAGTAAGTTAACTAGATTAAAGGCAATATTTTATAATAATGAATAATTATATACTATTTTATTCTCTCCATTTTAATTATCTCTCTCAATAGTTTCAAGTATTATTATCATTATCTTAATTAATTTACTTGATTTACTAATTACCTATATATTAAAATTATATATATATACAATTGAATCAAAGTTTAGAGTTGAATTTAGAATATAATACATAAATTATATTCTTTCTTCATTCTCAATTGTTTCTGTCAAAATATTCTATAAAATATAGGAAACATTTTCCACAATCATAACATTATCATGTTTTTATTACATATAATCAATAATTCGTAATAATAATTATATTCTTTGATTTAAATAAGCCTCTGCACCTTCTTCTCTAATAGTATCCATTCGAATAAGGTTGAATATTATGTCTGCAATATTTAGTACATCTAAATGTTTAATTAGATCTTTTAATATATATTAACTTTCTTTTTATGGATTTATTAAATAATTCCAAAGCTACAATTAATTTTTATAGAATTACGCTTAATCCTTTTTTTTCAATAATTGCTTTTAATATTTTTGCCATATATCCAGCAAGTGTGTTATCAATAAAATCTCTATCTATTGTTTTGAATAGCAAATTGAGAAATTCAAATTCTTCAGGACCCTTTTAATCAAAAAAATAATCGATAATTTAATCTTCTTTACTACCAATAATTTCACTCACTATAAATGGATATCTACTTTAAAAGTTATATAATACTTATTAGGGATGACTTCTTCATTATCTTTTTATTTAAGATTAATTATTTCCAACATTTCCCAAAAGCGTTCTGGACTTTTTGTAACACTATTACTATTAAATATATTTTACAATTCACCAAACAATTTAATGTTCTATTTAGAATCTAATAACTCTTCTTGATCTAATAGAATTCTTAATTCAACATCAGGGTTATCATTTATAAATTATCTCAATTTGCTTAATACATTTTACTATGCTCTTTTTCTATTATTTGATAAAATGAATCATTACCTCATCAAAATGATGATTATAATAATAATATTTAATAATATTTATTCATTTTCCAAATTCACTCATATTATGATATTCATTAAATCTTTATATTGTGATGACTAATAAAATTTTATTAATTTAGATATGATAAGAAATAAGGATATAGGAAATTTGTTTTAAATTAAAAAATTCATATTTTAAGTGTTAATAATCCATAAGAATATGGAAGAAAATAATATATATTCTAATATCTTGATATTTAAAAAATGGATGATTACTTTTACTCTAATTGATAAAATAGATTATATAATAAAAATTAATAATTTAATCAGAATAGCGACGTTTGATTCATCAATCTCAGACGAACGAGACCGTGTTTATCCTCATATAGTTATACAATAATTCTTATATAATAATAAGCTTTTATTAAAACTAATTAATATTATGGGATAATTAAAAATCAATAGTAATTTTGATTATCAAATAAATTATTTGATTTTAATATCCTTGAACATTATTAACAACTATTATTTACTTAAATATATATTATACTTATATATATTATTTAATATCTTTATATTCTTATTCATAATAATAAAGTTTTATATCAATAAAGTGTTAATTTGGATGGTTTTGTTTATTGTTATGATTAATTTTTACAATAATTATAATAAATAATATTAAGTTAATGTAAAAATAATCTTTGGAATAACATTTAAATGGACTTGAAAGGGAGTCATATATTAATAAATGTAAAACAAAAGAACTTGATAAGTATTCATATTAAGATTTGTAGGGTAGTTAAGCATTAGAGTGAGATTATAGAATAATAAAAGTAAAGAATTAATTGGTTGGAAGAAAGTAATCTTGATTTGCATAACAAATTATTTTTGATTAGAGAAGAGAAATAGGAACTTCAGAATAATAATTGTATTTTAGAATCACAATTAAAAAATTTATAAGAGTAGCTTTTATAAACAATTTCAAATATTGATGTATTTATTTCATTAAAAGGGCCAATAGTAATCATAAATAGAATATGATTTACAAAAAGAAAGGGGTTTGAATTCATAATTAAAAAATGAGATTTAAATATTATAAAGTTAATTAGATCATTTAGAATTAGAGCGCTAAAAATTAGAAGAAGAATTGAAAACTAAAAGTTTAAATTAAATAATTTACATTAACAATGATGCTTTGACTAATGTTTTATAAAATTACAACCAATATTTTGAGAATTTTAATAATGAAAAACAATATTTACTAAATTAAATTTAATAATATAAAGCTTTAGAAGAAAAGACAAGTAAATAAGAATTTTTATTAATTAGAAATTGATAATTAAAAAAGAATTGATAGATTTTAGGTGATAATAAAGAATGTAGAAGATAAAAAAAAGATTCTTGAAGAGGAAATAATAAATTTGAAGAATGTAATAGAGAATTAATAGAAGACTTTGGAAAATTAATAAATATAATTATAAGAATAAGAGAAATTAAGATTAGAATTAGAAAAAGAATAATAAATAATATCAGAATAAAATATATCTTTATAATAATAATAATAAGAATAGATAGTAAAATTATAAAAACAAATAAATTCTTCACATTCTATTGTTTATGATATGATGAATATTATACTACCATCAGATATGGAAGAAATATTATAAATTAAATAGTAATTATTAAAGAATGAGGAAGAAATGAAGAGTTTGAAAGAAATTAATAAAAATTTAAGTTAAGAGAAGAAGAAATTTTAAGATTTAGTAGAAAAGGAATTACCATTTGTAAAACAAAGGAAACAAGAATTTGAATAGTTGATGGCTATTTCTTTGTAATAAAAGAAAAAACTAGAAGTAGAGATTAATTTAAATAAAAAATTAAAAGAAAATTTAAATTAATTAGAAATAGAACTATAATAAGTTAAATAAAAGGAGGAAATTCAAACTATAGAAATTCTTAAATTAAGATCAGAAAATTTAACTTGTAGAACTTAGATATAAGAGTTATCAGTAATTGATCTTTTTAAAAATCAATCTTAAGTTTCAAATACTGATGCTTAAGTGTTCATTAAATAAATATGTCAAGAAAATGAATAATTAAAAAATTAAATAGAATAAATCTTAATAAATTACTAATCATATAATAGACCAATTAATTAAAGTGATTAAATTCAAGAAGAGAATTTAAATCTCAAATATACTTTAAGTGTTAAAGAAGATGAGATTTTGAATTTGAAAGAGAAAGTTAATATAATGACTTAAGAGAAAGCATTGGGATAGATTATTAATAATAAAGTGTAACCAATTGTTCATAAAATTGAAAGTAATTTATTATTATTATATTCAAATTAGAAATAAAGATTAAAACTGAAAAATAGTAGAATTTATTAAAAGAATTCAGAAATTAGAGGATGGAAAAACGGAAGTTAGAATTTAAACTAGAGGAACTTGAATTTTAAATATCTAAATTATAAAGTTAATATTAGTTGGAAAGATAGTAGAAGGAATTCTTAGAGAAGAGATTGATTTAATAAAAAGATGATTTTGGAAAAAAGAAAGAATAATTTAGAAAGAGATATGAAGAGTTTGAAATAAAAATTTAGGAATTGTAATAAGAAATGAATTTAAGTTCTATAACTTAGGAACATATTAATTATTATTAATAAAATCGAATGTTATTTTAGAAAAGCAAAAAGGATAAACAATTAATAATTTAGTAGAATTAAGAAATTAAAAATTATATTATAGAGATTTAAAGATTGAAAGAGGAGTTACATAATAAAGAATAAGAAGTGATTGCAATTGAAAGACAAGCTTAGAATGGAGATGAGGATTAAAAAAGATTACAATTAAAAAAAAAAATATAAATGGATAAAGATAAAATATAAATAGAAGATTTATATGAATAATTAAATTAATAAATAAAGGAGAAGGTGCAATTAAATAATTAATTTTTGAAAGAAAAATTAAAATGTGAATAAATTTAAATAAATCTAAATAGTGATCAATCTTTATAAGAATTAAAGAAAAGTGTTTATAATTTTGAAAATAGATTAATTTAATTTTAGGAATAATCATAAAAGAGGATTGAAGAATTAGAGGTAGAATTTTAAAATAAGATTGGATAAAAGTAGAATGAGATATCTTAATTGGAATAAGAAATAATAGAACTTAAATATGCTTTAGAGGATTATAAAAAATAATATAAAGAGGAAAAATTAAAATAAGTTAATAAATCTGAATTAAGTTTAAATGAAATATAAGATTTAAAAGAATAATTATCTTAAACAATAAAAGAGAAAGATCAGTTATTAAAGAGGAAATAAATGATTGAAAAAAAGGATTCAGATTTGAAAATAAAGGAAGAAATAATAAATGCAAGGGAATAAAAAATAAATGAAGAATAAATTCTATTTGAATAGACCAGAATCAAATAGACTTAGGAGATTTAGGAATAAATATCAATACAAAAGAATAAGGAATTATCATTAATAGCATGTGATTATATTATATTTAGAGAACTTGATGAATATAAGTAGAAACTTATTTAAGAGTAGAATAAAGTAAATGAATTATTATAACAATTATAAATGCAATAAAACAGTCAAGATAATGACAATAATTAATAGTAGTAATTAAATTAAATTGGAAATAATGAATAAAAATAAGAAGGTCATGAATAGGAAATAAAAATTGAAGAAATTAATGTTAATAATGGAATGAAGATTGAAGAACAATAGAATTTTGATGAAGAAAGATAAATGGGTTAATAGGGTGTTTAGGAAAAAGTGAATTAAAATGAAGTGAAATTCGTGATGGAAATAATATAAAATGGTAAATTACTTGCTTATTTAGAAAAAGCAAAATAGATTCATGAGGAGTAGAAAGATAAGACAGGAGAGAATTGATTTGATATGATTATGATTTCATAAATATATATATATATAAATTTTTATAATGAAAATAATGAATGATAATTATAAATTTCATTTGCCAACTGTTTCTAAATTATTGATTAATAAAATATAAATAAATGCCAGCAGAATGTGTTAAAGTTATTGTAAGAATGCGTCCATTCAATCAAAGAGAAAAGGAAAATGGAAGTAAACCATGTGTTATAGTTAATGAAGACACCAATACAGTTGAATTAAAAAATGTATACTTTTTGATTAATAATTTTATATTAGTCTTAGGATAATGATGTGAAATCTTATACATATGATTATGTATTTGGTGCAGAGACACCTCAATTATCAATTTATTAAAAAACTGCTTTCAATTTAGTAGAAAGTGTAGCAGATGGTTATAATGGAACAATATTTGCATATGGTTAAACAGGTATTAATATTCAATTATTAATAAAAGGTTGTGGTAAAACATTCACTATGATTGGAGACCCATCTAGTGTAATAATATTATTAATTATTAGGAAACAATGAAGGGAATCATACCTAGAACTTTTGATTAAATAATCAGCATTATTAATAATAATTCAGACACAAACAAAAAATTTCTACTTCGTTGTTCATACTTAGAAATTTATAATGAAGAAATACATGATTTATTAAGTAAAGATGTTAAACAGAAATATGATTTAAAAGAAGGATAATAAGGTGTCTTTATTAAGGATTTAAATATAGCAGTGGTTAGGACTACTCAAGAAATGGATAAATTTATGTAATTGGGTACATAAAACAGATCAGTTGGAGCAACTGCAATGAATAAGGAATCTAGTCGTAGTCATTGCATATTCACTGTATATATAGAATGTTCTGTTACAGATGCAAAAGGTAATGAAAGAATAACTGCTGGTAAATTAAACTTAGTAGATTTGGCAGGAAGTGAAAGATAATCAAAAACATAAGCAACAGGAGACAGATTAAAAGAGGCAACTAAAATTAATTTATCACTTTCAGCTTTGGGTAATGTTATATCAGCCCTTGTTGATGGTAAAACATAGCATATTCCTTACAGAGATTCTAAATTAACAAGATTACTATAGGATTCTTTGGGTGGAAATACTAAAACAATTATGATTACAGCTATCAGTCCATCTGATTTTAATTTTGATGAAACTTTGTCTAGTTTAAGATATGCTTCAAGAGCTAAAATGATTAAAAATCAACCTAAAGTAAATGAAGATCCAAAAGATGCTTTATTAAAAGAATAAGCTGAAGAAATCAAAAGACTTAAAGATATGTTATCAAAATAAGCAACAGGTTAACCTATATCTTTTGATGCCTTTTAACCAATTGGTAAATTAGAAAACAATTCAGAACTTGCAAGATTGAAAGCAGAAAATGATAAATTGAAAGAGAAAAATCAAATATAAGTAGTAGGTGGACCATCAGAAGAGAAACTTAAAGAATTACATGAATTTAAAGAGAAGAATAATTAATTATTATAAGAAAAGGAAAGAATTGAAATGGAAGTAAGAGAGAAAGAGATTTAAGCAGAATAAGAACGATAAGCAAGAAAAAGATTAGAAGATTTATTAAAAGAAAAGGAATAAATGATAGTTTAAGGTGGAAGAGGTACTGAAGATGAGAAAAAGAAATATAAGAAATTGAGATAAGCTATTGATTTATAAAAAAAAGAGCATGAAGCACTTATAAATTAATAGGAATAGTAATAATAAGAATTATTATAAATTGAAACTAAATATTAAAGTGTATAGGAAGAGGTTGAAAAATTAAGGAAACTTGTTAAATATTTAAGAAAGAAATTAGAAGAGGCTTAAAATGAATAGAAAGATTTAAAATAAGAAGTTGAATATGAAAAGGAAGATTTATTAGAAACTATAAGAAGTTAAGAAAAAGAAATTAAATTGTATTCTGGTATAGTTAAAATGATGTTTAATCAAACTGAATTAGAATCTCTTTAAGCAGCATGTGAATGGGATGATGATTCTTTAGAATATAAGATTCCTCCATTCAATTTTAAAGCAAAAAAAGTTAATTTTCCTAATCTACCTTATAAATAGGGTAATCATATTAATTGAAACTAGCTATCGATTTAATTGATCAAGAAAAGGCTGAAAGAATCCTTGAAATTAATTCTCGATAATCTGATATAAATAGTTTCAATGATTCAGAATATAATTAAAGAATGACTTCCCCTAAATAACAAAGAAAAGGTATTGGTTAATAATAAATGTTATAGAATCTCAACAAAAATAAAATGGTATAAGTTAGCCTCAATTAGATAGAGCATAATTAGTGGCTGAGAAGATAAAAATGAATTATTAAATGTTAGAAGAAAAAGAAGGAAAATATCGATATTCGAATGAAGTCTCTAATTAATAATTTAATGAAAAGAAACCTAATCAAAAAATAATCTTAAGTCCTATTGATAATAGAGGAAATACAGTACCAAATTTTCCTAGTCAATATGGTTTTAATAGTAATACAAATAGTAGCAATTTATCATAGGCAACACCACCAATAAATAAAAAAAGTATTTAAAAACTAAAATTATTTTAGATATAAATTTATAACCATTAGAAACAAAGCCATAAATTCCATTATCTGATGAATAATAAAGAAGAAAATAACATTAGAGAGTCTAATAACTTTGAAATATATTATTTTCTTTTGATTTTAAACATTTATTTACTGTCCTATAAGATAAATTAAATATTTAATATAAATAATGTATTATGTATTATTAATATTTAAATATTATTATTCATAATATCTCATTTATGTCATTTTATATTAATATATCATTTTCACCTTAAAGAATTTCATCAAAATTATCAGATATACCTTCAATATTTCTCATCAATCCTAGTCCAATGTTTTTATATTTAATTTATTCAGTAGCAATAAATAAATTTGATTCATTCTCTGTTTATTAAGAATTGCATAATAGGAATAACAATGCACAAAATAAAATTAATTTCATTAAAAATAATTAAAATATATCCTAATAAACACTTAAGTTTTATTTTAATTTTTAATAAATCGAATGAGAAATCAAAGAACTTCTCATGTAATCAACCTTTATCTAACATTAATAGAGTCCTTTTAGAACAACATAGTCCATTATGAGAGATAGTCCCCATACATAATTGGATGAATCTAGTATTTCAACCAATAGAGCTCCTCAAAATAGAGAGTCAATGAGAGCAAGAATGATGATTAACTAATCTCATAATAATATCCAAAATTAAGGATAATAGATCAGAAAATAAATTGCTAATGAAAAAACATTTTCAAAAGGAGGCAATCCAAATGAATTTAATCCAAAGAAATTTATAACCAAAGATCTCAAGGCATATTATATCAATTAAATTAATAGGAATCAGATATTATTGATATTAAGCAAGTTTTTGATTACTATGATTCAGAATAAGCAGGAATCTTATCTCCTAATGATTTAGAATAATTGTTATTGAGTTTTGGATATCATCCAACTAAAGAAACTTTGTATGGTAATTAAATCAATTAATTATAAAATAGAGATATTTTCAGAAATGGATGAAGATGAATTAGGAGGTATCACATTTGAATATTTCTTGGCCATTCTTAATTAAGATAAATCAAAATCAGAGAAAAAGGATACAATAAGAAGAGTTTATAGAAAATATGATAAAAGCAACAAAGGATTCATAACTTTACCAGATCTAAGATAAGTTGTTTATAAAGATTTAAAAGAGGACATTGATGAAGAAGTATTGGCTGAAGTAATAGAATAAATCTTATAATTAAGATTTTTAGAAAGACTGACTCTAATCAAGATGGAAAAATGACATTTGAAGATTTTTATAATGTAATGACCAAAAAGGTGTATTATTGATATTATTTATCCGTACATATTTAATTATAATGTCTTGTATTATATAATTAACCTATAGAGCAAAACGATCCTTATCATAGAGTATTTTTCAATTTAACAAGATCCTACTAGATAGTTGCCACATAAATTTACATTACCCAAACTATATGTAGATAGGTAAAGAGCAATATCACTTGACAGATGTACCCAAAATAAGAAACCTATTTCGAATTCACCTAAACCTCATACTTAATCTCCTAAAATAATTGCTAAATCAGTACAAACAGAATTTAATCATTTGAAATTATCCTTATGTTCAAAATAATCTGTTGTTTTAGAAGGCAATCAATTTAAAAGTACAATAAATAGAAAACTCAAATAATTACCCATAAATTCTAATGATTTTTGTTACGCTGGTTTTAAAACTACTGACACAGAATATGATGATTTTTCTTTAGAAGCATATCTAAAACGATAATGATATTATTCTGTATAATTTTTTTTGCTATCGTATTTAAAAAATGTTATCATATTGATTTCTATTATTGAATATTTTATATTGGTATTCTAGTATATTTAATTATCAAAACCTACCCAGAAGATCAGAATTAAATATTTTAACAAATAATTTTAATTAAGAAAATAGAAAAATATATATATATATATATTCAAGCACTTTAAAATCAACAATTAGTATATATCAATTGAAATATAATATAATTAAATTTTATTAAAAAGATTAACAACAAAAAATACAAATTAGTGTTTCATTGTGATATTACATAAGTATCTTTATCTTCTTCATCAGTTTAATTTTGTTGTTAATTTCCTTTTTCAAATGGAGGCTAATTTAATCCTAATCTATCTCTGATTTTGCTTTCGTCTAATTAAATTTCATCATCATCTTTTGATAGAGTTAATGTTCGAAACACTTAATTTGAAAGCATCATTCTTGCTTTTTATAATGATAAAGATCTTGATAGACTTTAAAATTTCTTTTGTTCATTTTATTAATATTAACTATTAAGAGTCATAGCATTTCTCATATTCAATACATTGGATGAAGTACTATTAAATTATTTAAATAAACTAGAAACTGGTCGCACATCTGGTAACTTTTATAGGTAAATTATTATACTTATGATAACCAAATTAAAAAGGGTAGATTTAATTCAAGTTCTTAATCTTACTTATCAAAAAAGAAATCTTTTATTTAAAATCCATTTTCTGGGTTTAAGTGAAAAGACACAACAGAATTCTTTTAATATATCTTATTTATTACATCTACTATTATAATGTCTTTCAAATCTTTTCCCAACTTATTTAGGTTTTTAGTTAATCCAATTTATAATGGTGTACAACTATCTCTATACATTCTACCAATAGCTCTATTATTGGGATCAATAAAATCCATAACAGGATCAGCATATTCTTATAGACTTGCAGTCCAAAAAACAATATCGTAAAATTCATAAAGTTGCTCTATGAACTCATAAACTCCTGGTCTAATTGTTACATAGACTTTGAATAATTAACCTTAAACAATAATCTAAGATATAATTGTATTTTACATCTATTGAAAAATCATAACCATTTATAATTTAAAATTGACTGTGCACTAATGTTTCATCCAAATCTAGAACTATAAGTTTGCGTTGTCCCTAAATAAATATATTTTGAATAGTACTAAAAATGATGACTTGGGACTATCAATTCCAAGTTGATATTTTTATTGATTTGTTTATTGTTGTTTTGATTTTAGGAAGCTTAAACAAGAACAAATTCTAGCCAAAAAGGACTAACTATTTGTTTTCTACTCTTTTTAATATATAATGTTTTATTACATAAAAATTAATGAAATGCAATCAACTTCAATATTAAAACTAAATCAATTCATCATTAACAATAACATCTAATACCTAAACTAGATTTAAACATTTGAATAAATCATTTCAAAAAAGAACCTAATTAAGTATAAATTTTCGTGAATTACATACTTAAAAAAAATGAAGTTTAGATGAAAAAGATGATTTTAAACTAAAAATTTTACATGGTTTATCATTCAATTATTCATATCATTAGAATAATAAATTATATAAACTATTTATTTTTTTTATCCAAGTAATTTTATTAATTAATATACTTTTGAAATAATATTTTTTTTGAATTCTAAAAATTTCCATTATAGTTTCAAGAACTACTGATAATTTAATAAGTTTCTTTATAATTTAACATAGATTCTTGAAGATCTCTGTATTTTATTAATATATAAACATCATTAGATTACATATTTTTAAACATCAATATTCTTAAAATATCTAACCTATATAGATAATTTCATTATTGTAAACATTAAATATTAAAAAATAAAATTGCAAGGTATTTATATATGATTTCATTTAAATTATGTATAAACAAATGAATAATTACAGAAACGATTGAAGGAATATTTGAATTCTTTTCGTATAAATTTATAACTTAAAGGTATTATTTGATTATTAAAAATATAAAATATTTTTTTATTTATAATTCTATCTTAATCTTTGCCTTGAATAATTAATTAATGTTATTAATGTTATTAAATTTTGATTATCTTAGATTAATACTTAAGCTATTACAACTAACTACTTTTAAAATCCTTGTTTTCTAATTATTTTGTAAAAAGCAAATTCATAAATGATTAATTTAATAGAATTATTATGTTAAGGATATTTTGAATTTACAGTTTTAATTATTTTCTAATATCTGATGTGTAAATGGTTAAAAAGGGATATCTAAATTTTATTGCTCATAATAGTTAAATAGTTTTTTACAATATGGTTGGGAAATCACTAAATGCTGATTAAATTGACTTTATTATAAAGTATGCTAATTTTGAATTCTTTATTAAATGGTTCATTTTATCACTTTGTAAATAAATAATATAGTTTATAACACTGGTCAATTTTGAATTCTTAATTGGATTGATGAATATAAATATAGTGATAATAATAATAACACAATCTAATATCAAAATGATTATAAATTTCAACTGATTTTTTTAATAAATCATAACTTTATATGTTATAGACAGAAATAATAAGATATATTCTTTTAGACTGTTATTTTTGACTTAATTATTATCCTTTCATAAATTATTGATTTTGCATAATATTTATTATTATTTAATTTAAAAGTTGTTAATAAATAAAATTAATCATAAAATAATATCAAAATGTCTGAAGAAGATGAAGTCATATGTGAACAATGTTAAACTGTTCCAACATAATTTGTTATCTTAGATTGTGAACATAAATTTTGTTTATATTGCATTTCTCAAGCTATTCATAAAGATGATAGTGGAGTACCTTGTCTAAAATGCAATACTCCAACAGTCCTAGATCATGAATCATTATAAGCGGTTCAATTAACAAAAGAATCATAATCATAAGCTTCAAAGACATAACCCAATTATAATGTTAAACCTTTTACAACAGAAAAGAGATAATATGTATAACCAATTTAAGAGGATCTTACAATAAAAGGTCATCCTTGTTTAGAGAAATTAAATTTAGCAGTTGAAAGAAGTTTAGATAAGATTAGAAATATTTAATTTGATAAATAATAAGTTAAGGATAAATGTTAAACATAAAAAAATGATATTGACACAGAATTTAAAGCTTTACATATGTATTTAGATTCAAAATAAGAGGAATTTCATAATTAATTATCTAATATTGAAAATACATATTTGAATGAACTTACAAAAGATGAAGAAGTTTAGGTAATCATTTTAAATAGTTTAAGTAATTAGATATTGAAGAAATGAGTATAATTAAGAATGAAATTAAAGCAATTTTAAAAAGTTAGGATAGTTAAGATATATATACATTCAAATAATTAGTAGCTACAGTAGATGGAATAGTATAGGATAAATAGTTATCAATAAAACAACTTGTAAATAAAATAAATTAATATTTAAGAATTTATTCAAATAAATGTAAGATGAATTATAGTAACTCTCAAAAAGATAGGCTTAATTTTATTAAGATTTTAGAAGATTTTTTAATATTTTATAACCTCTTTAAGTATCTTTAGTATAAAATTATGCTAGTCCAATAAAAGTAGAATATGGAGGTTCAATTACAAGGTATTTTTAAATATAATTGATAGTGATATTTAAGAAAAGATTAGAGAATTGAAGAATAGGAATTCTAGATCTATGAATACTTCTTAACTGAACAACTCTAGATCTTAGAATTCTCCTCCTAAAAATACTTTTTTAAATGAAGAAATTAATATATCAAAAAAACTAAGTAGAGAGTAGGTTATTATTATGCAACAAAGAAAATTAGGTACTTCACCTATGGATGCAAAAACAGTATTATAAAGTTCAATGAAGCATAATAATAAATCAAATTCAAAATTCAACAAAATTTTAAATAGTCCCCTTACACTTGCAGGATTTTCATATTTAACTTGATTTAGTACTTTATAGCTATAATTTATTAAAACCTATAATATCAGTAAATTATAAACTGGACTTATTTTAATTATTTTGCTATATATATATTAATTATGACATTTATATTAAAAAATTAAAATAACTTTAAACATTAATTTAATGCATAAATTTCATTATTTTAAAGCTATCAACAATGTTTGTTATAGGGATGTATTCAGATTTATAACTACAATTGTACTTTCTAACGAATTTTGCCAGTATTTCTAAATTAAATTATTATTAATATATGTTTGAGGAATTCATTTCATAACTTGGCACAATCAAAAATGCTGAAATTCCTTTTTATTTTAGAAATCAATTTAAAATCAAAGAAAATTTCATTAATCCAAACAGCAAGTATTTCGATGGTATTGTATAAAAGTAAGAAATCAATATATAAAAACAACAGATTGATTTAAGAGGAAAAGTAAGGTATAAAGAGAAAATGGGATAAGTAATGTAAAATGATGTTCATTTGGGTATTAAGCAAGTATTTTCAAAACAAAAATCAAAAAACCATCAATCCAAATAAGGAGGAATGGCTTGAGTTATCTAGTATCTTAAAAACAGATGAAACTATCCTCAAATAAAGATGGATTACCCTAATAAATCCTGTATAAAAGAGTATAAATTGGGATTCTTAAGAGGATGACATAATCCGTTCATTAATGAAGTAAAAATGAATAAATCAATATAGTGAATAAGATGAGAAACATATATGGACATTTATTGCTTTAGAATTGTATAATAAAAATGGTGGTCAATTTATTAGAACTCCTAAATAAGTTAGAGAAAGATGGATGAATTATCTAAACCCTAAATTGAATAAGTAAATATCAAAATTTATACCTTAGAGCAAATTGGACATAGAAAGAAGATATTTAATTATTAACTAATATAGTAAATCATGGTAAAAGATGGTCTTAATTATCAACTCTTTTATAAGGAAGAACTGAAAATCAAGTCAAGAATAGGTATCCCAATTTTAAATAAATTAAGATTCAAAAGCTTAATGTAGAAGATATACAAAGATGAAGATGATGAAGAATTAGATGAGATTTAAGCTATATAAGATTATCTAAAGAAATTAGGAGTATATTCTGAAGAATTGGCAGGAGATCCTATTATTTAAAAAAAACAATCTTTCTAAATATAGAAGTATAAAACAAGAAAACCTCATATTTAAGTTAAACATCCTAAAAAAACAACTAGGAAAAAGAAATTAATTAAAGCTCATCTCAAAACCTTAAAATAATAATCAGAATCAATTAATTAAGAATTCATTATTTAAAATAATTTAATAAATTAAAAAGAAAATAATGAATATAAATCTAATGTTTAAGTATCAAGTCATCCAAATGAATTTCAATAATTAGATTAAAAATAATAAGTATAATAACAAACCTAGATTTCTGATATCAATAGTACTTAAACACCAAGTACTTTAAATAATTATTTCTTACCTTATAATCAATAACCATATTAATTGGAATTTTAATAATAAAATTAGAATTAATTGATTTATTAAAGTTATAGAAATTAAATGGAAGAATTTTAACAATATTAATACAAATTTATGATGGAATAATATATGAAATAATTTTAATCCAATTATAATGCTATATCACCTATTTCTATGATAAATTAAACTCCCATGACTTATACACCTACACAATAATATCAATTTTATTACAATACATTTACATCACCATAATGGAATTGTAGTACTAATTAAGATATCAATTCCCCTAAATTTTAAAATTTCTATTGGTAAAATCAATAACAAAATTATGATTAATTTTAGAATGAACAAATGAGATAAATCCAATATGTATTAATAATAATTTATTTTAGAATCATAAATTAGAATTCTTAAATTCGAATAGCCTTGTAGATGATTGGAAAAGAAAAAGAGTTAATTAGAAGTAAAATTCAGAATTTTAATTTATGGGTTCAATAGATTAATGATAACATGATTAATTCTTATATCTTGAATAGACCAAAATTATTTTATTCATCTAATATATTCTTATATAAGAATAGTTGGAGTCTATCTTATTTCTAAATTTCTATTTATAATATCTTAAATTACTTGAACATATATTATGGCTTAATTATTAAATATAAAAATACTCCAAAATAATTTTTTTTGAATTTCTCTCATTATTTGTTTTATAAAGTCTAGAAATTTAATTCATTAATTAGTTATTTTTGCAATTTAATTTTGAGATTTTTACAATTTCATTTAAAACAAAAAATATTTCAATTGAGAAACTTTCAGTTTTGATATGAATTAATACTCAATGAAATTATAGTGACTCTTCAATTAGGATATAATTGATCTTTGTCTTTATAAGTTTTTCTTAACTAGATTTTTGTTATTTCATATAATATTGAAGGCTAATTTAAGTATATTATTTTAATGAAGTAATTTATTGATTATAATAGGATTTCTTTAAAAATAGTTATGATCTATAATTTTATTTTAAAGGGTATAATTAGGGTTGCATAGATTGTTATTATGTGAGAATATTATATATTGAATTATATTTTACACATTTAATGAATGTAATCAATATCATTCAAGATAATATCAAATTATCTTATTATTATCAATATCAATTAACAAATTAAAATGCTTTCTTTAAATATTATTATCATTTATATAATAATAATACTAAAATATCTAATTTTATATATGAAAAATAATGAATAAATTAGCCTAGAAATTGTTGCATTCAAAGAAAGTCCAGAAAATGAAGTTGTTTTTGAAATAGAATATCAATAAACATAATCCTAAACTTAGTTAGATCAGATTTTGGAAGAGTAAAGGTTTAATGATAAGTTGAAAGAATGTGAATAAAAACGAATAGAGAAATTGTAGAGGTATTTGATTAATAATTTATAAATAATAATTTTAGAATACCTAAAGAATTTTAGGATAGTTTACCTACAATTAGTGAAAGTGCTGACATTTCAAACACATAATTATATATAACGCATAATGTTTAAGATGATATTGAATAATCTAATTATTTAATTTAGAATGATAATCTAACATCCAAAAAACTAAAATAGAAAACTTAAGATTAAGCAAAATATGACAAATAACTTATGTATTATTCTAGCATTAATATCTCTCAATATTATATTGATAAATCAATTGATTGTTAATGGAAACTATTATTTACATATTATATAATAATTATTGGAGCTAATATAATTTTAAATTTGATTGAACTAATTAGATATCAATAAAGTTTTTGTAGATTAAAAGGATTGGATCACTCACTCATTTACATTAATTAAATAGTATATATGGCATGCAAAATTGGAATCTTAAATATAATCTATTAAGAATTCACTAATACTTTACCTATCAAGGTTAAGGTTCCATTATTAAATCAAGTTATGTTTAGTTGCATATTTCCAATATTATCTATGCCACTTTATATCTTTGATTTTGTGCAATGTCAATATAGAATCAAGATTTTTACACTCGATTAAAGTCTGAAACTCTTAAACTTAATTGATTGTCTAATCATATCCCTATTATTTTTAATAATACTGATTTAATCTTGTTGTATGATTTAGATTTCAAGTTAAGTCTTTTAAAGAATTATGTAAGAAGTATAATTTTTATATAGGAAATACATGAAAATAGGATATTATATTTTATTGATTATAGTACATTGTATTTCAATAATTATGGTCATAGGATAATCATTTGATAATATTATGCCAGCAATGATAATGGAGAATTATTATTTCATATTTTCTCTAATTTTGATGTGCTATTTGTCCATTTAAAAATATCTTTTTAATAAAATACCATTCAAACAGAATAATTAAGAAAATAGTTGAAATAAATAATTAAAAAATCATGAGAATTATTATGAATTACTATTTCAATATATTAATTTTATTATAATATAACTTTATTTATATACTATTATCATTATTGAATAGAATTAAGAGTGATTTTATCTAATATTTTAAAATGATTTATCATTTTCTTAATATAAACATATTTTACAATAATTTTCATCTGTATGAAGTATTAAATAGTTTAAAATCAACTTAACTAACTTAATTTAATGAGACAAAATAATTCCATAGAAAAAATAAAAAATAATTAACGTAATTCTACCTAAATTAAATAATAGAAAATCATATTAAATAAGAAAAATACAACTCATTGAACTATTAATTGACTTTGATTAGTTAACTCTTTGACTTTCTGCAAAATTCTATCTTAAGCATGTTTACTGTTGTTGTATTTAGGATGATATCTCATATTCTATCCACAACATCCAGCTAAAAAAAATACTTCTAATTTAATAGGTTTATCTAATTCATAAGTTTTAAATATTTCCAAACTATTACTAGTATTACAAAAGCTTGTTAAAACAAAGTCTTAATCTTTTCCAAATTTATGACCATTATGAAGAACATATTATTCTTAATTTTGAGTTGTTACAATAACTCCATAATGTATTGGTTCTTAAGCGTTAATTTTAGTTACTTTTTAAGTTAACTCTACTTTAACTACTTATAAACTCAAAATCTCTTTGAATTATTTGTTTTTCATTAATATTATTATTTATAAATTATTCCCATAATCTACTTCTTATATAGATTTTTCTTATTTTATAAAGATCCTATCTAATTCTATCAGATATCATAAATCAATTAATTTCATATATGTCAAAATTAATAAACTAATCAATAGAAAACTTATGCTTTCTTTTTCCATCTACTAATATTCGTTATATCGTTATTTTATTATCAACTCTTGAATTTTACTAAGATTTTAAGATATTTTGATTCAGATAAATTAGCATATTGTTATTAATATATTATATATATGACTTAAATTTATTATGAATACAGTATGTCTTAATTATTAAATTGATCATTTTCTATCAATAAGATTAATTAGCATTAATAAATTGAAAATATAATTTACTTGATCAGATTGATTAATAACAATTATTAATCTTTCAAATTTTAAATAATAAATAGAATGTCTTTAGATTTAGTTTTTGTATTAACATCCTCTTATTTATTTAATTAGTTCAAGTAAGAAATTTTACATAATAAATTTAAATAAATTCTATTATTTTCAATACTTGTGGTATTAACTAAATTATATATGATTCATAATTCAAAAATATAAAGATTATAGTTTCGATCATTGGTAATAATTCATTTATTATTTATCTATATTTATATATATTTAATTTATATTTTATAATAATAAATATGGCTTCACAAGCTATTGCAAAAGATTTGTATACATATACAAATGATGAAAGGTTCAGTATCTATTAATATACTATCTAGTTTATCATTGATGATCTATTCAATTAAAGGTAATCAGGTATGCAAAGATCAAAGAAAAAGTTTCAATCTCTGCAGATCAACACCTTTAGGAAAGCATGTTGAACCTGAGTTTTGCAAAGATAGTGCTTTATCATTCATTGATTGCTTTTTGGGAGTGTATACAATCTTTACTATATTTTAAAGTCAAAGGAATACGAAGTGTCATTAGCAATTTTAGAAAGTATTTGACATAGCCAAAACAGGATAATATGCTTAAGAAAGTTTAGAAGATTATTTGAAATGTTGAATACGATTATACAATAGTATCCAAAAATATTATTTTTATATATATCATTTGAAGCTCATCTGAGTTAACCATTTCTCAAAAGCTCCTTAGCCTTCTTTTTCTATAGTCCCTCTCCCTTGATTTGTGATCACTTAACCATTATTAGGATTCAAAATAAGTAAACAAGGTATACCTATATATTTTTTTATAAAATACCTTATATATGTTTTTTATATTCATAATATACTTAATACTTTACAAATTCTTTAAAATCATAAAATAGCCAAGGCATATCACTAACTGTCTCCTTATATTTCTCTTCATTCTCATCCATTCCTATATAAATTATTTCTAATTATTAAATGTCTTCATTTATTTTTGTATAGAATTCAACTGTTCAATAACTTAATTAATTACTCAATGATGGAGTAAATCTTTAACATGGTTAACTCCATTTAGCACCAAAATATACTCCCACTAATCTAGCATTTTTTAGATTAGGTCCATCTGTTGGCCCTTCAACAGATTGAAAAGAAGTACCAAATTTATCCATTACTTTCTAGATAATTTATATATAATTTAAGAAACTGTTATATATATTTTATCATTAAATACTTACTTAAAATAAGAAATTAATCTAGAGTTTAAATTAAATAGAATTTCTAGGGATTTCTTAAAATTAGTTTTAAATACTATTTAAAAGAAATCTAGTATAACAATTCTATATTTTTTAAGTTATCTATATATATTATCAATCAATATATATATATATAGATCAACTATTTCTATTAAAATTCTTAATAATAAAATTTGATTTATAGTTTATATACAAATTTAGGAACTCATTCAGTTTTTATTTTGTTGAATTTATCAAGTATTTCTTTAATTTTTGGTTCGAAGCCATATCTCCAAGCAAAAATGATATTTTAAGGAGTTAAATTTTGAGGAGCCATGATTTTTTAATAGAGAATTTCTTTGAAGAAATCTTACTCAACTTATTATAATTCATCATTGTTAACTTAAGTATTTTCGAAACTTGGAAGGAATAATACTAGGCCTGGAGCTATTTGTAAAACTTCATCTATTATTTCTTATTGAAATTTATTTTTTAATTAATTGACATATATGTCTAAATTCTGAATAGAATTTGGTACTTTTTCAGTTTGAAATTCATTTTAAACACATATTTACTTTTCTTTTGGATTTTAAGTAGATTCTAAAAGTAATGATAATTAATTCTTAAACTTTTTCATTTCAATAGAGTATAATTATTCTGGTACTAAACATATTTTTTCAAATAATTAAGAAAGTTTATGATAATGCTACTTTTCAATAGTAATAATTGAACCCTTTTTAGAATTACATAATTCAATTTATTTGAGTAATTACTCTGACTCACTTTCTTTTTTCTAGAATTATTTTATTTAAAAATTTTCATTTAATTCTGTAGAGTTTGAGACATGTTCATCTGAATCAAAATTAATATCTTAAGTATCCTTATAAAACTTACAAAAATCAAAGTTGTTCTTAATTCTATTTAAAAAGTCTTATATTATAGAATTATCATATTTTTCTTTTAATTTAAATGTTTTTTCAGATGCTTCCTGAATAATTTACTATAATAATTGTTAATCTTAGAGAGAATGTAAACTCTTCCATAGCTCCTAATTTGGATAACTTTGTATAGTTGCACATCTTTGATTAATACTTGGCTTTATTGAAACACATAAAACAAATGGATGAAATCCAATTTATCGATTATTGAAGGATTATCTTACCCAGCTCATTATTTTCTTTATTAAAAGCTTCTTTTACTTTTCGATTGTCCTTTTAGTTGAGTTGTTTAAACGCATTTAAGAATAATATTTATATATAATATAATGTCTATTATTTTTTTTAATGTTATCAATCCCAATCTTATAATTTTATATTTATTTTCAATTACTTATAAATTCTATTTCTGATACCTATCAGCAGTTCAAGGACTTTATATTCTATTTATAGTAAAATAAGTTTTTATCTATACATAATGAATTTCTATTAAACTTATATAGTTAAAAAACTATATTAATTATAAATATTAGTAATAGGGACTTAATCTATAAAACTATATAAATATTTTTTAAACTTTATTCCAATATTAACTGCAAGTTTAAGTCTATAATTAATTACTTAATTAGACAAACCTTATTAAATTTGTAGTATAATTAGAAGTCAATGAAAGTAGTGTATCACTGTGTTTGAATTTTTCCATTTTTCATTTTAAATGAAATTATTTTTATATTATTTATCAAAAAAAAGAGAATTATTATTAAAATAATCATTAATGGGATTTATTCTGTATTACTCTGAACATATATAAAATTTAATTAATTGTAAAACTGTTTTTTTTCTTAAATTTCCAATAAAGCCATATAAATTGTAATTATATTCAGTATAATAGTAGTAAAAGTGATTCTTATTACAATCTATTATAAAATGAAATAAAGTAAAACTCTTTTTAATTTTAGCTAAATAATATTTAGGGGAGACTATTATTTTAAGAAAAGTAATGATTTATTTGATATAAAAATATAATAATCTCTTCTATTCTATTCTATGTTTTAATATATTTATTAAATTACAAAACTTAGTGTTTACATTAAAAAATGTTATTCAATTCTATTAATCATTAAAAATAAAGGTATTACTTTAAAAAAAGTAGAAAAATGTTTAACAAATTCAAAATAATTTAAAGTTAAATTCAATTATGAATGTAAATAACAACATTTCTATAGATGAACTTCCTCAAAATCTAGAAGATCTTAAAACTAATTCAGAATGGATATTAGGTATTTTTGAAGCAGGTCGTGGACCTCTGATTGGACCTATCATAATTGCAGGATGTTTTTGGCCAATCAATAATCATAATTATATTGTTAAACAATGTTCTTTATCACTCAATAAACAATTCTACTAAAATTAAACTGAAAGTTCAGAAATTATTTCTAAACTTAAAGGCTAAGCATTGTAATTTGAAACTATAGAAATTAGCGCCCAAAAATTATCAACCAAAATCTTAGCATATACTCCTTCTGATTTAAATGAAATTAGCTTAAATTACACAATATAACTAATTAAAAATATACTATCAAAAGGATATAAAATTATTGGTAGCAATTCGATTTTTAATAGATAGAATGTTATATTAATCCAATTGGTTTCAAAGAAAATTTGAATGAACTTTTAAAAAAGGGTCTTGGTTTTGAAAATAATGACTTAAAATTTATTGTAGGAATACATTAAACAATAATTGCAGCATAAATAGTAGCTATGTAAGAAAGAAATGCTAGATTGTTATAAATATAATAAGATATTTATCCATCTGGATAAATGGGATCTGGTTATCCATCAGATAATCAAACAAGAGAATTTCTATCTAAAGTCAGCATTCCTTTTTTTATTTATCCAGAAGAGATTAGATTTGCTTGGTAAACAATAAGTGCTAGTTTTAAATAAAAAGCAATCAGTATTGAATATATGTCTGAAGAAAATTGGACAAAGTAAACAAAAGAACAATTTATAGAAAACCCTTCTTCTCTAGAATATGGAGGATTACACTTTGAAAATTATTATTTATGATTCCTATTTAATATATGGATTTTTAATTATTTAATATATTAATTATAATAAGTAGGTTCTTATAAATAAAATAAAAGAAAATATGAATAATTAATAATTAGATGTAAAAATATTATAGATAATTTTGGTATGAGAAGAATAAAAAAATAATATGAAGACTTAAATATTAACATGATATAAATCTGTCTTATATAAATGGGAAGATTTCTCATTTATAGATTAGATATTAGATATTAGAGTAATTAAATTTTTTTTATGCTGATATATGGAAGATGTATTTAATTATTTATTATTAATTAAATTCAAAAAAAAAATATATTAGAATTTAATATATTATCAATAAAAATCTTATATTTACCAAAGATATAAAATTTAGTAATAGAAAATAATACTTAATAAAAATGATTAGATATTAAAATTTTGAAAAGACTATAGGTTGTCATCAATATGAGTTATTAAAAAAGTTTAGAAAAATATTAATTATTAATTAAGTACCTTGAATATAAAGGAAAAATACATCATAAAAATTAAGAAATATATTGAAAGCAGTAACTTTTGTTATTCACAGGATCTTATATGAATAAATACTAATTCAGGTTAATAAACTTCAGTACTTTGATTTATATAATAAATAATGAGTTTGATAATTGGAATCCTATTAATTTTGGATTTGATAATTAAAAGGATTTATAACAAACTAATTTCATAATTTATATAAACTATAATATCGAATAATGAGATTAAAAGTGAAATTTCTTATATGGTTTTATTATTATAATTTGATTTTATTAAAAATACATATATGGGATAAATCTGTAAGAGTTGTGAAAAATAGAATGTTGATAAAAGTGAAATAAGAATTGAATCATCTTCATTACATTAAGACATGAAATTTATTGAAGATTTTGAATTCGTCAGTGGTTTAGATAAATTGGAATCATCAAAAAAAATGAGTATGCTCACTTTTTAAAATAAAAATAACAGTAGTAGTTACCCTCATGGAGACTCATTCTATTAAGGATCTCTTTTTAGTGTTGTAACTCCTGATTTTAGTGCTTTTTCTTCTAATTTAGTATAGTGAATTATCATTCTTGTCAGACATATGATTTGATCTTTGGAATGATTACTTACTTATATATTTTGGTAATTATTTAATTGTTACAATCAAAATAATAGTAAATAATTTAAAAATTATTAATATATTGTGAAATAATGATGTACAATTAATTTTATTTAAACAGATCGTTTTCATATTAAAATAGCTCCCTTCTATTTATCTTTAACCCAAAGAAACATTATATCAGCAATGATGACTGTATGTATCACATCTGCAAGTATCAAATATACAAACTTCTCTCCAGCCATATAATTCATAACCCAAAAGACTAGTCTTAAAAGTCTGGAAAATCCCATGGCAACAAGATATTTAGATATATCAGCTTCAATAGACCCAATTTTTTTGCTATTAGTGTTCTAAACAAATATACCTCACATAAATTTGAGGCAATAAGCCACAAGCTTCAATAAACATACTCATTGATACAAACATTTGAACTGTAAAATAATTTTCATTCTTTGTTCCTGGATGGAAAAAGAATGATAATACTAAACAAATAGGGATGATAGTTTGATATGAAAAGTATGGATTTGATATTTAATGGAAACGTGTATGTCTATGATAAATAAATGAAAATGAATATACCTGTATTTATGAAAAAGATAAAAGATGTAAGCACTCAATACAATAGAGATTACCAATTCAATCCAAATTAAAAAGAAGCTTAATAATCTAGTATCACTGATATAGAGTATTCGCATCACAGCTCCAATAAAATACATCACTTAGGTTTCTAAGGCTAATCCTTAAATATTCTTTTTCTCATTAATGTATTTAATCAAAAAGTAAGCCCCAGCATGTTACACCAAATACCCAAGTGTAAAAATTATCAATATTAAATCCATAATAATAATTATTAATTGAAAAGAAGAATCAAATTAAGGAATTACAAAAAGAAATACATGATAAATGATCAAAATTAATTCGATCATATTAGTATAATCCTTTAATTAAAAAAACCTCATATAAGAACTATTCAAGAATAGATAAATCATTTATGGTTTAGAAGCTATCAAGATATTATTGATTATAACTCATAACGATACTACCTATTTATAAATTTAGTTTTTATTACAAATCTTCTCTAATTTCAATACCTTAGATATTGCCTCTATCTAATATGGATGATGGATAGATATTCTATTAGATAAGAAATAAACAGAAACTCCAAATTAAGAATCCAAAAAAAGATTAAATGTTTACTTAAGTAAAGAAACCTTAAAAGGACTCTAATAAATTTTAATAATCTCAAACATTAATTAATTTAGAATAAATAGAAATCCTATTCAATTATTTTTAATGATTTACATATATATATAATTAAATCATTCAGGTGATTTATAGAAATTATTTAATGCAAATAATCTAACTTAACCTAATGTAACAAACATGCAAATATTCCATGTGATAATTCTACCTGCATTTGCTGAAAATCCATTATATAGATTTAACAATCTCTATTAATAATATATTTATAATTCTTACTTCATTTTTTATGATATTCATTACAACAGTTAAAACACCAACATTTTGATTCATAACTCTAGTCTTAATTAAATCTACTGGCTATCCAACAACTGCTGCAATAAATCCTGCACAAGCACTTGATGCAAAATGACATGTTAATCCTTCATGGAATAAACCAGTCTTAATTAAAGATTCTTTAATGTGATCAAATGTAGCTAATTCTGCACAATTTATGACAGCATTTCTAATGATATTTGGAGTAACTCCTCTCCAAAATCCATGCAACCTTAAATTATTATATTATCTATTACCCATCTTATTTATAAATCTTAATGTATGCATCTGTCAAGTTTTTATAACGACGTTATTCAACTGGCAGATTTCCATCTACTTAAAATCTCACTTTTATCACATCAAATGGACTTGCAATTGAAATACCAATTCCACCTGTTGCTAGACCTGCATATATCTTTTTAGACAGGGGAGGGTCTCCTTTGAAATCTTTTCCGCAGAAGAAATCACGAGTCTTTAAATTCAAATATTATTTCTTACAGGTTCATACAATCCAATACGGATTGATGCAAACACCAATTGTCTCTAAATTCCTGCTGTAAGACCTTTAAATAAACTTGAAACTCCTTCCTCACTATATATTTTCTTAGTTGTATCTAATAATCCATGATATCTGTATTTTCCATTTGCATCTGGTTTTTGAATTTGGAGACGCACTTTCTAATTTCAAATAACAATATATAACATACAGCTGTATCAATTGGAATGGTAATAGCCTCTGCTACACTCCCTGCAATACCACCTGTGATCATTTTCACCCAATCTGGCAAATCATTTATGCTCTTATATTGTTTGCTCATTTTATTAATTTAATGCGTCAATTCATTGTAATATATACAAAAATAAAAAAAAAATAATATAAAAATTAAAGATTTCTCTTTTTGAAATTAGATTATTAAATCTTAAATCAATAATATTCTTCACTCTCTCAACTCTTTTTATATATTAGAAAGATTTACATAGGATTTAAAAAAAAATAAATTTATAAAAGGAATATTGATTTGATGTTTATTTTTCTTTTAATAAGATATTCTTTATATAAATGAATGAATCATTTATTTGTTCAAAAAGTTTCTAAATAAATTATATTATAACATAGAAATTAGTAATATATAATATATATATAATTCACATATTTTAAGTGATTTTATTTTATTGTTATTTTAATAAATAAATTAAAATATTTAACAATGATTAAAATGAGGTAAAACATACTTTTAATGTGTGTTTTACCATCCATTAATCAGATATTAAATTATTCTGAAACTTAAAAGAATTCTTGATTAATCATAGAATTTTATCTTCAGAAAATACATTTTTTTATTACAATAATAATAATCTATATATATTTTTAGAAATGTCAAGAATCTAATTTATCATTGTCTTATTCATCAGATTAACTTGAAAAACTATAATCCAGATTTCTTTCATTTGTTACAAGATTTAATGCAAATTTGGGTTCTACATCATCCTCTTAACCTTATTATTACTCTATTTATTTTAAATTTAGTGTTTAAATCTATTCAATTAAATCTAGAGCAGGGAATCTACTTAATAATTTAGGAGGTGGTTTATTTTAAGCATTTTAATTGTCTATAAAAGTGATTGATATTATAAATACTATGTTAAAAATTGAATTATGATACGACTATAGATTTCTTTGGCATAATTGTAGAATGTCTACTTGGTACTTAAGGCTATGTCTTTCTTTATTATTTATTGGCTATTAATTTAGTTGTATTTTTAAGTGGTTCTTAAGATAGATAACGAAACAAAGAATTATAAGATGGATTTTTAAGATCTTATTATTATAAGCCTGCTTGTAATAAAATTTATTTTAATGGTTCTTCTATATCTGAATTAATTGATGTAATAGAATCTAACATAGGATTAGTAATATTGATTTTGAATTTTTAAAGTTACTCATTTTAATTTGAAACACACCCTCCTGAAATAATAGGCTTGACTTTATATTAAGGCCAAAAATATTCTGAGTTCATTTAAAATATAAAAGAGTGATTGGAAATCAAGAAAGTTATTGTTATATAGTTTTTAATATTATTGGTATGATAATATAAAATTTTATATATGTTCCGTTTTTTATTTTTCATTTTATGGATAGGATAGAGTGAGGATATATTAAAGGCTTAAATTGAGGACTATTTTTAAGGAAATGATATTCTAGAAGATGCGTTTATTAATGATGATTTATATTAATAGGAATTAATATTTTAAGCAGGAGTGTTATTGTTTGAATAAAATCCCTTAATTGAATAAATGCTTGCAATGGCAGAGACAATAGGAGATGGAACAAATGAATAGATGCTACTTTTGATGAGTGAAGCTGAAAATGAAATTCCTGATTATGCTGAATTGTAATCACCAATTAGTGATACAAAAGTATTTGAATAACATTAAAGACCAAAAATAGAATAAATTGTTACTGATGAACCTGAATGGTTAGCTTAAACAGAATTCTTTTTAGGTGCCTTAACAGTTTTTATAGCATTTCCTTTACTTTTAAATTCTGAAGGTAGGAAATATAAACATCATATGATATTAAAAGATGTTGTTGAATTAAAGAATGAAAATTAATTAATAATATTGTAAGGATCTACATTAACTACAGAAGAATATTTAATTGATTATTTAACAGGAATTAAAGTTGAAAATGCAATTAGATTTTATAGAAAAGTTGAAGAATTAGTAATAAACAATTAAGGAGATAGAAAATGGATAGAAAGAGAAAGTGAAATATAATGGTATGATGATTAAGATAATGAAGTACAATTATCAGAATGGAAATCTTAAATTCAAAATAGTTAATGTTTTTTATTAGGTTATTAATTGAATGATAATTAAATTGAAAAGTTAAATAATTGGTAGAAATTGAAACTTAATCCATATCATTATCCTGAATATTAAATTGATTAAAATAATATCTATTTGGTTGGAAATACAACATTAAGAATTTCTTATTGGTATATACCTTCTTAATTGCTTACTGTTGTTTGTAAATCATATGGTATTTAATTGAATCCAATTGAAATTCATATACCCATTCTTGAATCTACTTAAGGATGTAGTATGAGTTCAACAAGACAAGTACTTTATATTAATATATATAAAGGGTTGTTAAGAATTAGTTTGTTAGAAAGTATATTAATGGATAGTATGGAATGAATGGTCACAAGATGAATAGAATATTGATTATGTTGAAGAGGGTCTTGTTTCATTGGAAGAAATATTTGAATCAAAATTGACATTCAAATAAAGTGACCTTAATAAGATTAGACTTTTGGCATTTCTATTAATGTTTTTAGGAATTTGGATGTTCTTTTTACCTATCTATTAAGTAATAATGTTTAATTATATATTATAGGTATTATCATTATTCCCAATGTTTGGATAATTAGATATTGGACCATATTTGGGTGGAATTGTTGGGTTTATATTTGCTAGTGTATTTTGGTTGATTACTGTTGGAGTATCATATTGGTATAACATTATCTAATATAGACAAGCTTCTATAATAAAAAAGTTGGATTGACTCTTATTTTGATTGGAATTTCTATATGTATGATACTTATTATTTGCACCCATTTTGATTACTAAATTTAACCTAAATCATTTTTAGAAATTTAGTAAAGATGGTTTTCATGAAAGTATAAAACATTAAATTATTAAATATTATTATGTATAATTAATTAATCACATATTCAAAATTCATATTGCTATTCTGTAAGTAACATATAACCCAGCTGTTTCACTTTTTCTTATTATCTTTACTACATCTCCATGATGAAGTCCCAAAAACCTTGCTATTGGATCACTCTATAATATTCTTGGTAATTAATTATCAACTAATCCATACTTCTTTTATAATTACTAAATTTATTAATATATGAATATTACTTCTTTTTCTTTATCATTTAAGATAATATGTTGAGGTACTAATTCATGTTTTGTTACATCATAAACTAAATCATCTTCTCCAAATAATTCAAATGAATAAGTTTAGATGGAATTGACTTGATCAATAAAAAGTCTTGCCTTTTTCTCTACAATTTATGGTTTAGTAGCAAATGGATCTGTTGGAAATATCATTACAAGTCTCTTAACTTATCTATTAGTAAATTCAATAATATATTTGTTTGCATCCTCATGACTCAGAGCTTATTATTTAGTGTAAAATATAATAACCAATTTTTCTGTCTCATCATCTCTCTATTAAATAATTACATAAAATTCTTTACCTTAAAACAAACTATTTTTTATGGTAAGGTATCTGTGCGATATCTAGCTTCAAATAATTCAAAGGGTTCATCTTCAACAAGAATAACAGGGTGAGCTTCAAAATAGCCTCTTTATCGAATCATTGAAGCAAGAGTTTAAAATACTTTGTATTTCTTTTTTATTGATGCTTTATCTTCAGGTCTATATTCTTCTTCAATCATTAATTTAATTAAACTAATTAAGAATTAATTTTGCTAGTATTTTTTTACATGATTAAAATTTATCCATATAATAATTGTGTTATATTTTTATTAGTAATTATTATTTTTATGATCCTTTTCAATAAAGAAAAGAATATCATGATTATTTTAATAAATATTCAAAATACTAATAATATACTTATCTTAATTATTGATAATAAATTATGTGATAATTAAAGATTAAAGAGATTTCAATTTTTAATTATTACCAAGATAAACAAATAATTATAGTTTAAATAAACATTAAAAAATATTTTTACTTTTTCTTTGATACATTAATATATCATAAATTAGTTAAGAATTCATTTTAAATAGACTTCTTGCTATTTTTATATTTAGAGTAGTATTTTTATATCATTATTTTATAAATATTGCTCTTAGAAATAAAAACGATTATTATAGAAATGTATTGAATTCAAAACTAAACTAAATTTTGAAAAATATATATAATAATTTTTATTTTATATTTTATAATTTAATGGGAGCATGTGCATCATAAAAAAATCCTAATACAGATAATAAGCCACCTTTAGTTCCAGAGCCAGAAATTACTGATGAAAATGTTAAGAGAATAAAATAACAATTTGAAGATTTAACTTAATTATTAGAATCTGTAATTTTATTAGATATCGTTAGATGAGTTAAGAATTTAAAACTATAACTGATAACATAATAAAACTCTAGTAGTCATAATAATAACAAATAGAGAATTGAACTATGATATAATTAATTCTAAGTTTACATATTATAATAATAATATATTAATTTTATGAAATTGAGGATTAAGCTAATTTTGATGATAGTATTTTTATCACTTTACTATTTTCTATTTAGTTTAGTATTGTTATTAGGTTAATATTTTGATGAAGAATATAGAGTTGAAAGTGAAACATTGTCTTAAGGAATTTATAATGAGTCAACTTTGGTATAAATTAATACTAATAAATTAGAGTAAAGTACGATTTGCTCGATATTATTATGGAAGATCTAATAGACCAAATATAAATTCACTTTATGCTATATAAAATATAATAGATTACATTGATGATTATTAATAATTAGATGATATAAGTTTACTTAAATTAGATTGGCAATTTAATAATGTTACTAATTTGTAAATTCTGAAAAGAAGCTATCCAAATTAATATTAGTTATTAAAATATTACTCACCCTTATTAAAATTGATTGAAATCTATACTAAAAATAATGTATTTGATCATTTTCATTTTTTATGTTAAAATGGATTAGGCATTTCATTTTCTAATGAGGATTTCAATTCTACATAGGAATGGTATGAAACTTCAATATCCAATTGTAAAACATATAATGATTGTTTTGATTATATAAGTCAATACTCTTCATAAATTGCATATCCTAAATTAGACTTAAATAATGAAGTTTGGAGAATGAGGGCTGGAAAAGAAGGTTATGAATGCTAATTATAAGTTTAGAAGAAAAGAGAACTTGCTATAATTAATTCAAAAAGACCAGTAATTTATTCATTTCTAACAAATGGAAATATTAATATAATTTCTAATGGAGTACTTATTAATAGTACACTAGAAGATGCCTTATCAATTTGGCCAAATCAAACTAGTGATTTCACTGATTAACTTTACACATTAGTTACAGTTCCTATAGAATATAGACAATGGAGAATGCTTTATGATGGAATGGGAGAATAAAGAGTTGTATTCTTTTCTGCATATCATTTTGTACATCCAAACTTTCCAAATATTAATCTTACTAAAGAATTAATAACTAAATGTTCTATGATTTATCTTGAATCAATGTCACTGTCATATTACAAACAATTAGCAGGTTAAAATGAATAAGCATCCACAGTTTCAATGAATCTTATAATAGTTGCTTGTGCTTTGCATATAGTTCTAATCTTTTATTTTTGGAGGAAAGGTGTAGTGATTGCACTTTCTCTAGAAGTTCCAATTAATTAATTAATTAAATTAACAAAAGTTGATATGAAATATCTCGAAGTTCAATATTTTAATTTAGAGAGTTATAAAGATCTCTTTAATAATAAAGAAATAAGAAAATTTTATGAAGTCATAATCAATTATTTGAATAGCATTAAATATTCAAATAATAAATTATTATAAGGATCTAAAGATATGGATGAAGCTGAAGCTTTAATTATTTTAAGTATGTCTAAGCGTTTCTATAAAAAATATTATAATAATCCTGCTGTTGGTATCTGTGCCAATAATATTGCTAAGATTCATATGAGAAATCAAAGATATTTGGAAGCAATGAATGAATAAGAGGAATCAGTTTTGATAGCTAATTAAGATTTGTAAAGTTTAAAAGAAATGGAATAATATGCAAATTAAGCAGCATAACCTTAAGATGATTAATAATTAATTAAATTGTATCTTAGATTGAAAAATAATGTTTTATAGAAGTTTTAAAGATAGGAAGAAAAAGTAATGAAGGATGTTATAAAAGATTTAGAAAGTAAAACAAAAGTAATTTAAAATTCATAAAATTGCATTGTAAGAAGACAAACTACTTAAAGATTAAAAAATGAAACTACTTAATTAAAAAGTTCATTAGAATCTGAAGTGCATCATTTGAATCAACAAACACCTAAAACACCTAAATAAACAAATAATTTGTTAAGAAAAACATTTTAAGAAGATAAAAATCCAATTCAAGAAGAAAATTTAGATTTACCAAGTGATAGATTAGAAAATTTAGGAACTCCAAAAAAATCGAGTCCTCTTTTAAGAATATAAAGTAATGAAGAATTCTCTAAAAAGTAAGTTATTATTGAGCATAAAATTGTTTTTAGAAAATATTAATTAGCTTGCATACTCTATAATTATAGTATGACAAAATCATAATCAACATTTCTTAATGAAAGTGTTAAACAATTTAATGATATTATGGATGATCTTTAAAATCTTCCTGATTCATTTTCTATTTAATATATGAAAATAAATATAATAACAAAAAAAGCATTTTGTTTTGCTAGAGCTGGAATGCTAGAAAAAGCAAGATTAGAATTGGAAGAAGCTGAAACTAAATTAAAAATTTTATAAGCTAATAGAGGTGAAATAAAATAATTAGAAATTTCTGATTTTGTAGATATTTTTAGAGAAATTCCTTTAGAAATTTTGAGAGAAAAATTAGCAGGTTTAGAAGTAATAAGTACTTTTATGTATAGGCATCCTTATTAATGATTAGAGGAGAATATGTTGAAGCTTGTTATAAGTTTATTTCTATTTTAAAAGCAGAAGGACATTATGATCCTGGATTTTAGAAATTTGTATTAAAGACATTAACAAAAATATTTAAAAGATGTAATGTAGATCATAATTGTTTGATCAAATTTTCATAATAAAATTAACTTAAAAGACTTGAATTAATCTTTTTACTTGATTATTCATCTGAAATGACTACTGAATAATTTACTTTATCTCATCATATGTGTCAGAATGTTGTTTAATCTTTAAATGATGATTCATTTGTTGGACTATATGCATTTAATGAATCTTTACATGAAATTTTCCCTTTATAATTAAAAGGAACTTATAAAAAACTTTTAGAATCAACAATAGAGAAAGTGTTAATAAAACCAGGTGGTTAGGGTAATATCTTCTCAGCTTTAGAGATTACAATAGCATCTTTATTTGAGAAAGATAAACCTGAGTAAAGTAAATAATTATCTTTACATTTAAAATCTAATTAAATTAAATAATAAATAGAATAAGAGGAATTTAGATGTTCTGATATGGAATTTAGATGTAAAACTAGTTCTCCAAGAGTAGGAAAGACTTTTTCTGGTGGATTTAGTTAAGCTATGAAATAATATGAAGAAAATTAGTTTGATAATGTTAGTTTAAATGAGAATATGGTAAGAATTGAAGATAATATTTCTTAGAATTAATATAAAATTGATATTGATAATATTGATGAAGAAAAAGATGAACATACAATTAGATATGTATGTATATTTAGTGAGGGAGTTCATAATTACAATTAAATGTCAATTGATAGATTGAAAAGTTTGATAGAAAAAAAGAATATCCATTTACTAGTTTTTAATATTGCAAATTAAAATATGAATATGCTTTATCTTAAATAATTATCTTAAGTCTCATCAGAAAGTAGATTCTTTACAAATGAAATTGAAATTAAAGATTTTTTTTCAAAACTTAGAACTAATGATTTTACAAAAAGAGTTTATTTAGAATTCTTCTGAATATTAATTCACTATAATTATCTTTATAAATATCTCAAAAATCTAAATTTATTTTTTTTTCAGATAAATATTATTTATATTATCAAATTCTTATGTGCTTAAATCTAAAAATTAGAGAAATATAAATCTAATAAGTAAATAATATTATGAATAATGTTTTGTTATTTCTTAAATGATTAAAATATGAAAGATATCTACTCATTGTCATTATTATTGAAACAATATCATATACTTTTAAAGTATCATTTGCTTAGTTTGATGCAAATGATTTTCTATTAAAGATATATGTTATCTGAGTTCTTAAATTTTACTATCATTATCTAAATTCTCATTTCTAAAATATTATTAGTTATTACTACTATAATTATTAGATTTTTAAGATTATTTCTGCAATACTATCTCCTTGAAAATCTTTATTTTTACTACAAATTTTAAGTTTTTTTAGGAGATGATGTTTGACTTAATTCACAGTTGAACCTGGAATTTATTAAGCTATATCAGTAAAACTAATTCCATTTCTTGATTATTCCATAATGAATGCTTCTTCAGATATAGTAAACCTTTTTTTTGCTTAAATATAGTTTATATGTTTACTTGATTTAGAAGATCTAATTTTTGATTTTTTTTTATCTCTCCTTTTACTCAAGCATTCTGAACACTATGAACAACTGGCTTCTGCTTCATAATTTTCTTCCTATTCTAATTGTTGATTTTTTTATGTTATACTTTTAGTGAATTCTTACTCACATTTTTCTTTATTTAAGTTCAACCTTTCTATATCAGGAAAGAGATATTTTTCAGTTTTTTTGGCAGATATTTCAAATATAGATTATTCTTCTAAAATGCTAGATCCAGCATTAGTAGATATGTCTTAATCTTATTTAGATGATGCAATGAATTATTATTTCCAAAAATTTGTAGCTTAATTACAAATTTTTTCAAGGCCATTTCGATTCATTAGATTTAATAATTAAAAATGAAAAACATAAAATAATAATCAACCTCAAATTTTCCTTTTTATTTGAATACCATTTATTTCATTTGATTATTTACTAATTCTTCCTAAATATTATATTTCCTGTTAAAAAATTGGTTCTTAATTTTTCCATTTTTATATCTCTTTTTAACATGCATTTACTTCATTTAACTATATATAAGTGTCTTCCATTTTATCAATTAACATTTTTAATAAATCATTATCAAGTACTATTTTTTATAAATTCTTTTCACTCAAATCAATATCACATTATTTGTTATATAGTTATTAATAACAATAACGAAAAGATTATTCCAAATGATTTAAACTCAATTTTTCACAACCATTTTCATTTTATAATAAAATTGCATTTCCTATCTTAAAATTTACTGCACTAAGTTCCTTATAATTATATGAATTTTTCAAAAAATCTAAAGCTGCATAAAAATTTAATAATCCATCTTTATAATCTTCTCTCCAAGTCTAAAGGTCTCCTATTCTTATCAATATTAAACTCATTTCTAATTCAGTCTCATTAATTTTTGATCTAATTTCTATTAAAATCTAAAAGTTTTACATTACAACTAATCTTATAATTTATACATCTCTATATTTTGTTTATCAAGTCTATTTCTTAAGATTGTTTTTGCTGCTTCTAAATTCTCAAATGCTAATTATGTATTTTTCAATTCCCTATCATTTCTTGAAATCTCTACACAATTTAATGAATTCTCAACAGAATCTTAAGATTATTCCAATATTTAAACTAGAATACTTCCATATTCAAAATAATATTATGCCATATTATTATCTAATTAATCTTAATAATATTGAGCTGCTTTTTCAATTAATTTAACCATTTTATCTTCTAACTCTTTCAAATCAATACTTTCATTTTTTAAGGATCTAATTGCATCCAGTTCCTTAATTAAACATTTTTCCTTTTTTCTCGATTTCATTATTATATAAATTAAATAAACAATAAAATACTATTATTAAAAAGAAATATAATATATGGATTATATTAAATAATTGTAATATATTTTATGAATAAAATAATTATAATAATAATAATGTTATTTATTTATTATAAAATTAATCTAGTTAATCTTTTTAATATTTGAAAATTTGATTTCTCTGCTTTATAAATGATAATCTAATTATTTTATAAATATTTATGAATATTTAACATATTAAATAAATTATCAAAAAAGCCTTTTGTTAAATTAGATAATTGATAAAATTTTTTAAATTTGTTGGTTGCTAAAATATTTATAAAAAGTAATTGAGTAAGCGATTAATTTAAATAAATTATTATATAAATATATTCTCAATTTTTATTTGAACTTCTTTGATATTGCTATTATTATTGTTAAAACTAATTTCCTGATATCGCTTTTCCAAGAAAGACAATTATTTAATTTACATTTATTGCGTTTGAATTAATTAATTATACATTTATATCAAAAATTTATTAACAGATTATTAATTAATGAGAAACATATTTTTAATAACCATAAAAATATTTTCAATATTATTTATATATAATTTATTATTCATTTGAGCAATTTTTTTGCTTTAACAATTAAATTATCAATTATGTAGGGTTTCACATAAGATTTCTCAGAAAATATCACTAAAATAAATTTTCCAGAAGGGAAATGAGAGGACACCTATGTTAATATTTACATTGTTATAAAACTTCAGTGATTGAAATTCTTTAGAATTCACCTTTTCCTCTCAAAAGTATTTGCGTTTATCCCTTAAATATTGGTTTCCCTTTAATATTGGCATCAACTTCTTTTGGAAATTTCTCCGATGTGTATCTGAGTTCAAAGGGAATTTTACATTCTTAAAAAAATAGGACAGTCTTCATCCTCTAAAACTTCTCCATTCATACTTCTCAAACTAACAGATAAATTGAACATTCTCTCTCGATAGATTTCCTTGATCTCCTCCTCTAAATTCAAGTAGGATATGAAATTCTTATGACCGTATTAACTCAAAATAAATTGATGTTAGCTAATTAGAATAAACCTGATACTTCTGTCTATGTATAGTAATTCTGGATTACAATCCCTATTTAGGGACAATTTTAGTAGGTAAATTTTCAATGCATTTTTTCAAAGAGTCTAATCCAATAGATAAATTATGCTGGATTAGACTTTATGTTTACAACATATCTCTCATCATTTTGAGATTTAAGTCCTTTTATTTTTCTAAGAACTCTTCCAATTCCTACATAATAAGTTTTAAAATTATCTAATATATGATTCATTCATTAATTTGAAACATTTGAAATATATGTTTAGAATAAGGGGAATTTATTTAAATTACAATATAATTTGTTTAGAATTGAAGTATTTTACGTTTCATTTACCTCATAGTCTAATCAAAGGAAGAAATTAATACAATAAATTAAAATATTATATAAGAATAATCATTTCCCATTAATATCAGTGTTATAAGCCTGGTTTATAATAATGACTTTATACATAATTAGATTGAGTGGCATTTGGCTAAGCTAATATACTGATCATTTTTCCTTCACCCATTTCCTAATGTTGAGATTTATGAGCAATGATTGATTAATTAGTTTTCTTCCCTTGTTGAATAATATAAGGATTTTAAATCATTGGAATAACTTCATTAAGCATAATGGCATTTCTATTTGCAGCATGGACATCTAAGTTAAAATTAATATAATACTCATTTCTTAATCATTATTGCCTGAATCATCATACAACATAGGAATCTATTTTTTTTTAAGTAGATCCCTTGCCTCTTAACATCCCATCTGAGCAGCTTTCTAATATCTTTAAATTGCATAATTGACATCCTTTTTAACATATTTACCAGCCTCATACATTAAACCCAAATGGAAATCAGCTTTTGCATTACCTAATTTAGCAGATTCTTCATAAGCATTAAAAGCCTTAGCATAATCTATACTCACTCCTTCATATCCCTATTCATAAATAAGACCCATATTAATTAATGCTTCTGAATCTTTTAATTCAGCAGCCTCTTTATAGAATTTAAGAGCTTCTCTCTAATTTTCAGGAACACCAAATCCACTATGGTAGCAATCTCCTAATTTGGTCATGCAAGTAGGATTCTTTAGTTTTGCACCTCTAAAATAATAATGAATTGCATTTTGTGGATCTTTTTATACTCCAAATCCACACTCATAAAGATGTCCTAAATAAAAATAAACTTCTGTGATTTCAGGATTCTAGATCATGATTTGAATCAAATATTAATGTGCAAATAAGTAATCTTCTTACCTTCCTGAATTACTACAATCTTTCATTACATAATGCATATATTATAGTCTGCATGAAACATCTCCTTTCAAAGCTCCTTCTTTATAATAACTTTTAGCTTGTTCTAAATTAACTCCAACTCCATATCCAAATTCATAACATTGAGCTAACCAATATAGTGAATTAGCATAACCAAGTTCTTTAGCTATTTCAAAATATTTGAGGGCTTTGCGATAATTATTCCCTAAGACCTTCTCTTAAAATTCTGGATGATTATAATAAAAGAGCCCTAATGCATTAATAGCTCTAGGATATCTCACCTTCTTTCCCTATGAATAATAGAATTCAGCTGATTCTAGACTAGGTTCTTATATATCTAGAATATATAAGATATATAATATATACATGATTCTCCATCTTCACTTTTGAGACCATTCTCAAATATCTCACCCAAATCTACAAGTGCATCCAAATGTCCTTGTTCACTAGCTTATTAAAAGAATACAACAGCTTCTGATTTCTATTCATCCCTAGTCTATAATTTTCCTTAGGATAACATTTATCCATCAATTACTTAATCTAATAACAACCTACCTATTTTATAGAGTCCTTCTGCATTTGATTATGCAGCACTCTTCTCCCAATAAGTATAAGCTTTATTCAAATCTTTTGGAAAGAACTTACCTTCAGAAAATATTTAAGCAATAATATTGAATGAATTAACATCTTAATTTACTTCTGCCAATTCATAATATAAATTTAGAGCTTCAGTAATATTTTAAGGTCTTCCAATTCCATAGAGCATCTCATGTGCAGTTCTTAATCTATCATCTTGAATAGGTTAATCTCTATAAACTGGAACCTCTTTAACTTTCTCAACATACTCAATGACTTTCTTTTCAACAGGTTTATCCACATATACAATTTTTTCAACAGGCTTATCAACATATACAATTTTATCAACTGGTTTATCTACATAAACTACTTTATCAACAGGTTTTTCTATAATTTTAGTTTCTCCTGCTGCACTAGGAAAATAATCATTTAATTATTTAATTAAGAATGATCTAAAATCATCATAATTTAGACTTGTTTTAACTACAAAAATATCAACATTATTATTTTCTAAATTAGGTAATGCTGACCATTAAATAAAGTCTAACTCTATTTTTCTATATTCATTTTCAAAATTTTTCAATGCTTCTCCTTTTCCACAACAACCTGCATTTGCTAATCTACCAAGACTAACACTTATAGAATTCATATTATCTTATGTTGATTTTGCTAAAGTTTAATAGTATTCGTTTAACTTAATTTTTACTTTAGACTTATCTTATTCTATATTCATAATCAATTTTTATTAATCTAAGAAAGGTTTTGAGTATCTTTATCGTGCCTCTTATGGTATTTTTTGATTATCTACAATTTAGTTTGCTATTCTTTCTAATAAAATTTAAATTGAATCAGTTACTAAATGGTTATTCAGTTGCCCATCCCTTAATTTTCTACCATAAAGCTACAGCAACTTAATCATTTTTCCCTTAATCTTATTTTTACTTCATTTATCTTTCTTATTCAACCTGATTAATATATCAAGAATCAGTTACTTCAATATCTTTAATTGTATTTTTCAAACGATCCATAACAATCTATTCTAACTAAGCAATAACATGTTCCTTTTTTCCTTAATCATTTTTATCTCTACTACCACTAGCAGGTCTAGCATTTGAATGGGTTGATCTATCCATTTTATTAAAATTAATTTGAATTGAGACAATACTTATGAAATATATATACTGATTTTCTTTGTTATAAATCAATTCATTCAGTTTATGTTCCTTAACCTCCTTCACCTGATTGACCTCCTTCTTATTATTATTCTTTTTATTCTTATTATTCTTCTTATTTTTATTCTTCCTATTTTTATTCCTTATTTACTTAATATAATATTACTTATTTTTCTTGATCACATATTATTGATTGACCTCCCAAATAAGTTCTATCAAAATCTTCAGGAGCCAATCTTGTAGCTGCCATCAATTTCTCTTTTACAGCTTATTCTCTTTATTATGTTGCTTGTAATTTTTCAACTAATTTTAATTCCTATGCTTCTAATTGTTTTATTGAATACTCATATTTTTCATTTTCCATAATTATCTTTTATCTTTCTCTTTCCTACTCCAATCTAACTTTTTATTATTTCTCAAATAGTTTTTCTTAAATCATTGCTTATGATAGTTTTTCTTCTTCCTTCTTTAATGTTGCTCTCAACCTTAGATTTTAAGCAATTTTTATTTGCTCTTCATTTGTTCTCATTATTTCAAATTTAATGGAATTTTTCATTAATTAAGCATCTTAATGTTTCATCTCCCTTACCTCTTATTTCATCTTTTTGAGATGCATTCTTTCATATTAAGTTTACTAGTATTTAGTTGGATCAATCATCGATAGTTGATGTTATTTCTGTTCTTTCTATTTTATTTATTATACCTGAAATAATTACTTTCATCTTCTATGCAAGTCGTGAAGCATACACATCAAGTGCTAATTGTTCTGCCATTTCTACTTTTTTTGACAGTTTCTCATTTTCTTTCTTTAATTATTTGATTCTATTCTCAACAGTCTAAGACTCCAACTCTAATTATTTTTATCTTCTTTTGACTTCATTTAAACTGAAATCTTCAGATGTTCTTACTGATTACACAGATGAACTTTAATGTAATTTTGGCAACATATTATAAATAAATAAATAATTTATATAATAAATTCAAACAAACTTTTCACATAATGAATATGATTAAACTATTACTCATAAGTTCTTCATTTTTATCAATTTAAATTGAAAGTTTGGTTTTTATTAATAAAAATATTAAAATATAAGTCTTGATATTTAAATCTCTTAATTTTAAAACTTTTTATTAATACATAATTTCTTTTAATTTACTATAAGTTTAATAATATTTAGATTTGGTTTGATTACTTATAATTCTTTTATATTAAATAGTTTTTTTTTTATTTTCATACTAAAATATTAAATTTTTATTTTTATTTCTTACAAATTCTTGGTTATCAATTTATCATTCCTACTATTCCAAATTCTATTTGTTAATTATTTTCTCTTATATTATATTCTTCTTGTAAAATAATTATGATAAGATCTTTATTATTTAATAACAAAGTTTAGACAAATCTATTAAATTATATTAAAGTTTGATAATTATTAGATTAGATTAGATTAAATATAGTTCTTATATCTACTTATACAAATTCTATTTCTTAATAATATTAAATATTATTTTAATATTAATTATAAAATTTATTATTATAAAAGATTTTTATACATATATAATTCATTATATAAAACAAATACCTTTATTTTATTTACTAATTTCTTTAATAATCAACCAGTCAAATTACATGTCATTAATACATCATGTTAAAATTCAATAATTCTTGAATATTTATCCTTATGAATAGAATCTAGAACTATAATAATTTAAAATATTTGATTCAAATATCTATATGATAATTATACTGTGTGATTATTCCCACCTTTTAGGCATAACTTAGAAAACTAATTGCTTATGAATTTTCTTCTTTTAAGTATTATTTTACATCAAATTTCTTAGATAGTAAAGAGAATAATTAATCTTAAAATCTATATTAATCTTAATTAGGTAATCTTCCAATAAGTCTATAAAAAGTGTGGATATTGTTTTAATATTATCCTTATACGCAACTTAATAAAGCATCTTTTAAACACTACTTAGGTAATCAATAATGACCTTATCGAATTATAAATATTATTAATTTTTAGTCATTAATCTTTATGGCATCAATTTAACAAATTTTATTAGTTATTCTTTATCCAAAAAAATGTTAAATATATTTATTTTCCAATTTTGTAATTAATTAATAACATAATAATTTAATAATAGAATTTATCTATAATATATCAAAAAATTGGAAAATTCTAATTATAGTTTATAGAATTGTATGATTTACTTTTTATAGATTTCTATATGTACTATGTAAGATATATGAAAAGAATGAATTATGGAAAATTGCTTAATAATTATAAATTATTTAAAAATAAATAAATCTTTCTATGTTAAAGAGTTAGCTTGAAAACAAACATATATAGAAAGTGATTATCATTAAAGTCGAAAGCTAGTTGTAAAAGTTTTTCGATTAGTCTTTTTCATCGTTTAGTCTACTGAGAATCCTCGTGCTCTTTTTTAACTCACTTAATCAATTCTTCTCCAAGAATCAAAATTAAGCTCTAGATTCTACTTTATATTTTTCATATCCAATTCATGTTTGATATGAGGGATTTCTTATTTAAAATAATCTTTTTTAGCTCTTTACCACTTAGATGTAAGTCCCATGTATATAGTGGCATCATATTCTGCATCATCTCTAATTTTCCTGGTTAAAGAAATATGATCTTAGATAAAAGATTTGAATTATTCTTTTTGTTTTTCTCTGAGTTTATTTAATGGTAGGTCTCCTAAGACATAAGTTGTTTTGTTGAGTTTAGCTTTTGGGCTTTCTTTAACAAACTATTAACAGTATTATTTGAATGAGATGTTAGGGTGCTTAGGTAATTGATTTTACTTATTAATCATATTTTATTATATATCGAAAATGATTATGAATAATCGACGAGTGTTTTATGATGAGTCTATTTGGGAACGGTTTGAGAACAGAATAAAAACATGGACTTATGGACTCACACATGAATTATTGTAGAATCAAGTTTGCAGTCCATTCTTGTTCAAGTTCCTAATATTGATTGAGCTCATCCAACTTGTATTTTTTGAATTGACAAATTATATAGCTGTATTATTCGATCCATCCAAACTTAGATTTTCTATTCAAAACTGTATGGTTGGAATACTTCCGTAATGCATTGCAATACTTTTAAGTGAATTACATCATATTCAACGGTGGTGTAAACGTACTGTTAATAGTAATGTACATTGTAAGTTTGATTTGTTGTATTATTTATAGTCTTTTGGAGTTCAGATTCTTATGTTATTACTATTGGTCATAATTACATTCAAACTAACATCAAATAAGAGAAAGCCAAGCACCTTTCTTACATACTGTCTAAAAATATTTTCATTGTATGGCTTACTGTTGAATACTATTTTGACAATCCCTATATTCAATTCCTTCATTGCCACTATTTTTTGCAATTCAGATGCTCCATTTTCAGATGGTTTAGAATGTTATGCTGGTCTACACTTTTTGCATATATCATTAGCTGTAATATTATATATCATTTTTAGATAATTGGTTTGATCTTATTCCTAATAAATGTACTCTATTTTGGATTGCTTTATGCTGAACTCAATCCAAGTTCACCCATTCCCTTTGCATCTCCATAATCCAAGACTTAATTGGTAAGACAGTTAATTAAAATCATTTTACCTTTATATGTGACTCTAGATTTCAATGGTGAAATTGCAGAAGTTTATATATCACTTTTAGCAGCTTTTTATTTATTATTATTAGTATAAAGATATAGATCTCCTCCTTATTATAATAAAAGTGTTTATGGATTCATTGTAGTGTAGGAAGTTTTACTATTCTGGGCTAGTTTAGTTGGTGTTATAACTGCATTTTTGGATTTAGGAGCAGTTGATGATATTGGATTGTTTTATATGATTTTAGGAATGCCATTAATATCATTAGTTTATTTCTAATTATTGACTTTTAGACAATAATAACTATTAAAAACACCAATAAAATCATTCAAAAAGGAAACAGATATTGAAATATATATAAATCATCTAATGGATTTAATTGAAAATCGTGAAATTCTTCAATCAAGAATAATTTTAGAAGGTGTATTAAAATTGCATTTAAAGAATTGTGGAAAACCAAGTGAGAATTGTGTATGTTAATAATTGGTAGCTGATAATTTGAAGGATGAAGAGACACCTTAAAAATTGAAGAGATGGTATCAATTAATAAAGAGTATTATTTCTGATGCTCTGGATAGATATCCAAAATGTCCAAGATTACATTTATTGAATTCATACATACATCATGAGAAATTGAAGAATAAATTTAAAGCATTATTTGAATTAATGATCACTGAAGAAAATAAACCAAATTTATAAGAAGAATTTAGTATTTATAGATATAAGAATTTGATTGAAGAAGAAATGATTGAAAATGATATGAGAACATCTGAAAATAAAGGAGTAGATGTTAATATCATAGTAGTATTTTAAAATAAATTTGTTAATTTCCTTAGTAGTATAGAAAAAAGTGTTACATTACATATGGAATTTTGGAGAGAATTATTAGAAGAAAATCCAGATATATAGAAATTATAATCACTTGGATCTAAGATTACAAATACTGTTGAATCTACAAGTGATTTCTATAAAAAACTATAAGAAATGAATTAAAATCATATTAAATGTCTATAAGTATATGGTAATTTTTTGAAAGATATTGTTAATGATGATGTTGAAGGTTAAAGAATCTTAGAAAAAGCAGAATATATACAAAAGAGCACTGCTGTCAACAAATTAGGATTGGATTAAGAAAGATAGAAATATGGTGAAAATGCTAATACTTGTATCATCACTTGTTCAGGAAATTATAATAATATAGGTGTTGTTACTAATGTTAATAATGAAATCACTAGAATTTTAGGATTCTCTAAGTCAGATATTATTGGATAAAATGTTAATAGAATCATGCCAAAAGTATATGCAGATTAACATGATCAATTTATGAAGAATTATTTAGAAACTAGTGATTCTAAAGTAATTGGATAGGAAAGAATATTATTAGCTTAAAATAAGAATAATTATTTAGTACCATGTACTCTCATGATTAAAGTCTTACCTAATTTAGATGAAGGTATTTAGATTGTTGGATTCTTGAAAGACATAGAACCTGGAAGTTCTTATTTGAGAAGTGAATAAGAAATTGATTAGGAATGGCATTTTATTATTATTAATGTTAATAGTCAAGCCATCTTAGGAATTACTTAATCTTGTTATACAAGATATGGTATTCCAGCTTCTTTGGTTTATGGTAATTCAACTAACACTAATGAATTTACTATTGATGCTATTGCTCCAGAATTAGTGGATATTAAAAACTAGGATGATCTCAAATCTTAAGGTTTGGTTACTACTATTGATACTTCTTAACTTTAATAAAATTTCCTTTTGGGAAGAGGAGAAAGTGATGATGAGATGTCATTAGAAGAGGAAGAAAACATTTATGAACCTGCTTAATAAGTTTCATAGATGTAATCTAAAATAGGAGATTCTAATTTAGGATAAATGTTAAACTAAAATCATTAATATAAAGAAACTGCTGTTGATTTATCTTAATAAGTCTAGAATTCTAAAATAGAAGAAGCCAAGAGTAAAAAGTTATAAAAATAGCAAAGATATAAAAAATATAAGATTAAAGCTTTTGTTTAAGATGAAACAGAATTTGGTGATTAAAAAATATAAATTATCAGATTCTATGAAGTTGATGAAAATGAAGAAATTAAATAATAAAGATCAATGGAACCAGCAGCTGAAGAAGCATAATAGAATTAAATGAAAACAGTTATGAAAGATGAATAATAAGTTTAAGAAGATGTAAATGCATCTGAAGGAGAATCTAATTTATCAGGAGGTTCAGTGAATGATGATATGAGATAATTAAAAGATTTTAAAGCCTTGATTTCTGAAAAAACAGAACCTAAATATATTCGTATTTTGAAACGAACTGTCTGGTTTATTATGCTCTTACTAATCGTTTTAAGTGCATTGATATTGGGATATAGAATGAGTCAAAGTTCAGATGTTTAAGAAGGTGCTGATGCCATTTATTTGTCATATATGAGACATAACATTATGGCAGATGTAAACTTTTACACTAGATTACTTTAAATGTTAGGAAATAGTACTTACATAGCAGATAAACATGGTTATACTACAACAACTGCAGATACTTTTATTAAGGCCAATGTAATATTATAATATTAATGTTTAGCTATCCTATTTAGTAGATACATTAAAAGTGGTGTAATTTGATGTCATTAAGGCTAGAATCAAAATGGAAGCAAGAATGACTGGATCAACTAATTTGGAAACATATTAAGTTAAGTTTTTGCTGACTTCTGGTGAAGAGAAAACGTAATTATTTATTATTATTATAGTTATGATAACATTTTTAATGATGCATTGTTTTAAATTATTACTTCAGCTTCTTCATTAAGAAATTCCTCTGCAGCATCATTTAATGGTTCTGTAACAACAGTGGATAATACATAAAAGAATTTTTTTTATGTGATGACCAATGGTTTATTTGTTTTGAGAAAGGGATCAGAAAATATTGCATAAAGATTCTTCGATTTTTATTCTGATGAAATAAACAATTATTAAGTAACCTTCTTTGTTATTATGGGTGTTGGTATATTCTGTTTAGTAGTATCTGCTATGATACTAATTCCTATTGTATTTTAAGTGCATAAAACAAATAATATGGTTATGTCATTATTTGGTATCATACCAATATAAGAAATTAAAGAATTAGCTGCAAAATGTGAAAATTATATGTAGGAATTCTTGGAAGATAAAAATGAAAAGAAAGAAATGGTTGATAAAGAAGATAAACCACCTTAGCCTAATGTTTAACCTCCTGAAGTAGAAAAAACATAGAATAAAGATGTTTTTGAAATGAATAATGAAGAAGAAGATAGAAGTGATAAAAAGAAAACCTAATAATAAAATGGATCAAATGGAAGTGGATAAAATGTATTACAAACAGGTTAACCTAATTCTAATGCTATTCATACATCAATTACAGCCAAACCAACTGAAAATAAAGCAACTCCATCTGCTTTTACTTAAGGAGCAACCAAAAATGATTAAAAATAACAATAATAATAAGAGTAAGATAAAAAAGAAAATGAAGAAGAAATAGAGAATCTACGTTCTTAAAAACTATTAAACTCAAAAGATAATAATAAATCAGTAGTTATTGTTCAATTTTTAATTTTTGCTCTTATTTTTATTGCTTATTTCATTTTAGATATTAATTTAGAATTGATATTTTTGGATAATGTATAAAAGGTTTATGATCATCTTTAATATTCATCTAAAAGACCTATTTCTATTAAATATAATGTTTACTTTACATTTGAAGAAGTAGTGACAAATAAGACTTAATTAGAAGATTCATTAGATATGAGAACTGAGTTTCAAAGTAAATTGTATGATAATGAGAGAAATTTATTCTAATCTTTGACTTAATCATTTCCTTCATAATTTGATTCATACTTGTCCAACTTTTAAGCTTTTACATATAACAATTTATGTACAAATGACTTTAGTATAAGTAAATATTTTTATCTTAATATCTAGACAATTTTGAAACAGATTAAACAGGATGTGCCAATGTAGATTCAGGATTACTTACAAGTGGATTGAAAACAGCTTTTGTTTCAGTGGCATTGAGTACAAATGATATGATAAGTTATTGGAAGAATACAGAAAGAACTAGAACAGGTATAGATATATATATTACAATAAATTAGACTTAATATCTACAATTAACAATTAGACCTATCATAATAAATTACATAGATTATTATACTATATTTCACCTGCATGTGATTATTTAACAGATCAATTCATGTCAGGAATTACAGATTTCTTATCTTATAGTGATTCTATTGAACAAATGAAATTTAGTGTTTATCTGGTTTTGATGTTTGCTGCATTTATTTTTTGTTGGACTCCTTATTTGAATAATCTATCAAAGTAGATATGGAGAACTAAAGGAATGTTGAATATGATACCTATGGACATTATACAAAAATATCCTAATTTGAAACAATAATTTATTGGAGGAGAAATATTATAAGCAGTGAAATGAATATTATTATTATTTGAATTATTATTATTATTATTATGTAAGGAATTTCAATCTTTGATGATGATAAATCAGCCATTGATAAAATGTAAAATTCTTTCAAAAATCTACTTTTTGAGATTATTTATTACTTGATATCTGGAGAGAACTTTCCATTATTTCTTTACATTTTTTTTGTGATGATTGAAAGCTTTTAAGTTTTTTACTTTGCATTTAGTGATGAAGTAAATTACAATATTATACTATTAGTTTCTTTCTTTGTGGAAAGTCAAATCATGGTCTGAATCATTTTAACAATTTTTTGGATACTTTATGATATCTCCTTATTTAAAAAATGTCGAATTTCAAAGCTTTATTCTAGTGCTATATATAGTTATGGGGTTATTTTTTCTATTGATAGTGCTTATAATCTTTATAGCGATTAAAGCATAAACTACATCAGTTGGTAAATTGACAGGACCTTTGGTTGTTCTAAAAATATTTTTTGAAATTCTAAATTATATTTTCTTTATGCCAACACTACATTTATTTTTAACTGTATTTTATTGTGATTCAGGAACAGGTTATCACCATTATTATAGTGATTTATAATGTTATACTGGTAATTATTTATTACATGCATTTTTATCAGCTATTGCTGCTGTAATTTTAATATGTGTAAGTGGAATAGTTACAATGACATTTTATGAATCAAGATTTTAAGCTAATAATCCTCTTTGTAAAACTTCAGGTAGAGATGATATGAAATTTTTAATTTTCAAAATAGTTTTAGTATTATGTTTTACATTATTAAATGTAAGTGAATTAAGAATTTTAGTTGTCATAATAATTACACTTTTTGCAGTCATTCAATTCTTTTCATTCAATAAATCAAGTGTATATTTGAATTATTATTATTCAAAAATGTTAAATTCACAACATGCTATAATTATGTGGACAATTTGTATGATCATCTTTGGAATCATTGTAGAAGACACATATTATGAAGGAGCGCCTTATCTATGGGTATTTGGTAATCCATTATTATTATTGATTGTGATGCTGAGAAAAGAATATAGATATGATATTATGATGATAGATTCTAATAAATTTGATTCTTTAAATTAAGCCATTCAATAATTATAATACTTAACTAAATTCTTAAATTATTATCATACAGATAGAAATATAGCTACACTTTTAGATGGTTTTGTAGAATATCATAGAACAATTTGTAAAAGAGAAGATTGTCCTTGTTAAGCTAAAAATATGGGAAATAAAAAGATTGCTAAATTTTAGAAGAATTTTAAACTGTAAAATTAAGATGATGAAATCAAAGAATAATATGTTGTATTAGTATATATTTTGGAAAGAATATTCACTTTATCATTAACAAGATTTCCTAATTGTACTGAATTGAGAATAGCACATTCATTATTTTTAATGGAAAAAATGTAATCAAATTAATAAGCATTATAAGAATTAGTATCAGCTGAACAAGAGAAACCATATATGGATGAATAATTCATTATATATAGATTAAAAAAGTTGATTGAAGAATAAATGTTTGAGAATTCAAAATCAACCAAAAATCCAGCAGCTGGAATTGATGCAGTAAATGAATTAACAACTGAAAATAATCTTAGAGAAATTAGAGCTTAAATTGAAAAGTCAGCCTCATAACATATAGAATTTTGGTCATAATTAAGTGAGGATACACCAGATTTAGGAAAATTATATGATGTTGGAACTAGAATGATGTATATAGATAAAATGTTGGAAGATTCATGGAAAAGAATAATTAAAATGAATATAGATGTTCCTCCAAATTTAATGATGATTTATTCAAGATATCTTGTTGATATTCTTTATGATAAAGAATCAGCTGAAGAAGTATTAGAAAGATTGAAGAATTTTTATTCTGTTAATATGGATAGAGGTAAAATTACAAACAATATTAATGATTTTCCTAATGAATCTACTGCATTAATTAGTATTTCAGCTGAAGACATCACTTTTGGTAGAATTATAGGACTAAATATGTCTGCATCTAAAATGTTTGGTTATTCAAAGAGTGAATTAATAAATAGGAAGGTCAATATTTTAATGCCTAATGTATTTGCTTAATCACATGATCAATTTATGGAAACTTATTTATAAACATACGAAAGTAGAATAATGAACAGAGAAAGAATGATTATAGGTAAATCAAAAAATGGATACATCTTTCCCTTCTTTATATATGTAAGATATGTACCTTCATTTATTCATGGAGCATAGTTTTTTGGTGCTATGAGATAAGAAAAAGTTTTTAAAAATGTAGCTTTTATGATTGTAAATGGATCAACTTAAGAAATTGAAAATATTTCAGCCACTTTTATTACTATGTTTCATATTGATTTAAATTATATAACAAAAAAGAAAACTAAAGTAAGTGATCTTATTCCTAATTTTCAAGAGAATATTACTGAATATCTTAATAAAACAGGAGCTGAAGCAGAAATTAATTTTAAAAATAGAGATTAGTCAGTTTAGGGTAAATTTAATATTACTGCAGGTGAAATTCTATTTAGGGATTCTAAATTATAAGGTTACATAATAAAGATTGAAAATAATAGACAAGAAAAATCGTTTCTTAATCCTAATGAATAATCTCAAATAAAAAAATAATAATAAGTTAAGTTTTATTTTTAATTTGATCAATCATAACATAATTTTATTGGTGAATATACTTAAGATTAAAATTTTTAGATGTCTGCTATTTCAAGTGTTAAATAAGATGAAACATTTGATTATTCATAAAGAGAACCAATTAAAGATGATGAAAAAACACCAACATCAAATATAGGAGAGAAAGAAGAAAAAGTTGATTTAGCTTTTGGAATTAGGACTATGAAATATATCAATGGATAATTATATGATATTGAAGATTTTAAAAACTAAGATTCTGATGAAGATGGGGAAGAAAATGATTAAAAAAAAGGAGGTACTAATGGAATGTAATAAGTTTAAAAGGAGGATGAAGAAGAAGAAGCTGAAGGTGGACATGCTAATATTTATAAGTCAAGAAGAACTTTTGTTTAATTCTTGTCAGAGAGTCGTAATGTTAATTAGAGTAGTATGATATGTTTTAAATGGAGTGCTGCTGTATTGATTATATGTTTAGGAGTATTGGGTTTATTGGATTATGTTTTGACTCAATAATTATTTTAAGATATTTAAGAAGGATATATTATGATGCAAGATTCAAATATCAGAGTAGCTTTAGGTTAAAGAATATAATGGTAAATAATGGAATTATGCAGATTAAATAAAATAAATGTAGCTGGTACTGATGATAAAGTAAAAACATAACTTGTTAATATGAATACAACAATTAGTGATTTAAAAGATATTTAATCAAAAATTTAATCATCCACAGATGTCAGTGGAAGATAGAATGAATTAATGACTACAAATTCTATAAAAATGATTAGTAGAGATGATAGTGGAAGTGAGAGTAATTAATTAGTTGATATCAACTAAGGAACTTCATAAATAATATCAAAAGCTTTTGAAATTATGAATTATGATATCACTGATTTTGATCCTGATTCTGATTCTATATTTTTCATTAGATACAATTTGTTGAATGACTATTATTAAGCCACTTTAGAAAGTGTGGATCTATATACTAATTAATTAATTGATTTAGCTTATGATTCTAATGTTTTATTGATTTTATTGATAGTAGCTTGTGTTTTTACTGTCATCTCAATACCTTGGATTGCTTGTGCCTTTAACTTAGTTTCACAAAATTAAGAAGAAGTTATTAAATTATTTTTAGAAATACCTTTGGCTAAAGTTAAATAATTATTTGCAAAATGTGAAGCTTTCTCAAACACTCTTTAAATAGGTGAAGATGAAGATGCAAATCAAGAAAATGAATTATCATTTGAAGAAAATGATGAAGGAGAAGGAATTGTAGAAGAATTTGGTAGAAGGAAGAAAAGAAAGAAGTATAAGTATGATTCCAAAGACAAGAGAAATTTCTATATTAAATTCATTATTTCCATTGGATTACTTATTGCTTACTTTATAGCCCACTATTTAATAGGAGCAAATTTACAAGGTTCAATGTAGTAACTCATTTAAGAAATGAATGCTACTTCAATGGCTGTTCCTTCTATTACATTTGCGAATAATGTTTTTAGATAAATGTTATGGGATGGTAATTTTCCTGTTAAAAATAATGTATCTAAAATTTTATCTGCTGATTTTGTCAAAGATCTCTATAATTTGAATACTAACATGCAAAAAGATCATTCTTTAAATTTAGGATATCATAATGCTATTTATAATGATTATTTCGATACAATAATGAAAGCTGGAGCATGCAATGAAGTCATAAAAGTTGCTGGAGTTGATTTGGCTACATGTTAAGCCTTCGTTAAAGGAATAGTTGATGAATCATTAGCCTTAGCTTTATCAAGACATTTCGAAAATCTTAGATATTTGCTTACTGTTTATGATTCTCTTTTGAATGATTCTACAGCAACAACAATAGCTGGGACTGTTTATAATTTTACAAACAATATTTAATAAAATAAGATACTCTCACTCATGTATACAGATATATCTGCAATCGAATTAAGTATGTTTGTTAATTTATCAATAGATTAAATGCAAGACATATATATTAGATCAATATTTTAATAATTGCTTGTAAGTTTTAATGAGAGCATGTAGAAAGACTTAGACACAAATACTACTACAACTGTGACAATATTTATAGTATTTTTGGTAGTGCTTGTATTGGTGTATCTGTTGTTTTGGTGGCCAATAGCAAACAAGATAAATAATGAAGTAAATTTAATTATAAATTGATTATAGATAAGAAGAACAACACTTCTTTTATCGATGATACCCTTAAATTTAATTTAAAGAATCAAGGCTGTTAGAGAATATTTGAATAGAATTCATAAGGTTGATTCTTGATTAAATATTATATAAATTAATTTTTTTTTCATTCGTTTTTTGATTGAATAAGCTCTTTTTAAATGTCCAAATGTATCAAGTATGTTAGTTCACTTTTATAATAATTAAATTTCTATGGTTCGTTATTTAATTCTGCTTGGACTTTTAAATCTCGTTCATCTTAGCGAAATATGTAAGACATTGTAAGTAAGTACTAATCTCAAAAAGTCATAAGATGATATAATTTCATAAGGTGTCACATCAAAATAATGGAGTAGAAAAGCAAGTAAAATTTTGTTTTATTAAAAAGAAAATCCTATTATTGTACCTGCGTCTCAACATGTGGATTATATCTATATTACAAATGATAATCCTAATTTAACATTAGAGAATTTCTAATTAATTTTCGATGATCATTACTATGCAGATTCTACAATAAGATTAGATCATAGACCTAATGGAAAACATACAGAATATGCTATAGAAATTAATTATAAATGTAAGGAATATGGAGGGACTCTTATTAATTATGAAATGCAATTTCAAGTACCTTAATGTGGAGATGCTTAAATATTTTGGAAGAAATTCTGTGGGAATCCTCTGACTTTAAGAGAAGGTTTTAGTGTGGATATGGTCTATAAAAATTATAGATAAGAGATTATAAAAAATTCAGAAATAATAAATGCTTCTTATTTTGACTCTGATTTAGATAATTATGTTTTCAATGTTTCAAGAGACATAAACATAATCAAATTTATCCTTTAAATGAAAACTGAAGTCTCATCTTAAGATTAAATTCCTGAAGGATTTATAACAGATGTAGCAACTTTGAAAAAAATACCAGAAGTCAATCTAACTCAACCTTATGTAGATATTGAAATGGAAAATGTGACTAAATCATGGTTTGAAGGTGAATTATCAAATGGTGGACTTATAACTAATAAAGAAAGTGAACTTACATTAAATTTTAAGTGTGTTGGTTTAGGAACATCTAAAATTGAGATCACTTTTCCATTTTAATATTTTAAAGATATTACTTTAGTAATTGTTAAAGATTGTAATTATGCTTTCAAAGTATAAAATGTAATAAATGCTAAATACTAAGAAGGTGATAAAAAAAGTAAAATATATAATTTTATTTATTTAGCATTTGCTGTTTATTTAGTGATATTTATTGTAGTATTTGGTTTAATAATAAATTTGTGTATAGGAAGAAAGAAGGGATTGGCAAATATTCCATTTTTCACAACATTAATTAGTTTGATTCTATGTATAACATGCTAATAAAAAACGTATAATAAATTTTAAATTTTAGATGTGTGGGCAAATGTATTAGAAAATGTTTTGGTTTGACAGGAGAATCATTTTTGCCTTCTGAGGAACCAGATGAAACATTTTCTTCTGGTTAAAAATAGTTTTATGGTTCAATATGAAAATAATTATAAATGTTATTCATTAATTTAATTATGAATAATAATAAAGGGAATTTTCTATGGTGCAATCTACAACTAGAAGCAAATGAAAATGGTTATGGTTTAGGAAATTAAATATTATATACAGGAATGAAACCTCCTATGATAGGGGGTGTTGAGGAAATACCTAAAGAGAATATATAATAAAATAGATCATGTGATTTGAATGACTTTTTTAAACAATATATTTGTTTATTTACCAATATAACTGGATATTAGAGATTATTGAGTAATGGATAATTGGAAAAATAATTTTTGCATGCAGTATCTTTATAGATTAAAGAAAGATTGTTCAAAAAGGAAATAATTAAATAGTATTTCAACTTAATCGAGGGGAAGTTATCCAAGAATAATAATAGAATCAAACAAAAATAAAAAATAAATAAAAATAAGAGTCATCTTCTGATCTTTTTGCAACATTAATATAATAAGTGAAAAGAGAATATAAAGAAGTATTTTATTTTGTATAAATCAAAGTAAATAGGTAATTTAGGAAAGATATTACAATTTAAACATCCACCTATAATTGATTTAAATTTTGTACTTGTTTAAGAATTAAATGAAAATGAGATAATACAACCTCACATTAATTATGAATTAATGGAAGATGAATTTGAATTTATATCATATCATTTAAGTGATGCAAATCCTATTTAGATTATAAATTCACATATTTAATAATTAATAAAAGCTATATAATCAAATTAAGTAATAAATATTTATAAAATTAGAAATAAATATTATATTTTAATGATAAAACAGTATTTCCAATAAATAAATATGCAGAAGTTTAAAAGATTCAATTATTTAAATCAGACTTTAAAAATAATAGAAGATTAATTGTATATAAGAATAAAATTAATAATTTAATTGATAATGAAAACAATAAAATATTAAATGTTCATCATTACTTAAGTCCAAAAGCATGTAATTTTATATATATATATTAAATTTATAGTGGATAATGGTAAAAGATATTTTGTTAGAGGAGATTATGTTTTTCATCATTATATGTAAGATGGTTTTGATGATAAAGGTTGGGGATGTGCCTATAGATCATTTTAAAGTGTATTATCATGGTTAATAGAGAATGGTTATACAAACAAAAAAGACATACCTAATCATAAAAGAATTTAATAAATATTAGTAGAAATGGGAGATAAATAAATTGATTTTGTTGGAACATCAGAATGGATTGGAGCATTTGAAGTAAGTATGCTAATTACACATCTTACTGGAGTTGAATGCAAAATATTAAATGTATCAAAGGGAACAGATGTTGTGTCTAAATTACCTGAATTTAAAAGCTATTTTGAAAATTATGGAGCACCAATTATGTTTGGTGGTGGTCTTTATGCATATACTTTATTAGGAATTGACTATAATGATGATGATTGTAGATTCTTAATATTAGATCCACATTATACAGCTAATGATACCATCAAATCAATAATTGAAAAATAAGGAGTGAGTTGGAGAAAGGCAGATATGTTTGAAGAAAAACATTTTTATAACTTTTGCATGCCTTTAATATAATGAAAACAAATGAAATATATCATTTTTAATTTAATTGTTGAATTTATAATTTGATGGCTCTTATTTATGCTAAAGTAGACTCAATTCTTTTTTCTAGATTTAAATGTTAAGCTTTAGGAGATGACTATTTTACTGGAGACCAGAAATTTTAGGATTTGTAAAATTATTATGCAGATTCAGCAAATCTTGGATTATCATTTGATTTAAAATCACTTAAAGAAGAATCTTTAACTGTTGATTCTTCTGTATTTCCTTGATTTTATTTTTCTTTATTTCTATTTGAAGAACAAATTGATTAATTTGATTTTTGATGACATTTAGATAATATAATATTTTTACAATCTGAAAAGTTCTAGATTTATTTCTTCTTTTCAATACTTTATATTTATTTCTAATAATTACTAATTAGATTAAGATTATACTTATTTACTTCTAATAATTCTTAATTTTTTTTCATTAATTACTAATTTAATACTTTTTCTATTTCATTATTCCTAATCTATTTTTGTAATTTTGTATTTGCTTCTTACAACATCTATATATAATTTTCATTTTATTTTTAAAGTAAAGCTGTATGTTCCATAGCTGCCTACAGATCTTTATTGAGTTATGTTACTTTATTCTCTAATAGCTAGCTAATTGTAGTCAATTATTTACTTGGTTTTTAATAATCTCATCTGATAAACGTTCTTAAATTTGTATTAATCCTATGTATGTATTATTATTATAATCTTCACTTGTCTTTTCTCCTAATGATAATCTTGATAAAGTAATTGATTATTCATAAAGATTTTAACCAAGTTTGAACTTCTCATAATAGTCTCTTTATAAAAATTAAGAAACATTTTATGAAGCATTTTCTGAATTATGAGGTGAGTGTTCTTCATTTTATTCACTTTGATTCATAATAAAAAAAATAAAAATAATTTATTTTAATTCAACATTCATTTTCAAAACTAACTAATCTCAAAAGAATCTATATAAAAAACTTAATATAAATTCAAATTATAAATAAAAATCAATCTGAATCATCACCACCTATAGTTTTTTGTTTATGAATTGAAAACCAATTATCCTCCTTCTTCACTTTTCTCAATGTGATCAATATCTTATCACCTTTCAAAGTGAATTTACTATTTGCACTATCTAATTTACATTATGTTCTAGCAACACCAAATGTCCAATTCTTATTTTAATAATCATGAATTTTTATTTCAAATGATCTTTCAAAAAATCTAGCCTAAAATTTATCTAAAGGATGTTTTGCTATATCTTTTAATTCAACTACAACTCTTTATTATATTTATTCAAAAATACCTAACATTCATTTCATCAACATCCCAAAATGCAAATTTTGTTATATTATTATAATGAATTGGTTTTTATGCAGAAACTTAAATTGTCTATTAAACAGGGATTGGTTTTACTTTTTATACAATCACATCATCATTTTCATTGAAAAAACTATTAACCAACATAGAAGTGTTTAAAATTGTTCTTATACTTTATTTTATATGTAATACCTATTATTGAATAATATTTCACTTCCCAAAGCTTTTTATAATTAATCTATTGTTTCTCCTAACTTAGATTCATAAATTTCTACTGCATTTCCAGAATGTATAAATAATTTCATTTATAAAAATAATGAAAGAATATTTAGAAAATGATATTATTTATAGGCGTTGATGAAAGCATTGTCACTTCAATAGTGATCGCACTCTATTTCAACCCCTTTTTCTGAGCTTCTCAGAAACAAGGGGTCAACTCAAAGGTTTGGTAATATGGGTGCATTTGCTATTGGTATATTAAATGCGTTCATTAATAATGAATTATTGTTGATTTCATAATTATTATTTAACTTGGAACAATTGTCATTATTGTTGACCTTGTTAATTCTCTTGTTTAGGAGCATTTAATCTAAATTACAAGATATTCAAAAATTTTACCTTTACAATCATTGACGTAACCAAGGGGAATGACAACATGCTCCTAAACTTATTCTTAATGATCTTAATGCCATTCCCCTTATTATTCCTGAATATCTTCTGTATTACACTCAGCTATAAACATCTTTTATTTAAATTCATTAAAGTCTCTTCTTTAATGTTTTTACAAGATTTGGTCAATTAATTGTTCCTTTCTTTTCTTTTCTTGTTGTTTTTTCAGGATTTTGTTGGATCCTTTTCTGAATTTGTTGATTTTATTACACTTTCTAATAAGAGAATCATATAAGCTTTCTTACTTCTTTTGAATAGATGTTTCTTCCTATGGATTAATAGAATAAGCACAAAGCTCGTCAAATAACTGAGAAAAACATTGCTTTTCTGCTTCTATCTCTAAGATTTCTAATTCCTAATCGTATTCATTTTAAAAATAGTTTTGGGATATTAAGACAGGGAATTAAGATTAAACTTCTGAATTTTAATTATTTTGCATTTATTAGTTCGATGAAGATGAATGAGTTTATTTTTTATTTTAATTAATAACATATTCAAGAATTAATAAACTTAATATATTCATAATCAAACTCAGAGTTCTATAAGATTTAATCATCGACTAAAATTCTGGGTAATTAGAATGATACAATAGTCCTTTAATTCAGACATTATATCATTATTTACTTTTTTCCACTTGTTAATTAATACAATAATCTTTATGCTGCTGCCAAACCTAACTTACATTCTTATAATCTTATTTGATTAAGTTAAAATTAAGTCAGACCACAACCATAATCAGTAATTGTGAAGTGTATTTCTTCATAATAATTCCATACAGTAATTTCAACTTCATTTGGTTATTGTAAATACTATTCATATTAATATGATTGTATTGAGTTATTAATTAAGTTGATCAATAATTATTTAAATCTTCTAAATAAAATAAAATTAAATATAACCTTGCATCTGTAATTATATTTTTATCATGAAGATTATTATCAATCAGCATTAATTTAACACCATATTTTATCAAACTTTGATTATAATGAAATTAATCAAAAATTAAATGAATTGTTTAAGATATATCAATCTTTTTCTTATCAAACCAAATCTTTTCTGTCTATGAAAACACTTCAAAAAAATTAAAATTATCCTATTCAACCTAAAATAAATCAAATTACAATTTTGATAAAAATAACTATAATTAATTTTATTTCCTCAACTAAACTTTTTCAGAAATATCAGATTAACCTTCTTCACTATTTCTATTTGAACTCATTGAATAAGTTCTTTTACGAACTGATGTACCCATTCGACTCAAATAATCAGTCTCAATTAAACTAGATGGACTCTTAATTTCACGAATCCATTTATGAATTTCAGTTATCTTACTAGCTTAATTTTATATAAATTTTGTAGCTACTTCCAATAATTCAAGATTTTTAACATTTTAATTAATAGATTATACTAGTTTATCAATATCCCTCATTAAAAATACAATAGCTAAACCATCAGTATCCTATTTTATAATATTTTTTTAATACTTCTTCAAAAATATAAAATTTAATTTACAAATCATACACACTTTTACTAGTTTTAATTCTTCCAAAAAGATTCATTTTACCATTTTTGAGATTCATAGTTTCTGATGAACTCTATTAATATGGAATAGAGGACAAACCCATAATAGATTTTTCCATAATCAAATCCATTAATAAGGATTTTTGATTAGAGAGATTACTTATTTATAAGGGATCTGTTCCATCCTATTGTTTAAAGGATTTTTTAGATTGAAGTTATTCTATAATTTTATATTATTCTAAATGATATTACAACCAATCATAAAGACTTTATTATTTTTTAAATTCTTGACTTTGAATATCATATTATGTCCAATGAATGTCATTGAATACCTTCATTTCTGATAAAAAATCTACAAAAGTTATAATATTATCTTAAAGGAATTTACTAAATGAATAATTGCTAACAGAGTTTTATAGTAGAGAATTATTTTAATAAGCATTAAATGAAAATTTAATTATGTAATCATCGCATTAGAATACAAAATTGCCCCAGAGAGATTATTTTGTAGAATTTGATGCATTCTGTTATTTTTATTTAGAATCAGGTATCTCGTCATCTTCAGCTATAGATTCTAGAGGACAACCTCTTGAATGTTTGATGAAGATTTATTCATCATGTCTAATTTAAGATTTTTAAATTTATTAAAATGATAGTTCATTAAAGAGTTTGTTTTAATTATTTTCATTAACTTAAATTTCTATTTCATTCAACATTTATTTATAAAAGATTTCATTCAAACCTATCAAGATACTTAAAATAATAAGTATAAACATAATTCCAATTTAAATATCATTCTTAATAAATAAACAAGTAATTAAAATTACAATTTAAACAAATATTTTGCCTTTATCTATAATTTTATTTTGGTTTTTAATATTCAAGGTATTATTATATTGTCCATTTACAAATCCCAAAGTATAAAAAAGAAAAGTATTTGATTCTTATTTTAAATTATTAGCACCATTAATTCTTGCAAGTGTTAATAACCAAAAGAAAATAGGAGAGATATCTTAATAATAATAATTATTATTATTATATACCTATTTTCCATGAGATTTATTAAAACGAATAAAGCACTCTAAAAGCAATTGAAATGCCAATGATGATTATGGAAAGAATTTGAATAACATTTAAATCATCCTGTAGTTCAATTTCTAATCCCAAAAAAAAGAGAGAGATGAAATAGTTTAAGGAATATTTCAATTCTTTCTTCCATAAGTTATTTCTACACATGGTATATTATAATTATGAATAAATCAAAAATTGATAATTTTTTTTACAATTATAGATTGGTGTGTTTTTATATCAAGATTGATTGATCTATAATAATGAATCTAAGAAATGTTGTTTATATATTATTTTATATATTATTTATCATTATCATCCAAATATCATTGTCAAAAATATCAAACCTATACTTATCTTTTATGCTGAGTCATCAATACAACTTTCTGTTTCTGTACAGTTTGATTCATTTGGAGAAGGCTTTATCACCTCAATACAATTAACACATGTGTTTTTTGAACTACTCCATGTATATGTGTAATTTGAATTAACCAAACAGTTTTCTTCATTCAAATTAGATGGAGGGACTGATTTGCATTCTCCATTCTATATTATGCAAGTTGATAATGTATTAGAAAATGTCTCATAGAATTTACAAGAGTTAGTCTACTAATAGACTTTTTAACAATCCGAGGGAAGACATTAAGAAGTACCATTTTAAGTAATATAGCTGCATCCTTTAAGTGATAAACACCTAGCTTAATCAGTGATAATTTCACATCCAGTTACTTCTGAACAACTATTATTCTTCCAATAACAATTTTTAGAGTTTAAAGCTCCTGAGTTACAAGCATTTTAATCTTGATAGGAACCACAGGAGCTTTATTTAGTAATACAACCTTATTTAGTTGCATCATAAACACATGTACTAATTTATGCACAAAAGAAGGAAGATGCTGGAAGAATATCAGCACAAGTTTTAACTCTACAATAAGATCCAGAATCTTTATTCACATCAGTCCAATAGCATGGATTAAATTCTGTACCGCTTTTCTCATAACCTTTACTACATTTTGGTTTAGTATTGTATGATGCACATGGTTGAATTGTCATGCATTTAGTACCATCAGAAGTACAAGTATTCATTTTAGAATTACAGTATTCATGAGTAGTTCCACTAATATCTGGGCATGTTTAATTTCTACAAACTCCATCCCATACACAAATACCAGTATTAGTTGATGAATTATTAGAATATGCTTTTGTAATGTAACATTATGATTTATCATAATAATCTGAACAATTTTGCTTCAATTCCATACATTAAGTTCCACTAGTAGTGCAATTTGAACTTACTCCTTAGCATTCTGAATGAGTTTTATAGAGAGCATCACTGCATTATTTGAATAACATACATGTTTTTGTAGTTGATGTGGCTTCTTTTAGAGCCAACATACATTACCCATCAGAACCTTTTTTACAATTAGTAGAATTAAGACTTTCACATTTTTTAATGGGTGTACATGTTTATCCATTTGATGTACAATTTGGAAATACACTTTTACATTCTGCATCAGTTGTTAAAGGGATATCTTCGCATTTAAGATATTAAATGCATTATCCTAAAGGATTATTTGTATTTTGTAAAGCTTTAACCCATAAACATGGAAATCCATCAGATGTTTCAACACAAGATCCTTCAATCTAATATTCAGCACATGATGCTGACATATTGACACATTTTCCAGTTTAGGAAGTAGTGCATATTTTATTTTAAGATTTACATTTGAAATGATTTGTACCTGTTAAATCATTACAATCATTACTCCTGCAACCCTTATCCTTTTCCCAAACACATACTTTACCATCTTTAGAAATTGTACAGCTGGCTTCTGATTCAAAAGAATTACAATCTTAAATTTATTTGCAACCACCTGTTTTTTTTAAAGTGCATCCAGAATGATAAGACTTGCATTATAATTCACTTACAAAATCAACCTAAGAGGCAAGTTCACAAATACTAATTTCACAATAACCATCACTTGTGGCTGTAGGTGGATTCCAAACACATTATTATCCTAAATCATTTACTCTACAAGCATCTTATGTTCTTGCTTCTTCACAAGATTTTCTTAAAACACATCTAGTTCCATCTGTAGTACATTTTCCTCCTAAACCAGCTTATTTACAAGCTAAATCAGTAACAAATGAATATTATTGACAATCTACTGTTACACATCTTAGGTTTCCACTATTTTCACAAGTGTCTAAATAGCTTGAACACTGTTCATTCAAATCCTCTGGTGTATTACTGCATAATCTTGTTACACATTAAATGCCATTCCAATAACATAAGTTACCATATACACTCTTAGTACATTATGATTTTACTTAGTAATCTTCACATTTTGGTGTGAGATCCATACATCCAATTAAATTTGAACTGAGAGTACAACTTGATAAAAACTCACTACAACGTTCATGAGTTGTAATTGTTTTTGGTGCTTTACTGCATAATCTTGTAAAACAAGCTTAATCAATTGTATCCCATTTACATTCTAAGCCTGATGAACTATATCTGCATTAATCTTCAATCTTATACTATTCACAATCAGCTCTAGTTCGACAACCTTAAGCCTAAAGTACTCCTGGTGCTATCTCTATAACAGCAACAGTACATTTATCTTAATATTTAGTATTGATATTTAATTAATATTCTGTACAAGCTTAATGTGTTGAAAATGAATTTGGATCAGCAGAAAAACAAGTAGTTTATTCACAGAATTCATTCTCAGGATTATCGGTGTTCCATCTACAATAAGAACCACTCAAATCTATAAAACATTGTTCTTTATATTTATATTCATGACATCCTAATAAATTCATACATCCACTGGGATTTGATATTGTTTTATCATTAGCATCTTGAATAAGATTAACTGTGCATCTTTAGAACTTATTTTATTTTTTGGGATCTTGAATATTGTTTAATTGATAACATTCTTCATGTGTATCATATTTATCTGTTTTTTCAATTGATTTGCATTCAAACAGAACACATTTTTAAATTGAAGGATTCCAAAAACAAATTCTATCTTAATTATCTTCAATGCATTATAATTCTGTTATGTATGCATCACAAGTACTCCTAGGTATACATCCACCAACTTAAGCTACAGTACATGTTGACATATATTACTCACATTATGCATCGCTAGTCAAAGTATCATCAGAAGAATAACAACTCTTTTTAACACATAGATTTTATTTGGTATCCTGTACACATATTCCATCAAAAAGTGTTATTAAACAATTGTTGGACTCTTAATCAAGACATTTTTGCTTCATTTCTTAGCATCCGTCTTTTGATTATTTTACAGTGCATGTACTCTTCCATGCTACACATGATTCATGAGTGAAAGGTCCAACTGCATTCTAGCAAGTCTTCAGAGTACAACCTGAAGTTCCCTAATTTGTACAACTTTAATTAATTTAACTGCATTTCTCTAAAGTATAAACAGTGCTTTATCCAAGAAAAATCTATTCACAGCTTTTATTAGCAGGAGAAGTACATATAGATTCTACATCTTCTACTTTGGTCTGAATGCAATATTCTTTTTCACTACTTCTATAGCAATGAGAAAGGCTATATCCTCCGCATTATTATTTAGCAACACATTCATCCTATGCTCTATTGATACTACAAAGAGGACTAAAGGCTTAGCAATCTTAAAAGGTTAATCCCACTCCTTTTTTGTATGAACAATTCTTAATTGCCTCAGTTTAGTTTGTAATACCAACACATTCACTTGTATCATCTACTTACCAAATGCAATTACTCTCTACTGATTTTATACATAAGTTTTCTTCTTTGTATGTACCACAACTACCTTATATAAGAATGCATTTAGTTTTATCTTTATTAACAGTGCATGTTTGATCAAACTAATAACATATTTCTTCTGTCAAATTTACACCTACTTTTTCTTCACAAGATCTATTTTCACAAGCCTTTATTCCCACACCGTCTGAAGGATATTTGCAAAATTCTCGATTAATCTTACATCCTGCATCATTTTCGCTGCTCCAATTGCTGCAACTATAAAATTATTTATAGCAAAGTGTTCCATTTGTTTTACAAATACCATCAACACTTGCATAATAGCAGTCCTATGGTAAATATTGACTGCATCTTTCTTATTCAACAACACAAGCATTCAAGGCTTTGTTAATTGAACATTTAGATTTATTAGCTATTATAGCTTAACAATGGCTCAATAATAAGACTTATGGTCCTCCAATTTTTCCAGTTTAAGTGTTATAATCAACACATGTTTTTATAACACATCCTGTGTTATCTGAATTAGCCTTGCAATAAGTAACAACATCTTCACAAGTTTATGTTGAATAATTATTTAATTTTAGCTATGAACATTCAACTTTATCATAATCCCAACATCTTGAGTCGTTCCATATGCATTTTTATTATGCCAAATTCTTGTAGCATTATTCTTCATTCTTATAATTGAAACAATATTATTATCTGTCAACACAACCTTTTCCATTTACTCTGGCAATTACAGTACATGTTTCGTTGTAGCCTTGACAAGCAGCAAAAGAATTAAAAGTCTTAGATGTCTTATCTTAACATTTCTCTAAATCACAAGATAATATTTTAGACACAGAATTAAATCTGAGAGCACAATCATTGCCATTAGAATCTTTCTTACATTAGTCATTAGGCAAATACAATGAACAGCTTGATTTTAAGGGTATACAAGCAGTTGCATTTTCATTGACTGTGCAAGATTAGAAAGAATAAGAATAACAATTTGTATGACTGTAAACTTAATTGTAGATCTTCAAATTTAAAGCAGTACATGATTTGGCCACACATGCCTCTCCTGTCCATATACAATCATCATCATTAGATAGTGCATTCTCACCACAATTCTTTTACGTTTTTAATTAAGAACAAGCATCCGGTTTTTTCATACATCCTAAACCCTAATCATTTAGAGTACAGCAACCTATACCATCTGGCTTAGGACAATTGGCTGCATTCAATTTGTATTGTTTGCAACTTTAAGGTGTTGTGTAGTTGGCTTTATCACTACTATACAGAGTTGAAACACAATTTCTTACTAAACACTTTGAATTTCCTTGATCCCAAACACAATCATTACTGCCACTAATTTCACATGTTTCTTAAAGTGCTCTTTAGCTACACTCTGGCAAAATCCAACATCCTTTTCTTTCATTGTTAACATAGCATCCTTTCATATAATCTTGGCATGCTATATTTGAGTCTCTAGTAATTGGTGCTGTATAACATGTCTTATCCTAACATTTATTACCTTTCCATGCACATTCCTTTGTTCCAACAACATTATTTAAACCAATAGATGACCTTAATCGACATCCTTCTTCCAAAAGGATCATTTCACATCTTAAAGGAAGTGACATGCATCCTTTACCAATTAAAGATAAAGTACAAGTACTTAAATAGGCGTTACAATCTTCATGTGTTTTTATATCATCTGATGCACTTTCACATGTTTTTTCAATGCATTTATTTCTCCATGAACAACTTCGACCATAAAAATCCAATTAATTCTTACATTTACTTTCCTGTTAATAGTTTTCACAGATTTTATCTTCACAACCAGTTCCGGATGCATTAACTTAGCATTTAAACCAAAATGCTTCACATTTTGCTTAATTATTGATTGTTGTTGGTGCCTTATTACATTATTTAGTAATGCACACATCAGTTGCTTCATACCATTAACAATCAGATCCATTAATATCTTTCACACATGCAATAGCTATACTGACTTTGGAACATGAATCATTTTTTACACATCCACCTCCACTTCTAGTGATACAATGATTATCAGGAAGATATCTTTCACAATCTTCATTTGTTTTCATTGTATCTGGAGCATTCTTACATGTTTTTTATTGACAGCCTTATCCATAATCAGTAGTACATTCAAACAAAAATTTTTCACATTACTCATGTGTAGTTAATTTTGTGGATGCATTTTCACAGATTTTCTCTATACAAACTTCCTCCCACATACAATCCTTTCCTTCAGCACTCTTATTTGTATTACATTCCAATTAAGTTGTAATGGCACTACAACCTTTATTTAATTTACATCCACTCCCTTCATTAGCAATACAATCACTTCTAAATGATTAACATTGCTTATTGGTTTGATAATCTAAGGGAGCTTTTTCACATTCATGCAATACACATTAACTTTAGTTAACTACCCAATAGCATGGTTTTCCACTTACATCTAATTTGTTTAGACAATCACTTTAGTTTTTTAAATCTTAACAGTAGATTATCTACTAACATCCTCCTCCACTTTTAGCTATACAGTTAAGCATAAATAGCTAACATCTACCAGATGAATCATAAGTTTACGGAGCATCTTCACAAGTTGTTTCTCTACAAGCGTTATTTGACCATGTACATTAAACTTTAGATGACGTCAATTTACATTAATCTTCAAATGTATAATCTCCACATTCTGTAAACAAATCGATGCACTAAGCATTATTGTTTACTGTGCATTTACTCAATTGACTGTTACAAGCATCATGACTTGTAGAAACTTCTTTTTAAATTTCAGAACAAGAACTAAGTTCTTTACATCCCAACTAAGGATCCCATGTACACATTTATCCATGAATATTTTTCTACTTACAAGAATCCTAGGTATTGTACTCAGTGCATTCTCCAATCTCAATACACTAAGTTAGATCAGATGTACATTCTCCTGATATTGTATTGCATTCTAAATGGGTTTTTTTTGGATATGCAGTGCATCCAGTAAAGAACAAGCATTATGATCCTTCCCAAACGCAGGGATACTATTTTAAACATCCCTAACAAAATTATTATTTGTTCTAACAGTTAGAACAAATAAAGGCTTTCTAGCAATCAAAAATATTGTTATATTGAGAGCAAAAGGGTTTACCCTCTATAACAGGATTCAATGTGCTTTCATTTGAGACAGCACAACTGTTATTCTTCCACTCACAATATTGGAGTGGGAATTTCTCGCAATCTAATTGCGATTTCAAGTTTTGGCATTCGCATTGCTTATCAGCACCATATGCAAAAATAAAAATTGTACACAAGAAAAAAATCTTGTTCATATTAATATTAATGATTCTCTAAAAAAAAAAAACTCCTTTTAAACCAATATTCTCGTACAAACAACAATAATTTATTCTTTCTACTCTTTTTTTTATCCCTATTAATGGGATTTAGAACAAAAAATTAACTCATAAGCCTTTATAGAATAAATTATTCAGTTATTTTTTTTCCCTCTTTTTCTCTTAATATATGCTTTTTACATTGTTGCATGTTATACTACTTATGTATTCTTACCAATTTTAGTACAAATAGAAGAAAATATAAGTTTAAAATGAAAAATGAAAATAATAGAAATACAAAAAATATTAAAAAAAATATTTTGTCTATTGATATTATGATTAATAAGTTAAAGAAAAATATATATAGCTTTTGATTATAAACTATTTTCTCTAAGGTTTATTTGTAAAGATTGAGCATATATTTTAGAATAGAATTTAAACTTAAATCCCATTTTTTAAATTTATTTATAAATAAATTTTTAATTAAATTTATAAAATGAATTAATAATTCGAATGACTTTAAAATAATTTTTATAATATATTGTTTATTAATTTTACAATTTTAATTAATTTATAAATACATAATGCAAAACACACAAAAAATCTATTATTATTAAATAATAAAGAATTCTCAACATTCTAAATGGTAATAAAGCAAGAAATAAATAAATAAACATTATAACAAGTATTATTATTTATTATATTAATTAAATAATAATACTTCAAAAACTTATATGATTTTTTTGATTTTTTAAGCATAAAATGTTTTCAAATTTATATAGATTTTCTCAGAATATATTAATATTTAGTTAATTACTTGATTAATAAGTTTATACTCTACTTTTTAAATATTTATTTATTGTTTTTTATATAATTAAGATTTTAATTAATATGAGTGATTCAATAACTGAGTCAAATTCTTTTGAAAGAAATGCTAATGCTGTAGTTTTAGATCATAAATATTTTCTTGTTCGTTTAATTTACAAGGGCAGAAGTCATAACTTGTATTTAGGTAATTAGGTAAATCTAATAGGAAGTGTAGCTTTAAATAAGGATGATCCGAATACCTACTATTTAGTAGAAATGAAAAGGTATTAAGAATTACTATATAAAATAGTTAGGAGTAATACAATTCCTTTGTTTGTGATGAAAGAATCATTAAAAAAATGCATGAATGTAATAATTATATTAATTGAGTTTAGTATAAATCATTCCAAAGACAATACAATCAGGAATATATAAATATAAGAATATGGAATATCGATATAATATAAAGGAAAGATGTGGACCTTCTCTTAAACTATGTTTTCAACATCAAAATCGAAAATTTTCTGATTAAGTTTTTGCTACTTTAGCAATAGAAGCGGTAATACTGAGAATATATTTTTAGATATCTGTGTTAGAGAAAATGCATTCAGCATCAATAGTTCATTGTTATTTAAAGCCTAAGAAATTTGTAACATTACAAAGAGGAGTTCAATTATATTTAACTGACCTGAAGTTTGCCTAAAAATATAAATTGAGACAATTATTAAACTAGAATACTAAAAACAAATTTCAATATGCTTTAGCATTAAATAAATATTCAAGTTTAAATTTGCATCTAGGGATAAGTAAAGCAATAAGTTAAATAAAGAACCTTGTCCTAGAGATGATCTTGAATCGTTGGCATATATTCTGATAAACTTTTATATAGGAGGTCGATTATTTAAAACAAAGCAGAAGAAAACAAAAAGTGATAAAATTAAAGAAGTTGAATTATAAAAAATGAATCTGATAATTGAGAAAGCATTTCCATCATTACCAAAAGAAATTATATAATTTTATTATCATGTGAAATTGTCAAATATTGATTAATACAAAATTATCAATTATGATGAACTTAAATCATACTTTTATAAAATGATGTAGAAAAACAATAATACAATAAACATAAAATCTTATCCATGGGTAATACTATTTAAATATCAATATGAAGAATCAAGAGTTAATTGAACATTCAAAATAGAGTTCTGCTAGTAGTTTATCTTCAGTAGTCGAAGATGATGAAAATGAATCCGATGATTCACTAATTGAAGAATAGTCAATCCTAAGTGTTATTGAGCAATTGAAACAAATTACTAAAACTAAAAAACTACTTTCTGAATTGGATAATTGATTTATAATTATTTATTATATTTATGCTCAATTATTTCTTTGTTATCTATTTAAATTATTATTATTATGACTTGCAAATATATTAAATATTAATTCAATAATTACAGAACATTTTGTTTTTAGATTAAGTAAATCATTCTCATTAAGAGGAATATTAATATTAAAAAATAACTATTTAAATAGGTTGATTATAAATATTTTATATTTGTTAATTTTTTAATGAAATAAATAATCATTTTAGCATTACTCCTAATCTTAGTTCTTGGAGATTAACATTAGAACAAACATAATCATTATAAACACAAGAAAGGACATGGTATATTACTTAATTTATTCTAGTATTTAAATGGGTTCTTATTTCTATATTTGCTGTAGGTGCATTTTTAATAATTAGAAAAATAGTAAGAAGAAGAAGACACTTAAAAAGAATGAAAAAATAGGGATTAAACAAATTATCAGAAACTGTTGTTTTTGGAGAACCAATGAATGATAATATTCAACAACCTTAATATTATGCTGTTCCAATTGAATAATATAAACAATTTAAAAATTGGTTGAATTAATAAAAATAACAATAAGAAGCTTTGTTATAATAATAATAATAGATTCAATAATAATTATTGTTATAATAATAATAATAATAATAATCAGCCTAAATAAATTAAATTCCTTAATAACCTATTGCAGGGTATCCTATATATTAACAATATCCTTAATAAGTACCTCAAATAGTTTATCCATAAATATTGAATAAGAGTCATGTAGAGATTCAACTACCCGAAGTTAGGGTTCCATAATGAACTATTCATTATTAAAATATACATAACATCATATATACAAATCTATAAATTAAAATAAATGTTTTTTTCTTTCTTATTATACTAAAAATAACAAAAGAAAGTACATATCTATTGATTAAATCAATTATTTCTGAAATTATTAACATTATCCAGAAATATAACTAAAGTACAAATATATTTATTAATATATAGAAGAGATAAATGATTTTGATTAAAAAGTCAACTGTTATATGAAAGAGTGGATAAAGAGGGAATATAAGAGTTAAGAATGAATAATCTTATAGAAATTCTTTAAAAAGATATTAATATTAAGTTTAGTGGAATACTGAAATTTTAGTATTTATAGAAATAAGTGGATATAAATGATATTAAATAAAAATAAAATTAAATGGGGCCATATCTAAGCTAACCAAAAAGAGATAAAGCAACAACAACAGGTTCAGGAAAGTCTGTTATATTTGCTGCCTCAGAAATGCAAGGTATAAATTATATGGAACAATAGGCTGGAGAAACACTATGGAGGATGCTCATATTCATAAACCTGATATTGTACAAGATGTCTCTGTTTTTGGTGTATTTGATGGACATGGAGGAAAGGAAGTTGCCTAATTTGTTGAGAAACACTTTGTTGAGGAATTAATGAAAAATAAAAACTTTAAGGATCAAAAATTTGAAGAGGCTCTTAAAGAAACCTTTTTAAGGATGGATGAATTGTTATTGACTCCAGAAGGATAAAAGGAATTAAATACATACAAAGCAACTGATACTGATGGTAAATTGTTATTAGATTTTAGAATCTTATGCTGGATGCACAGCCAATGTAGCCTTGATTCATAAGAATACTCTATATGTTGCTAATGCTGGTGATTCAAGATCAGTTTTATGCAGAAATAATAGTAATTATGATATGAGTGTTGATCATAAACCAGATAATCCTGAAGAGAAATCCAGAATTGAAAGAGCAGGTGGTTTTGTAAGTGATGGTCGTGTTAATGGTATTTATTTATATAAATTTAATTATAGGTAATCTAAATTTATCAAGAGCCTTGGGAGATTTAGAATATAAACGTGATAACAAGTTAAGAGCTAATGAATAATTAATTATTGCTCTTCCAGATGTAAAGAAAGTTGAATTAGGACCATAAGACAAGTATATAATAATAATAAAATTTAGATTTATTTTAATGGGTTGTGATGGTGTCTTTGAAACTTTAAATCATTAAGAGCTATTGAAGTAAGTCAATTCAACTTTGGGATAATCTTAAGTGACTGAAGAGTTATTGAGAAAGGCTGCTGAAGATTTATTAGATTAATTATTAGCACCAGATACAAGTTAAGGAACTGGGTGTGACAATATGACAACCGTCCTTGTCTATTTGAAAAGATGAAAAAGAATATAAAAACAACATTTATGTAATATTATCAGATATTGTTAATTGCTGCGTCAATGAAGGAATTCCATTCAATAACGTTATACCTCTGTATTTCAATAGATAATAATTTAATCTTCTGCATTATTCTATCTATTTATTAAGTTTCCACTTCAGAAATATCATTTTATTAAATTCCTAATAGTTTCTTCTCTAAAATGTTATAATATTCATATTGTTTTGTATGTTGATTTCTAAAATTTAGAAAATTTTCCTTTAATTCCTAAAATTACATATATATTTTTGATGATTCATCATTTAACATTGGTAGAAAATACTTACAAATGTTCTTATCTTCATTCTCTAAATGTTTTAATACTATTAAACAAGGAATAGTAACAAATATATCACTATCTCTACATTCTAATTGTTCTGAAAATTAAACATATTTTTCAGCTGTTGTCTCTATAATATGAGAAAATAACATTAATTATGTATATTTTTTAGGCTCTAACAAATAAGATAATCCCTTTTCCCATTATGTTTCATACTCAATTAATAAATCAACTAATTCTGAATTATTTTTTAATTAAGGATCCACCATTTCAATATTACTCTCATATTTTCTCATCTACTCTCGAAATTTTTAAAAACTGATATTTTGTCATAACAATACTTTGTTTTTATACTATCAGCTAAAGTTCTTACAGCTTTTGATTATTCTTTAGTAACCCTTCTTGTAATACCCTCTGCTTCTAATAATATATTAACTCCTAAATCGTCTCTGCCCTTTCCTTCTACATTTGCTACTGAGTTTATTTTTGCTATTACTTTGCAAAACTAAATATGTTATTTATAATACTTATGTCTTTAATTAAATATAATGATCACTAGTAACCAAAATCTTTCCTCTTAATTTTTCTCGAATCTCTATTGATTACATATCTTTATCAATTGCAATAGCTTGAAAAATAAATCTACGAGCCTTTGCTTCAATTTCCATCAATTCCTTTACATACAACTATTTTACATCATATATCTTTTTACTTTTTCAAAATTAACCCATGTTTCATCAAAATTCTCTAAGAGAAATTTAATCTCTAATTTTATTTTAGAGATACTAAAATCTGGACTCTCTTATAAAGTGCTTGTATACATATGTCTTATGACATGTTGCACTCTATAAAATCCTTCTACTAGTTTACTGCCAGCCTCCAAAACCTCTGCTGTGAATGAGTATTTCTCTGAATTCACCCATAGATAAGGAAAACCTATTGAAAATAATTAAATAGATAAACCTTCTTAAGCACTGTCGAGAATTTCTGTCAAATAGCATAATTTGTCTTATGTGTAAAGTATTTTGTATGCCTTTGAAAATTGATTCCTATATTCACGAGATTCAGCTTTAATATCATATGCCTATTTAATGAAACTGATATTTTTACTTCACACATTTTTTCGAGATTTTATAAAAATTTTTTGCAGCCCTTTTATCCTTCAGGGTTGTCTAAATCGTATTTATGAAAATCTCTTTAAACAAGCAGACTTGATAATCTATGAGCTTTCTCTAAGAGCTAATATTCTCTCAATCTAATAAGAATTGATAATTATTAAGAGAATTTACCTCTTAAATTCTTCTAATTCTGTTAAAGGTCTTGGAGGAGCTGTCATACATCGTTTAAAAGGAGATTCATCATAGGAAGTATTGTCAGAGACTGTAAGTTATTATAAATTTTATTACTATCATCCTCTATGTCTTAATCGTATTATTGCATTTAATAATTATTATTTGCATCATAAAATATGCAGCAAAATTCAACGAATCATGAAGATGGTTAGCCTAATAATATCGTTGATAATTTAGAATTCTAATCTGTTCTTGACAGTATTGTTAGTTTAAGTATTTTTAAGTTTAAAATCTAAATGATGATTAATTTCAAGAAGAAATACAAGAATAAAATAACCACATTTAAGAGAGTAATAAGGAATAATAAAACAATTTAAATATAATACATTAAGAAATATAAAAAATTGATGAATAAAGACCTTAACCTGAATTGGAGGGTGAATTTTACAAAGTTAGTCCTCATTTTTTAGAAACAAATTCTGTAAAATATATATCATCTACTTTTCCAGACATATTATTGCACTTTATTTTCAAGAAGATTTACATATTACAACATCAAAAATAAAGAAAAGCCTTTAGGAATATTAGACTTTGATTATTAAAAATACATATTTTCATATTTGAAATCAAAGGATGACACTTATATTCAGAGTTTCATGTATACATTTAAATATAAAAGATTATAGCCAGAAGGTTGTGAGAAGAAATTCGAATTTGTAGTCCCTACTAGAACCAGAGAATAATCTAAATAATGGGTTTAATTAATTCAATAATATATCTAATAATCAAATGGATATATAAATAATATTATGAGCTTGTCAAAATATCATAGGTTTTGGAGACATGAAAGAATTTTAGATCCTCAAATATTAGCATAAGCTTAAACAGGAGATTTACTTATATTTCGTACTAGAGGAACACTTTAAAATTTATAACGATCTATTACTAGAAGTGATTATGATCATATTGTAATGTTTCTTAAAAATCCTTGGGAAGATCCAATGCTCTTTGAATCTAGTAATTAATATGGAGTCATCTCCTTTAGTTATAGTATTATTTTTATAATATATTTTTAGAACGCTTTGTTAAAGCCAAATCATACAAAAATTATGAAAAGTAATTATTCTTTAGAATTCAAGGATTCTTTATAAGCCTTTATTGAATGTTTCTGAAAATGATCGTCTCTTAATGTATGCTTATGCTGAAGCATAAATTGGAAAAGGTTACTCTTTAAGCATGATGAAATTCTTTAAGAAAAGCACAAGATAAAACTTTTTTTGTTCTGAATTGATTGCTTACATCTATTAACTTATGGGATTTATACCAGAAACAGAAAAATGTTGTTCCTTTTTACCAGGTTTCTTATTTTTGTGTTAAATATAGGTAATTTTACTGATGAAGATAAAAGATTAGATTTACTTAAATCTGCTTAATTAGGACCTGATTATATTGTCGATTTTTATTATCTATAATGATTAAGTTAAATATGTTATATGAATCAATTTATAGTTGAAAATATAAAATCTGCTAAAACCTTTTATATTTCAAATAGAAATGCATCAAATTTTTTCTCTGCCTTAACTGCTTTCTAAATTTATCTTTCTAAATTTTAGAATCCTTTAAGATTCTATATTTTTATTACTTAAGTTCTTGAATTCATTTAAATTTCACCTTCTTTGAATATTAAATCTATCATTTCTGAAAATGCATCATAAATTTATGATTTATATCTATGTTACATTCTAGCTTTTAACCAATCAGTATTAATTATTTTAGTTTAATCAAGTTTATACTTCTAATTAGAATTTTAGAATATCTAAGAATAATAATATCAATCAATTACCCAATATTTTTGATTAAAATATCTTTCTACCAACATGCAATCAATTTAACATATTTTTTTACATCCATATGTAGTTTAATTTAATTTGAATTCATTTTAAACAATACTTTATTGTTAAATCATACTTGCCAAACTATTTTACATACCATGCTTAATAAATTGATTTGCTGTTTCAACAAACTCATTTTTTGATTCACCTACATAATTTTCAATATTCAAAACCTAATATTGGAAATATTGGAGTTGATTGAAAGTATGCATATTATTATTGAATAGGAAATTACAGATCTCCTTATTTATGCTCAAAAGAATTTGATTCACTCTTATGATGACATTCATTCAAAGGATTTCTATATCGTTAAAAAGAGCTTTCAGCCTCTAATATAAATAAAATGGTTAATACTTACATCTTAAAGTAGGAATTTTTGCATTCAAACTAGTATTATTAAAATCCATAATATTAATTATGTATTTCTAAATATAAAGCAATTATAAATAAAATATATTTCTAATTTTACCTTGGTTAATGGTAACTAAATTATTATTAATTTAAAAATGTTTTGTAAAATGTTATTTTAACTAATTGTTTTCTTTATTAATTAAGAGATATTCTTAGTTTATTCAATAATAATTAATGATCATCAAATAAAATTTAATAATACATTTTAATATAGAATGGAATGATAAAATAATTAAATCAATTCGGCCATTTTTATTGATTCTGTTAAATTCATTGTTGTATATTAAGCTCCTTTACATAAAAGCTTTGATTTTCTCATTCTTAATTAAAACTTACAATTTTTGCTTATAAAACAACTAACAAAAATACCCAGTAACTTAAGCAGTTTCAGCCTTCATTATATTAGTCCAATATAGATTATTGCCTTTAAACATAAGAGATCCTTTTCAAATCCATTAATTTTTAGTTTTAACCTTTAATTATAAAGCTCATGATTTATTGGATATTAGAAAAATTATTTTTCAAATATATACAAACTCTATAACTCACTATCCTTGATATAATAAAGAGAATCAATTATTTATATAGTATTTAATTTCTTATCGGACTATTGCTGCTTAAATTAAAATCTTTACATTTCCTTAGTTAAGACATTCAAAATTCAACAAAGGAATTTGGAACTAGAAAAACTTATATTATATGTTATTTTAGAGTAATTTGTATATAAGAATCAATAATTTTGATGCACATCTCACTATCTTTTGTATTCTAATTATGTGGATGGTCCCAAATTTTAGGTTAAAGAATATGGGGCATTCTATTTGTTTTCTTGAAGAAATATTTGACAAAATGATTATTATTGCTGAAGATGTTCTTTACCCTCCTTAGCTTCCTTCTCTTTGTTATATTTCATTAGCTTTTCGAAATCGATCTCTATGTGTTTCTAAGCAACACTTCTTTGAAGTTTTCCTGAGCTTTTTTTACTAGCGCAAGTTCCCATTATTATTAATTATTTTGGATTATTAGATAATTAATAAAAATTGTTTTAAAATTGAGAAGGCTATAAATGAAAAAATTAAATCACAAGGATTAATTTATTTTTGTTATTTAATTTATATGATCTATGATCTTTTTTTTATTTTAAGGAACAGGGACACTTTGGTAAATTACAAGATCATCATTCTATAATTTATCAATAGTGTTAGAATATCCAGGGATATTAATTTTTGATTTAGCCATTTATTTGATCCCTCAACTTCTAAAATTAATTTTTGTAATAATATACTATATTTTACTCTTTGATTCTCTCCAGAATAAATTAAATTTGATTAAACTGATAAACAAAAACTTTTTTTAAAAACCTAGACCAAACTTAAGTTATAAAATTCTTGGACTGTATTGATGCTTATTTAAATAAAAAGAAATATTCTTATTTGTTGATATAAACAGTTGAAAATCTAAAAATAAGATTCTTAAATCATAAAACTTTCAAATTCATTGATCCATCTGATATATTACTTAACTTTCATTAAAATAATATATCTATAGAGATTATCACTTGAATAGGGAAGATTTTATAACTAAGTTTATTTGGAGAGTCTCAATTTTGAGCTTAAATAAGTAAATATCATATAATAAATTCAATATAGTCTTGAATTTATAGCGACAAAGAAGGGAATGCTGATAAAGATATATAAGTTATTCAATTAATTAAATTCTTAAAGATTTTATTATTAGGTCTAGTGTAAGAGTTAATGAGTAATCCAATATTTTTGTTATTTTATTTAGATATAGGACTATATTAAAATTTAATTTTTTATCAGCTGTTTAAGAAAAAGCGATTGAATATCAACATAAAGTTTTTGATTTATTAGATTGAGTTACTAGCAAAATCAATTTAAATTTATCTGATTGGAAACTTAATGAAGATTACAATTATTTTTTAAATTATATAAAGTATAAAACGATAAAATAAATTAAATGAATTCATAATAAAATTTAATTTTTCCATTATTCAATCAACCTAAAATCAATATTTGACTAATTTTCAAATAAATAAAAGAATTAGACATGAGGGAAATAGATATATATATGAAAATATTAAAATAATTGAATAAATTAATTTTTTATGGAATCTGTTTTTATATCAGTAATATTAATATATTAATAAATTATAGAATGTTAAGGAAATTCTTACTAATTTAAATATCCTCTTTAAGATGGGAATTCCTTGTTAAATTATACTATATCATTATATAATACTTTAATATATATAAATAACTAAAAAAAATTAATCTTCATCTTTAGAATCTGTTAATTATAAATAATGAAAAATAAATCTAAAAATAAATTTTTATATATATATAATTAAATTCTTTATTAACTTTATATGCACTTAATAAATCATTTCTTCTTTAATTCCTTCTTATCAACAACTTTAATGACACCGACGGCTACGGTTTATTTCATATCTCTGACGGCAAATCTACCGAGTGGGGGATATTCAGAGAAGATTTCAACGCACATTGGTTTAGTTGGGACTAATTTGACCATGGCAGCATCTCCTGATTTAACAAATTTTGGTTCTTCTTCAATGACTTTGCCTGTTCTTCTATCATTCTTTGAAAGAATTTCTTAGAATTTGCAAGCAATGTGGGATGTGTGACAATCCAATACTGGGCAATATCCGTTTTAGATTTATCCTGGATGATTGATGATGATGACTTAAGCATTGAATGAAGTGCATTCTCTTGCTGGGTCACTCTTTGAATCTGAACAAACAAATCCTCTCTTCAAATCTTTTACGGCAATGTTTTTGACGTTGAATCCAACATTATCTCCTGGAACAGCTTCAGGGAGAGCTTCATGATGCATTTCAACTGATTTAACTTCAGTTGTGATGCCTGATGGAGCAAATTAGACAACCATACCTGGTTTCAAAACACCAGTTTCTACTCTTCCGACTGGGACTGTACCAATACCTCCAATCTTGTATACGTCTTGTAATGGTAATCTGAGTGGTTTTTCAGTTGGTCTCTTTGGTGGAGAGACTACATCCAAAGCTTCAAGGAGAGTTGGTCCCTTGTACCATCCTAAGTTTGGTGATTTTTCCAACATATTGTCACCGACCCATCCTGAGATTGGGATGAAGGGAACGTTGTCTGGATTGTATCCAACCTTCTTTAAATAATCTCTCATTTCCTTGACAATTTCATCATATCTGGCTTAAGCATAGTTGACAGACTTATCATCCATCTTGTTTGTTGCACAGATCATTTATTTGACTCCCAAAGTATAAGCCAAGAGAACGTGTTCTCTGGTTTATCCATCCTTTGAAATACCAGCTTCAAATTCTCCTGCTGGTGATGCAATCATCAACAAAGCAACATCAGCTTATGATGTTCCTGTAATCATATTTTTGATGAAATCTCTGTGTCCTGGGGCATCAATAACGGTGTAGTAATACTTATTGGTTTCGAATTTCCAAAGAGAAATATCGATGGTGATACCTCTTTCTCTTTCAGCTTTGAGGTTATCCAACACCCAAGCATATTTGAATGATCCCTTACCTAATTTGTTGGCTTCATCTTCAAACTTTTTGATGGTTCTTTCGTCGATACCTCCGAGCTTGTAGATCAAGTGACCGGTGGTGGTTGATTTTCCTGAATCGACGTGTCCAATAACGACAAGATTTACGTGAAGTTTATCCTTTGGCATTTTTATGAAATTATTCTTTACATTAATTTTGAATCAAAATAATCTTATAAAGTCTTATTTAAAATTTAATGACTATTCTTATATAATAAAAATTAAATTAAAAATATTAATTTTAAATTAATTAAAATATTTATATTAAATATAGATATCATATGTTTTTTCTTGTATTTATCTTATTTATCCATATCATACGTTGATGATCTATAGCATATTTAAGTTTTAGATATGAAATTCTTATGAGAACAGATCAGAAATGAATATTCTCCTCTTTTATGCGTTGAGGCAATAAAAATAATAAACCATAAAAATACAAAAAAACAAAATTATATTAAAAACTAATTAAAATTTGGATTAATTTTTTTTTAATTAAACATGACTATTTAAGACTATTTATCACTTAATTAATTAATAAATAAAATTTTATTTTAACTATTAATTAATTCTGACTATTTTTAATTAAATGAATATTAACTAAATCAATTTTAAGGATTTTTAATATAATTATCTTTAGACAATAGTGATCTCATGTTATAATTAATTTGAATATATTAATAAAAAAATGAAGTTAAAATATATGATAATGAATATATATTTCTCTATTTAATCACCATTCTAAGAAGGGATCGTCTGCTGGTTTAAGAGCTGGACTTTATGTATCTGATTCTGGATATGATGAAAAATTAGAAGTGTCATTTGGTGCTCTAGAAGAGTATTATATAGAAGTGATACTTGACTACTGGCTTGTAAGGAACAGGTAACTTCTTTTAAGTAAGTAAATTCCAATCTAGGTTACCAAACCATCTATGATTTTTTACATCAGCAGCACCTTTGATGGATAGTATGAATACAAAATACCATTTTTTAAATTTCCATATCTTTTCGAAAGATCAGCAACTAGCAAGTGTTTTACTAAAGATTTAGCGTTTCTTAGATAGGAAATGAAATTAGTACTTATCAAAACTCTTGGGGAATTTGACTTTGCCTTTTAATATTTTTTGATAAATGGCCATAGGATCTTCATCAGAGAAAGGGTCAATTCCTGCATTCATCTCATATATTAAAATTCCCAAAGTCCACCAATCAACAGCTTTACCATGTCCTTTATTCAATAAAATCTCTGGAGCCAAATATTCAGGAGTACCACATAAGGTATATGTTCTTCCTTCAACCACTTTTGCAAAACCGAAATCTGTTAATTTGAGATATCCATCATCTGCAATCAATAAGTTTTCAGGCTTAAGATCTCTATAAATGATGTTCTTGGAATGGAGATACTCAAATATAGAAGCCACTTAAGCACCATAGAATCTATAATAAACTCGAATGATTGCTATACGCAGCGTGTTATGTATCGAGTCTTCCAATACTTCTTAAGTAAGTAAACAATTCTCCACCTGAAACAAATTCTAAGACTAAATAGAGATATCTTGGATCTTAGCAGAAACCTTCGAAGGTAACCTATTGTGATGAAGATAGTTCATACTACGAATGGATGTTGCAAATTTCCTAATATTGTGTTTTCATTAATCACATGATCAACTTGCTTAAGTCTAATAATCTCAGCTTTCTTTAAACTTTTCAAAGCAACATATTTATTTGTTTGTTTATTCCTTGCCAGTTTCACTCTACCGAAAGAGCCTAAAGTTCAGCATTACACAAATACAATACCAGTACCCAAGGTCTAAAACACTTCATAATCTGTGAGTTTCAGCTTTTTTGGTTTAGTAAGTCCTGTACTCATCAATTTAAAGATTTAAAATAAATTATTTTAAGCAAATTATCTACTTCTGAAATACTCAGCTATAACAATTATTATTTTATCAAACACTCTTTTGAATATGATAATTATTTATGAAAACACACTAAATAACTAATCAATATTGAAATCAAATAACTAAATTATTTATCATTAATCAGAATTAAACTTCTTTAAACATGAATGATAAATCTAAACCATGTTAAAATGCTTTCCAAATATTCAAAGAGAGATATTCAAAAAAGTTAAAAAAGGATTAAACATTAACATAAAAATGATATTGATGATTTAATATTACAGAAATGGAAATTCTTGCTAGATGATTAAAGAGAACCATACAAAAAAAATATTGAAAAAACTTAGGTTAAATTAACTTAAATTGAAGTATAAGCAAATTATTCAGACAAGAAAAACAACTCTCAAAAAAAGTTAAATTATGAAAATCCATAATAACATTTCTTTTTTATATAAAATATTTTTATTTTATTTTAACTTATATTTGTTACAAACTGAATATATCATAACTTAGCTAATCCATATCCTTGAGCATTATTCAGATCATTGAATAGGTGATTACCATATGCAAATCTGGCGATTTATCTTAAATGAACTTCACAAGGTCCATCCATAAATCTAATTGCTCTTGCAAATCGGAATGAAATAGCTAAAGGTTAATCTTCAGTGACTCCTTCAGCACCAAAAGCTTAGATGCATTAATCAATCATCTTTTAACATGCTTTTGGAATATGAGCCTTACATTAACTTACAGCCATGAATGTATGTAAATGTTTGGATCCTGCTGAATCCAACAACAATCCAGCATTAAGACTTAATAATCTACAATTTTAAAATGCAATTTCAACTTATCCTAATCTCTCTTAAAATGCAGCATTATCTTTCAATTTTTACTTAAAAATAACTCTTTATTCTGCTCTACTCATCATTAAATCTAAACATCTTCTTGTCAATCCAATCTATCTAACACAATGATGTAATCTTCCACCTAATAATCTACCTTATGCCATTTTAAATGCACCACCCAATTCCCCTAACAAATTCTCTTTAGGCACGAAAACATTATCATATTCTACTTCAGCATAACTATGTGGAACATCATAATAACTAAAGACTCCTACTTATCTCAATATCTTAATCTTAGGATTTGGCAAATCTACTATGATCATAGATTATGATTCCATAGGATTTGACATATCTTAAGATGATTTACCCATTATTATTCCAAATTTTACTCTTTCATCTGGGGCACTTGAAACAAACCATTTACTTCCATTAATTATATAACCTCCTTCTGTTGGAGTTATAGTAAATTTGAAATTATTAGGATCTGATGAAGATACATTTTTTTCAGTCATAGCAAAGTAAGACTTACATTCACCTTCAATCAATGGTTTCAAATATTTCTCTTTTTGGTATGGTGTTCCATAACCAATTAAGAGTTTGATATTACCAGTCTCTGGAGCAAAACAATTAAAAATTTCATGAGCTAAATAACTCAGTCCCATCAATTCTGATAAGAATACATATTCTAGATTTGTGAGACCTTTACCATACATTGGATCAGAAATAAATAAATTCCATAATCCTAATGATTTCGCTTTTCTTTATAAAGCTTCTATTTCTGGAAATCCTTTATTCTAAGTAGTAGTTGGCATTATTCTTGACTTATCTAAAACTACTTTTTCTATAGGAAACACCTCTTCTTTCAAGAAATCTTTAATTCTATAATAGTAACTTTTGCATCTATCAGTTACTGGCCATTTAGACCATAATGAACTATCATTTGCTGCTCTCATTTTTATACCAAATGGATCTCCATCAGTTAAATTTAATACAATTTCATATCCAGCTTTGGATAAAAATTCTGAATTGTTTAAATACTTAATATCTTTTGTTTGTTTAAATAAAATTTATTGATCAATTGATTTTCTCAAAATTGCCAATGTAATTTGATATCTAATATCTGGAATATTTTAAGTTGATCTAGCATTAAAGTATGATTTAATAACATCTTATTAATTTGGAGCACCAACTAATCTTTCTACTCCTTACCATCCATCAACATTATGTCTTCCATTTGAATATGGTATATAATATGGAGCTAATAAACTAGCTAGATCAGTAAATGCATTTCCTAATTATGCTGTTTACCAATCTAATATAGCTAGAATTCTTGGTTCTGTTGGATGAAATAGAACCTTTGATAATGAGAAATCTCCATGAACTAAACATAGATTATCTAGTTCAGATTACTATGGTAAATTCAATGGCAACCAATATAATAAATCTTCAATGTTGGTAGAAATTTTTGTTTCATTTAATTTATAAGTATTATACAATTTCTTATTTACGATTTAATAGTGGCTAGTTTGCGATTCCAATTAACCTAACCCTAAATAGTTTAAACTGATTGAATGAAGATGAGCTAATGTCTTTGCTACTTCTTAATAAATCACTCTTTTTTCTTCAGTTGTCATTCCTATTAATATTTGATCTGAAAAGAGTCTTCCCTCTATGAATTCTGTTGCATAAAAAGGAACCCCTAGTATAGATTGATCAGCACAGTAAAACAAAGTTTTAGTAACTGGAAAATTTACAGCTGATAATTTTTAAGCAATCACGAAATCCTTTTCTATTGAATGACCCTATTTTATAGTAACTTATTATTTACTGCTACTAGATTCTCTGTTTATTTTGTATGGAGCACAATCTTTTTATTAGTATTCCTAAAAAATATTCATGACGAACTTACTTGAATGAAAGTTTATAAATAAATTGAGCTAGTTATTGTACTTCCTCTATTTAAGCATCATTAACACCTAGGAAAACTAGTAATGAAGATGAAGAATTCAAATAGTTTCCTAACAAATGAGATTTCTCTACTTCTTATAAGGACATTAGTAAAAAATTATGATATATTTTTTTAATCCAAGAAAAAAAAATATTGCGACTTTGATACTCAATAAATTAGATATTTAATAATGTGTAATCATCCAATTATGATGTCATATTAATTAATAATATTTTATAAACTTATTTTTATATTTAAATCATCTTTTAACGATTGTACCTCACCTAATATTTAATAATAAATTGGTATTTCAAAACTAAAATAATATAATTATTAGTTTATTAGAATATTAATTAATCCAATTATGATAATATCGACTTATTTAAAAGAATAATAATTATATTATTATCTTAATATTAAAATATAATAATGAAAGTATAATTCAATTATTTAAATAACATTATTGAAAATGTTAATACAATAAATATTTTATTAATATTTTGTAATAAATCAAATGATTATTCTATTAATATATCTTTTATTTATCAATTAAGAATTTCATTTTATGTAAAAAAAAAAAAAGAATTTAGATTATATTATGAATAAATAAATTAAGTTTTTAATTTAATTAGTTTATGGATTAAATTGGTGTAAATACAATGAGAAGTTTACAAAAGTTGATTAAATCAGCTATGAAAACAAGAGTATTAACTGCATTTCCAAATCTTCCACAAAATAGTTTCGAGATATAATTGGAATCAATATCAAACAATCTAAATTTTGAATATAAGACACCTACAGTGATAAGAATCTTCAATCAATTTAAGAAACAAAATTTATTTGGTGGTAATTATTATAACATTATATAATTTAGATTTGAAAACAGAAGTTGAAGTGGCATAAAAAATTGCTTCTACAGAATGTTAAGATAATATAATTTAAAAAATAGAGGCAATTGATAAAGGATTTTTAACAATTCAATTAAATGATAAATTTATTGAGGATGAAATAAATGCACTATTAATGAATGGATTAAAATTCCCATTAGAGAAAAAATAAGTATGAAATATATTTTATATAATAATATAGAAAGTAGTTGTTGATTTCTCAAGTCCTAATATTGCAAAAGAAATGCATGTAGGTCATTTAAGATCAACTATCATAGGAGAATCATTATGCAGAATATTAGAATTTTAAGGATAAGAAGTAGTAAGAGTTAATCATATTGGTGATTGGGGTACTTAATTTGGAATGTTGATTAATCATTTATTAGAAGAATATCCAGATTATTAGACTAATAGACCTGCTCTTAAAGAATTAGAAGATTTATATAAGGAAGCAAAAAAGAAATTTGATTCAAATGAAGAATTTAAAGTTAAATCTTAATAATATGTTGTAAAATTGCAAGCATTGGATCCTGTATGTATAGATGCTTGGAAAATGATATGTGAATTAAGTCGATAAGAATATAATAAAATTTATCAAAGGTTGAATGTTAAAATAACAGAATATGGAGAAAGTTATTATAATCCAATTCTACCTGAAATAGTTAAGGAATGTGAAGCTAAAGGAATTGTGGAATTAGATTAAGGAGCCAAAATTATCAGAGTGAAGGGTGAAAAGGTTCCTCTAATGATTGTTAAAAAAGATGGTGGTTATAATTATGATACTACTGATATGGCAGCAGCTAAGACTCGTATTTTAGAATGGAAATGTGATAGATTACTTTATTTAACTGATGTAGGATAATGGAATCACTTTAAACTTATTTTTGAAGGTGCAAAATTAATGGGATGGCATTAACCACCAATTACATCAATGGAACATATGGGATTTGGTTTAGTATTGGGTCCTGATGGTAAAAAGTTTAAGACAAGATCAGGTGATACAGTTAAGTTGATTGATCTATTGGATGAAGCTAAAGAGAGAGCTTTAAAATAAATTATATAAAGAGTATAAGAAAGTTAATAAGGAAAAGAATTTTCAACTGGAACTGCTCTATCTCCAGAAGAATTTGATACTGCCGCAGAAAGAATGGGTATAGCTGCTATTAAATACTATGACTTAAAGTAGAATCGTATATCTGATTATAATTTTGATTATGATAAGATGCTTGATCCAAAGGGTAATACTGCTGTATATTTGATGTATTCATATGTTCGAATGTTATCTATTTTAAGAAAAAGTGGAATTTAAGATTTTGAGATTTATAGAGCAGATAATAAATTCAAAATAACACATCCACATGAAAGACATTTAGCTGCATAATTATTAAGATTTGTTGATGTTTTATAATCAGTAACTGATTAATTAGCAATAAATTGGTTATGTGATTATATTTATGATATTTGTGTTAAGATAGCAGAAGCTTATAATTAAGTAATATATTAAATAAAAATTTAGTATCGTATATTGAATGATGAACATACTCAAACAAGATTGTTATTGTGTGAAGCAATCAGAATGGTATTGTTATAATCTTTTTATTTGGTTGGTATAGAACCTATTGAAAAAATATGAGGAAGTATAAATTACATTAAAATAATTATATATTTATTAATGTTTCCAAATATTTCTATATTAAATGAAGAGTTTGACGAAGACTAACCTCGTTAGATTGTTTCATCATATTCAGATATTAAAAAGCTGCTTTCTCCTCCTGCAAACAAAATTAATTCTGATATTATTATAGATAGACATAAGGCAAAATCACATACATATGGTTTAATTGAATCAAAAGGAGCTGAATAATATCTTATAAAAGTCATATAAAACAATGATTTATCAGAAATATAAAATTTATTGGATGAAGCAGAAAACATCAATATTTACACAATTACTGATCATAAGAAATACACTCTTTTACATTTAGCTGCATACAACAATAATTTAGATACTGTTAAGTATTTATATAATATTATATGTACCTAAGGTTATTGATTAATCATGTCAAAAAATAACATAAACATAAATGCATGTCAATACTTACAGAATGGGTTAATTAATAGACTGAGGATGGATTTGTGGCATTTCATTTTGCAGCCTATAGAGGAAACATAGAAATGATTTTAGAATTTGAAAAATGTGGAGCTAATTTATTTATTCGAAATGCTTAAGGTATGAATGGATTACATTTGGCTGCTTAAGGTGATTAACCTAAATCAGTTGTATATTTTAAGAAAATTGGTTTTGATTTTGCTTAAAAAGATTCAAAAGGAGGTACTGCTTTACATTGGGCAGCTTATTATGGATGTGAATTAGCAGTCAATTATTTATTATCCTTTACAGATCAATTATTAGATATTAAGGATGCAGAAGGTTTAACTGCATTACATTTAGCAAGTATGAGTGGAAATAGTAGAATAGTTAAGAAATTATTGCTTTAAGGAGCAAATCGAAATATTAAAAATAAAGAAGGTTAAACTGCAGCTGATATTGCTTAAGCTAATTCATTTAAAGCTATTCATAAAATGCTTACAGAATCATAAAACTTTTTAATTACTTACTTTAGTATTAGTTAAGGATTCTAAAAAGTTAATAGAAGTAAAGATAAAATGTTTAAATTTATTGCTATGTTAATTTACTGTTAAGGAATTACTATTTATTACAATTTTTATCCATTTGAATCATATTAAAATCTTATTTACTACTCAGCTTTTCAATTATTGATCTGGTTTTTCTTTATAATTGTTTGGTTAAGTGATCCTGGTAAGCAAATCAAAAAATAAGACAAAATTGAATAGGAACTCCTTAAAAGTTTATATGAAATATTATAAAGATATGATGCCAAAGACATATGTCCTGAATGTGTATGTGTTAAATCTCCAAGATCTAAGCATTGTGATATTTGCTAATCTTGTGTATTAGTATATGATCATCATTGTCCTTGGGTTGATAATTGTGTAATAAATAATACTATTATAAGATAGGATCAAACAATCTTTTTTAGTTTTACATATTTGTGTGGCTCCTTTGTTTGGATGTCACTTTAACTTTAGCATTCTAGTTTTATTTTGTTATTAAATAAATTCAAAATGATAAAGGCATAGAAAACGAATTTATAATCCTATTTATACTTTCTCTATTTTCCATCATCATTATGCTTTTGTTTCTCTTCCCTCTTTGGTTTCTATTATACATATAAACAATAAATTTATTAACAGGATAAACAACATATGAAAAGTAATATTTATCATTTATATTAAAAAGGTATTCTTAATCAATGAAGAACTCTAATACTTAGTCTACAGTATCTTGCAGGAATTGTCTACAAATGTGTTGTTATAATAAAATAAACAGTTAAGAAAAAAAGAAATAAAATCATTAGTCTTTTTAGTTATTTGACTCAAATTAAAAATCATGACTTTTAATTATTAATTAATTAATTTAATAATAATATATTTATTTCAATAATTTTATTATAAATAATTATTTATTGAATTTTATTATTTAACACTTTCTACTAAATACTATTTTAGAAGTAACATTTATATATATACCATTTAAATTTTTATACCATAAAGTAAGTGTTTTATAAATTAAAATCATAATTATTTTCGATGCACTTTTTCAATTTAAATAGTTTATTCAAATTAAGAAAATGATGAAATTTTACTTATTTGATATTTTCATTTTTTAATTCAGATAAATAATTCATATGATTTAGATTTGATATCCCTAAGTTATATATGAAAAAATTAATTAATTTCTCATTTTCTATTGATTGTTTTTATTATTAAAAATATAAAGCTATAAACTATCCTATACATTAAAAAAAGTAAAATTTTAGACTGATTTGTTTTATTATTAATAATAATTTATCATTCTCATATTATCTAATTAAACATATTCAAAATAATTGATCATTTATAACATTACTATTTTAGATTATTTATTAAAATTTATATATAAAATATTATTTATGATCATTTTAATAACTCTAAATATATATTTACAATAATCTTCTAATCATAGAAGAATTGGATAATATGATTCAAGATTATTATATAACGTTTTACACTTTCCTTAATTAATTTTATTTGAGAAATTTAAAAAGAAAAGTATCAAAATAGTGTTAAGATATAAAGATAATATATGTTAAATATTGATGGATATTAAAAAGTAGAAACTCCATTATTAAGGGTCAAAAGTTTTAGCATCTAAAAAAACTATAATTATTAAAATAATTATGAATACATTATACTTAATTAATTGTTAAATTATGTCATAAAAACAGCTATTTTGATAACTTTAATAAAAAAATAGAATATAGAGTAATAAGGAATGAATAGAAGTTTAATAACTTTTTTATGGTGAAATTTTCTTTAAGATTTGAAATTATTTATTTTATCAGACTCTCAACTTAGTGATCAAAGTGATATTTTTAATAAATTTAATAAATGCAGTCATTATGTTAAATGAGTCCAGAATCAAATCCTCAAAATAAATAACAATTCTAAACCTGTTTTGATCAAAATGAGTCAGCGTTTTTAAGTCCCAACACATAATCTCTTTAATAACCCAAATATAAAGTTAGAACCTTAAGACCTAAATCAATTCTTGAAGGTGAATTAGCTAGATTCAGCAAATCAAGAAATTTACTTACAATGAATAATTATGAATGTATTAAATGTAAAAACGAGAAAGGAAATATAGCAATAAAGTTATGCCAATGCTTAGATATATATTACCATATTATTTGTATCTTAGAATATGCTGATCTTCATCCTAAGTTAGGACTCAATTTATTTAGATGCTAATTTTGCAATGATTACTTCCCAATTTAAATAAATGAAAAGTATAATATATATAAACTATCAGACTGAGCACATAAAATTTAAGCAAGAAACAAAAGTTTGTATTCTTAATGAGCTTGTCCATGTTGTTTTCTTTGGTTACATTAGAAATTGTGGCTCTTTCATTGTTAGAACTAGATCAGATATATCTAATTTTATTAATAATACTAATAATTATTGAATTATTGGTATTATTAATAATTTTCAGTAAATTTTATCATTTATGTTACTTAATCGAATATGATATAAAAGAATATAAGTTAGGATAAGAATATGATTAATCTTAATTGGAATCATTTACTCTTAAAGTTGTTAAACAACTATAATATAAAAGAGCCAAGAGAGTAATATTTGATTAAGTGAAATGATAACTTTAGATATTACTACTTGTTAAATTTTATAGTCTCATCAAATTTCTAAATATTCGTTTATTTATTATAATATAATTGCTAAATAAGCTTAGCTTTACAGAATGAAAACTATGAATATTGGTCCAAAAGTCTTGCTTTAATAAAATTAAGTTAGACATCTAGATGATGAAGATGATGTACCAGATGAACCATCTCCTGTTTTAATTAAATAAAAAATAATTAAAGTCATCAAATATAATCAACCTAGATTTGATGTCAAAGGTAGGCAAATATTTAAAGGCACTGGTTATGGAATTGCTTTTGACAATTTTGTCACTGTCTGTGTATTTAATCCTGATGAGGAAGTGTTATCAATTAAGGACACTATTTCTTAATGTACAAATACTCAAGAATTGGAGAAGTTTCACATCAAAACTAATAGTAATAAAAAAATAGAGGATTTCCATAAAGAAATAATCCTAAAATCAATTCTTAAATAGACTAAACCAAATCAATGAAAAATAGTTTGAATTAAATTTCTTTATTTAATGTTTTGTTATTGAAACAATTCTTATAAATTTTTATGCATATTAAATCACAAATAATCATTACTTTTTTCTTGTCTACTATTAGTTTAAAATTCTATGAAATAAGTCATTTTATTTCATATTAATAATATAAATGAGGGTTCAACAAAAATAATACAATCATATCATATTTCAATACTAAAATTAACTTGACTCTTATATTATTACCTCTAAGTTCAAAACTAAAAACTCTAAATTTAACTATTGTATTTAAATTTTGATCTAGAAATTTACCATTTAAAATAATTCTAATTATATAGATAATTTAATTAAGAGATTTCAATTAAGTATATGAAATAATAAGAATCTGTAGTTAAATTGCAAATATGATATTTGATATCCTTAGAAATATAAGAAATATTTAATAATCATTTACATTTACATTCATATAAATTAAATATTATATGTCTAATTAACAAACTTAATCATACACTTCCTCCATAATATATACACCTATTCCATTGAAGCTAGAATTTAGTGCATCTCGTTCCAGTAGGTAAAGTTCAAATTCTAACATACTTGAAGAAAGTACTGCATCTTCATTCATATATTCACGAAGTCCAAGAAAAATTTTGTATTTTGTAGTGAATAAACACTTATAGACTTGCTAAATTTGAATAAGAAAATCAAGAAAGACCTGAAAACCCTATGATAAGAGATGAGAAATTTAAGGAACTTCAAAACTTATTCTTACCTTTTGATTCTGAATCATATATTACAGAAGTTGAACTGTTTGATTGAATCAACAGCCTTTTGATATGTGACTAAAGTATTCATAATAAAGTATATAAATACTCTAACATCAAATAAAATTGCACCTTTTTTTATAGACATCAATATTATAATATAAAAGATATTCTCTAACTAATAATTCTTTATCAGTTAATTGAGAATTTGATGAACATAATATTTGAAAATAATTATAATTATACTTAATTTTTTTTATACTCTATGATGATTAATCTTTTTTTTAATTTTTATATTCCATTTACATCTAATTAAGTATAAAGATATTTTAATTATGTTGAATACTTTAATAATTTTATTTTTGGACAATTCTAATAAATTATTTTGTATTTCTAATTAATTATTTTATTATTATTCTTAATTCATATATTAATATATATTATCCCTTTATTAATTAACAAATTCTTTATATTTTAAGTAGTATTAATATTGTATTTTGTTGACTACACTTCTATATTTTTTATAAATATTTTTATAATTTAATTTAAATTAATTAAAAAATTCTATTATCTAAATTGATAGCATTATTAAAGAAAATAATAATTTATCTTCATAAATGAAAAATAATTTGAATATTTATAAATTTAAGTGTTATAATTATTCAATATTTCAATCTAGAGATTCTTCATCTAAATGTTCTTCTACAGTTTTAATGCACTTTGAGTCAAACTTATTTTGTACTTTAACTCCTGCTTATAATTTCTACCATTTCAATTTGAGTATTTATCTATTTCTTTCTAAGAGTTCTTATTCATTTTTTTCGAATGTGTTAGTAGTATCTCTCCAATTCTAATATTTTAATTTTAGTTCTTCAAAAAGATCAATTGGTAGTATACCATTCTATATTTCTTTAAATAAATTTGTAGAGTTATTTAAAATCTAATTAACAAATTAAAGATCAGCTCCTCTTAACATTTTTTATCTCAATTTTAAGAGCTCCCTAAATATAAATAATAAAAATACTCTTAAAAATTATATATTTTCACTATTAGACTTTCGTGTTTGTTATCTTTATATTAATATTTAATATCCTTTATTTAGAATTTATGGAATTAATAAAATCTAATAACTAAAGGAATTTTTTAATTTTTGAATAGATTAATTTTTTTATGTTCAATTTTAAATTATCTCCATTTTTTTAATAAATTCAATCCATTTTTTTTAATTTCCTAAGCTTCTAAAAAGTAGTTTTCCCATTTACTTAAACAATTTTAATAAACTATTTAAGAATTTACATTTTAGACTTTTTAATTAATTTATATTGTAATTAACTTTTCTTCAAATTATCCTTTGATAAATAGAACATCCATTTTATTGATCAATTCTTATTATAAATTTGGCTACTTTAAGATAAGACATTAGTGTAGCTTTTAATAATATTGATATGTAGAATTATTACTAAAAATTTGTAATAGTCTTTCTTTTATTACATCTGTGAGATTTTATAAATTTATTACGAAGACTATGAGAAGCAAATTACATAAATATTCATAATGTTCAGAATTACATGTTTCTATAAAATACTATAGTTATTCTATAAATTCTAAAATAATTTCAGGTCTAGTTATTTTGAAAAGAGGCTAATCAAAGTTTTATTAACAAGATATAATTTCTTAATATTTTAAAGGAATAATAATTGATTTTATTCCTGATTATGCTAAAAGTATTTTTATTCCAATTCTGATTAAATGATTGATCCATTCATCTAAATACATTTTATCTTCAAAATATTAACTATATTCTATAAAGCATTCAAATGAATCTTCAATAATATTGAAATTTTAGCATTCTAAATATTCAAGATATTTTAAATAATATTATGATACTTCTTTATCTTTTATGTTTTATAATGTAAATATTGCAAATGGCAAATTATCTTATAAGTGTAATAAGTTTAATGCTAAAATAATAAAACCATGTTTCTAATATTAATTATTTATACCTTATTCTAACAAAAGTATACTTTCATTTTTTAAATAATATTTAATTTATTTATCCATTTTATTAAATCTGAAATTGGTTTATAATAACCATTTATGAACAGTTCTCATTTCATCAGACTTAGTAAAATGCAAAATTGAAGATTCATGATCATCAATTGAATTAGCAAGGTTCTTTTGTCTCATACCATAAGCTACTTTTGAAAAATAATCTATTTGCTCATTTATTGGCAAAGTTAGACGAGGTAGAATATTCTCATATTAATATTATAATCTTTAATTTAAGCATCTAAATATTTGTTTCATTTCTTATTGATCTTATATGTTTTATATAGATTAACTTAATGTAATAATTGGTTTGAAATTACAAAAGTATTATTTAATAAGTTTACCTAAGGTTTCAAAAGGTATTGCAATATATTCATATGCTATATCCATAAAGATCATTTGATCATTAACATATTTTATTAGTTTTGATGTTATGTGGATAATACAATATTATGAGTAATCAATCATAATATCTCCATTAGGAAAAGAGAATTTGAATAAGAATTAGATTGCTTCAATAATATTAGGTTTATTATGAATAAAACCTAATTGATTTATGCAATATTATTGCTATTGAATTAAATCAATAATAGAATTATATTATTAATCTATTTCAAATTTTAAAATACCCATACTACAAAACATACATAATATTATTGATTCTAGTTATTTAAGTTTTTCTTAATTATTAAGATCTTCTTTATCTAATTTTGAGTTATTTATTAATTGAATTATATTTTCTTTAGTTAATATTCTATTGGTAGTGCTTTAAATGGTAATTTCAAATATTTAATCAATATCGATCTTAGTAGATTAATTAGTTAGGAAATATTACTCTACTTAAATGAAATAGTTATATTTAATTAATTAATATTATTCTTCATTTATTAGTTATTTGTTCTCTCTTTAATCTTTAACTTTTTCTATAAGGATTACCAAATCTTAATAATTATTAAATGATTAACATAATTTAACAGCATTTTCATAGTCTAATTAATAAATTATAGTTCTCCAATATCCTAATCCTATTAATTATTTATAGCATTCTATTCCAAAACTATTAAAAGAGTGGAGTTATTCTTCATATTTAAATTTTAAATAAATTGGATTAATTGATTCTAAAATATTAGTGAAAGCAATTTAAGCTAGCATTGATTAATCTAATAAACGTTTTCTTTTAAGATTATTACCAATAATCCAATTTTCTAATTTGAAATTATTTTTTGCAATTGGTGTATATTAGGATGCTAATGAGACTAAATATCTACCTAAATGTGATGATAATTTGAACTAATTGCAAACATAAATACATAATTTATAACTTTTAAAATGTTCTAAAACATCTAAAACAAAGTATACAGCTTCTATATCAAAATTCTCTAAATCATATAAAAAATTAATCATATGATCTAATTCTTTTTCATCTTAATTTCTAAATGAAAGTAATGCACATTAACTTTTTTAATTTTCTAATAAAAGTTTAAATTCATCCTAAAACTATTAAAATCTTTCAGCTAATTTCAACATAATATTATTTTTCATAAATATATTTAATCTAGATTTTAGTAATGGTTAATTTGAAGGTTAATTCATTAATAAAACATTTGAAAATTATGATTCTATACTTGATGATGCAATAGATTTAATTAGAGACTTATTATCTGGTTTTATCCATTCATCATCTGGATCAAAAATAGATAAATGATCAAGTGAATCTTCCTTTACAACTTAAAATGATTAAGAATCTTCAAGAATATCAATATCATTTTTTATTTATTATGTCATCTAACTTTAATTAAGAAGTGAATTTTCTACTTAAAAACTTTCAGTTTCATCATTAGGGTTAATAATTTATTCATTTTGTTATATTAATAATTCTTCTTTTTCAATATCTTCAGTTATTTCTTTCAAATATTTTGGAATTATAAGATTTAAGAACATTAATTTTTCCTCAGATGTAAACTAATCTTTGTTTAATTTTAATTGATCTAATGAAATATTCCAAAGTTTTTATTTATTAAAGCATTCAATAGATCTTCTGACTTCTCCTAATTCTGAAAATATTTAACCTGCAATTTAATATTACCCTGAAAAATATGCTGATTCTGCCATTTCATTTTTACAACATAATTATTCATATAATTAAAAAGCTTTCTAATATTTTTATCCAGAAAAATAACAAGATGCTGCTCTTTTTAATAGGTTTATATTTTCAAAGATCTCTGCTGCTTAAATGAATAATCCAAAATTATTTGAACTAAGAGTAGCTTAAGTAGCTAAATTATAAGCCAATGATTTATTTGCTAATTCAATTTCATTTGCAAGCATAAAACATTTTTAAGCTTATTCGTAATTATTCTATCTTAACATTCTATATCCTTATTTCTTCCAATTAGCCTTATTATCAATTGAAAAGGATAATACAAATTTAAAATCTTAGATTTACTATTCATGAATTACTTCCACAAGATCTAACTCTTCCCAAATCTTTTATATATAAAATCTATTTTATAAAGATTAATCAAAGATTATTAATCTTTTTTTAGGACGTGTTATAGCTACATATAACTATTTTAATTCATGTTAAAGAGTAAGATTAACTTTGTTTGGATTGAATGTTTGTGCATTCTACTTTTTATTTGGATTAGGTTTTCTTAATTCTAATATTGTCAATTCCACTTCATGTTTACTGATATTTTTGTGCATTAAATAAGAATTTTAATTACCTAAATATTATATATACATTAATACATTTAGAATTCCATTCATTTTTATCCTTTTTGATTTTAACAATATGTAATTATTAAAATAAATTCCATGCATTTTATTCTTCATTGGAATCAGCAAAAAAATTAAATAATATAACATCATCAAATTCTAATCCCTTAGCTTCATAAATAGTTAAAATTATTGCATTCTATAATTCTATTGGAATTTTTAATTTAGATTCTTAATCTTTTACAATAATTACAGAATTATAACCAAATTCCACATTACTTTATTTATTTTAATATTTTTTAAATAAATAATTTAACAAGTCTTGATTATAAATACTTTAAATTATAGTAGGTTTTGGTCCTTATTAATTTGATTTTTCTTTTTGTAAAAAATCAAGATAATTTGGGAAAAATATTTCAAGAGCATTAACTAAAGTATTACCCAATTATAATATTTAATTAGTTGATCTAAAGTTATATGATAATTAGATTAGTGTAGTTTTAGTTAATTTAATAGATTATTTTTATTATTTCTCTGTTTCAAGACAACTCACAATATCTTTAAATTTCATTCCAATTCCTTTAACTATATTTTAAGCATTATCTCCAGCTAAAAATAATTAAACTTGTGTCATTCTATTAAGTAGAATCAATAAAGCTTTAGGAACATCTTAAAGTTCATCAAGTATGATATAATGCATATATTCAATATTATCAAAGCAATAGACTTATTAGTAATTAATATGATTAATCAGATCAAGTATATCATAATAACCATATTTTGATTTTAATTTTTCATAAATTAAAAATATATTAAATACCTTATCACAATTTAAATTGCAACCATATTTAAAATTTGAATTATAATCCTATAATTTAAGATGATAATTTGGATAATGAAATGATTTTTCGCTACCTTTGATAATTGTAATGATATCTGACCAAACTATCATAGGATCTAATGAATTAAAACTTTATTTTTCATTCCAACCAAATTGCCTCATGATTTTAGGCCAAAAAAAATCTTTAAAGCATTCCAATGTAACTTCTTTTAAATTATTATTGTGAAATATGATTTCTTTTTAGTCTAATTCATTAATTTCAGTATCTAATTGATCTGAGAAATTATTATTAGAAATATTTTAATTCAAAGAAAGTACTCCAAAATATTCATTATGCCATTAAGCTGATCTATGAATCTGATCTTTATTTTTAAAGAAAGGGTTATTTAATTAAGAATCAATTAGAAATAATAATTTTCTGATTGTGAGAAATGCAGGAAAAGATTTAATATCAGAAATGGTTTAAAATTAACCCATCTCTTTTTCATATTAATCAATATCTTCTTCATTTTCATCTTCATCTTCTATTTCAAATTAACTTTCATTTTCATCTTCCTTTTCTAATACATCCAGAATTTGAACAGTACTTTCATCTAAGTTTTCTTTTAACTAATCTGAAAACTTTTATACTTTATTCTTTTGTTTTAAGGTCTCTTCAACATTTTTAACTAAATTTTCATATTTCTATTTAATTTATTAAGCTAACAAAGGACTGGATGTTAAAAATAAAGTTTTCAATTATATTCCAGTTGATAATTAATTATTATATTATAAATTAATTTTAGAATTAGATTCTTTAACAAGATCTAGATTCTATCTCAACATAAAAATTGCATCAGTGATAAATAATTTCAATAATGAGATTGTAGTTTTACCAGTTCCACTTCTACCAATTAATATTGTATCACCTTCTTTTGAAATAGCTTCAAATTATTCCATATTTATTGTGAATCTTTCACTCTTAATATTCTTTAATAAATTCCTATATTATTAAAAATTAGGAGTAAATAAGTATCTTTTCAATAAAAAATAAGATCCTTTTAATTCATTCTACACTTATACTCTTTTTGCATAATTTATTGAAGTTTATTGTTTAATCCATTTTTAATAGTTTAAATTAAATACAAATTAATCTTTCTAGAAATTTATAAGTTTGTATTTCCTTGGAATAACATAATTTTAGTTGATCATCATCTTATCACCTACTTTTAATTGACTATATTTTGATTAATTTTTGATTTCTTATATTAAAGCAAGTTCATCCTATAAAAAAGGATCTTATTCTTATTGATCTATATATTCCTTAAGGTATTGAGTATATTAATAATTTCCCAAAGAAATGAATACCATAGTATCAACATACTTCAAAGTTTGAAGTTAATTTAATGAGTTTAAAGTAAATTATTATTTTGGAACTATTTACACTATTAGTGACTCAGCTTGTTTATATTAATTATATATTTGATAAATCTCTGTATAGGGTATATTATTCCTCTATTATTGTGTTTTTCTACTTTTATATAGATGTTATAAAGAATAACTTGAAGTTTCCTAAGGTTATTTTTCAAAATCACCTTATAATACCAATTTAATTTGAAAAAGAATTTAAGATAAAGATTTGGAATCCTAATAAAATTTTGTGAGTTGTTCTAAGAAGTTTGCTTAGAGATAATTATTGATATATACCTGTCATTTAAAATTCCCATATTCTATCTGGAAATAATAGATTCATATCAAACTTAGTTAATATATTTCTAAATGGGCTTTTGCTTATGGATATTAATGGTAATGGGTTGACATATTTATCTCTTCTTTAAGATTTAACATAATATTCTAAAAATTATGGTATGAACTAAGTTATAAAGTTTATTGATTTTAAATCATATTCAGAGCAAAACTTTTCGCCCAAAGTGATAAGTCTTTATTCTTCTTATTCTAAATTTTCTTTTTTTGATCTAGCATTCTCAATTTTTGTTTACATTTTATCCTAATAAAATAATTCTTTAATATAAACTTGAAAATCATTATTATAAAATATACAGAAATATAATTCTGATAAAATTTATTAAATATCCTAGTTTATCAAATTTAGAGTTATAAAATATTTACTTTATTTAAATTATTTTCATACTAGGTTTAAATGCATAACTTATTTTGGAAAAATATGATAAATTTTAATATTTATAATAAATACGCTAAAAAATGAATATTAATTTAAAAATATTAAGAACATAAAGTAATATAAGCTAGATAAGAAATAATGATAAAACAAATGAAATATTTTTTATTCAAATATTCAAATTTAGAAAATACCTCGAATATTTCAGCTAGTTATTAGAGTTACATTTTCTTTTAAATCTTTGGATAAATTTTCATTTATTTTAGATTATATATCTATATTATTTATTTCCTTTTACTTTATAATAATCAATAAATATATTTAATTTAGACTAGAATTATAATATATGTAATTTATTACTAATTAATTATACTCAAATTTAATGATTATTATAATTTCAATATCATTCATTTTTAAGTAGTCACAAATGTAAAATAGATATTATTAAATATTAAATTAAGATATTTAATTAAAAAGGTATTATCTCATAGTTTAGGTAGAGTTGATTCAAAATTAAAATGAATAAAAAGAAAGAATTACACTTAGTTGTATAAGTAATATTAAGAAACTTAAGAAATTGAAATGGCTAAAAAGAATATTGGATAAATAAAATTTCATATATAAATTTATAAATATAAAATATATATTAATAATAAATTTCTTTTATAATGGGACTTTTGAAAATAATCAAAAAAACTAAAGAGAGAGAAAAAGAGATGAGACTATTAATTTTGGGATTAGATAATGCAGGAAAGACTACAATTCTAAAAAAATTTAATGGGGAAGATATTTCTTAAATTTCTCCTACTTTGGGTTTCAATATCAAAACTCTTAGTTATAATGGATATAAACTCAATTGTTGGGGTATTAAATTTAATTAAAAATAATGATAGATGTTGGTGGTTAATAGACAATAAGATCATATTGGAAGAATTATTTTGAACAGACAGATGGATTAATATGGGTTGTAGATTCTACTGATAAAGCTCGTTTAGATGATTGCAAAAAGGAATTATAAAATTTGTTGAAATAAGAGAAATTGATAGGAGCTACTTTATTGATATTTTGTAATAAATAAGATGTTCCAAAATCATTGAGTTTGCAATAAATAAGAGAATATTTAGAATTAGATCTAATTCAAACTAGACATTGGGGTATTATAGCATGTTCAGCAGTAACTGGAGATGGATTATTAGAAGGCATTGATTGGATAGTTACAGACATTTCAAGCAGAATTTTTATGATGAGTTGATAAAATAATTATTATGATTATTGTATTGCTATTATTACTATTTGATGTTAATGCAGATTGGTACCATAGTACACTGGCATTTACATTGGCTGCAAACAATTACCAATAGCATTTAGGACACGAAAAGCATGTAAGTATTAAACGAAACAGGTTGTTTTAGATTTCTTCACTCCTTGGTGTATATATTGTCAACATATGGCAGGAGAATTTAATCAAGTGTTTGAACACTATTAAGCAACTAGACCAGATATCTTGATAGCTAAAATGAATTGTGATGAATAACAAAACCAACATATTTGTCATCATTTTGGAGTTCATTCATTTCCTACGATCTTATATTTCCCTCCTGGATAAGATAGACCAACTTCTTAATTTCAAAATCATAGAAGATATGATTTCTTTGTTTAATGGATAGATTCTTTGGCATAGATGTCTGAATAAACTAAATAGGAAATACAATAATAGTAATTAGAGAAGATGTAGAAAGATTAAGAAGAATAAGAATAAAGATTAAGAGAGATGTTAGAATTAGAGAGATAGAAATAGATTGAATTAGAAGAGTAGGAAAAATAAAGGGAAGAAGAGATAAAGATTTCATAATCAATTTAATAATAGATTACAGAAGCCAATAGATTTATTGAAACAATTAAAGGAATGGAAAAAGAGATCTATACTTTACAATAATAAACAGCAGAAATTAATAGTAAAATGAGTCAAATTAAGAAGCTACCTAAAGTTAATGTAAATCATGCTTTGGTATTTTCAATAATAGGATTCTTTTTTGGAGTTGCTATGACTTCTTTTGTTTGTCTATTTCAAAAAACAAATAATGCAAATGCAGAAAAAGGGATGTGATATTATTTCATCATTTATAAAAATAAATATATTCTCTAATTTAAAAATTATATCAATTTTTAATATTTTCTCATTAAATTAAAAGGGTTATAAGAATAGCCATAGCAATTGTTTATGCAAATGATCCTTAAACATCTGGTATTTCAGTTACACCTGAAGTAATTGCAGTCTATATATAATTATTAATATATATTACTCCTTTTAATATCTTTCTACCATTTAAATTTTAAATGGGTCTATTATTATGTTTAATTGGGAATAGAGTAGAATCACTTAAGAAATCCTAGAATTATTTTAATTAAGTTGATGAAATTGGTAAAGGCTATTAGAATACTACCCAATTGACAGTTTATGAACATGGAAGTGTGGTTAAACTTCCATTATAATGATAATATGTTGCATCAGACATTTTGGAGAAGAAATCACTAATTTAATTTGAAAAATAAGAGTACTTCAAATCAAAAGAATCAATTTCTCCAGTAACATTAGAATCAAACCATGGTTTAAAGGCTTCATAATCTGTAGCACTTGAAGATTCTTAAAACATTATTCCGAAAACAGTAAGTTTATTTTTCACTTTATTACAATCTTATTCATCATCTTGGATAGCCTAGAATGATTATAATATTACTTGATGAACAAAATGGATTTCTAAATCATAATATTTTCCATCTATTGTATGTTCTGATGGGGTATGGATGTGGAATTATTTTGCATAATAACGGATAACTGAACCTGAGGCATCAGTTACTTCTATTTCTGAATACTCTCCTTCATATTCTTTAGTATATGGTTCTATAAAAAATTCTCATCAAAATATTACTGTTTGCTTCTTCATATCCCGTACTAGCATCCTTGCTTTTATAATTGATTTGTGGTTGTATAGCTTCTTATGCACTACCAATTGTTATTATGTCTATAGGTGATTAGAAACTACCCCCGCATGTTACAACAAAATCTTATACTAACAATAGTTATAATACCTGCCCAGTTAGCAGCGTTAGTATAACTCCATCCAGTAGCACCAAAATCAGCTGCAGATACACCATCTGCATAGATTGCATCAGGAAGTGAACAATAATCTCTAGTTACTTCACTTATAGTTGATTCTGCTGAAATCAATGTAGATAACAAAGCAAATAATCCAAAAATCATTATTTAAAATTAAATTTACTATCAACTAAATGATCAATTTTTTTTACATATTAATTCAAAATTAAGAAAGAACTCGATGTATTAAAATTAATAATATTTTCATTATATTATTATCACTTATGCTAATCTACTCTACAACATCTTCAAATTTATTTAGACTTCTTAAAAAACTTTATTTTTATTAAAGCTATTATTAATGACTTAAGCTTTTACAAATAAACTCATTAATCTCTTTTTCTGTCTAAATAACAGGATAAATAATTTTATTATATTAAATCGAAATACTTTATATAATAATTGTTTATTTTAAATCAGACAAGTCTGTAATTTATTTGCTATCATTTTTAAATCACAAAAAACATAAATTGAAAATTCAAAAAAATTAGATTTCAAATTTTACTTAATTCATTTGTTTAAGTTTGAAATGATTCAATAAAATTTATTAAAATTATTTATAATAAATTTTCTATATTTGTATAACTGCCATTAAATATTATTGTGCAAGTCTTTCTTATCTCTATAGTTAAATTTAATCTAACTCTTTCAAAGCCTTCCTAACATATTTAATACTAATTATAAATAACTTAATGAAAAAAAACTAATATTTTTAAATATAATACAATATCTAGACTATATTTTTCTAAATTAAAAAATCTTCATTATTAATTTTTATATATTATAAAATATTTTTCGTCATTTTATTGATGTATTTAATTTTTGATATGATATATTTTTTAATTCAAATACTTGACATAAACTGTAGATGATTTTGTTAAATATAAATGAAGATTTTGTTGATCACATTAAGTCTTTTGGCTTTAGTCACTTCAACTACAACAGTACCCGTGTCATCAGTATATCAATGCTCATGCACAAATGCTATGACTTAGACAGATTGTCTAACAGATTATTGTAATTGGGATTCTACCTCAGGAACTTGTTCAAACAAAGCTTGCACAGTATTCAGCAAGGAAGATTGTGAAGGTGTTCCAGATACATTTGGTTGTATTTGGAATTACACTTCAAATAAATGTGAAGGTTTCACCAAATGTTCTGATTATACTTTCACAATTGGAAATGCAGGGGATTGCAATGATAAACTGATTAAATGTTAAGCTGATCTTAATACTATTGACAGTACAACAGGAACCATTAAGTGTAAAAATAGAACTTAAGATGCAATTTTAAGTATTGATGATTGTAACTTATTACCATATGCTAATTGCTTTTGGTATTTAACACCTGATGGTAAATAATGTTTATAGAATACTACAACAAATAAATGTGAAGCCAAATCTATTACTAAATGTTCTGATTATACTAAAGATAACTGCAATATTTTAGCTTGCTATCTGAATGGAGATGTGTGTACTGAATTGACATGTGCAATCATACCAGAAGATTAATGTTTTGTATATTTTTCTTATGACTCTAAATCAATGATATTTTGCTCTTGGAATGGAAGTGCTTGTGTTGATTTAAATGTGTCAACTTTAACTTAAGAAAAATGTTTAGACTCCACATATTTTACATATGGATGGAATCCAGATTCAAAACAATGCGAGATATGTGTAACAGACCCAGATTAAGATTCTAGTACAAATATCATTCTATATGGATCTATTCTTATGGCAATAGTATTTTTATCATGAATTTGAAATTAAAAAATGAGAATTAACATATATTCAATTATTTCAAAATATTCTTGGAAGTTCTAATATGTGAAAATTTGTTTCTATATTTATCCCATAATATTTTTGTTTATATAAATAAGGACTAGTAAATATCTCTTCCTTTACTCTCTTTGTCCTTCAATAATTCTATCCCATATTATGATTGACATTGTTAAGATTTTCAAAGATATTCATACTATTTTTTAAAACTGTTATATATGTCTCATCCAAATGTTATCTTTCTTAGTCTACTAATTATTATCCTTTATGGTCTAATAAGGGTTTAAAATCAATTAAGACATCCAAAAGACAACATTATTAAAGCCTTGATGTCATGAATAAAATAACACACAGTATAAATTTGATTCTTTAATTAAATATTATAAATTAAAATCCATATTCATTATTTGTGTAAATAATTTATTTCCTTTAAGAAAATTTCTTATAAACAAATTGATTAACTTTATCTAATGATTGAAAATCAATTTATTATCAAAATTTTGAATTTCTTATAGAAACAATTAAAATATAACTTTATAAGTAATTGATCCAAAGTTTATTTTGAAGTTCAATTATTAAAATATTAAAGATTATTCATTATCAAAATAATCCCTTACTTATTAAAACTTACCAATCTAATTTGATTACCAAAATAAAATTTATGAAGGATTATACATTATTTTTAGTCCTAGATTTGTCAAATTCCTAATTACAAAAATATCATGCCATCTTATGTTGAAACATTAATCTAACATTGCATTGTTTATTACTAAATATAAAAATATATATTATTTATTTTAGACTAATTTGAATAACCTTAGAGATTATTCTAAAATAAAAATAATTGATTATCTATCCATTATTATTTCATTAATTTGATTAGTTCAAAGAATCTAATAAAATTTATTATATACTTGATAATTTTCATCACTATTAGACTTTAGATCTTACTTACATTTTTACACATATTTATATGTTTGGCGTTTCTTTTTAATTTTTGATTTCTATAAATTATATTCATACTATCTTAATAGTCTCCTTTTTTCCGTCTTTTTCATCCTATTTGATCAAGTGATAATATAAAAATTTAAATATAATAATATATATTCTATTTATAATTTTTATTGATAAAATAGAAAAAAAATAATATAATAATTATGTTGAATGTAGGTAATTAATATATTTTGGTAAGATAATAAATTGATTAAGATTTTTAAATTAATGAATAATTGCTACCTCTATAAAAGTAATAATTAATTTATATTTATCTATCTAATTTAACTAATAACTTAGTTTAAAAGAAATAATTATTTAAATTAATTATAAAATAATATCAGATATAATAAGATAAATTCATAAAGACATAATTAATTATTCACTTAATAATTACTTTATCTATTAAAGATAGAAAATGAAAAAAAAGGTTTAAAGGAACTCATTCTTTTTCTTTATTTATATTATATTAATAGTTAATTAAAATAATTCAAGAGTATGATCGATTCTTTTGAATCATAAGAAGAATATTAATATATGGATCCTATTCTAAATTAAGTTAATTAAACACAAATATTATTGATATTAATATACATCAAATTTACTATTCATGAATAATCTTTCCTTATTTTAATTTATTTAAATTTACATTAATAATAGTAACTTTACCAATAGCAACTATATTAAATTTCTCTCTCAAGATTATTCTACTTAATTATTCTAAATTTATATGTGTTTCTACACAAATTTAACCATCACATTCTAATTCAACTTCAGCTAATTCATTAGAAACTATAGCTCTAGGGAATTTCTTTTTAATAGTTTGTGCATCTTAATCATAAATATGATTTAGTTTTTTTATAACAACACCAATCTAGATATAAAGATTATTACCTTTTAAGCACCTAAATGCATTAAATATTGAGATCCCTTTATAATAGGAGTTTGAAGATCTAATGTACTTATTTAACAAACCAATCTATTTGCAACTGGTACATGATATTCAATTTAACTCAACACTGATCCAATTTATATATTTTAAAATTCTGAATCAATAAGTGTTTTAACTTTAATTTCTACAATATCCCCTTCAACACTCTATCTTTCAACCTCTTTCACTTCACAAAAGATTCCTTATGGTAAAATAACATAATTGATATTTTTCTCCAATTAACCAGAATGCAATTTCCCTAATAAACATGTTCCTCTTAATTTTCCATCATTTTAATGAAATCTATTAAGAATAGTAAATCTGAGTGGCTAATAATAAATTTATATAAAATTTATACCTTATCATCTCCTCTTTAAATAGGAGGTAAATTTAATATTTCTTAAACCAAAGTATCTCCTTAATACCATTAAATATTATGTTTATTTTGTATATTTAAACCTTAAAATGCAGATATTGGTATAAATTTAATTTATTTTTAATTATAACCTAATTTAGCTGCTGAAACTTTAATATACTCTTTGGCTTCCTCAAACTATTTTTAATTCCAATCAATTTGATCCATTTTATTTAATGCCACTATAATTTATTTAATAAGCATAGCACTTATTAATTACAACTTTTCTCTTAACATACCACTCTTTATACTATTCTCAAAAGCATTTTTTGTAGTATCAATTACTAATATAGCATAATCTGCTTATGCTGCTCCTGCTATTAAATGTGGTGCAAAATCTTAATGTCCAGGAGAATCTAAAAGATTATATTGTCTTCCTCCAATCACTATAGTTTTATAGGCCATATCCATAGTTACACCTTTTTCTTTCTCCTCTTTAGTCATATCAGTAGCATAAGCAAGAGCAGAAGAATCCTTTCCTAAATTCTTAGCTTCCTTTTGATTTTTCCTTATTTCTTTGTCATCTAGAGCTTTAAATATTTGGAGTAACTTTCCTGTCAATGTACTTTTACCTGTATCAACATGACCTAAAATAACAATACTAGTGGAAGGATTTGTTTAAATGACATTCTTATATTTAATACTTGGATAAGGTGAATTATATTCATCAACCTTGTATTCAATATGAAATTGATTTTTAGATTTGTCAATACTATTAGACTATTTAACTAATTATGGCAATTGTTATGGTAACTCTTCCTTCTTTACTGCTTGTATTAGCTATTATTATTTTTTAGTAGCTTAAGGTTTCTGAGGCTATTATTATTTTTGTGTTTTTTTAATCTTATTACTTAAATATTCAAATGCAGCATCACTATCTCCATCAGTCTCATATAATGCATCAATAATCTATTTACGAGTAAAATCAAGTTAGAATATATCACTTAAATTATTGATGACTTCCAATTCACCTTTAAAATATTGTAAACTTAAGATTACTTCTGGTGAAATTGTGATCCCCATATTGTTCATCATCTTCCTATTAGTTATAATCATCTTCATCCTCATAATCATCATCATTATAAGCTCCATGCTTAATCATATTATACACACCTTAGTGTCTTGACATAAATATTTATTTATTTTAATAGAATCAAACAGATTGTTGAACTTCGCCTTATTCAAAATAATTGGTTTCCTCACTTGTAGTTTCAACTTCTGATTGAGTTGTAGTCTCAACTGTTTCTTCGTTTGTTGTCTCAACTACATCTTCAGTAACATTCTCTACTGTTTCTTCATTAACAGTCTCAACTATTTCTTCAGTAGATTCTGCTTCTTCACTTTCTGATTCACTTCCAATTTCAAAATTACCTGATTCAGGTTCTTCTTCAACTACTGGTACTTCAACAGGAGTAGCAACTCCATTCACTAAATCATCCACATATTATTAGAAATTATCCTCTTTATCACCATATAAATCAGTTAATGATCTAATTAGATTTATTAAATACCTTTTATCAAAATCTGCTGTCTTATCAAAGACTCCATCTTCAACAAAATCATCAATTCTAATTTTATATGTTTCTCCAATTTTATTGAAAGCATTTTAATATTCAACAATCAATTAAGCTACTAAATCTTTTTACTCTAAGAAACGAGCTTATCTTGATTCATTATGAATAATTTATTCACTAACATGATTTCTAAATTCTTTAGCTTCTTCAATTTTAGCATTAATTCCACTTTCACATGAATCTAATTCTTTTTATCTTTATTTCACTGTTTCTTCTGGTGAATCTCCCCAAGCTTCATTAAGTTTTGCAACTTCATTTTCATACCATGCTATTTCTTATTTAAGTTAATGTAAATAATCAGCAATTCTTGATGTTGAAAGAATCTAAATAAAATTTATTATTTACTTCATCAGTTTAACTTGTATTGATTTTAGCTTTAATTGATTCTTCTATCTAATCAAGTAATTAAAGTAATTCTTATCTAACTGGTGTAATTGCTCTTGATTTACTAACTGCTTAAAGTGAGTTCAATAATTCATTATCATCTACTTCTCTACTTAGTGTTTCTAACATTACTGAGAAGTTTTAAATCTCAGCAAATGAACCATAATTTTAAATGGCTCTTCTTAAGAATTCAATTAAATTAAGAATGTATTTGCTTGATTTTATGAAATTCAACCAATTCTTACTTTATTAGCAACGAAGTTCTTCAAGTACTTCAATTCTACGATTGTCTTTTGTAATTTCATTTCTAAAGTATGCTGTGTCATCTCCATGTAATTCAATTTATTATTTAAGCAAAGCCAAGTCATCAGACATCATCATACAAGTGTTTTAAAGATCATAAAGTTATTACTCTTTTGAAGCAACTTAATCTTTTAATTGTTGTTATTCTGTTTCATTTTCTTGAATGACTTATTCATATTACTATTCTGTTGTGGCAAGAAGTTGTTCTAATAGATCAACACCATCATCTATCACATTTTCTGTTCTTGCCTACAATTCCACCAATAGTTAAGGAGATGTAATGCTTGTACTCAAAGCCAAGCTTAGCATTAATGCTAATACGACAATCTATTTCATCTAAAATTAATTAATGAGTATCCGTTTTAAGGATTGTAATATATATTTTATTATTCAACATACAAAATACAATTACAAACTGATTACAAATATTAAGTTTGTTTCTTATATATAAATATATATATTAAATCTCTTCTATATAATAAATAGTATATCATAAATAATATCTGTTAAATTGATTTTTATTATTATCAACTATATATTAAAATAAATGTATTTCTTTATTTAATTATAATATTTGAATAATCAATATGTTTGTTTATAAATTCCTTTTTTTTAAGAACAATTATAACAATTTTAATTATATTATCATTCTTGAATGATCTCATCATTCAAAGACTTGCTTTCCAAATTTTTTAAATTAGACTTTGCTATTTGAATTTCTTAATTCACCTTATCAATTTCATCTTTGTATTACTTTATTTTTTACTCTTACTATTAATAACATTAATAATATCTAATACCATCAATAAATCATTAACAAGATGATTAATTCTTTTTGCATGTTCATGTGTTTTATAGATTATCTCAATAATGTCAAATATTTTCACTAATACATGATGAAGTTCTTCTGGTTTACTATTTTATTCTAAAATAGTCTTTTTTAAATTTAACAAGTATTTAGTTTTCTCTCCTTCAAGTGATGTTATATGAATAACACTTTGATACCCCAAACGATTACGAAGATCTAACCCATTATTCTTTTCAATAACTTATTTCTAAATTCATATAGACTCTTACTTTAAACTCTTACCAACTATACATCTCAGGATTCTCCTTATAAAATATTAGCATGCACCATCTAAATAAACTGTGTATTGGATTATTATTGTCTTTAACTGAAATTTTCAGCTTTACTAATTAATCAATACTATAATCATACATAAATCTGATATCTTTAGAGAATCTGCTACTCCTCTCCTAATAAGGGTTTGTACTTTTATATATTATTTTTCATCCTCAATCTCTTATTTGATCTGAAATTCAGGATTTTATAAAGTCAACTGTTTTCTCTTTTTTCGTCCCAATTCAATACTTTTATTAAGGTCCTCTTTCAAACTATTAGTATCTAAATTTTCAATTGATTAGGAGAACCCATAAGAATTGGCTTCTGTTTTAGCTCTTTATTCTGAATACTCAATTGGAACATTCATTTCTAATAAATAATTTTATTAAATTATAAATACAGTTAACACTAAAATTTATTCAATATTTTAATATAATCATTATTTCTAATTTATGAAAATATGACATAATAGATAAGGTCTTGATAATTAATATAAATATTACATAAGAACTTTATACCAATAAAAAAAAGAAGTAGACATATATTATTATTATTTATCAAAATTTTTATCTATCATCTATCTAAATATTCTCTCAATATTACTTCAATAATTTTTATGTTATTTTCTCTTTAATATAAATAAACAGCTAATTAATTGTTTTTGAGTAATTAACTATAAATTATTTATGCTAGACTTATAAAAATATTCAGAATATATAATATGTCTATTAGTTAGTATAAAACTGAAAGAATATTATTTAAATTCTATTTGCTATTAAATCATCATTAATGTAAATAGGAATAATATAAGTTTAAAAGAAAATGTAAATAGTTCAAAATATTATAGTATTATTTGATCTAACAAATTTTTAATTATAAAATCTTCTTATTTTGATTAATAAAGATATTCCCTCTAAATCAAATTCAGAATTAGATATAAAGAACAACTTAGTAATTCAAAAGTTCATTCAAAAATTTACTATATTCATTGAGAATATACTCTAATTTTAGGGTCTAAGAGTAAATGAAAAGCTACTCAATATGATTTTAGTTCATTTCTTTAATAATTTGGAGGAGATATCAAAAATCAAATGAAAAAGAATCCAATTCTAACTATGATTTGAAAACTTTACAGGTTACTAGAAAAACTAAAGATAGTACCAAAGACTAGACAAAATCTACAATTAACATATGGAATGACTACTTTTGAGTTGAATCAATTTATTAAATTTTCAGATCACAAATTCTTGACTGCTTTAATTGTTCTCCATCAGGAAAATCTGTTTTTTAAGAAATCCTTAATCAACGCATTAAAGAGATGATTAGATTTAAAAATAATATAAAAAATAAACATATAAATGAGTTGAAGAGAAATTAAATAATTAAGTGAGGTATTAATCATAAATTTGTGAATTTTAATTTAATTTAAAAATCTATATATATATAGGTGATAGAATTGATAAATTAATTTCTTAATTTTAATTAATTATTCAATACTTGAGATTTATCTTAAAGTAATAATGGTGAGAGAGAATGAAACAACATAATTTTAGTAATAAGATGGAAAATTTTTTATAATTTCATATAGATTTAATAGATAATAATAATTACTAATATCTTTTTAAAATAATTTCATGTTTCTAAGTATATATTTTTCTTTGATTTAAAGCAATTTTCTAACAATGCCTTAACAGAAAAGAAAATAATAGCAAAAATAATAATTCCTAAAATTGCTGCATAATACTAATTTATAATTATGTCATACCACTACATACATTTCTAAAAAGAAATAAAGCACAGGAGCTTTATTTTAACAATCATTTTCTGATGAATACAACGTAAGTGCATAAATCCACAAACTAAATTAGTAAATATAAAAACAAAGACTCAAGATCGCAAATATAATGTCTATCATTTTATTTTCAGACCTATTCAAAAAATAAATAAAATAATTAACCTAGGTATGGCGCTGGTTAACATTGTTATTGTAAAACATATAAATCCATAGAATACTAAATGTATAAACGAGGATAAGTTCTAATTACATTCCTGATCAATATAATTTGATTCTATTATAGATGTGGCAATAAGAAATAACAGAGATTAAAAGATTTAAGATGGCTCTGTTTTCTTTCCTTTATTTTCCTCTTTTTGTAATTATTGCATTTGATTATCTTGATTATCTTTTTGAAGAAGATAATATAATTATAAATGAAATTAAAATATCTTTTAGAGAATATAAAATAAATATATAATAAAAATATGTATATTTTATTTAAAAATGGTTAGACCTAAAAAATCATTTCTTTTCTTTTTCCTCCTTTTTAGAAGTGTTTCTAAAATCTGCATTGAAATTTGGGAAAGACTATTTAACACCATATCCCCAATTCACATTGTCAATTGGTTCTCTCCATCCAATTTCTGCTGAGCTTTATAAAATTATAAAATGAATTTACCTAATTATTGGGAATTGGAATTGATCCTTAACTGTATTATGAGTGTCCTTCTTATGTGGACAGAATCCCTTATCCTTCTTGCATTTTTAACAGTATTCATTCTCTACAATACCCAATCTATCTAATGGATGCTAACAGTTACGATTAAATGTTACAGAATATGCTACAGCTAAACTATTATCTGTCTTTCCTGCATCCTTTTTAAACATTCCAACATAGTTATTATTTTATGTGAAGTAAGGTTCTAATTTTTCTAAATCTAATTTTGTTTTAGGTCCCAGAATTTTCTTTTCTTTCTATCATATAAGTTTCTATATTTACAGCATCCTATTATCTATATGTCTCTGTTTGTTCTGTTGTTTCATATTTAGATCTTCCACCTTTTTACTATCCTTTGGTTTCTTTTGGCATTTAAATAAAATAATTAATACACAACAATATCTCTAAATAATGCATAAAATTCAAAAAATTCATATAATCAACTAACTAATTAAATCATTAGAAAGTATTAAAAGTCTTAAACTAATTATATTACATAATTTAAAGACAATTCAAAGTTATTGAAATAATTCTAAGTAATTGAAATAAAATAATAATAAATGTAAAAGTCAATGCCTGGGGGTAATGGACATCTAAATGATAATCTTTAATTAAATTAAATTGTGTATTTAGGTGCTCATAATTGTGCAATGTCTAAAAGTTATGGATGGATATATGCATAATAAAATGTCACAATTACTGAGCAATTTGAAAAATATGGTGCTAGACACTTTAAAGTACCTTTACATTGGTACTCAAATAATAATGATCCTGAAGTATATAAATAAATAATTTTAAGATAGTAATTGCTCATGAATCAGATGGAAAATCTAATTGTCAATTAACATTAATGTAGAGAGCCTTAAAGAAACCAGAATCAGCTCATTTGAGATTAAAAGAAATTGTAGATCTCTCTTTTCAAAATCCTAATGAAATTATTATTTTAAAGATTGAAAGTAAACTATTATGCAATAGTTAAAAAAATGGAACAGAACATTTTGATCCCTAATTAACAAGCATTATATTACATAGTTTATTAGTTGATATTAAAGCAGATCAAAGAGCTATTAGGATTTAAAAAGACTCTGAAATTCCAACTTTAGGTTGGTGTAGAAAAAATAATCAGACTTTATTAATAACAATAGAACCAAAAGAATAAATAGTAGGAGAATTATTAAAATATACATATTATTCATATTTTTTAAGTGCATAAGTAGATTGGGAAGCAGATCCTTTAAAGGATGTAGATAATGGTAATGTAGCAAGAGGTAAAGTCAATGAATAAACTGGTGAAATATTATCTCCTTTTTTAGAAATTCATTTTTGTCCATAAAATTCATTAAAGTATATTAATATTTAATTAAAATAGACTCGATTCTACATACAGAGATAAGTACAATTCTTATAATCATGTAAGATAGAGATTCTTATAATATTTTTTTAATTGCATAAAAATGCCTAATTTTTTAGTAGCTGATTTTATTGATTAAGGAAAATTATCAGATATTGTAGATGATGTGAATTTAATAATAAACTCTAATGGTATATTCTTGCCAGAATTGTTTTAAGTATTATGATTATATTTTCAATAAATGTTTTAATTAATTTTGAAATATATATTTATATAATTCTTTTTATATTTCTAAGATACAAATAATTAAAGAAAGAAGATATTATGTAAATTTTTAGATTAATATAAAGACTTTAAATACGCTCAAATCTGCTATTTTCCACTTTTAACTTCATCCTTTGATTTATCTTAAGAATTTTAAGCGATCACTTTTGATTAAACTAATTCTTGAGGCTCATATTAAGAATCAAATTCTTAATGAATTTAATTGATTTAATTATTGTATTCACTGGCAGGAGTATCAACACTAAAAATATATATATTAAAATATTACTAAACAGAAAATACTAAAGGTTTTGACTTATCTTATCTCCAATTTACTATACTTCTGTTTACAATTTTACTTAATTGATTCCACATTACTCTGGCCTTTTGATTCAATTTTGTACGGTTTTAAAGAAGAGGTCCAAGATGTTGATTGTGCTAAAGATGAGGATATTTCTCTTTTATTTTGTCTCTAACTTAATCTAAAGATAAAGCAAATTCCTAAAACTTTTCCTCAAAAAGATTGTAAAAGAGGAGTAATAAGAAGAATGCATTCAATATGGCAATTACTACATATCCAGCATAAGTTAAACCAAAGAAATTGATTTATATAGTTCTATATAGGAAGACACCTACAACTAAGGAGAGAGACAAGACTACTGCAGAGAGTTGATCTAATAAATTTAATTTCTTTAGATCATAAGGATTGAAATGAATACTCAATCCATAATAGGCATAAATTACAATAAAAGATAGAATTCCCTATTAAAATATTATAATAATATATACTTTTACAATGATTTCCTCTTAGAAATAACAAATTAAGACACTTATTAAAGAACGATAGAATATCTTCAAGAATTCCCAATAATATCTATTTCTACTGTATTCATAATAAAAGAAACCCCATGATGAACGAAAAATAATAGAATTCAATTTCATTTATTATGCACCTTAATAGCAAATATACCAGAATGTAACTGGTAATATGAGCAACCAAACTAATAATCCAGGAACACCAAAGGCTGCAATCCATTAATCATGTTTAAAAGTATCATATCGATATGAAACATTTGCCATTATATACATATTACCAGATATTTCTCGACTAGAAATCAAAGTCATAAATTCCATTACATAATTGGGTTGCAAAAGTAGAAACAAATAAATAGCCATAGTTTATACCTATTGAATTTTAAATTCTGCCCCATATCTTATAAACATAATAACAAGTATTGCTACTATATAAAAACCTTACATAATAAATGACCAAATTATACGAAAGTAAATTAAGTCAATACCCCATGTATCATCAGCTAAAAAACAATCTAAAGCATTTCCTACTGTCTTTGCTGGCATACTTACAGTATTTACTGAATCTACAGCACCAGTTGGTATCTCAATTTGAAATCCACTTAGAATAGATAAAATTTAAGTATGATTATTAAATATCTTTATAAGAACAGCAGCATTGGCTCCTGCATTTTAAGATGAAGCCCATCCTAACTTTTTGAAAATGTCATAAAGAATGATACTTCTCATTTTTTCTTTATTTGCATCTACTGTTGTAACTGTAGAATATAAAGTGAAAATTGATAAAAATAATATCATAATGATATTTCTAGTATTATCTTAACAAGCACCACATTCATATTTTGCAGAATTACTATATTTATTACCCCAAAAGGTTCCATGAATATCACATTCTTCACATAATGCTCCTATGGTTCCTTCTATACATACATCATTTCCAACATTATATCCTCCAATACAATTTATTACTTTATTTTTGCATCTCTCAGCTTGATCATTTAAATGATCAGGTCTCCAATAATTATATTTTAAACTAATCTTATTTTTAACTGTATAATTCATGGATCCTTCATCTATTTATTTACAAATTCCTTTGTAAACCAATACATATTAACCAATAGGACAAGGATTACAAGAACCTTATTATGGATTATAAGCTTCTCCACGATCACATTCAACAGATCTCACTCTAGCTTATAGTGTATATCCAGTATCAAATCCCATCAATTAATATGGATATTCAGTATAATAATGAGGAATATTAACTAAAGAGCTGTTCAAAATAATGTCTAATGTAACATTTTAATAAGGATCGAATAAAATTTGAAGGTTGGAATATACAAATCCTTATTAATCTAAATTAAAAATTCTGAGAGCCTCTCCTTATATAGAATTACTAATATTAGACTACATAATAGCTTAAGCTTCAAATTAATATTTCATAATTTCATCATTCTAATCTAAATAAACTAATAAAACTGTTTGATTTTCAAAGTCTTACATTAATTAACCACTCTTGATGACAAGAGGATAATGTAACCATCCTGTATTATTATTGAGATTACTAGAATGTTGCAATTCTCCATTAATAAGTATTCCTAAATGTGTAGGGTATCCAGCTACATCATTTCCATACAAAAAAGCATAATTCTATAACATAGTATTTCCTGTCTTGTTCCACAAATTTATTCCACTCTCTTTCACTCTAATAGCTCCACCTATACTTGCATTATTCCTAAAAAATACACTCTTAGCTATATTCATTCTTTGATAGACAACTCTATCCTTTTTAGTTAAAGCTTCATAATAAATGCAACCACCTTATCCACTTACTATTGCTTAAGTACAATAAGTATTTGTGATATTGACTGTCAATCCATAAACTGAGAGACCACCTCCATGAACTGCCTTAATATCTTGAATATTCATTGAATCCACCACAACATGAGCCAAATATGATGGAGATGGCACTGGATAATCAAAATCTTTAGGCAAAATTTCATCTTATAATAATCTCCTTCTTCTACTTTTCAAACCAGTTTATTTCAAAATATTATCTAAACTAAGGGCAGATTTAAAATTTATATTAATTCTATTGTCTTCATTAGTTAAAATTGTTTAATATTATGCTGATGATACCATATAACATCCATAATATCCAGCTTATGTATTTGAACATCTACACACACTCATTTAAACTAAGGATCTAAGATCACTATTAGATACTCTCATCACTTATACTAA